GTATGTTCCTCACAATTTGTTTTGTGCCGATACATGATACAAGATTACTTATTTTTATACCCCGCGTTCTATGTAGATTCACGCTGGTCATTGGTTTTGTAACAGCAGCAAGAATCAGGAGAAGAAAAGGCACAAATCCCATAAGAGTTCAAATGAAATTCAGGATAGACCACCAATTGCTTAAACCTTATGTTTACACGTGCACATTGAATTTACCTTGTTTGATCAAGTCATTAGTTTGATTTCTCTTGTGTCCAGATTATCCTGATACCACATTCTCGTACGAGGGTAGGCAGTAACATTATCACATCGTGAACGAGGGCTATTGCAAGAACCGCTTCTCTTTGATTCCCGGTAGCAGAGATCACTTCATTCTCTATGGTAGCCACACTCTTGGAAAAGAGCTAAACCCTTTTATCTGAGGTTGGTGACACCATTGGGCCCCGATTTCCTGTGATGGAACAAGGTTTTTTGCCACTTAAAAGTGGATTCTGGCTTGAAGAAAAAATTTTGACATCATAGAATCTCCACACAACATCGAGATGCTTTGTTAATCTTTATTACATTGAAGAAAAGATAATTTTTACATTGCCAGTTTGTGACCATTCATGCTGTAACTTTTCAGGATAAATCAGAAAACCGTGGTAAAATTTTGACGTCCGATCTTTTTCTTGTTTTTTTGTTTTCATTTCTTAATTCAAGATGTAAGGAACATCTAACCAAAACGCGAGTTAAAATTAGGAGGCGCTAATCAAAATTTCCAGTGCCTATCCAAAAATAAAAATGTTTGAAGCAAAAAACAATAATTGGTGAATATACAGCAACGGTGTCGTTTCAAAATTTCTTCCTTGTGAACATCATTTGTTTTTCGCTTCCAGTGTTTTTAAACCAAGAAACCTCCCTAATTATTCTTCAACTGAAGCTTCAATGGCGTGCTTCGTTTCCTTAAGCTTCTCAGTTCCTCTCTCTCTTCAACACCAACTTCCTCCTCGAAACCCCGAACCCCTTTCTCTCCCTCGAAAAAAAAAAAAAAGTTTAACAATTTAAGATTAATTTACATGTCTTGTTATATTTTTAAAAAATATATTAACAGTTTAAATAGTATAAACTCTAAGTAAGAATAGTTTTGACCATTAAAAAAATTATTTATTTTTAATCTTTACACATATCAAATATAAATAAAATTTTATTATTTAATCTAATTTTATTTATAATATTATTTTATTTTATGCGATTCATAATCTTATACGTCAAATATATTTAAATATTTCATTTTGTTATATAAAATTATTTTTTATTTAATAATGTGACAAAAAAATTAAAGATATATATAGATTGAGATTAATTAAAATTTTGAAGGAGTACCATTTCAAAAATAAAAGTTTTGAGGAGAGCTAAAAAAATTGGAGCACAAAAAAGTTTTTATCACGAATTATTAATTTTTAAAATAATTGACATGTTTTTGGAATTAACGTGTAAAAGTTGTGAATTTGAAAATGTTTACGAGTATAATATACTCTTCAATCATATAAATATCATAATAAGAATTTAATGGTAAATTAAAATTTTTTTAAAAATTATTTTGAAATTAATGATTGAATATTGACTAAACTAAACCCAGTTTCTGACTTTCTTTATAACACAAAAGGAGACAAAGTTGGAATATTATCAAATTTGACTTAAAAAGCCAAATTATTAAGTTTAGTTGCACTTATGAAAAAGCATTGACTGATTTAATGATTAGTATTTAGCTCATTTAATGGTATTTTTCTTATAACTAATAATGATCTATCTTTAAATTTTTTTTGTTACATTGTAAGCAAAAAAAATTAGGTAGTCACTTTAATGGTTTATTAATATGAATAAATTTCATTATGAAAAACAAAATTTTATGTCACAAATTTGCTTTTTCTTTATGAAAAATTATTTATTATCGATATTTGATTAAATATGATAAAATCTAATAAAAATTTGAAAATGATCAAAATCAATTTTAGATGAAACTCAGTTCAATCTATATTTATAAAAAAAATAAAAAACTCAAATTCAATTTGAATTTAAAGTAATTTAAATCGAAAGTTATTCTAAATTGAAACAACACTAACATAAAATAATCGAAACTTAAAATAATTTAAATTTATGATGATTCAAATTCGAGATCATTTAAAATGAAAAACACAAAAATTCAAACTATAATTAAGTTGAAATGAACCTAAAGTGAATAAAAAATAATTTAAAATTAAAATATTTTAAAAATATTTTAAATTCCAAATAACTCAAATTTATAGCAATTTGAATCTAAAATAATTAAAAATCAAGGATACACAAAACATGAAAACCAAAAATAACCTAGGTTGTTGTCATATATATATATAGGTTGGAATTTCCTATGGACATGCAATTGCATTCTGGATTCAAAAAATAGTGACCGTGGAACAATAATATGCAAAATTTCAATCCGGCTGAGTTGCTGTGAAGTAATGGGATGAGGAACAACTTGTCATCGCACATTCTACGTGCAAAGATTCCCAATTTTGCAGTGGGCCCCCCAACAGCTTTTTTGAGAGAAAGCCGCTGAATAGCTCAGGAATAACTCGGCACGTCATCAGTAATCAAAGCACGACCCCCAATGGCTGCTTATATATTTTAAGTTTTTCCTCTGTAGACTATTCACCGTTTCTTTGTTTTAATTTTTATTTTTCAGTCTTAACTATTTCTCTGGTTTTTTTCACAGCTTATCTCTTTCCCCCGTTTTTTTCACAATGGCTCGCCGGCCACGCCCACGTCCACGCACAGCCCCGGCCCCCTCATCGTTAGCTTTAAAGCCTTTCATGGCTGCTGGAATGTCGTTGAACGATGCTAGTCAAGAGTCCGCCGTGTCTACCTATACTGTCAAGAGGTCTACAATCCTCCTGAACAAAACAAGGGAGATTATACTGATATACAACTCCGACGACATGAAAGCATACATCGACTACGTCACAAAATATAACGGCGTTGCAGAGGCGAGTCTCGCTCCTGGACTATCCGAAGATTTGGTTGATCTTCTTTCCACTACGGCGGATCTGCACGAGGTTACTCTGGTCTAGCATACTATCTGTTTTATTTTCTCTGATTTAGCGGTTTTGTTATAAATGGAAGCTTTTATATATTTATTTTCGTTTTTTTTTCTCTTTGGAACATATTTTATTTTCTCTGATTAAGTAGTTTGAATATATATGGAGACTTCTATATATCTTATTTTCTTTATGGAATATAATGTTTTTTTCTTCATGTAATATGCGTTGCCCTCTGTCTTTTTGGTTTTGGATCTGCTTTTTCTCAATTGAATATGCATTTCTCTGTTTTTTTGGTTTTGGGTCTGTTATCTTTTGTACGAATGATGATGATGATGCATGTATGATTTTTTATTATTTTTATGAAAGGCAAATTCTATGTATTATTTAACTTGGCATTGTTGCAAATGGAATAGCACTGTTTTATTAAACATGCCAGACTCGTCGTACCTGGCGAGCCCATGCAAAAGGTTTGGTATCTTTTGTACGAATGATGATGATGATGCATGTATGATTTTTTATTATTTTTATGAAAAGGCAAATTCTATGTATTATTTAACTTGGCATTGATGCAAATGGAATAGCACTGTTTTATTAAACATGCCAGACTCGTCGTACGTGGCGAGCCCATGCAAAAGGTTTGGTTAAGATATGCCAGATGCCACCAAATATACAAATGGAACCTAACCATACATGTCCTCCAATTATATCTTTCACACTAACAATCCATCCATAGTCTCCAAAGGAAGATTTTAATAAATAACCAAATATAACACTTGGACTAAGAGTTAAATTGGTAATTTTTCTTACGTCTCCCAAAATAAGGAGCCTTGAATACTAAAAAAAAAGGACCTATACCTAGCAAAATTATGGTCATTTTATTTCTATCAAGATAAATGAATGACCCAGACAAATCTTGTTTTCTGGGCTCTCTCGCTCTCTCACAGATGGGTCTCCCTTTGGCTGCTTCTTCTTGTGTTGAGTCGTTGAATTTATATGTAAAATTTTGTGACTGTAACCAAAGATTTTAAGAACTCCGTGATTATAAAATTGGGACTAAATCTGATGGTTAATGGGTTTTATGCCCACTGTGTTTACAATTGGGGCCGTCAAAAAACAAAAAGGACAACATAGCAAGCATGCCATTACAACAAAAGTGTCATTCAAAGTAACTGTGATTTTTTTAATGCATTCTCACTTATTAAAAGAAGTCCAAAAATATAGTATGTTGTAGGAGAAATTCAATATAATAATTAGACTACAGCAGTAGCAAAAGCTAATTAATTAGAGTATAACAAATTCAGCTCCCGCTCGATTTTGTTTTTGCATGAGCTGACGGGCCACATTTTTGGCCATTTTTTGCACAGTCTCGAACTCCTCGGGATGACCAATCTTTGTAGGACGAGTATCAATTACAATCTTTTCAAGCATAAATGCACTTTTAAGTAAGTAGGTAACAATTTCAGCATCTGCTTCCTTCCCGTAGAATCCAATTACTTCCACTTCCTTTAGGTACTGATTGGGATGCCCTCTCACCCTCCTCATCACCCCTCGCAATTTATATTTCTCAATTTTATTTAAATTATGATACTGTTAAAATTTCAACAAGGAATCGTGATAAGTTAAAAGTATATATAAACTAACCTAAATGAATGAATAGAAATTATTAACAAAATAACCAGAATTCATATTGTATTTTAACTTTTAATTTTCAATAGTTATGATTTAAATTTCGATAATCTCAATTTAAAAAAAAAAAAAAAAACTACATTCGCATGCAATGGAGTAAGAATACTTACCTCTAGTTTGAATTTGTGCAACGAAGGGGCAGCCTCTATCACAGGTGTTATACATGGGACGCGTTTTCCTCTAAAGAAAAATCAATACAGCTCAAGTGCCGAAGACTCGTCAACTTGGGAAAGTCGTGGGCTTGCAATAAGAGACTCGGCTGTGATCGAAAAATTTGCAGACCAGACAACTTATTAGTCTTTTTTTTTTAAATAATTATCAAGTAAAAGAAAACAAAAAGGGTCGGGAATGGAAGGGAAAGGATTCATTCGATTTTTACCCAATCAAAGGACGTGTTTAGCGTCAGACTCACTAACTGAGGAAGATAATTTGCTAGCTGGGAAAAGGCATGTGGAATGCTGTAGTTTAGTGGATCAAAGTAACATACTTCATGGAGTTTGGGCGCATACCTTACATGCAATGGTATTTCCTTTCCATAATATTCAAATGAAGCAAGATTTGGTGCATAAACCTCAATACTTTGGACAAACTCACAGCTTTGTATGTTCAAGTGTTTCAACCGCAATGATGAACCTGTAACTTTAGGATCTCTAAGCAGTGGTGACATTCTCACATGCAAGCTCTCAAGCATGGGACAACTGGAAAGAATATACTCCACATTCTCATCACTTACCCCAACATATTGTAAAGAAAGACACCTAAGGAACAGAGTTCCAGGTGAACCAGAAGAGGTTGTGAAGCATGAAAAGCTTTCTTTTGAGATGCGGTAACACGTATAAAGAAGCTTATGATAACTTGTGAAATATGGTTCGAATGCCAGTTCAAGCTTTTTAACCTTCTTCTTCAATGCGATGCCAATCCACTCATCCACATAACTTTTCGAATGCTTGCCTAAGTCGAAAGAAACTCTCAACTCAAGCATGGTTGAAACTTGATGTGAGTTTAGAACTTTGTTGATCCTTCCCACAAACCTACTCCTTTCCGTTTTCAGCTTCTCCTTGTTCAAACCCCTGCTATAACTAGCTTCAAAACTGAAACTACCTGAAAAAAATTGCCAAAGTTGTTGCCATCTGCGTGAAAGAACACTGGTTCTGACCGCTTCTTTGAGTGTGAGAAAATCCAATATCATGATAAGAATATCATCACATAATTCACTTATTATATCATCGGTCGTATTCCCATCACCTAATTTTACCTGATTTTCAAACAAAGAGACGCACACAAGTCATGAATAATAAAAGATAGAGAAAAGCAAATCATTCAATTATTAAAAAAAAACAAAAAAAAAGAGAGAGAAAATTTTGGTTCTTGATAATTGACCTTCTTGGACTTGTAGAGCTCTATAATCTCCATGACAATATTGCAGAACCAAAAAAACTAAAGAGTAACTGTTAGCTTTTAATTATAGACAGAACATAAGAGTTGCCGCACACAGCAAAACCATATATTTATAGGAGAATAGCTCACACAACCTCTGATTCTGATTCTGATTCTTTGATTTTCTTTCCTTTGTGTTTTAGATTTTGCAATGGAATCATCCCCGATTCACTTTCCAGTTTTCACTGATTTTCTCACTGGTCTTTCCTTTGCTTAAGTCCTTGCAATCAAAGTCTTTCCAAAATATCAAATTGAATCGATTCTTCATTTTTTTTGTCCAAATTTTTTTTCTTTTTTTTTTGTTTTCTACCTTTTTTTCGTTTTTATTTTTCCAAATTTGTACCTTTCGTTTTTTAGTTTTTCAAAAACAACTTAATGCTAGCAATATCTTACCTCCTAAAATGTATTCTAGGTATCGTGTGTGTCAACTGATAGTCCAATATCTTGTGGAAAAAGGCCTTATTCTTGAAGCTTAAGTTGGTTCTTCCATCAAAAAATTGGTTTCTATGTTTGTGGATTTTTTTTTTTTATCGAGTTTACCATAATAAAACTGACTGAATGTTGCTTTTCTATACTCAGTAACAAAGCCTAAATTTGTTAAAATTTTAGAATGGAATGATAAATTTGTTAACATTTCCCCGTAACAAAGCTCTCTCCGATTTTTGTGCTATGCTATGAATGTGAGCTTGCCATACTCATGAACTTCTTGCCCTTTTCATGTGCTAAGAGCTAAGCATCTTCAAATTTGCAATTGGTCACATTTTGGATCATGAGTCTGATGTTTGATCTGTTCATCTTCCTATAATATGATTCTCATGTCTTAGCTCGTCTATTGTATGCTACAGTTGGCATCGGCTGCTTTATGCAGTGCAAATGAATGCATAGAGTTCTCGACTTTGAGAGGAAAGCTCGCATCATGAGTACGTTCCATACAAGTTGTTCTGTGCTGATACATGATACAAGATTATATGTTTTAATACCCTGCATTCTGTGTAGATACATGCTGATCATTGGTTTTGTAACAGCAGTAAGAAGCGGGAGAAGAAAAGGCACAAATCCCATAAGAGTTCAGATGAAATTCAGAATAGACCGACCATTGCTTAAACCTTATGTTTTCACTTCCACATTGAAGTTACCATGTTTGATCAAGTCATTAGTTTGATTTGTCTAGAGTCCAGATTATCCTGATACCACTTTCTCGTACGAGGGTAGGCAGTAACATTATCACATCGTAAACAAGGGCTATTGCAAGAACCCCTTTTCTTTGATTATTATGGCAGAGTCCCTGCAGCAGAGATCAGTTCATTCTGTATGGTAACCAGACTTTTGTAAAAGAGCTAAACCCTTTTATCTGAGGTTGAGGTTGGTGACACCATTGGGCCCTGATTTCCTGTGATGGAACAAGGTTTTTTGCCACTTAAAAGTGGATTCTGGCTTGAAGAAAAAATTTTGACATCATAGAATCTCCACACAACATCGAGATGCTTTGTTAATCTTTATTACATTGAAGAAAAGAAAATTTTTACATTGCCAGTTTGTGATCATTCTTGCTGTAACTTTTCAGGATAAATCAGAAAACCGTGGTAAAATTTTGATGTCCAATCTTTTTCTTCTTTTTTAATTTCTTAATTCAAGATGTAATGGACATCTAACCAAAACCCGAGTTAAAAATTAGGCACTAATCAAAATTTCCAGTGCTCATCCAAAAACAAAAATCTTTGAAGCAAAAAACAATAATTCATGAATATAAAGCAACGGTGTCGTTTCAAAATTTCTCCCTTGTGAACATCATTTGTTTTTCTCTTCCACTGTTTTTAAACCAAGAAGCCCCTCTAATTTTTCTTCAACTGTAGCTTCAATGGCGTGCTTCGTTTCCTTAAGCTTCTCAGTTACTCTCTGTTCTCTTCAAAACCCACTTAAGGTAACTCCCTCCTCGAAACCCCAAACCCCTTTCTCTCCCTAAAAAAAGAAGGTTGTAAAAAGTAAAAATCTCAAAGTTCAGCTTAATAATTCTCACTTCAAAAGAGTAATCTTTTCTATAAGAAAACATTTTATTGCTTTGCTTGGCCAAATGTCTGATTTTTGTTTAAACTTTTATTCAGGGTAGATATCCAAAGAAATCAGCTTTTGGTAGGCTTCCAGGCCCGGGAACCACCAAAACAGGTTATATTTCTACTTCTTATTTTATCTTGCAGACCCCCCATTTTTCGGGAACCTTGAAAGCATGATCTTTCTCATGTAAAATTGTCAATTTAGATATGGGGTTTAGGCTAGAATTAAGTCACTGTAGAAATGCAACTACATTTGGAGACTTTGGTCTTTCTTTGAATGCTCTGGGGTGAGAACTTCTTACTATTAGAATTCATAGAAGTAGAAATCTTTGTTTGGTAACACTTAAATTTTTGTGTGTACTTTTAGCTTATTCTTTGCCTTGTTTATGGAAATTGAGGCTCGAGCCTTGAGCTCATTTGATTTGGCTTTAACTTATAATATTTCCAAATGCTGAGGTTCTTGTATATTGGAATAGAATCCTGGAATTTCAACCAGTGATTAACTATTAATGAGGTAGAAATTTTTTCAGACTAGAAACTAAAGTCCAGTTTTCAACAATCATTAATTTACACTCACTGTCACATCATCATTAGCCCAAAATGCATACCACATTATTACAAGCTGCTTTGCCAAGAAAATTTCACAATAGTGATTAAAGAATATAAAGATTAATATAGGAAGGTGAAAATGAAACCAAAATCCATAAGATAAATGAGAATGTTTACAAGTGATTAAATGCCATTATTAGAAGTCATAGTAGAAAATGTGTCACTGGCTTTACCTTTTACCTTTTTGGCTGCAAGAATAATTGTGTGAAGAACAAATTAAAAATAGGTAAAACCCAAAGATTAACATTGTGAATCGATTTTTGACTGTTGTTTACGTTGTGCATACCATATTTGGTTATATGTTGGTTGTTTGTTTTAGTCATTCCCTTGCTAGTGTGTGCTTCCATAACCTGATATTTCAAATTTCTACTTGCAGAATCCTATTTTCTGGCCCCCTGCTGCTTAAATAAAGGCATATGTTCTGTCAGTGGTCAACATTATCTGACTACCCTGTCAAAGCATTTTGATGAAATTGTTTCATGTAGTATGAATGTAAGTTCTTGTACTCATATGGTTATAATGGTTATTGGGTAGGACCAGATGTTGATGATGGTTGGGGATTTGTAGAAGCTTCTATCAATCAGAGTTGTTGATTCTTTTCAAAATTGCATGAATGATTTTTGCATGCTCTTCTTGCTAGTTGGAATTTTAAAGGTCAAATATGTAAGGTGTCCGTTATTAGTAGATGACTCTGGTGATTCCAAATTGTTCTTTAAGGAACTGTATGCCTTGGAAGAAATTGTTAGTGCAAATGTTTATGACATGCTTGACACATGGTTTTGTTTTTCAACTGCCTCCCTATGCCAATAGTCATTTAATGTAAGGAACATTGTTGTGGAAGGGATGGATTCATGCATGATTTATGAAACCAAAAAAAACAAAGTAATGTGTTCTCTTCTGTGGAGTTTCCTTCTCTTCTCAGTTCAATTCGATTTCCTTCTCTGGAGTTTCATAACAAAGGGTGTTCTATGAAGCCTAAAAGGAATTGGGTTGCAGAAAGGCGTAGGATTGAATAAGTAAAAAATTGGTTACGAACATTTTCCTGTTTTCAGCTGAGTCACATGGAACTTAGGCCGCTTAGCCCCAAGTATCATTAGTATGAGATGGTGGCCCGGTGGTCTACTAACCTTATCGCCAATAATATATTTGCCAACATGATCCTGGGTTTCTAAAAGAGAAGTGAGCACAGACTCCTGTCTTTTTAGTTTAGCCAGCACTCAGCTTGACCCAATCTTCAGTTAATAGTTTTGGGTTGTCTGGTTCAATAGTTTGCTTTGGTTGGGCCACCTTTCTTTTGTACAATGGTTTAGGTCGGTGGGCCAGCATCACTCAGGGTTTGGATACCGTGTTGGCCTAATGGCCTTCATAGGTCTTAGCTTATGCATATTTGCTTATAAATAAGGAAAATTAATTAAATTATCACCAAACAAAATCAGATAATCATAATTTTTATCTGACATCAAAACAAAGCATAAAACTATAGTTAATAGGAAATAAGAAAGAAAATCTATTCTAATATGTAACATTAATATTTCAAAAAAAAGAAAAGAAGTATTCATTGTTCAACACAATGAATGAGATATTGTGATACAACTTGTATACTTAGAAAAGGGTGATCATTACTACTTGTATACTTCTTATATATTAAGATTTAGAATTGCAAAATCTAGATGTCTATTTGCTTAGACGATCATTTTGAGTAAATTACAATATTAACTAATTTTTTTAATGGTGGTAGAATATTTGGTCATATAAAAGACATTTATCTTCATAGTCTTTAAGTTACCAAGCAATACTTCTTTCAGGAATCATTACTTATTAGTTAAGGTAGCAACTAGTTATTATTCAACAAGAATGTCATTGAGGGTAAAAAAAAGATTCAAACTGTTCTTTGTCTTAACCAAGATAGAAGCAAGGTAAATAACTGCTTGGCCTTAGTTTTTAACTGTAAGTTACACATTGTTTTTTGTTGATTCAAATGCTTTAGTAGATATTTGGGGGGAGATGAAAGTTATATCTATAAAATTCAAAGTAAAAAAGTTTCAAAATATTGAGATGAAGAAATTGGTTTCCTAGTACCCTAGAAATGCCCAGGTTGTGAATGGAGCAAATCAATATTGATGCATGCACATTCTCAAACCATTCTTAGATCATTACATGCGTCAACTTTGTTCTGGACCATCAGCATTTCTAGTTGATCACAAATTATTTCAACTTTTAAGAAGATCATGCATCTCTTGATAAGTGTCTTAAGGCACATTGCAATTAGCAACAGTGTTGCCCTGCTTAATTATGCTTAGTTGCTGAACCTCACGTGGACAATTTATGATCTTCTTGCCTTCTGTCCTGGAAAATGGGCGCAGCAAACACAATTACAAATGCCAGAGTGCTTTAATTTATGACATTCACCATTGCCAACGTTCTGGTCGGCGCTCGCTGACAAGAGATGCAGGTTCAGGTTATGAAGCTCAATACCGCTATTCCATGGTCGGAGCCAGTGGCGGCAACATTTATCATTCTATCAAGAAAACGTCACATAATACTTCATTGATGACATATTTGGTTCAAGAGTTTTGAGGTTTTCAAAATCATCCTGTCAAGAATACCACTGCAGATTGGTACATTAGTATAGTTAGACTCAAAATTTTGAGGCTTTCAAAGTCACTATATCAAGAAACCATTACACACAATGCTGCAATGGTTATGGTTGGTGTAAAAACTTTGATGTTTAATCAGCTTTTGTCTCTTGTACTTATGCCTCATTTATGTATTATTCTTAATTTCTCTTTTGAAGGGGAAACATTTTGAGTTGGAATTTTGGTCACCTCATTATTCTGTTGGATGGAAAAAGAGGGAAACATACCATAGTTGAGAAGTGGTCCCCCAGAGCTTATAGATGCCCTAGGTTTGATGCCATACTCTTTACAGATATTCTTGTTTAATTTATTAATTAGGGTTTCAGCAATCATCTTTAATGGGAAGATAGCTTGAACCATTGCAAATATAGTAAAAACCAAGCATGCCTGAACATTTAAATTGCATTTTCACGATTACTCATGTAATGTGAAGCAACAGTTACAGTGGTCCCCGTTTCTAGGGTTTAGGAAACCCTTAACCTAGTATTGTTTAGCCTAGTTTGACTATTCTTTTGCTGGAAATTTATGTGGAACATGGTAAAAGAGTGCTGCTAACACAGAGATCCAGAAAGGGTACTTCCAGTGTTTCAAGTCAGGTTATTATACTGAATTTTTTTTTTTGAAAAGTTTAGAAGCGAAAGGAAATAGGAATAAGTGGTAGGGCTGGTTGGTTTTACTAAGAGGGGAAAGTACCAGGGAAATGATGTCAAACATGAACTGTGACTTGCACCTTTCTTTTCTGTGTTTGAGTGATGAGAGAGCGCTAGAGGGGGACTTTGGAAGCTGCAGTCGTGGTTGTGCTCAAAAGTTTATTTGGTTTCATTCTCTTGCTTTTCTTTTGGATATCTTTTATTTCTTTCTTTTCTCCTTTTCTTTGTTTTCCTTTCTTTCTTGTTCCCTCTTTCTAAGGGATAAGAAAGGGTATACAGGGTATATAGGATACAGAATGAAATATATATTTGACCCTGAACTAATTAAAGAACTGATCATACTACTATATATGTTTTGAGTTTGATTGTTGAGCCTTTTGGTGAAGATCAATGCTTGATGTTTAGCCATATTCCCACCTGAAGAGCCTTGGATAGGTTTGTGAAGTATATGAGTAACCATACAGCTGAATACAAGTGTAAAATGGTATCATATAAATCAGTATCAACAGTTATCTTTCAAATGGTACTTTAATAGGAAACCCTAAACCTGAGTGGAAACTGCTACAGAAATGGTAATTAGAAAATACTCATGATCACATAATCTAAATCAATCATGTGATGCATCATTCAAAACACGACAGAAGTAGGAAAGTCAGTATTCTTAGTAGAGTTGAACGGGTTCTACAATTTGAAAGAAATAAAAATAATCCGATAAATATTGTTCTACTCATGATAAGAACATAAGACCATACATACATATATATATATATATATGTATTTATATATAGAGATGTTAATTACGTTGTTAACCTGCTTCTCAACTTCTCATCATCATGTGTCTGACTTGGTCCAAAATTGTTCCTTCGGGAAACTCTAAAAAGAGATAAGATTCCAAGCAATTGAAAGAAATCTTTCTTAGTATCTGTCCATATATCTAATATTGTAGCATGTAACATGTTTATGTACAATTAATCCATTAATGACTTATAGTATTCAGCAGTCTTCTTTAAGCACTCAGCTCAAACTTTAATTGCATCAAACTTAAGTTCAGAAAAATACCATCAAACTCCTCTGAAGTATCATTTCTAGCTAGATAAATATTAATGGACAAGGAAAATACTGATAAATATATATATATATATATATATATATCATTCATTTCAAAACGAACTCTACAGAAGTTTCCTTCTTCGGTAAAATGTGGGGAACAAGAGAGAGAATGGGGAGGAAGGAAAGAGCAAAAAGGAGAAAAAAAAAATTTGGTGACCAAAAGAAAGTCACCTGAGTGTATGGTAACAACTCAGTTTCCCACAATCAAAGCTAGAGAGATCGAAATCTTTTACAATTGATTACAGCCAGTCCTTGATCTTTGATTTACCATAGCTCAATTATTATGGCAAATCTGCACCAAAGACTAGACAATAACACTATATAGATATGTTCAAGACTTGTCTCCCTTTTTGACACTAAACTCTAGTACTGGAGTTGGAGCTTCATCAGTTTGTTGAGGTGGATGGCCACGTTTATCCTCAGATGATTCTTCATCTTTGTCTTGAGGGCAGGTTGCTTTGTTTTGGATAGCTTTCTCTCTTTCAGCCTCCCTGTATTTATGTAAATACCTTACTATTGCGTCAGCATAGTTGTCAAACCCTAGAGCAGTTAAAGCCCAACACATGTCATCTCCGTTCATGGTCTTGCGGTTCTCTTTGTGACATTTGTCAGATGCCTCGCCAGTGACAAAGCTTATAAACTCTGTTGCACATTCTTGCATCGTTTGTTTAGCCTCTTTTGAAATCTTGGCACCTGGTGGCAGTATTTGTTTCATAATCCGCCCCACGTTGGCAATTGGCAGCAACCGATCCTGTTCACCAGCCATTTTTGGAACTGATTAGATGATGAACTCGATGTTCTCAAGCTTAGACACGTAGCTTCTTTCTAATCCACAAGCTATCTTATATTATATAAGCGTATCGAACTCTGTGTATATGTATATGTGTGTGTATAAATATAATGAGATACAAAAGATCATTTTGATGACATACGAATTTCATAAATAACCATATTTGATACATCCATTAGATTATTTTCAAATAGTTAATCGAGATTTCAAAACACGAGTCACTTTTGTAATCTTAAATGTCTCAATTTTGATGTTAAATTTTCTAAACTTTATTTTTTTAAGACATCAATGGATATATCAGCATATACTTGTAATCTATATATCCTAATTTTGAGAGAGTTTAAGTTTGACAAGTGCCTAATACTGTTTAACCTGAGAATTTGGGTGGAAAATTTATAGACTATTTAAATTTGAACTATTGTTCTTCAATATATCAATCTGGATTGTGCAACTAAAGTTCCAAAAGTTTAAGCTATTTGAGCTATACTGACCAAGCAAATTAAGTTGAAGTGAAAGTGATAGAGATGGCTTTTTCTATATAGAATCTTGCTATATATGTCAACAGATTTGCAGGTTCTCCAACAAAAACAAACCTCAAACCCTAAAAAGACTTAACTATGGTCCCCCCTCCCCCACTATCACCATAAATTTCTTCAACTCCACCCAGATAATCTGGGTTTAATTATTTTTGTGATCTCTAAATATACTAATCTTTAGCTTAAAATATTCTTCATCCTATTCAAAACAAGTGGAGGACATTTGCGCACGTACGCTCCTTTGCATGTTTTAGTGTTTGATTACCTCATATTATAGGTTAAATTTAGGTTTTGTCACTTTGTTTGGCTGCAAAGAATTCAATTTTGTTAGGTTTGGTCAACTCAAGATATTAACCTTGAAGTTAACATGAGGCCATACTCCATTTAGAGTTCCATTTAGGCATATATTTGCATTTATAAAAGGCTATGTGATGTGGGAATTCTTCTTGGGGGTATACAATCTATAGCATCAAGCTTGTTGTTGCAGCTATGGCCAGCTGCACTAGCTGATGCAAATAATTTCACTACTGTCTGCTATCTTAAAATTAATGGTTTTTTTGCTGCATCATTTGCCGCTTTTAATAATTGATAAACTGCACATTGATATGGTAGATTTTTTGGTCTATCCTATGAATTTCTTACCAGAGTTTTCTAGAGTTTGAGATGGAGGAATTATTCAACACATGATCGTATGCTGAAGGACAAATTTTCAACATGGGGAACAAATCAAAATGCAATGGAAAGTATTATTTATCTAATATATATATATATATATATATATATATATATATAGCTAACATGGATGTTCAATAATTTTCACCATAAGTCACTTATGCCTTAACCTTACCAAAAGTTGGGGTCTGCCCAAAAAAAAAGCATTTTCCGTTAATTAGAGTTTGATTTTGAATGTGTTATCCTTCCATACCTTTTAACCTTTACCACTCAAGAAAAGACACCATTTTACATTAAGATTATCCTTGTTCCTTTATGCTACAAGAAGAGAATACTACGACTACTCAAACTTGAAAGCTCTAACATCTTCCAGCCACCTGATCAGATAAATTGGATGGCACATCAACTTTGTTCAGGAAGCATAACATAAAATATTGTATGCAAACGAGTCATGAAATTAATTTTGATTCTAAGATTAAAAAAAAATGCAACAGTTACATTAACATAAGTATATCCCTCCTATATATATATATATTATACATAAAAATATATATATTATTGTAAGCATCTTTAGTTGTAATATATTTATATATATATATATATATATATTACAACTAAAGATGCCTACAATAATACAAAGGTAAAGCTGTACAAACATTCTCTCAGACACTTGCATCAAGGTTTTCAAAATGGTACTTCCATCCATGAGGGATTAAATAAAAGGGCATGGGCACTAACTACGTATCTATGTAGTACATATGGAACCTGTAAAAATCCTAGATGGTTGGAACTTTTTTGAGGTCTTTAACTTAGAAGAAGAATAATAGATTTTCATTGTTTGCTTCTTTTTAATTAGGCAATAGCCTAACTTTGGTATGATTCCTTTCATTGTTTCCGTAAATCACTCAAGGTGGAACCTGATTTTATCAAGTTTTTGGTGTGAAAATAACCTGTTTAAAGAAGTGTGTAACTTTCTAGAGCAAAGGTTATAGCCTTTGGATAGCTCAGAATTTGATGCTTTTCCTATTGTTAGAGTAGGTTTTTGTGTTCCGACTGATTTAACTGACCAAAGGTCAATATTTCTGGCTTTATATCATAATCACTACTCATCAGTGCAAGTTTAGCTTTTGGTTAATTTACATGTGCAGAAAATTTTGGCTGTAGGAAATTTTCTGTTGATTTATGGGCCATTTTCCCTGAGTACAGCCATCAGACGGGAGCCCTCATTGTTCATGTCTCATTGGTTAAGCAATCTTTCATCTGTGCTGTGGCTGTTCTTTTTGTGACGAAGTGAGTGGGTACTGTTGAGGCCCTTGAGGGTAATTGGCAAGAATGAGAAAATCTATGGCCGAAACCTAAGACCCAGTGCTTTCCTTGAGGCCCATGCCTGGCATTCATCTTCTTAATTTTACAGGCTTAAAATCAAGATTTTTCAAAAAAGTAATGGCCAATCAACCAACCCAAAATAAAAATAGGATGGGTCAAGTACTGCCCTGTACCCAAGGTTAGCCACAACCTCAAAGATGAAAGATCCAAGGTGTTTGTTGGGTGCTTTAGAAACTAAAGGCTATTCCTAGAGAGTAGAGACCAAGGTCAAGGCTGACTCAGTGACCCATTTGGCAATTGTTCATATGTAGTTTTGTACCCTAATTCATGGGCCTTTTGTCCTTCTTTTAGTTACTGAGTTAATGTAGGATTAAGGCCCTTCTCTCAAGAATGAGAGAACCCCAAGTCTATATTCCTGTCCTTGAAGTCCATTTTTGTAATTTTATTTTAAAAAATCATAATTTAAAAGTAAAATTTTTTAATAATATTAAGATTTAAATATTTAATTTATCAGATTTTTAAATAATTTCATGAATTAACTGAATTAAAATTTATTTATAATTTTCTTTTGAGTAATATTAAGAACAAATTTATAAAAGGTCATATAGAGTGAATGGTCCTTATGGCACTTTCAATTATACCCAAAATCTTTTATCACAATTTCATAAAAATACAATAGATAAAAAATTATTTTAACCTATTTTTATTTGACAAAGGTTACCCTTTTTTTTTATACAGTTATATAACAAAAGACATATTAATATGAAGATTTTAATACCTATATTTATAATTTAAATCTCAATAACAAATTAAAACTTTATAAACTAATAAAATGATCACTAACAAATAATCTTCTCTCATATACTATATATTTTTTAATTTCTCAAAAATAAATGCTTTGTAAAGGCAAACGTCATTGTTCTGACCTTCCTACACACTATACATACGCTTCGGTTTCTTCTCTTCTACACATGTAAACAAGGCCAATCTCTCTTCAAGGTACTATCTCCAACTCCTCAATCTCTTTTGTTTTTGGAGAGTTTAGTTGCAAAACTGAAAGACCAACCACTTGGGTTTTGTTTTGTTTTTATTTTGGTTTTCTTGTTTATATTTGTTCTTCTTTTTTTGTATGTTTCAATTTGAGAGATGTGGATTTTTGTTATTATTAAAAATAGCTATGAATCAATGCATAACATAACAACCCATCTGCCCAGGTTCCTTCTTTCACGTTTACTTTTAACGTTTCAAAGCTTTTCTTCTTCCCTGGAGAAGGTTAAGTCTTTTCTTGTTTACTCTTCTTTCTACACTCGTGTTTATTTTAAAATGCCGTTTCTTTTTGCATTGTTCTTCTTCTTTGTTCCTTTAGCTATGTCTTTTAACAACAAGTTAATCTTATTATAGATAGGATCACATCAGAATTTTACTTGTAATCATTGGGTTACTTCTACTTACTTTCGATGTTATCGTTTTGACTGTGATTTTTGTGTTAGTTTAGATTTTCATTTTACCATGTGAATGTATTCTTTTGTATCACTTGGTTGGTGTCTTTGAATTGTCTGTCATTTTGTTTTGTATGTTTTCCAGTTTCGGATTTGGACTTTAGAATCGTTTTAATCTACTTTGAATGGTAACTTGTTTCTTTTGTATGAAAAGAGAAACTGGGCTTGGTGATCCTGTTATCAGCTGCTGTTCTTTAATGCTATATGCATTTGTATGTGCTTCTTTAAAGTGGGTTTCTTTAGGTTTCTGTTTATGTTTAACAGTATATGTGCAATTTGTCGGGCAATCAGTTAATGTAGTTCGTAAGCAATATATGAATGGAGGAAGAGACTGGGATTTCTCTTTCTGGAAAAGATAATTGATGGGGTTTTAATTAACAGTTTCTCCAGGTGTCATCTGCTGCTCTGCTCTTTGAACATGATGTTTGGGGTAATAGATTGAGAATTTCATCCAACTGGCCTGTATAACTAAATTGCCATTTAGGTTTTCAGTTTTAGAAGTTTCTTTTTTATTAAAAAAAGCATGTTTCTATTTTCCCCCAAGTTTGAATCTTTATGCTGCTTGAATCCCTAAGGATCTCTGTTTTCTTTGTTGGCTTTCGATTGCTTTAGTATTTCATCTGGGAGTGAAAAATGATTCATTACTATGCATCCCTTTGTTTGAACTATTTCTCAAATATTGTGCCTCTGTTGGCACTTTTAAATAGCCATCCTTTAATGCTTTGATCAAATTCACTAAATTTGACCTTCTTCAAGAGATGTTCTTTCATTTCTAAACCTGAGTACTGAACTAAGTTGTGTCTCATGTTTTAGACTTTAAAGTTCTTAGTGGTTTTTAATGAGTATGAGTTTTGGTGATCTGTACTTGAGCACATATTATGTTTCTGGATGATTTGTGCTTGTACGTCATATCTTTAGCTGTTCGCTATTGAGTTTATTGCATTCTTATTTCCTAACTCATATTCTTTTCACAGATGGAAACAGTTCAATTGGATCCTAATTGCAACCTCACTGAAGAAACATCTCCCAAGCAGTTGGTTCCTCCAGATTCTCCTGATATAAGTGATATATTTGGTGATCCACAATTAAGTCCTAGAGTTGGTGACAAATACCAGGTGGAAATTCCTCTCATGATAACAGGATCTGAGCATCTTCGGCTTTTGATGGACCCTTTTGACTCAGAACCCATTCCTTTCTATTAAGCTTACCTGTCCCTGTCATGTGGACACATGAACAAGATATTGATTTTGAGGATGAAGGAAACAGAGGTACAAGTAAACCTGATGATGGAACTAAGGTGGATGAGACTGTCAAATCTAGAAAGTGCAGAAAGGGCCACAATTTTAAGAGGAAGACAAATTCAGAACTGAGTGCTGAACAGTCAGATGCTAGGTTGGTCAATGAAAAAGAATCGAGTGCAGAGAAACTTGAATGTGGAATGACAAGTAAAACCAACTTATTTCGACCTTGTGAAGGTAAAAGCTCTCATTCAATTCCTGGTTCATCAAGTGATTCCTGGAGCAATACTGATGTGGATGGTTTTCCTCTTGGTTTATATATATTTGGGAAGGATTTTGGGCAGATAAAATGATTCATTGGAAACACAGAGATGGGGGATATATTGTCATTTTACTATGGGACATTTTATAGGTCTGACAGATATCGTAGATGATCAGATGGCCAAAAGAGAAGAAGTCGAAAAAGAATACATGGACGGAAAATCTTTACTGCCTGGATGCAACAAGAATTATTATCTCGTTTGCTTGCCCATGTCCCAGATGAATTACAAAATAATTTTCTGAAGGTAAACCTGATATATGCTCAGATTATATTTAGAAGAAGCTCACATGTTTTTATTTATTTCTCACATGGATTCAACTAAGTGTTTGTTGGCAGCATGTTGAAGAAGAAAGTGCCACCTTAATATATCCTAGTTGGTGCTACATGTGCTTTGCTGTTTATTGATGTAGGACATCAGTTTTTTGAAGCTAACTTGTCAATATGTTTTACTAGGAATATAACATCCGTTCCTTCAGGACTAACCTCAAAGGCTAAGCAAATCTGCATATGTTCCACTCCACTGTGGATTCTAGAAAACATTTTCAAAAGTATTATCACTCTTTAAGTCCTTTGAATATGAATTAGGAGGATTCCATGGTTTCCATGCATGAATGCCGGTTTTTTCATTGTAATATGTCCATGGCTGTTTTTCAAAATAGTTTGTTACTGCTTTTCCTCAGCTGGTAGTTATGAAAACAAAAATGCTTATAAGTTTGCTTGAGAATTTTCTTGCATGGTCCTTCTATTGACTTCAATAAATAATCATAAGGCTATGAACATTAGTATAATCTTCTAGTTAGTAACTGAATTATTTTGACCACGATTGTAAACTAAGGTTGTACAGTCATTACTCTCAGATGTTTTTCGCGCACTTGTTAGAACTTATGTGTCCTTCATGCCTCTAATTTATCATTTATTAGCAGGTCTCTAAGTCATTTTTGGAGGGGAGAACTTCACTTGAAAGTTATGTCTGCCATTTGAAGACTAGTGTCGGCATATATGCACTTGTAGAAGCTGTAGGTATCGGTAAGGGGAAGGCAGATCTTACAGGCCTGGCCATGGAGCCTCCAAGGACCACTCAAGTTTCCCCTGAAATACCATCTTTGAAGGTTTGCTTATCTTTTACATCTGGTGACATCATCAGATCTTTAACTGGAGACTTTTGATTGAGCAAAGCACGATGTAATGATATTTTTTGGGAAGCCGTTTGGCCACGTCTGCTTGCAAGAGGGTGGCACTCTGAGCAACCTAAGAATCAGTGCTCTGTCAGTTCCAAACATTACCTAGTTTTTCTTTTGCCTGGAGTGAAGAAGTTCTCAAGAAGAAAACTTGTTAAAGGAAGCCACTACTTTGATTCAGTTAGTGATGTTTTGAGCAAAGTTGCACCTGAACCAACACTTATTGAGCTTGATTCTGAAGGAAATGGTATCAGGAGCTGTAATAAGGAAAATGGGTGCATTCCAGGAAAGTCATCAGATCAGGACGATCCTCCCAATCATAAGCCTCGTTATCTCAAGCCCCAAGTCTCTATTTTCACTTCAAACCATATGAAGTTCACAGTAGTTGATTCCAGTTTGGTTCATGGAGGAAAAGCATCCAAGATGAGAGAACTGAGATATTCACCAATTGATTTGATGATTACTTCCAAACCAATGCGTAAGGATACTAGAGATTCATGGCGGGTAAATGCTAATCATATGCTGTCAAAAAGTGACAAGTGTGTTACTAACGCACAGCATTGTGAGGGCATAACCAATAGCTCTACCGCACACCACATCAAATTTACCATTGTGGATACCAGTTTGCTCCTCGGAGGCAAATCATCCCGGGTGAGAGCACTCAGATATTTACCTGTTAAGTTTGAAATTTCTTCTAAAATTAATAATTGTTCAGGAGGAAATGAAGATAATTCAAGTGATGATTCTTTGGATGAGCATGAGCAAAGAATTGCTGACAGACTATCAAGTGATGGTTCAGTTGCCACTGATACAAAACCTAGTAGTGAGCTAGTTATTGCCGATAATTTTTTGAAAGGTAAGGGTAAATATGATAATGACAGTTCAAATCAAAATACAAGGAATTCATGTATTGCAGACCATAGTTTGTTGATTCAACAGGATGAGAAGACCAATACATCTGAAGATTCCAGGTCAAAGAGGATAATAAAGCACCATTTCAGTCGAAGAGCTAAATCTAATCATTCTGTTAGTTTAGTTCCTCTGGCAAAACGGAAGAAATTAACTGCTTGTGTTACAACAGAGGCAAGTCCCGTTACTGAGAATTTCACTGCTCTGTCAATTAATTTAGCTTCTCCTATGAAACGACAAAGATTAACTGTTTGTGCTAAGACAAAGAGAAGTCATCTTATTGAGAATATCTCTAGTAATCCAATTAATTCAGTTTCTCCTATGAAGAGCCAGAGATTAAATGCTTGTACTAAGACAGAGGAAAGTTACCTTACTGATAAGTTTTCCGCTGATCTTAGTGAACAAACAAGGCTATGCTGTGCCTTAAAATCTCAAGATGAACCCAGCAATGATGTTCTCCATGTGAGTCATTTTCAAGAGAAAGTATCATCTATTAGTTCTTCACCAGAAAGCAATCCAGAATCCATGGAGACTCCTCAAGGGAGTAGTGAGAAGCTTCCATCCCTGTCATCAATTGGCTCAAACCCACCCCCGCTTCCACTGGACACTCGGAATGGTGAACCAGGAATGGTGGAAGCTGATGGCAGCCAGTTCATCATTGTGAATAATTATGATGATTTGTTGAGAACCACTACTAATGTTTGTGCTGAAGAGCAGCACCTATAATGAACCTTCGGAGGCAAAGCAAAAGAAGTAGACCACTGACCACTAGAGTGTTGGAAGCTCTTGAGAGTAGTTTTTTCAACATGAAGAGGACGCAAAAAGTTAGAGATGTGCAAGCACAAGCAATCCAATTTTCAAGTCCTTCCCGAAAGGTAGAGTCAAAGCAACATCACAGCATGGGAATACTAGCAGTAAAACTGTGGATGAGAAGGAAGGAAAAAGCACAGATGATGCATTTATTTCTTACAAAGATATTATGAACAATCCTCCTCAAGTGGCTTACTAGCTGTTTGCGATCTTCAGGGCTGGTCAACATCGTGAAGATCTTATCAAGGACAACTGATGTATCCATTTGTTGATATCTTGCCTGGTCCAATATTTTCTGATGGAAGCCTCAAACATCCATGGTAGGGAGGAATTTGCTTCAATTTTTTTCTTTGCCGATAGTATAGACCGGCATTCTACACATAGGAGGGCTTTAGCAGTGATTCATTTGCCTTTATTCTTCTATTTGTCTTCCCTTCAGAAAAAATGAAACATCAGTTTTTGGTTTGTTAGGATTAGAAGCCATTTCAGGATTGGCAATTGCTTCAGTAAACAGATAACGGTCAGTTAGGAGGTACTTCCCTGTACAAAGCATGCACAAGTCTTCGAAGTAGGAGAATAATTTATGAAAGTTTTGTTCATTTTTATCTCCTGCACTGCTCATTTACATAATAGAAGGTTCCTTTAACAACTTGTCAATGTGGCCGTTAATGATATTTTTGTCCTCCTTCGCTGATGAATTATGATAGCTGCTTCAGGGTTCATGTTTAATCAAACTTCTGGTTTGTTCAGTTTATGATGTTCCTGCAACCAATATTAGCACTGGTCAATATGGTTTCCTGCATGTTTGCTAAGGGTTTTATTTCTTTGTGGTTATTCAAAGCTTCTTGGTTTTTTTATTTCTTGGGCTCTACAAAAGCTTTCTGCTTTACAGCTCATCCAATGAATTTGCATGTTGGACTTGCACTTTTAAAACTTTCAACTGTTCTTCAATGAAAAATCTTTTGATCATTGTGTTTTTCTTTAGATTTATTTAACTAGAAAGATGTCATTTTATGTTATCTAATCTCCATAGATTTAGAACATTATTGCAAGACAAAAGCAACAAACGAGTTAGATCTATGCCGTTAACATGCAATTAACATAAATATTTTAGAACTGATGATGATGATGATCAGCATTTGCTTATTGTCCAAATGTTTGTATTGTCCCAAGAATTTTTTTTATAAAAATGATAAAAATTATTATATACGTGGTATATTAGGTATTTTTTTTCTTTTATTTTATGAAAAAAAATGAATTTTCACATTCATTTAGACACGTTGACAATTAATTAATTATTTTGTTTTATAATTTTCCCCTTTTTTTTTTTTAAAAGGGCAAAAACTATTTTTTTTTTTTAAATGACAAGACCGAAGAGTTAGATCCAAACTTCCAAACCCAACAGGCCAACAGCCAAACCGCCCATTTACAACTACTTTATTTTTTCTTTTAATTTTTTAAGGTTTCGTCACTAAGAAAAAGACTTATCTTTATCGTTCTAAAAAATATTTCTCGAGTCTTAAACTTCACAGTTGACACAAGTCTGATACGGATACAAATCTCAGATCAAAATCTAAAACTGAGAGACAAACAAAGAGGAAAAGATAAAGAAGTGAAGAAAAAATGGCGACGACAGCGAGGGTAAGCTCTGGCCTGGCGTACCCGGAACGATTCTACGCGGCAGCTTCTTACGTTGGCTTCGACGGATCTCCCAATTCCAACAACAAAGACATCGGCTCCAGGTTCTCCAACGACGTCGCTTTGATCCTCTACGCCTTATACCAGCAGGTGATTTCAGCCTTCTCCAATGCGATATCGATTTGTTTTTACTTTTATTGCATTTCCAGCAATATTACGTCTATCTGATTTGAGCAAAGGATTTCGTATATTAAATTGCTTTTGTATGTGATCTGTATTTTTTTTTTGGAGCATTTTAAGTGTAATTTTGGTAGATCTGGTTTTACACTCTGAATTGTAGACAATTCGAATGTTGATTTCTCGAACAATCGAATGAGCGTTTATTAATTATTTGAAATAGGAAGCTCATGTTTTGTAACGTTACTGATTTTCCGCATTATTATGTGATTTACAGGCTACCGTAGGTCCTTGTAATGTTCCGAAACCGAGTTCATGGAGTCCTGTCGAACAAGGCAAATGGAAAAGGTCTTCAAGCACATTTGCTGCTGTGTCTAATTTTAATTTCTGGTGCTTCTTGTTGTTGTATACAATGGGATAATTTCATATAAATGTTTATGTTTACACTTGGCAATTTTAGTCTGGTATGGTTATGCTTAGGGTGGTAGTGTTTTGATCCATTTGCTTAAAAGTGGTGTTGATGATAGTAATGTTGATTTCGAGATATGTGAATTGATAGGTCACTCGCATATGAGTGTCTATTACATATGTGGGTTGGATTTTTTTAGTTGTTTCAATAATTGGTGACATTGCGGTACGGTTCTGTATAATTTATATTGCTCAAGTTCTAGTTGAAAAAGAATGGAGAAGTACTTCTGTGTTGGTTTATAATTATCTGATTTAGATTGGTCCAATTTTCTATCTGCCATATTAGCATGCTTTTTATGTATGTGTAACACAAGGATTTAGATGGTTGAAGCTATTTATTATATGTCAGATGGATTTTGTCCATAATATTTTCCTTATTATTCTTCTTCTTGATAATATTTTCCTTATTGATAACCTTTTATTATTTATTATTTATACAGCTGGCAGCAGCTTGGAAACATGGTTTCTACAGAAGCTATGCGTCTCTTTGTGAAAATATTGGAGGTATAGGCCAATAAGGTTTTCTGGATGTTTTGTATGTATATGAATCAAGTTAGTTTGATATAATTATTTTCTATTTTATTTCTTGTTTTTTGACTTCTTGTTCAGGAAGAAGAACCGGGATGGTATTCAAGGGCATCTAACTCTGTTTTGGAGCCTGTTATAGATGTACAAATGAATGTGAGTAAGCTGTTATTTTCACAGTTTTGGTTGTTTGATTTTACCATCTCCCATGGTCTGTTCTTTTCACAGCTTTTGGTTGGGTGACTTTACCATTTCAAGGACATTTACTTTGTTTCAGTGCTTGTTCTCAACTTTTGAAGTTGGCTTCCGCATAATTTTTCTTTTGTACTTAAAATTTGAATGCGAAGCCAAGTTGCTTAATGGAAGTTGCTTGTTTTTGATAGGCTTGTTGTTCTCTGTACTCACTTTTACCTTTCAACTTTTTTTATGTTCATAGCATAATTCAAATGTTGAGCCTATCATTGAGAATGGAAATTATTTTGTTGAGACAAAGACAATTTCTGCTGAAAATGGAAGCCTGATGGAAACTCAAGATAAAGATGTTGTATTGGAAGGCCTTGGTTCAGTTGTCGTATATGATCAATGGATTTCACCTCCAATAACCGGCCAATGTCCCAAAGCCCGATACGAGGTATTGGCATCTCTATCATTTAAAAACCAGTCCTTTATTCTTCTTCTTCTTCCTTTTGCCTTTTTCCTCATCTAAAGAATGTTTACTCTTATTTGTCAGCATGGAGCAGCAGTTGTTCAGGACAAGATGTATATATATGGTGGAAACCACAATGGCCGTTACCTGAGTGACCTTCATGTAAGCAAATCATTTACCTTAACATGCAATACACATGCTTTATGCCATGAGATTTTGTGTAATATTCTAATACAAGTCAGTTTACTCTATGGTTTTGGACCTGGAATGAAATATTAATAGATTTTAATTCTCACTTTCCGGGCCATTGCTGGAAATTTCTAATCTAATTCTGTAGTCTTGAATCTTGATAAGCTTTGGATTCTTGTTTGTATACTCGTGTATCAGTCTAACAACACATGATAGCTTTCCCCCTAATGTGAGGATTGATACAGGTTCTAGATTTGAGATGTTGGACTTGGTTAAACGTTGAAGCTACGATTGGATCCAATTCAGTGGAATCACCATCTCCATTAAATATAGCCCCATGTGCTGGTCATTCATTGGTTAGTAGAGAACTGGGTTTCTTTTATTTTCCTTCTACTTCTCAAAAGCAAAGTTCTCTAATGAAAAAATGCACATTTCTTTAGAATCTGTTTGCTGAAATTCTTGTATTTGTGCTGATTGTCTCTCTGCTGTTATATCATTTAACTCTCTCTATCTCTCTCTCTCTCTCTCTCTCTCTCTCTCCCTTCTATTTTTTCCCCATAGATACCTTGGGAGAACAAGCTTCTTTCAATTGCTGGCCATACAAAGGATCCTTCTGAAACTATCCAGGGTGCTGGTTTCTGCCCCTTACAACAATTTATAAATAAAAAATTGAGGATTCTATTGTTCTTCTCCTTTGTCTCGATGTATTATTCTATTGTTTTGTGTTCATATGACAGTGAAGGCGTTTGATCTGCAAACTTGTACGTGGTCAATGTTGAAGACTTATGGCAAGGCACCGGTATTTATCTGTTCTTCCTCATAACTGCCTCTCTTTCCCCTATATTAACTAAAAAATTTCAGCTTTAGATTTAGAAATTTCAGTGGATTCATGGTGTATTGTGTTCTTGACGAAGAATTAGACCAGCCTTTGGTTTTTTAATTACTCTGAAATATTGGCCATTGGTGGGATTAACCTTTCTTTCTCAATTGAATATGGTATTTAAGAAACCGAAAGCTGAATGCATAGTAATGTTGATTGCTGGGCAATGTTTAGCTGGAAGTTCATAAACATATCCGTATGCCTGAACAACGGCTGGAGGTAAAACTTGTGAAGAAAAAAGATCAATTGCGTATGTGTGCTTATATACTCCTATTTTCCCCATGGTAGCTTCTTTGATTTTTTTTGAGTTTTCTTTCCCAATATGCTATGAGTTTTTTTCCCCTAATTTGGGTGCCTTGCAGGTCTCTCGCGGAGGTCAATCTGTGACCCTTGTTGGAACAACCTTAGTGATATTTGGTGGACAGGATGCAAAGCGAACACTCTTGAATGATCTACATATACTTGACCTTGAAACGATGACCTGGGATGAAATTGATGCTGTGTAAGATTATTTTTGGCAATTTAATTCCTGCACTATCCCTCCACAAATGTTATTGGATGTCTGAATTCTTTTTGTTAAAGATGTGCTACTGGTCCTTCTATAGCCTTTAACATTGAGATTGTTATTGAAATCACATTTGCTGCCTTCCAAATCTCAAGAACTGGCTTTAAACTAGGGTCGTGTTGCACTGCACAAGTGGCCTGATCCATTGTTAATTTTGACCTGATTAAGGTTCACTTACAAATACCAGCTAAGAATCTGATGTTTGAATTTCATTCTGGTAAGTAAGATTAGCTCATGATCAAAATTGAATTCATAATTAGGTCAACTTTATTCCAGTTAAGAACTTAATATTTAAATTTCTAAGATTTGAGCTTAGTTTCTACAAGATTAGTATGGAATCTTACCTGTTTAGAAGTGTGCATTTATGAAGTAAAAGACAGCATGATAAAATCCTTATATTGCACTTTTATTTTGAGTAATTCCCTGTGCCTAATTATTTTATAGATTGGAAGGGTGTCATTTGAAATTTATGTTCCTTGGTAACTCATAATATTTCTTTATCATCATTGTCATGCAGGGGGGTGCCTCCATCACCGCGATCTGATCATGCTGCTGCGGTACATGCAGAGCGTTACCTTCTTTTTTTTGGTGGGGGTTCACATGCTACTTGCTTCAATGATTTGCATGTCCTTGATTTGCAAGCTGTAAGATAATTACTCTTTCACGATTTTGCATGTGCTTTTGTGAGGAATTAGTATATCTATCTTTTATGTACTTGGATTTGTAGATGGAATGGTCAAGACCTACACAACAAGGTGAAATACCAACTCCTAGGGCTGGTCATGCAGGTGTGACTGTTGGGGAGAACTGGTTTATTGTTGGCGGTGGAGACAATAAAAGCGGTAAATGTCGCATTTCAAAATCAATAGAAGATTATTAATGTTCCTTGGTCCTAGATTTTCCCAGTACATGCTTAGGTTTATTGTTAATATACTGTCAACTGTCATGTGTCTGCATCTGATATGAAGATAAGAAAAAACTTGGTGGGATCTGTTAATTGTTTGAAAAAGCTACTTTTATTGCTGCTCCTTAATCTTCATTGCTTGTCATATTCTCACCTTGCAGGGGCATCAGAAACTGTTGTCCTTAACATGTCAACCCTCGTTTGGTCAGTTGTGACATCAGTTGAAGGACGTGTTCCTCTTGCCAGTGAGGTATTCTACATTTTACAAATGCTTGTTGCCTGTAAAATGCTATGCATGTGGCAAATCTCTATTTGGATTGCTTTGTCACATATATGGTGGTTAAATTGTGCCAGTAATGCTGCAATGGGTTAAATTTCTCATTGTGGATCAACGAGGAACAGTAGAAAGATGCATGTAAATAAATTAGACTTTCTACATAGAAGGTTGTGCTTCTCTTTAATTATTATGATCATTTAAGTGGATTGTCTTTAATAACTTTTTTATCATGTTCATTCTCATCAATTGACTTCATCATCTTTGTGGTTTTTAAACTTAAACTCATAAAATTGTTCCATGGAAATAGTTGAAACTTTGGAAGCTGTGCTTCTCCACAAGAGGAATGTTAATATTTTATTAATTCATGGAAAGAGGATTTTTTTTTGAACGAGTCGTATAGTTGTGGTCTATTGATCTTTATAAATAGCAGATAACTTCAACTGTCAGTGATTGAAGTAGTAAATTACTATCTGATTTCCTCTTATTGTAGGGCTTGAGTCTGGTTGTGGGCTCCTTCAATGGTGAAGATATACTTATATCTTTTGGCGGATATAATGGGCGTTATAACAGTGAGGTAGAGACAGTTTTAGCCTCTTAATGACTTTCTTGATCTTTTTGTTTCTATTTGATCTTTTATGTTTTGCTGCCAGGTTAATGTTCTTAAGCCAAGTCACAAGTCAACCTTGCAATCTAAGATATTGGAGGATCCTGTTCCTGATAGTGTTTATGCCGTGCATAATACAACAAATCCTACCAGAGATTTGGAGTCTGAGTTTGATGTTAGTCAAGAAGGAAAAATACGAGAAATTGGTATGGATAATGTCGACACAGAGCCCACGGTATGTAATATTTTGATAGCGCATTCAACATTCCATCCCATTTAAGTTCATTGGAAATCTTCTGATATAAAGCACACACGTGCTCTATGTATCTATATTATTCTTAAAACTCCTGACTGAGTTGGTGCCACTAGTCAAGTGATGTCAACTTGGTGAAATTACTTAAAAATCAAAATTAAAAAGTATTGAATCTTTAAGGTGTTTGCATTGTCATATTTACTATATTGTCATTTCATTTCTTCTGCTTAAGTTTTTGAGTGTATGCAGAAATCCAAAGGTGAGGAGATAAGTGAGTGCATGATAGCAACACTCAAGGCAGGGAAGGAAGAACTAGAATCATCACTCAACAAGGAGAAATTGCAGTCTCTCCAGCTAAAGCAAGAACTAGAAGAAGCTGAGACTCGAAACACAGATTTGTACAAGGTAATTGCTTTATGTGTACAATGGCAGGTCATGTAGTTCTTTGAATGTTTCAGTTGTAAGTTTGGAAACATTGGAGTATATTAGCTTAGGCCTTTTTTCTCACTATATTCTGTTTACATCTTAGGAGCTCCAATCTGTACGTGGTCAACTTGCTGCTGAGCAGTCAAGAAGTTTCAAATTAGAGGTAAATTCAAATCAAGAGAACAATACTATTGCTTATCATGTAACTTTTTCTGTTTTCTCCTTATTGAATGGGCTTTCAAACTCTGATTTCCTTAATACAACCGTTCTCTGATGCTTTAAAATGAGAATTTAAAAGCAGGTAAGGTTCACAAAAACATCATGCTGCATTACCAGGTGAATTGAAGTATTTCTCAAATTGCTGTTAGTATGAATTTATTTGGAAGATCCTGGTGTCATAATTTACTTTTCAATGATGCTTTTATGCTGACTGTTTTAATTACAACACTAATTGAGATTTTGTTTATGCAAAGGCTAGTCTGCCTCCAAAGTACTGAACTCTGCTTACTGCAGGGCAAAAAGCCTCTAATTGCCTTTCAATACTCTTGAATCTGCAGGTTGATGTTGCAGAACTGCGACAGAAGCTTCAGACGATGGAAACACTACGAAAGGAACTTGAGCTCCTGCAGCGGCAAAAAGCCGCATCTGAACAAGCTGCCTTGAATGCAAGGCAGAGGCAAGGCTCAGGTGGTGTATGGGGTTGGTTTGCAGGGACCCCTCCACAAAATGCTGACGATGCCTGAAATTCATGAAAAAAGCCGAATTAGAAATAGTAATTTCTAGATTTATTCAAATTTATCAATTTTTGGGTCAAATTTTTTTTGGTTCAACTTAGCCGGGTTCTTTCTATGATGGGAATAAGATATCTAAGTGAACCCCTTTGCGGGGTTTTTGCATGAATACATCGTCTCGATAGTTTATAGTTTCAGCTTCTATAGTTACATATGCCTGTTTATGCAATATTTTCCATTTTGCCAAAGTTTTATCAGAATTTGTATTCAAAGTGTATGTTCGTGGATGACAGTGTAGGTTTCAATTGTCTGCCAGCAAATGTTACGACGATGGTTTTATGTGATATAACGACATACTTTTTTATATAAATAAGATCGTAGAAAAAAGAATTCAAATTTCAAATTTATAATGTGAAGTTTGAAAAGTGATTAATTAAATCAATTTAACTGATCTTTGAATTCATGAACAAGATTTCCTTGAATACAAATACATCTGATTAATCCAAGAACAAGATTTCACCAATGGGCAACCAGCATTCATTCATCAAATATCCAGACATTTTCATTTCATTATTCAGGTAAACTAGGATGAAAAGTAGTAAAGAATGAACAATTAGGAAAATTTTCAAGCTGTTTGCAGCACCATTAAATAAAACAGATAGTTTTTCTTAGGGGCAGCGCAGTTAAGCCCAAGACTGAATGCCAACTTAACTCTCATTTACAGATAAAATACACCCTATATCTGTGTTCTTTACAGATAAAATTTGTAATCTTAATATGAACCTTTCTGACATTGAAAATGCTTCTTCCGGCTTTAAGAAATTATATTCTTCAATTTGAGTCATCTGTCCACCATTCACTAGGTAAAACTTTTTTCAATTTTAAATTGCATAAAAATATGTAAACAAAATGGAATTCAAACTTCAATCATAATTCAAATTATATATATAAACTACTTCAATAAGTGTAAGATATAAGTGTGAATTTTCCTTAAGAAACAGTAAAGAAAAGCCAAATTCTAAAGAATTATACTACAAATAAAAGATGTGGAGGAAGTTTTTTTTGGTTATCTTACTCTTATCGCATCTCAAATAAATTGCTTGAAGAATTTTGGCAATGCAAGTATGGGAAGGAATTGAAAGAAAAGAGTTATGCTAACAAGTAACAAGTATGATAGTTGCAATTACTTTAGAAGGCTTAGAAAACGAGGATTATACATCAACATGAAAGTAGAATGAATGAATGAATGTATGTATGATCCTTCCCAAAGTTCTTAGCAAATTTAACAAGTCTCCCTCACAAATCAGGATTGGCCTCCTCTGGGATCACAGTCAACTTCACCACTTCATTCTTTGCTCTTTTAACAACTGCCTTCAATGGCTTCCCGATTCTATCATCCATCATCTCAATAATCTGCCAAAATTTTGCCACTCGTATACATCAGGGTGTAAATTTGATTTACAACATATGCCATTAGCCGGGGAAGAAGAATAGTTGGTATCACAAAACACCATTTTATGTATGCAATAAAACCGAAGAAAACATATTATATTGGAAGCAAAGTTACATACCTCTTTGATACTTTCAACTGGTTTCCCATCGAATTCAATTACAACATCACCAGGATGGAATCCAGCATGATCAGCCGGGGAACCTGGGGTTACCTGGACAAAATTTGAAGCATAGGGAAGATGAAAGATATCCAATTTTCTGTATAATCTAAAACATGGTTTCAAGGCAATATACAAATGTGGATCTCTTCTACTTGGTTGCAATTTATAAGTATTTTGAGGGGGAAATGTCATGATAAAAGGAAGAAAGGAACTACCATAAACATACCATAGCTACAAGAATGCCTTTCTCAACTTCAGGAAATTTGGCATCTCTTTCTTTAAGCTGAGCAATGATCATCTCATTAAGATCAAGCATTTTCAATCCAAGCCAAGGCCGCACAACTCTCCTGCTCAAGAAATCAATTAACTAATGCATACTATCTTTTAACAAAGAGATTTTGAGGAAAGCTAACTTCCTAAACAAATAAAAAGGGGTAGATTTGGTTTCAATAAAAGAAAAAGTGTAAATTTTGTGATGTCCTATATTAAATTATATATGATGGACTATAGTAAGAAGCAAAATTTTCAAATGCATGAAATATTCTCGATATTAAAGTATTCATATATTTTTCTATACATGTGAATAAAATACTATGTCCTGACCCATTGGTAGAGGTAAGTTCTATCAATGTCAACAAATGTTAAGAACAATAAAGATCAATAAGCTCCATTACTATAAGAAAAGGAAGTATTTCAAATTTCAACAAGTAGTTCCATAAGGAGATATGATTATACCCATTCTTCTTGAAATGCTCTATAATTTTGGAAACTGAGTCAATTGGTACAGAAAAACTCAATCCATCTGCAGTTAACACTTTCATAATATTAACTCCAACAATTTCTCCATCAACATTAACAAGGGGGCCACCAGAATTTCCCTGAACCGGAAAAGTAGAGAATAGATTAGTATATACACAAGAGGTATGGAGTCATACAGATATATAGAGGACGAATTGGTTTTAGCAAAATCTCTTGTCATTCTTATCATTGCATTCCTTAAAATCTGCCATACATGCCAAGTATTATATAGAAGAAACTCAGCACAAACATGGAAAAAAACACGAGTAAATAAATGTGGCTGAAAAAAACATGAGCAAATATAGGGTCAATTTGACAATGCTAAGCTACAATTCTACCATATCTATAACCATGTGCTCAAATCTTTTTAAATGAATAAAATCAATGTCACTGAGTCTTATGCAATCCAACAGGGGTTCAACTGTTACCGCACTATTAAAACCTGCAATCACCATTCATGAGAATCACCCCAATGCATGCATGTGCACATAATGACCATGCTCATGAGTACAAATGCAACATGTTAATTGATGCACACAAGCTGTGAGAAAGAGTGTACCGCATTGATTGCACAATCGGTTTGCAAATACTCTCTGCGCATCCCTCCTAGACCCAAATCACTGCTTTTACGATCAACACAACTATAAAATGGGATAAAAGAGACATAAAAAGACATCAGTAGCCAGTCAGAAAAATCATCAATCAATCTAACACATTCAAACGAACTTATTCTTTCGCCAGAAAGTAAAAAATGTAAGGGATATAAAATACGTAAAATCTAACACCAAGCACTGGCTGTTAACCACAGAAATAGCCAAAATTTATATTAGTTCAAAATTTCCAAAACAGACCATACTGGTCAAATAAGTTGAAAGTTTCTGAATGAAAACCATTAAAAAAAAATCAGTGTAAAAAGCACCTCACAATACCCGCTGTGACAGTATTCTGAAGGGAAAGTGGGCAACCCACGGCTATCACCCAGTCCCCAGGGCGAAGCTTGCTTGAAGAACCAAGTTTTGCAGCTGGAAGTGGAGTCCTAGATTTGATCTTGACGATTGCAATATCAGAATGCACATCAGAATTCACCACTGTACCCTCAAATGTTCGGCCATCTTGCAAAGTGACATCAACCTGCAAAAGTTAATCATATTCCAAAACCATACAAACATATAGTATCAATGAAATGCCGTTTGCAGAAAAGAAAATCGAATAAAAATTCATATGCTTACTCACATATGCAGTTCCTATAATACAATAAATTAGAAACATAAAATCTTCTAAAGTAAATTAATCTATCAGCGTGCAATTTTAGGACTTGAATTTCTCATATACATGACAATTTTAACTGCTGACCTTCCCCTTGGATGTAACTCGCCTGCTGTGATAATCAACTACAACATGAGCACATGTTAAAATAGTACCATCTGTATCAATAATAGTCCCAGAACCCACACTCTTTCCAGTTGAAAGCCCATAGAAATCTGTACAACACAAATTTACCAGCAACGCAAACCATGCAATTATACTTCAAGAAGAAGAAAAAAAAAAAAAAAAAACCTCAAAAACAAAAATGCCATTCAAAATATGCCTCAAAGCAGATAATACCTTGTGGAACAGACAGATTGACAACAGCAGGAGCAACCTTGGCAGCAGCATTCGCAATAGAATCTCTACCTAAACATCCACAACATGGTTTTGCTCCACCTCCAACTGCCACTGCAGCTTCCTTTGTGACATCCCCAGCTGGAACAGGACCAGGAGCAGGAGCAGGAGCAGGACCAGGACCAACTCTTGATAAAAATAATGGAAAATTTCCTACAAATGCATGCAAAACATAAACTACATAGACAATAAACAAAGAGACAATCTAATAAAACAAATATAAATGAGGATAACTTAAATATACGACCAAAGAATAGGACAAACCGAATTGCCAATTATCAGAGGAAACAAACGAAGGGCGCCCTTGAAACCAGAGGTGTTCATGCAAAAGAGCAGGAATTGACAGTTTCACAGTTGTTTCTAGAATTCAACCCAGAGTAAGCTATTAGAATTCCCAATAGACATACAATATTAGGATTATCAGAACATGCATCCGTACATAAATTGAGAAACAATTGAAAAGAAATAATTTTTGAGGAAAATTGAGAGCTTACTCAAATCTAAGTCGGCATTCCAGTAAAGAAGACCCGAACCAGCAGTGCCAATGGCTATGATCCGAATTATGGAGTTTCTGCTAGAAAAAAAGGAAGCCTTTCTCTGCCATATGAAACAGACAAACAAAAGCTGAGTAATTTGGGGTAGGATACGGACAAAGAACTGAAGATTGATAATAAATTACCAAGAAATGATTCATGAGTAGATTCCTACGTCAAAAATGCCCAGAGTCGGATTTTCCCTGATTATGAGCTTGATTGTGTTTGATTGTTATTTGTTAAACCCTACCAAAACCCAGAAATGTTCTAGAGTTTTACCTTTCGTTTCCACTCTCTCGCCCAGTTTGCTTAAAATATGGATTTGGACAGGCCGGAGATTTCGTAAGACGAAAGGCCCACCTTTTTTAAATTTTGAAAAAAAAAAAAGAGCTGTGGAGAGTTAAAAAGGATCCATATAAAAATCGTTTTCTTGCCACCCAAGGTTGATAAAATTGATAAGGAGTGAGGTCTTGATCTATAAAATTGGTAAGGAGTGAGGCCTTGATTTATATATTCAAAAAAATTATAAGTAAAAATTTAATAAATTCATAAATTTCAATTGAATGAATGGCTTGTTTCACCTGCTTCTAAATTTTGTTTCAAAACCAAAAAAAAAGAAATCGTCTTCTTTTATTCTGTAACGGCCCAATTTCATAGTTTCTTTTGGGCATGTAACATTTCGCGTTTTTGGCAGAGAAAACTTGGTGCCTACGAAAGAGAGAAACCCCGTTAAAAGATGGGGTAGGGATCGTGCCTATTTTTTGGAGGACAAGTGTAAAAGAATATGGTCCTTGCCCTGTTGGTCTCAATCTGTGCAGGCCTGTTCACCTGGAAGTTCATTCAATGCGAGCATCCGGCTGCGTGTTGATGTGATAAGCTGCTGTGTTACCACAGCCGAGGGTACAGCTGAGCCTGAGACAACTAAATTCAACATGACCCTGATTCTTCTTCCAGTGTGTAGAATTACCATTGCTTGGCTACGAAGCAGGACAATGTTAGGGGTGGCTGTTCCATTCGATGACAGTATCAATTTTCACAAGGTACGAAAGGCTAATTCTCCTACACTTATCCAATAATAATCATAGTAACCCAGATTTATTTTGCTATATTCATTTTATCAAAAATCAACAAAAATTTTCTAGTATAGAAGAAATTACTTTATTGATTTGAATAAATATCTATAGGTATTGGAGTTGGTTTGCACGTTGGTGCTCATCTAACCTGTGACTGCCTTAGACTTCTCCATGCTACTGATAATGAATATGAGCCAATGAAGCCAATCTTTGGGGATGAAAGGCCGAAAAACTACTGGTGGTTCGTGAAAGGGATTGAGGGCTAGACCGGTGTGGACATGCTGGTGCTTATGGCCATAGCCTATATATTAGCTCAGCCTTGGCTCTGCCGGAACTGTTTAAACCACCCTAAACCCATAAAGAAGCTTACTCGATTCAATGGTACTTGCATCATCTATTTGTTATTGTCTATGCCCTCTTCATTGTTCATGGATACTTTCTCTACCTCTCCAAGAAATTTACAAAAAGACGGTAAGTGTCTCAAAAACTAGCTAGTGTGTCACTATGGTGACATATTCTTCTTTTCATCCTTTTTTTGATGATCGCCTGAACTCTAGTATGGGATTTAATCTATTTATCAAACAGGTAGCCGAAACTGTTGATTGGTGGTCCCTATGGAGCTCCAGCACAGGACTACAAAAAATATGATGTCCTTTTCCTAGTAGGATTTGGCATTGGTGTCACCCTCTTAATCAGCATAGTAAAAAATGTGCTTAACAAGGTCAAGCATCAGAAGGAAATCGATGAAGGGATAGAGGCAGGAGTTAAGAACAAGAAATAGCCTTTTGCCACTAAACCAGCCTATTTCTACTGGTTTACCCACGAGCAAGGTTCGTTTGAGTGGTTCAGGGGAGTGATGAAAATAGGTGGCTGAGTAAGATGATATCGAGATAGGGGCGATTGAACTTCACAATTACTGCACAAGTGTGTATGAAGGGGACGCTAGATCAGCTTTGATCACAATTTTTCAGCACTTCCATTATGCCAAATTTGGGGTTGATATTTTTCAGGTACCAGGATGAAGACAAATTTTGCCAGGCCAAATTGGCACAAGGTTTTCAAGCGTGTTGCTGTTAACCATACCGTTGACAAGAGAGTTGATATGTATTTTCTCTCTCTAGCTTTAAAATTCTGCATTTCAATGAAATATTACTCAAGCTTGGTAAAAAATACATGCAATATCAAAGTGGTCATGTTTTAAATACTTTTGCCATGGAGTATATATATTGACAATGATTCACAACAGTATCAATGAAGTGAAGTTGAGATCAAATCTCAAGTTTCTTTTTCTGAAATCTGAAATTTTCAATTAAATAAATCATAGTGTTTTGCTTTTATAATTTGTTGCTATAAGGAAAAAGGGACAGGCCTATAAATATTTCCATAAAGATTAGACTATACAAGGAAAGCTGTAAATCAAGCTATGACTCCCTGGCAAGGCAGAGTGAGGTAATTGGAGAAATAAGTTGGACCACTAGTTTGGCAATTAATAAAGGGCAACTTTATTCTCAGTGCTTCTTAAGGAGCAATTTCTTTGAACTGCTCATTGGAACCAAGCATTCCATGTTACAAAATTGAAATTGATGCTCAATGTTGATGGTTTCCTTATACTAATTAGATAACTCTTTCAGGCAACTATCTTCCATAAAGCTTGCTGTTCATTGCTTGGTGGCTTCCTATAGTAATATATATTAGATTTATAATAACCTTTTGGTACAAACCCAAACTGGAATTTCCATACTCAATCTACATTTATTTTATGACTGTTTTTCTCAACACCAACAACAGAACCTTTAGCTTTAGTTTTTATGAGATGTACTGTAACTTATCATGTCCAAAAATATAAGTTAGATTCATTTAATCCAGAATCTCTTCAGATTTTGCTTTGTTAATCTTTAATGTAAATTTTAATTGATTGTCTTGATAATTAAATCAAACCTCTTCCAAACCATGAGATATGCAGCAGAATATTGTGACCCTTTGTGCATGTATAACTGTAAAGAATATGAGGCAAGCAGGGATGATTTAACACATTAAAAAGTTATTCCTTCTTCATGGCCGCTAGAAAATTGTTAGTGGTTTTGAATTATTAAGCAGGAAATACAAAAAAAAAAAAAAAGAGAGAAAAGAAAAAAAAAAAAAAAGAGAAGAATTTAACAAAAAGTATCAAAGTATTAACTTGATTGGCGTCCATCGTAGGGAAAAGCAAAGCTTTCAGGAAAAAAAATTTAGGGTAATAAATTCATTTCTCAGCAGGCAGGTACTCCTTTGCCCCCCCACTCAGCACCAACTCCAAGGCTTTACTTGATTTTTTCCTCACCCTGTCTCTCTCTTCAAGCCTTCATTTCTTAAAGCAATTCCTCACTGTTTCTCTCCCTTTCTCTCTCTCTTTTTTCACTTCAATTCTCAGATAATTATTATTTCTCTTGCTTTCTCTTTATTGTCTTGTCCTAATGGCTACAACAGAAGGAAAATCAGAAACTAAACAAGAATCTAAGCAAGAAGGCAAACCAGAATCCAAAGAAGTAGAAGAAAACCAAGAACCTCGTCTCAAGTACAAGGTAAAGCATGGTTATTACTTTTTTTTTTATTATGAATAACAAAATCTTCTCTTTTAAATTTAAACATGATTTTCAGACCTTGTTTTCCTGTTTTCCTCAGGCTTGGGTGTTGAAAGTCTCCATTCATTGTGAAGGATGCAAGAGGAAAGTCGAAAAGACTCTAAGAAAGATCGAGGGTACTTCCCTAAACCATCTCAATCCTTTAACATGTTTCTGTTTCCTAGTTTTATTTTGTCTAAACTTTTATCTCACCCATGTTTCCTTTTTGGTTTCCTTAACTTCACTCTTTCTTTCCAGTGACCAATACCGCCTTTTAATATAGTTATGTAAAGATTATTAGCTAAATCTTGTTGTTTGTCAGTTTTTCTCATATGGGTTTTGTTTTCATTTTCAGTTAATCTCATTCCTTCATGAAAGTTTTCTCTTTTTTTCTCAACATATTCTTTTATGGTAAAATTTCTTTTCTATCATTTTCTTTCCTTGTTCATCTTTCATTACCACTTTAATTACTGCTCACCTACTAGAGTTCATCAAAACCAAAATTTGTCTTTGTTCATTTCTAGTTCATAATTTCCTTTTTCATATAATTTCTTTGGACAATTTGCAGGCGTTTATGAGGTTTATGCTGATTTGAAACAACATAAAGTCACGGTAAAAGCAAATTTACACGTAGATGTAGGAACTTTGATCAAGAAACTAGTAAAGAAAGGGAGACATGCAGAGTTATGGCCTGAAAAAGCTGAACAAAAAGAGAAAAAGCAAGGAAAATCAAAGAACAAAGACAAACAAGGTGGCCAAGCAAACAGTGAAGGAGGTAATAAAGAGAAAGAAACAGTGACAAATGAAGTCTCATTTCATCAAGATACTGCTAAGAGCTGTGAAAATGGTAGCACTAGCAAGAATGCTGAGGGTTGTAATGTTGGCAAAGTCCATGAAGGTGGTGCACCTTGTAAAAACGGTGGACAAGTCAAGGAGGCAAAGCCTGAGGTCAAGCAAACTGTGACCTTCGTGGTCGGTAATCAGTCACCGGTGGCTGAGAAGAATGGTGGTGGTGAAAGTGAGGGTAATGCTGGTGGTGGCAGTGGAAGTAAAAAGAATAAAAAGAAGGGGGAGAAAGGGAATGCCAATGTTAATTTTGATGGGGGTGAACATTCTGGTGATGCTGGACATGCATGCATTGGATCACATGTTACTGCTTATGGAGCTCATGGTCCTGTTCCCATGCCATCTCCAGCCAGTCATAGTCCTCCGCGGCAGCACCACAATATGTATGAGCATCCGGCCTATTGCCATGCATCACCAGTGTACGTTACTAGCTACAATACGGCATATCCTAGTAGTAGCCATAGTGCATCGTATTATACCTCACCACCACCGTATTCGTACATGTATATTAATGGGGGCACGCATTCATCACAGCCGTCTGATTCCTTCGAGATGTTCAGCGACGAAAACCCAAATGCATGTTCAATTGTGTGATGTATTCTTCAGCATTATACTACTTGTATGTGTAATGGGGAATAATTTTGCAATGTATGTAGATATAGAAGGAAACCATGTAGTTTTAAGTTAGGGTAAAAGAATAAGAGCAGGGGAAAATGGGGTTTGGAGGTCTTTTTCTTTAGTGGTGTTTGTGCTTAGCTTTCTTTAGAACTGTTTACTCTTTTAAGGTCTGGTTTTAAAAGTTAACATTTAGCCTTGTAATATGCTAGTTGTTAATTTGTAGGCCCCTTGTCCTCTCTTTCCTTCTTCCTCTATTACATGTGTGAAAGTAGGTTTTGTTAGATGGTGATTAAATGAATGCCTAGATGGTTAGATGGATACTTTGGGCCAAGAAAAATGGAGGCTCATATTTTTTTCTTTGGACAATTTGCCAATATTGGGTGATTGTTTCTCCAGAAGGCTTTAAAATTTTGGCGTTTTGCTCTTAGGTTGCGACTTGTGGAAGAGTAACATTAGGTATAATCCAGTCAAATCGATATAAATTTGAGTTTAACTCTCAATTCGTTTTAGTTCAAATTTGATTCGTGATTGAAATTGAATTATTTGAATTCGTTCGATTAAATTTGATTAATATATAAAAATAAATTTGATTTATATATTTGGTAAAAGATTAATTATTTGTGTTCGAATTTAAATTTAAATTTAAGATATTTTATTAATTAAAATAATAAAAAAATATTTAAATATAAAAATTCGATTAAATTCATGAACTATTTAAGTTGAGTGTAAAAATATTCGAATTCAATATAATCGATGAGTTAAATTATTTAAATTCAAATTTGATTCGATAATAATCAAATAAAATTTAAATTTTATTTAAATTTAAATAATTTACGAATATTAATATATCATTTATATTTTTATATCGAATACCCTTCAAATCTTTTGGAACTCAATGTTTTTTTGACGCGTAAAAGTGCAATTTGATGGTTAATTTGCAAGTTTAAAGCATTATTTTTATTTATTAAATGAACTGTGGAAAGATTAATGTCTACAAAGTTCCTGATTTTTTGTGCAACTTTGGAAAAACCATTTCTTTCTTTTTTTAAGACATAATTCATAGTACGATTGTCTTGTGCTTGATGATTCAGTACTGTAGCGTAGCGTAATGTTGTGTTGCGTTGTTTCCCTGCTTTACGATACTGCTGAAGTGATGGTTTCTAGTCAAAGGCATCGAATCCTCTTTTCTCTTGGTTATGGATTTGTCAAAGTAGTAGTAACTAGGGCATTGAGCCTCACTGGCAAGTTTTCCTTTATAAGGAAAGCTATCCCTTCTTTCTTCCATTAACTGCTTGTTTGAATTTCACTGTATTTTTAGTGTGTTATAATTAAATTTATTGTATCTTTAATTGAATTTCAATATTAATTTTAATGAAATTAAATCAATATAAATTTTTTATTAAATTTTTTTAATCACAATTATAATAATAATTATTATTATTTTTAATCTTATCCAAATTAATTTCGCCTTTTATAAACTGAGCTTAAAAGTACTTTTGAAATGTGTGATGACTTGAACAGACATTGCTTAGTTTTTGCTTTTCCCCTTTTTCTTTTTCTTTTTTTTCATTTACACCTTTATTTCCCTCTTTTCCTGCTTCACTCTCATTAGATATAAAGCGAGTCTGTACTGTTGCAGATAACTCATAACTCAATCCTCCTTTTGAAGCTCTCTCTCTCTGTCTCTCAATGGGGAAAAAAAATGGTCCATCAAAGAAATCATGCATAAGGCCCCTTTTTAATAACATCTTTTGACTTCAATCAAACTGTTTTTGACCAATACAATTCTATTACAATGTCATCATCTTAATCACAAAAGTATTGGAGATTTGATCTTCAAAAGGGTATGTGATTCCTCCCCAACCTCCACCTTCAATCATATTACCATTATCTCCTATCAAATGCTTGGTTTTCAGCTAAACAAAGGGATTCATTAAGGTTATTCTGGTTAGCTTGCATAGAAACTGACATTGGATGGGTCCCAGAAATAAGCATTCTTCATCTTTTTTCAGGTATTATTATTCCATCTCCAAATCCTGAAGAGAATATGTGGATTTATTTTTGTTATATACATACACATATATATATATATAAACTTTCTTCAGAAGTAGAAAAAATAAAAAACTGAAAACTTCCAGGTGCCAAACCTTTCACAAATCCTTTTTCAATATCTAGAAAGCTCCCTTTGAGAAGTTCTATTCTCTTGTCCACTAGAAGATCATTTTGACATTCCAAGCTTGATGGCCAAAGAGAATCTCATTGTTTGCAATTTTTATTGTTTCATTGAACCATCCACAAAAGAACAAATCTATTATTTTAAAAGGTAATCATAACTACAAATTTTCTTTTTATAAAAAAATGGTTACTTGATTATAAGGGTTCACCAACATAAAAAGGGTTACTCTTATGGACCCCTTGTTTCTGTTGAGCAATTTTCTTTGCTCATGCTAAATATTAATCATGGGTTTCAGAATTTGGTCCAATCAACTTCTGCAAAGACAAAGCAGATGATCATGGTTGTTAGCCTGTATCAAATTTTGTGCAGCAAAATTGAAGGAAAAAAGTTTATAAAAGAAGGAGAGAGTTTGATGGCTTACTATGGCATGTCCCAACTTTTCTTTTTACCTGTGTTTGAGACATCCTGGAGTTACAAATTTAATGACAATGGTTTAGAATTAAAGCTTTAGAAAAGGAGGATTTTTGCCTTTTGTCTTTAGTATGATTGTCTTTACTTGGCTTTATCTATGAAAATTGGGGTGATAAGATTTGTAATGGATCGGATTCAATTCAATTTTTTTGTAATATATAATATTATAAAATTATAAAATTTTATTTAAATTAATTTTTTTTGAAAAGATTTAATTCGAATTAAATTTTATTAGTTATTTATTGATTTTTAAATTTTTTATTTTTATATATTATTTTAATAAAAGTTTATATATGTAAATAAATTTTTGTATAAAATAATTTTTTTTATAAAAATTTAAATTATATATAAAAATTAATAAAAATATATAATTCAATTTTTTTTAATATCTCGATTCGAAATTCGATTTAAATTTAATATATATATTTAATATTTAAATTTAATTCAAATCAAATAAAAAATTAATTTAAATTAAAACTAATATTATAATTTTAAATCAATTTTTAATTTTTTTTTCTGGTGCTTATCTCACCCTGCCAGAAAGTGGGGGGAAAGAAGAAAAAACAACTTCTTGGCAATAAAAATCTGAGTTTTGAGCCTTCGAGGGGAAGGGTACAGGCAAAGATCAGATAGATATAAACTTGTAAATTAAGGTAAGATTTGTTTGGTCCATTGGCATGGATGAAAATGATTCGTGTGAGAATCTTAATCCAAAAGCAAAGATGTATGTCAAGTCAGTGTTCAGTCAATCAAGCATGACTTTCGTTGCATTTACAGCATATTCCTGGTTATCAAATTAGTAGCAATTTCCATTAATAAGGAATCTGATTCCTTCAATCCAATCTGTCTTCCTTCCCAAGCCTCTCAATTCTCACAAAAACATTCATTGTATCTTATAATTAAGCTCTAGTTATGGACTCGATGAACAGAAGACCAATATAAAGCAATGTAGCAGATGTTAATCCAGAATTTTTAGCAACTAACATTTCTAATATCTACATCCGAGCATTTAACTCAATTAATTCCTACATGATCCTCTTCTCGACTACGAATCTCCCCTTCTCTAATTTAAAAAAAAAAATCATTTCCCACATCTCAAATTTATTTCCCTGATTAGTCACTCAGAAACTTCTTGCTACAAGCACTACCCTGGCTTTTAGCCTGTTGTGTTTAGAGGCAACTAGAAAAAGAACAAACAGCATTGTTCTCTTCATTGGAGACTGAAGTTGGTGATAAAGATGAGATTTAACAAAACAAATCTTTAACAAAAATTAAGATTGGTGATGCTATAATTGTGATTTTAATGATGACAATCATGACTAACACAATGATGGTAGCACCTTTGTTGAATAAACAAAAAATTTCCCATTGGCTTTGGAGCTACCAAATTTTTTGGTTGTGGAAAAGACTCCATGTACCTAAAAGAAAGTTTGCTTCACTAAAAGCCAAACAATAAAAATAGACTCTATGTACCTAAAAGAAAGTCTGCTTCACTAAAAGCCAAAGAAGAAAAATATAAACGTCTCACTAAAAGGAAGCTAGTCCCCATAGAAAAACAACTAACTTTGGGCCAGATGACCATTTCAAAATGAAGGAAATTTGGGTAATTAACATTGACCCTGCTTTTGTTGCATGAAAGCTGAGACCATTGCCTTTGTTGTTTTGCGAAGGGACAATATAAAATATTGAACCACCTTAGAATGTATTTCATTGAAGGTATAGGGACAAGAATCAGAGATTTCGAATCTCGGCACTGTTTTTAAAGAATCAAAACAAGCTGCACTTGGTTTGAAGTAAACGTGAAAATTTATAAGCTACGGTCATGTAAAGTCATTGGATCTTTTAAGTACAAAACAAAACTAATCCTCTCTCATTTTGTAGTCATTTGAACCTTTAAACCTTGAATATGAAAATTGGAAACTAAAACCACAGGGTAATCTCCTAATGTAATTTTGTCAATAAGATTGATGTAAATGATTAAAATTTAAAATTTAAACGTAAAGTATTCAAATTAGAATCTTCATTATTTTCTGTTAACAAATCATTTATAAATCTGAAAATTTTCAAAAAATTCATAAATCTCTTTATGAATTAATAATTTATCATATCCTTAAAGATGAAACAACGCCCTCCACTCCTAAACGTTTTCATAAAAAAATAAAATAAATAAACACTCTACTAATCAGAATTCTTATGTGATATAAAGCTAAAACTAGTACATTCTTCTGCTATATTACCAGATACTTGTGACAGAAGGAATCATTTCTGTGGGTCAAGCATGGGAAAGGGATCAAGTCTTTAGGGTGAAGCCTACCTGCTTCCTGAAAAGTGAGGTGATGCATCAACATTTGGTTTAATAATTAATGAATCCTCTTCTCAAAACAAATAAAGTGATTGTGTTTTTCTTGTTCTTTTTTTTTTTTGTCTAAGAAGAACCAAAAACACTGATGATGTTGTAGACTTGTATTGATAAATGACAATCTATATACTACATTTTTCAGATAACAGATACTGTAAAGAGAGAAATTAATCTCAAAATGAAGATCGATTGCCATTGCTTTCAAAACTTGTTTTATTCCAAGTAAATGCTATTTCTTGTCAAATAAAGCAAAAGACAACTTTTTCTAGATATGTTGTTTTAGTATGATAAGCTTTTGTTATTGGGGCCAAGGCTATCAGAATACGAAAATTGATTGGGATGGTGACACTTAGGCCTAAAATTACTGTTTACATCTCGCCTAATGTTCAAATATTTTTCAATGCAAATGTTGATTATTATTTTTCCAGCAAAACTTTGAACACTTCTGAATTGCAGTCGAATCCTACAACTAATAGCTCTGAAGATTAATCTAGAATTTCACCATTACTTCGAGCAAAGGCAAGGCAGGCCAGCCTCTCTCTGTTGTCCCATACTTTGGGACTTTGTCCATAATGATGTCACGCTTGCTTTTGGTACTCCCAAAAATAAATCTTGATCTTACTCATATTTGGCCAATGGATCCAATCTGCTCGTGATGTGTAATTTTTATCTTCAAGGAATGGCCCAGCATTCAATAAGGGTCATATGGTTTACTGGCTCGTTAAATGCTAAATAAACGTTAAGAAAAAAAGAAATAAATTTAGGACTTCCATCTTGAAATGATGTTAAGCACCCGGACATTTTGAATCACAATAGGGGTCAATCTCAGAAATCGTTGGTTTAATCTTTCTTAGATGCAACTTTTCCAATTCAAATACAAGTTATTCGAAGCTCTCAACCGAGCTATTGTGAACCATAAAAATTCCATCAGGCATCGGCTACTAGAGCATTTGGATATGCAGAAATTTAACAAAACTATCATAACCACAGACTACAAAAATGTGGAGAACACAAAATTGAAGGCATATACTAGGTTCAAATGCAAGCAAGCTAAGTAATAAACATCATAATCCACCAAAAGAAACTAGAACTTATTAGTCATTACCAAAACAGTTTCCCTCCAAGTTCAGAGACAGACTAGTAATAAAAGGTTTCCCAACTACTGCTGTCGGACTTCAGCTTTCTTCTTCTGCCAGAGCCTGTCAAGAGCACTGTCAGCGTCACCCTGCAAAGTAAAACAAACTAATAATCAGCAGCCAGATCAAACACAACTTAATATCTTGATAAAGAACTGAGGGAACAAACTACGACAAGTTAATCTACAATCTACAATCTAACTTCTCTATAACCTACCAGCTAAAAACATTAAAAATGAACAACTTTCTAAATGTGTCTCCGAGGACCCCTGTGCTAATCTACAGGCAGCTAAGAAAACCCAAGTGATATATTTTCTCTTCCAGGTCTTTAGACATGAGTTTTGTCAGTACAACATCCAGTTTTAGCCAGAATATCTTTAATTAGAAATATTAAACTGATGCTTTCTCTAAATGAACTTACAGAGTAAATGGATCACAATTGAAACTTCAAACATATCTCAAATATTTAGAGTGTTAACATGACAATGTAGCCACAAGCACATCACTAACAAAGCAAGTTGCAGGATTATGCCTTTTACAAAGGATGTGAATTGTGAACATGGCATGAATGCAAGTATGAGAATGCAATCAAATGAAAAAAACATAACAGCAATAATAATTAAACAAGCAGCAGGCCAGTAGAGGACCAACACGAACCTGGGCACGGACAAAGCCACAAAGAGCAAAAGTGGAGAATGTGCCAGTGTATCTGCCAAGCTCATCCAAGTGTCCAATGTTAATCTGAACAGATGCATGATCCTTGGAGGTGATGAGCCTGTTAGTAGCAGAACTGCAACAACAACAACAACAAGCTACAAATAAGCTTCCAACATAAACATTGTAAGAAATAAACATGAGCGAAGCAAATTAAATACCATTTCCTAGGGATATAAAGATCCATGTTTTGCCCCTCTTCGTTCTGCATCTTTGCGGGTTGCTTAACCGAACAAGGAACACAAAGCTCAAATCACCTAATTCAACACCAGCTAATATTCATAAAAAAAAAACATGTATAAAAACAAAAGAATAGAAAAACTAACTAGGTTTCAACTTCAACCCCCTTAAATAAATTACTAATTCAAATACTAAGAATAATCAAACAAACATTTTACATAAACCCTAAATCCTGATTTGACACTCAATATTATAGGAAAATATTAACAAACATATTTATATATACATTTTAAGAGAACAAAAATCAAACGTATGCCGATCAAAACATCCAGATAACATAAAATTGAGACAAATTTAAAACCATGAAACATGAAAACGAAATCCACAGGGACAGAGTAAGGCCTACCCGGAAGAGAAAGAGAGGGCTGCGGCGGCTAAAATGCTTTGGTGAGGTTTAGGGCTCTTTGCGGGATTTTATATCCGATAAAAAACCCTAATTTCTTATCTCAATCTTAAATGAGAATTACCAAAGGTCGAAAATGCCCCGATTCTTAACTTGTTATGAAGGCAAACGCTGCCGTTTCTGTTTGAGTAGGATTTTAAGTCCGTTTTGTTCGTTGGGATGTGGTTCGTCTTTGGGCCTCAGTTTAGAGCCCAACAAAATATGAAAGGGCGAAAGTCCGAAATTATTTTTTAATTGTTTAAATTTAAATATTTAGCAGCTTAAAAATGTAAAAAATTTGAATATAACAAATTAAACAAAATTTATATTTAAAATTTAAATTTTAAGGCTGATAAAATATTCAATTTAAAATTTTGAATATAAAAGATTTAAACAAATTTCTATCGAATTTGAGACTAAAAAATAAATATTTAGTTTGAGTAGGATTCTATTGTTTAAATACTTTTAAAGATTTTTTTCTAATAATATTTGTTCCATGATGAAGTTAGACATGTAAAAACAAATTTTTGTTAACTTATAAATAAAAAAATCATAAAATATATACATGCTTGCTTAGCACTTAACATAGTGCTTTAATAAATAAAAAATATATAAAACAAAACAATTAGAGCAACAATTTACATAAATAGTTGTGTGAAAAATATCCATGATTCATGTAATGTTGATTGCATAATGTGATGAATCAAAGTTTGCATACTCATTAGTTATCACCTTTAAATGCAAAAGCTAATCTAAATGTTTTCATGGGTAGAACTTGAATATGTTAGTTTATGGGATGTTTGGTAAGCCGGAAAATTTATCGTATTTCTGTCAATTGGTTGTCTGTCATAAACGTTAATCACAACAATTAAGAGATGATTTTTCATTCCTGAGGTGGAAAAAAAAATTGAATATGAATAATTGAATGTATATTTGTGATTTATTTATTTTTTATAAAAGTATTCATGTTTGATTTATGTTTGTTAAAAAAATTACTTTGTTTGTTCGTGTTTAATTTATTTAAATAATAAATTATTCACGTTTGATTGATATTAAATTAAATTAAACAAATTAATTAGTAAATATTAAACAAATATATTCATAAATATATATAAATAAATATATTTATAAATAATAAATAAATTATAATAAAACAAATTTAAACTAACAACTTTAAATAAAATATAAATAAACTCAAACAAATATAAATAAACTTTAAAATAAAAAATATAAATATTATTTTATTAATATTATTATAAACAAATAATAAATAAATAATAAATAAACAAAATTATTTACCAATATAAATAAATTAAATTAATTTTTATAAAATTAATAAATAAATATAAACAAATAAAAATTAAATATATTCACAAATAAGTAATCAATAATTTTATTTGGATACATCCCTATTAAAAGAAATAACGGGGTGGTTTTAATGAAAAACTTCTATTCTACTCGAAAAAGAAAAACAATAAATGGATTTTATTTTAAATTAATAACAGCCAGCTGGCTTGAAGAGAGTTTGGTTTTGGGACGCGCAAACACCGTCCTGGTGATCTGTATTGGGTCCCACGTTTTTAACGGCTACGTGCTGATAACATCGGCGATAACGACCTTTCACTTTTTTGTCCGGACATTTTTCTTGTTTCTACTGAATTTTTTTATTAAAGGAATGACTTTTTTTAAAAAATTTTTTATACCTGAAATTTCATATATTTGAATATTCGATATTATCAGTTTATCATATGTAAGTGGATTTCACGTTTGATTGTTGTTCCTTTTTACTTTTTTATTTTTTCTTAGCATTGTTTCGATGGTTGATTGTTTGATTTTTTTAAATTTTTAATAAATTTGATGAATTATATATTTATATTATATATAATATAAAATTTTATTTTTATATTATTTTTATATTAAAATTATATATTATAATTTATATTGAATATAAAAATATAAAATATATTATTTTAAAATTATTAAATTTATATATAATAATTATTAAAATTTTGAATTATATTATTTTTATATTTTAATTATATCATATTAATGTATTATATTTTAAATTATTAAATTTATATTTGAGTGTCATGCATGTTCACGGTGTAAAAATATAAGTAGAAAAAGGGCTAAACGGTGACGGCGGAGTTTTTAGAATTAGGAAAAGATAACGGTGTTTCGGTTAATAGATTCTTTGAAGAATTTTAGAAGTGGAAGGATGCTAACCTAAACCCTAGATGCCGTCTTTCCTCTCCATTTTTTCTTTAATCTTTAACTTGCGTTTGTTTATACCAAAACGAAATGGTGTAAAAGGGGGAGAGGAGTCAACGAAAGGGTTGGGCTTGTGCTTTTGCCCAATGCTTTCACTTTAATATCGAAGTTGCCATTGTTTCAGCCTTTTCCAACTTATCGAAGTCAATGTTATGTTGCTGTTACGTGATTTGCATGACATTAGTTTTTAACAATATAGTTGGCCCCAAGCAGGTTAACTGTCACGTTCAAGCTTGGAGGAATTTCTTGAAAAAGATGTGGTTTGAGCTGTTATCTAGTTGGTTATGTTGTGCATGAAACTAAAATAAGATATCAATAAATGATAAACATGATTTGGAGAGTAGATTTGTTCATGAGTTGAGTGATTTGTCAAAAGATATAATTTAGACGTAACTTTTAATATGATTTTTGAGTAAATTTATTAATTTGTGTATTCATATATTAATATAAAATAGTACTAAATATTAATTTATATAAAATATTAAAATTATTAAATAATAATTTATGTTGATATATTAAAATATATTAATTTTTATCAAATTTATAAATAAATTTTTTGTTAAAATTTTAAATTGATTTTTTTAAATTTGTGTTTAAAATTGTTATTTTTATTTTTAAATTTGAGCTGAATTCATTTTAGATATTATTTAATATTAGAATAATATAATTAAAATTTGCATTTTAAATAGCACAAATATAAATTTACATACAGTCCAAACGATTCTTTTTAATAAAATATATGTCATGCTTGTAATGATATACAAGTAACCATTAGATTCTTATTTTTCTTTTGATATACATATAAATAAGATATAGGATATGAGCAAATATAAACTATACTTTGGCTCAAATCCTTCACAAATACATGCCATTATTCTCATTTTTTCATCATCCCCTTTCACCTTTTCAAACCAAAACTAGTCAAATTTATAGAAATATAAAATAAATTAACAATTTCTTCGTATTTTCATTGGTCAAAAATCCCAAATGAGTGGTTACTAGTTAATACAGTATTTAGAACGGCACATAATGGCATATCTGTAATAAACATCCAAGTCAGTGTCATTTAATCTAACTTTATTACGTATTTTGCCAACTAGCTCTTTTCCCTTCATTTAAAAAAACTCAACAGCAGAGATGACTTATTAAAAACGAAGACATCGAACAGCTAAAGCAGCTAACAGCAGAAACGAGGAAAGAAAATCAAAGCCGAAGAAAGGAAACCAAGAAATCAGAGCTAAGAGTGGAGAGCTTTTGAGTTTCCTATGGCAATAATCAATTGTAACCTTGTTGTGATCTGTGCCATGATTATGGCCATGGGGCTAATGACCATTGACGCAAGTGGGGACCACCATCAGCCAATCCTGGGTTGGATACCCACCAACGGATCGCCATGCAAGGGTTCCATAGCTGAATGCTTGGCCGGGGAAGAGTTTGAGCTGGACTCAGAGATCAGCCGGCGTATTTTAGCAACCACCAAGTACATCAGCTACGGTGCGCTGCAGAGGAATACAGTTCCTTGTTCCCGACGTGGCGCTTCCTATTATAATTGCCAGCCTGGAGCTCAGGCCAACCCTTACAACCGTGGCTGCAGCCGTATTACAAGGTGCAGGAGCTAAACTCTTTTTTTTTTTGTAATTTTCTTTTTCCTTTTTAATGGGTTTGGTTGTTAACTTGTTATACATGGTGGTGATGGGTTTTTATTGTAATTGCAGAAAATATTATTAGAATTTATTTTATTTTTAATGTATCTGTCAAAGATTATTGTTACTATCATACTTTTTTGTTTCTCACAAGATCTGTAGCTTTTCTTTTTAGGTGTTGTGGGTAATTTTACGATTTATTCATTGTTTAAGAAATATAATTTTTAATTATATATTCTTAGGTGATTAATAATTTGGTTTTAAAGGCTTTAGTTAATGGTGGAAAATCAAAATCCTGCTACAATTGGCCCCAGAGAAAAAGTGGAAACTTCTGAGTTGTCAATTGTCAATTGTCAGTTGTCATGGTTTGAAAAAGGACGATAGGGACATGAAAGTTTCTGAGAGGACATAAAGCTGGAAGGGATTTGTTGAAAATGATATTCTGTTGGGAGATTTTGAGGGATCTCTTTTGAGTTTAGCCAGATTTTAATTTACAAGAAAATGGGAATTAAGTATGGGTATGGGAGGTTACATCCTGATAATTAGATCTAAGTAAGATTTCATAAATTTTGATATTTTGTGTTATCGTATTATATAATATTTTATTTATATTTTGTTTTATATCAAAATAATATATAATAATGTATGTTGATAAAAAAATATAAAATATTATTTTATTAAATTTATTTATAATATTTTAAAATTTTAAATTATATTATTTTTATATTTTCTATCTTATTAAATTTTAAATTATCATATAACTCATTTTATGAATTATTTTAATGATTATTAAAATGGTAATTCTGAAAATTGTGAAATTTTAGATGGCAATGGGATGTTTTTAAGTATGGGTAGTTAAATCAATAATCTGATGGGTCCATCACAACCTGACATGTGCCCTATGAATAAAATCAAAAGCCATTTCAATTGTCCCCTGTGGACCAAACTTTCCCATAAATTGCCTTTTTTTTTTTTACATTGTTTGTGTTCAATCTTATTTCTTCTCTGGTTAAAAGTCTGAATCTCTGATGGATAGTGTAAAACTATGAATTCAAGACCGACCTGCCCCCTATCTTAGACGGTACATTTTGTCTTAATGAGGGATTGAATATCTTATTTATTTCGATTTATTTCGTACCAAAAAAAATAATAAATTCAAGACAAAATGAGAAATCTAATTTTAATTTTTGGGTATCCCAAAAGGCTTAATAAAATGATGGGTGTGATATTACAAATGGCGGTTGGCCATGCCAGAGATAAAATTAATTTAGATTGGTGGCTAATAAAATGCAAATGGATTGTACTTTTATACTCTACTCTACAGTGGATCAAACTTCAAACTGGCAGACGCTTGGATTGGACATGTAATAGCTCTTGGTGGGCCTTAAGTCCTACCAGATTGTCTATACACCACCAGGCAGATGGAAAAGCTGAAGAAATTTTAATAATCATCGACTAAGCCGGGTTTGGTTTTCACTCGCATTTTCTGTGGTGTAGTTGAGTTTAACTTATTATCAATTAAATTTAAAAATTAATTTTAATAAAATTTTTTATAAAATTTTTTTTCAGTCGCATCTATATAGTTTTTATTATTGTTTTTTATCTTATCAAAATTAATTTCATCGTCCCCCTCACATTTATATCCAAAAAAACAATACCAAATTTAGGATTTTGAGCTACCTCTATGGAGGGTGGTCCAAAGTTCTAATTTTCTAAGTACATGTTGAAGCTAATGATAATGGGTTAGAGTTTTGTATTCCCCTCTTTGAGCCCAAAATTCAATAGGCTTGCACAATTGTGTCAGTTCCAAAAAATAAAATCTTTCGAAACCTTTGGGCTTCTGTTGGACCAAGTGTTTGCCTGTTTTGATAATTAAGTTAACCAATTTGATCATCTAGAAAAATGACTTTCACCAAGTTATTTTCCATCTTCCATCATGAACTTTAGCAAGTAAACTTCTACCAAATATGACACCCACAACATCCATTACAAAGCGGAAGAAGGGACCTATTGGTGCAATAATTCTATCTTCTTACTCATTGAGACCCAATAATTTAACATCAAAAAAAAAAAAAAAAATCATGCATCATTATGGGTATTGACCCCAATTGATATGAATAAAGAAAATATAATCTTCAATAAATTTGATAATTTTAAATATAATATGATAATATAATATAAAAAATAAAAATGATACAAAAAATATATATCAAAATAATATAATTTAAAATTTTAACAAAAATTATATATAAATTTAATAAAAATAAACAAATATGTTTTGTATTTTCTATTTCAATATAAATTTTAATATGATAATTTTCGTATTTTATAATTATTTAATATTAAATAAATATTATACATATACATGTGTAAAAGACTAACATTAAGTTACAGAACATTCTCTATGATATTGGCTCCATCCAGCGCGTAAACAATGGGGAAGGGGAAGCCCAAAATCCTTGGTCTTCGGTTGGTTGACGTCTTTTTTGTAAAGTTCATTGATTTCTCGACGAATTTCCCCTTTTTATTCACCCACTCCGCATGATACGTTTAATTAGCCCCGAAGGACACAAATAATTAACCGACACGTTTCTTCACAGCTTCTTTGATTCCTCTCCCAATCCTATAAAACCAACGCCACACCTAAAAGCAGCGTATCCTTTTTCTTCATAAAAAAAAAGAGCCTAAAGTTCATCGATTTTTTCGTCATTTTCAAGAAGAGTGGTTTCTGTCATGGCTCAAGGAGACTCGGACGTCCAACAAGACATGGTATTTTCATTAAACATTTCCCTTTTTTTTTTATTTATTTATCGGGTAATCAAAATTGTATTTTTATTTTTTGTTGATTGGGATTTGAAAGGCTAAAGACGAAAAACAGAGGTTGAAATACTTGGAATTCGTGCAAGTAGCCGCTGTTTACGCGGTTTTTTGCTTCATCAACCTCTACGTTTACGCCAAGGAAAGGTCGGGACCGTTGAAGCATGGCGTCGAGACCGTTGAGGGAACGGTTAAGAGCGTGGTTCGACCTGTTTATGATAAATACCATGATGTCCCCTTTGAGCTTCTCAAATTTGTTGATCGCAAGGTAATGTCTGTGTTTCATTATATTTTGTTTTGATAGTAAAATCAGAGTAAGTACTTGATTTGTGATTCTGGGTTGATGGGGTTGTGGGATAATTGTGATATGGAAAATGCCATTGAAACTTTGCCACTTCAAAATGATTAGGATTACTTTCTTTAATCAAAGTATTGCTTTTTTAGATCATGGGAAAATCTGGGGTTGGGTTGCGAAACTATGGTTTTAATTGAAATTACACGAACAAGAGGTTGGCTCAATTGACGAGGATGTCCACTTTCGAGTCCTGGCCTGGTCATCTTGAACGTATGAATTTTTTGTTACTGTTAGGTACAATATGTCTTATTCTGTCATGATATTGAGGACTGAACGATTTATCTATCCAGATTTTATCTACCAAAAAAATCGAAATTACATAACTTTTAGATCATATGTTTGACTGACAAAAAAGGGCATGCTAAGATTGATGATCAAAGGAGATTAAAAAAAAATTCTTCTTCGGTTTATTGTAGGTTGGTGAATCTTTGAGTAAGATGGATGGTCGTGTTCCTCTACTTATCAAGCAGGTCTCTTTTGAAGCCATCTCGGCTGCCCAAAAGGCTCCAGGGATGGCTCGAGGTGTGGCTTCTGAGGTCCAGCGTGCTGGAGTGGTGAGCATTGCTTCAGGATATGCAAAATCTGTGTACACCAAGTATGAGCCCACTGCGAAAGAGCTTTATGCCAAGTATGAGCCAAAAGCTGAACAATCTGCTGTTTCAGCATGGCGTAAACTGAACCAGCTCCCTCTCTTCCCACAAGTTGCTTCAATTGTTGTCCCAACAGCTGCCTATTACACTGAAAAGTATAACCAAACAGTGGTTAGCAGTGCAGAGAAGGGGTACAAGGTTGCTTCATATTTGCCATTGGTTCCTACTGACAAGATTGCCAAGGTGTTTAGTGAAGAAAAGCCTGAACCAGAGCCACTGCTGTCTAAAAATTGATTAGCTTGAATCTGGTTTTACATAATAATTACTTGGTGATTATGTGATTGCCTTAGAAGTTTCACCTCTTGATCTTGTCTTTTTAAGTTTTGAGTCTGCAACTTAATACTACTTTCACCTCTCTAGAGTGACTTTTTATTCAAGTTTCAATGACCAGTTTCCCTGAACTGTTATTCGTCTCCTTTAGTTAGGTTAGCCTCGTGTTTATGTGAAAGAAATAGGCCCAAACAGTTGGGCCAGAATGTAGGCCCAGATTAAGAAAATTGAGCTGCAAAGAGGCCCAAAATGAGAAAAAAAATGATTGGATTGAAAATTTAGATACGATATGATAGTGATATAAGTTAAAATTTTAAAAATAATTATATATAATTTAAAAAAATTAAAAAAATACATTTTATATTTATTTTATCGATACTGTTATACGTAATTTTTATGTAAAATATAAATAAATATATAAATTTTAATATTTAAAAAAATATACACAAATCACCGAATTTAGTCAAAATAAGAAACATTAGGCCCACAATCAGGCTCAAAAAATAAATAAGTAAACACATATGGGCCCAAGATGGCCCGAGACAGCGTGCAGGAGCACATTCATCGCCTCGCTCTCAATTCTCAATTTCTTCGAAAACAACAATAAAAGCACTACTCTCTCTTTCTCTCTCTCTCTGCCTTTTTTTTTCCCCTGCTTCCATTGCTTGACAGATTTCTTTTATTTTCTCTCTCGACCTTTTAATTTCTTCGATCAAAGTCATCGTTTTTATTTAAACCGTCACCGATGGCAACTGCCATGGCAGAAGATTCAAGCTTTGAAGAAGACCAGCTGACTTCGATGACCACCGAGGACATCATCCGAGCTTCCCGTCTTCTTGATAACGAAATTCGAATTCTCAAGGTCCCTCTCGAATCTCGATCTCTCTCCTTTTCCTTTTATATCTGCGCTTTAATCATTATTTGCATTGTATTTTTTAGGGTTTTCTAAAAAAGTCCACCGCCGCTATTAAGATCTCGTCATTTTAATAAAATTTCGTCTTTCAATTATTCGATATGGATTAAAGCTAATTAATTTTTACATATAAAGGAAAGTTCTTTAGTTTAGTTTTTAATTTTCTAGTTTTAGTTTAATTGGGAAATCTTGATGGTTAAAGCTAAGTAATTTTCTTTTGTTCCCAGATTTTTTTTCTTTGGAAATTTTGTAACCCTAGTTTGTGTGAATTTTCTGGTTTTTGGTTTAATTGGTTTTGTGGGATTAAAGGAAGAGATGCAGAGGACCAATCTGGAGTTGGATTCACACAAGGAAAAGATTAAGGAGAATCAAGAGAAGATTAAGCTTAACAAGCAATTGCCTTACTTGGTCGGTAACATTGTTGAGGTAATTTAAAACTTTTTTTTCCAAATCCCTTTTGAATTTCTGTGTTATGTTTGTTCTCTAGTAGTCTTTGACTTATTCTGTGCTGGTGTATAATGATTCTGTGTTTAAGCAAACTCAAAATAGCATTGAAAGGGAGAACCAGCTAAATAATGAGCCATTGTTGATGCATTTATGTCATGGTTAAGCATCTTATTGGGAGATCCAATGCTTAATTACTGTTTCTTTCAGATATTGGAGATGAATCCTGAAGATGAGGCAGAGGAGGATGGTGCCAACATTGATCTTGACTCACAAAGGAAGGGTAAATGTGTTGTGCTGAAAACCTCTACTCGTCAGGTGAGGGCAAGTCTGTTATGTTTTTCCATAGTGAAATTAGTTATCAAATCAACATTTTTTTAATATTGGTGAAAAGAACAATTCATTTTGATCTTGACTTGTTTTATAATTACTACAGACCATATTTCTACCTGTGGTTGGACTTGTTGATCCTGATAAACTGAAACCTGGTGATTTGGTTGGGGTCAATAAAGACAGCTACTTGATATTGGATACTTTGCCATCTGAGTACGATTCCAGAGTAAAGGCTATGGAGGTTGATGAGAAGCCAACTGAGGACTACAATGATATTGGTGGCTTGGAGAAGCAGGCACACTTTTTAATTCTACTGCCCTTTCTGAGAAGATCATTTCATAACTGTTAAGCTAATGTTTAATGTCTTTTTCTGATGGTTTTTCCTGGAACAGATCCAAGAACTAGTTGAGGCCATTGTGTTGCCCATGACTCATAAAGAACGGTTTCAAAAGCTAGGCATTCGTCCACCTAAGGGAGTGCTCTTATATGGACCTCCTGGCACTGGAAAAACCTTAATGGCTCGTGCTTGTGCAGCACAGACAAATGCCACATTTCTGAAGCTAGCGGGCCCACAACTGGTTCAGGTATGAAATCCTGTATCTTTTTCCAGCTTACTTCTCTAGATGTTTGGATCCTGTCTACTTCTTTCAATTTGTGTTGGAATCATTTTTTGTCGTATTACTTCTTGATTATTATAACGTGACAGAAAAAAATGTGAGCAATAAAATAGTTTTTATTATTGTTTTGTCATTTTTTATCTGCTTACTTAGGCCTCATAATAAGTAATCAAAATTGTAATGCATGTAGATGTTCATTGGTGATGGAGCGAAACTTGTTCGTGATGCCTTTCAGCTTGCAAAAGAAAAATCTCCATGCATCATTTTTATAGATGAAATTGATGCAATTGGCACAAAGCGTTTTGATAGGTAATGCCATATCTTAATTTCTTGGGAAGCAAAGTTGTTTTGAGGCTGGTAATGCTGGCATTTATTTGTGGAAGGAATCACTGATTCTTGATATCTGTTACCACATGCAGTGAGGTGAGTGGAGATAGGGAGGTTCAGCGAACAATGTTGGAACTGCTCAACCAGCTTGATGGATTTAGCAGTGATGAACGTATTAAGGTTTGCTTTTGTGGTGCATAATTATTATGTTATCTGTTTGATAAAATATAAGTGATCTATTCTAACATAGTGAATGTATTGTAGGTCATAGCAGCAACTAACCGAGCTGATATCCTTGACCCTGCTTTGATGCGTTCTGGTCGATTGGATCGTAAAATCGAGTTCCCACATCCCAGTGAAGAAGCAAGAGCTCGAATCCTTCAGGTATGACTTTCAGTGCTGCCACTTCTATGGCTTCTATCCTGGGCAGAATTTTATTGAATTCTTTCCTTGATTTTGTAGATCCACTCAAGGAAGATGAATGTTCATCCAGATGTCAATTTTGAAGAACTTGCTCGATCTACGGATGATTTCAATGGAGCACAGCTGAAAGCTGTTTGTGTGGAGGCAGGCATGCTAGCTCTCCGCCGTGATGCAACTGAGGTGCACTTTCTAAACTTCTAGGAGTTTATTTGCTTAAATTTCTTTTTGGCAAGAAAACATGTAAACGGTTATTAGTTATTCCGTAGTGAATGTGCTTGCACTTGAATATGTATCTGCATGTACATTTGTTTGTATCAGATTTACTTATGAACATTTGAGCCATGAGAGCAGTGAGTAATAAAATTTGGCTTTCTGTCTGATTTACAGGTGAACCATGAAGATTTCAACGAAGGTATCATTCAGGTACAAGCTAAAAAGAAGGCAAGCTTAAATTACTATGCATAATCGGGAGAGCATGTCACCATGAGAAGGTGCTTTTCAAGCCAACGTCGGGGAGGTGGCAGAGCTTTTTACTCAGAGAGAAGGCACCTTCCAAGACAATGCCAAGGAGATAGCTTCATCCTGTTGAGAATATGTTTAAAAACGTGCTTGACTGGCCAACTGTATTGTGTTAGTTTATATTATTTAAACCATTAGAAATGATTGCTTTATCTAAAGACTGCCATATTATTTGAACGCTGCTATTCTCGGGTTGTTTAGCTGCAGATATAGTAAAAAACAAAAAGGTTGACTTGGGAAAACTTCAGCTGCAGGTCTCTTAGCTTGTCGAGGATAAGGGAATTATGAGTTTCACCATTTTCAAGCTTTTTAACATTTTTCAAGAAAATATTTCTAGGCTAGACAAATTCCCTCTGTATTTTAGAGGCGTTTTGTTTTCAAAATATTAATTTAGAAACTATAGTCTTTAGAAGCTTGAGACTGCAAAAGCCTTCAATTGAAAGAGCTATACATCTGGAAAGTGGAAAGAGCTAAGTACACACCATCGGTCACGGGAATAAAGGAGTGGGCATCTTTTCTGGTTGCCCGAGTTGACGAGACCTAGAACAGGATTACAACTTGACCACAGGGAAAACAACCCATGCAAGTACAAGTATCATGAACCCAAAAAAATATTGGAAAAAACACTATTTTACTCCTCAATCAAGTTTTAAATATATCCTCATTGCCACAAGAACATGTAAAATGATAAATAGTAACACCGAGTTATATATGAACTAAGAGTAGCACTAAATGGTATAGAACTTATATCTAGAATTACAAAAGCGCAGTCAGTTCACTATCAGGCGAAGGACTCCATTACCACTTGACTTCCTTCAAGCCATAGGCAAAGTACAAGAAGGTTGGATCGGTGGTGCCTTCCTTGTAGTATGCAAACACCAGGCTACCATCATCATGCATGCTCTCGCCCACAAAACTACAACACAATAACTCAAATGGTAAGAAACAATAATTGGTTCTAAATCAAGTTAATTATAGATAATCTGTGAAAATATACAAAAGTTGCATACAATTGGAGATCTTTAATCTTCGAAAGCAAAAACTTAGTTGCCCCCTCTATGTTCTTCTTGAACGACTCTTGCTTCTCTGGCTCTAATTTGGGTGTCAAGTTCTTGATGTACCTCTTTATGAAGGTGACAAACTGCTTCTTGTCAAATGCAGGTTGCTCCTGAAAATCAAACAACCGCAATTTCTTAGACGAGTATAAAAAAAAAATCAGCTATAAATCATGAAAAGAAGTGCACTGCATTTGCCTGAAGTCTGAAAGTGTCGACAATGTCGACAACCTTTACAGCCTGGTCATCAACACCTTCATCTTCATCGCCACCTTCTGCTGAACGGTTAGCCCCAATATCTACATTGACAGCTCCTTGGATAACCCACTGCATTAAAGATCTATTGTGTCCATGAAACCCAATAAAAGAAACAAGAGAATACACAGCATGAAACCGAGAGTTTCAATTAACCCCCAGTTGGAAACACAAGAAAATAAAGAAGAAAAAGATTCCAACCTTCGTTCTACTTCCCACAACATTCCATTCTCGATTTCTTTGTATGGGAAACAGTCTGAGAGGAGCTCATCACCTGAAAGTCATCAACAATAACCAAGTTTACAATCATGACCAACTCACAACAAACAAAACCGACCCAACCTACTTGAATTAAAGCCAATAGGCAAATTAACAGATCAAAATATCTAAACAAAATTCATAGCAAAATACAGATCTTGGAACCAACAAGCACAGCAGCAAAAAGAAAAAAATTGAAGAGGAAAAATATGGAAAAAATATCAACATGAACAAGAAGAAAAAGCTTTACCTGTGAGAAGATCCTGATAAACTAACATATTTGCTGAAAATTAATTGATTTCACCCTCTCTCTCTTTTGGCCTTATAAATTTCAATTTGGAACTTTGCTGAAGAGAGAAAGCATAGTAAATCGGTCGCCAAGCGGCAGCGAGGATTTATAGCGGGAGGGCGAAAATCAAGGGAATTGAATTTACTAAAATAGCCATGGATTTTTTTGTTGAATTTCCCATTTTTTCCCCGTTTGAACTTTAACGGTGACGGTAACTTGCAAAGTAAAAAGTAAAAATTTGATAAGATCTAATTTTAGTCAAACACTCAAAAAGTTAGTTAAAAACTAAAACTGAAACTCAATCGCTGCAATTCCGGACATTCGTGTTGTTCTACTGGGTCCCACCATGTTTATGTTCACAGCATTTTTTTTTATTTATTTCTGCCAGTTTAATATACTTAAATTCTAATTTTTTTTCTTAAATTAAAAAAATATTTTTTGTTATAATAGAAACCAATTCCAAGGCAGATTTGGAAAGAAGATTTTCCAAAGCGATGTACGAGTTATGATTCTTTTAGAAATCTTGTACCAGTAGGCTTAGGATATAACAACCTATATAAATACCATGCAAATACAAGTACACAACCATGAAATCAAAGTACATTTTCATCCAGCAATAGTTACATATCATTCATGGCTGATCGTGCTCCCAACCCTTTTGCTCCTTTGGGTGGCGAAGACGGCGACGATCCGTCAAAGACCATCAACCATCGCGTTACATGGGAGGCGGCAATGCGTGATCTTGACAACCATACTGATTTTTCTGAAAAAGAAGTTGACAGAACTAAAAACAAAGCAACAACAATATCAGAAGCCTCGAAGCAGATTCAGAATAAGTTGGAGAAGAAACAGAAGAAGCTGAAGAAGGAAAAACTTGAATGGGATATCATTGATGAGCTTGAGAATTACAAGAAGATATCGATTAGCCATCCTAAATCTAAAACAGAAGTATCAGTTGTTAAAGAACAAAAGCAGCATGGCGGTCGTCGAAAGCGTAACTTTTGGACTATTAATAAAAATTTCTGCAAGCTAATAGTGGTGCTTTCAGTTATAATCATCGTAGACAATCTTCTCAGTTTCATATTTAAGTTTTTAAGCTCTATGTAAATTTTTTTTTCTTCTTGGTTCCTTTTATTAGTTAATTAATGTCTTTTTTTTTCTTTTCTAGATTGTGTTAGACGAAAGGGTTCTAACTTAGGGTATAATTTTGTAATAATCATAGTAATTAATTTTTTAAAACAGCTTCTTGCTTTAAATTAGTTTTTGTGAAATTATTTATTAATGAATTTAGAAGTGAGTAAATTGTGTAGGCAATTCTCAAACTCTGGTTTTCCATCGGGCCTGGTTTTGGCCTAACCGGACTCGTCGGAGTCACATCAGTTCTTATCTATGCCACTACTCCTTGGCTCCAACACCCAGCTAAGTAATCTTTTCAATTCCCTTTCTTTAAGAATCTCATTGTCGGGTGCCGGATGAGGCCAATTTGGTCTCCGTTTCCGTCCATGAAATTGGCCACGCTATCGCATTTCTAATTATTTGATTGCATTGAAAAGAGAATTAATGTTTTAAGTTGAAAACTTGAGTTTCAAGAATAGTTTTTTCTCGTGTTTGTTACCATAAATGAAAAAGCAGTGAGGGAATACAATTGAAGTACATTGCGCTTTTTCTTGCGGTTCTGTTTCCTGGTGCTCTAGTTGCTTTTGATTATGATTTGCTGCAGGCATTATTGCTACGATTAACTTCTCTTGGCCTATATTATGCTGGGATTTGGTGTAATGCAATGGTAACCACTCTGTATCACGAGCCTGGAGATAATACTATCTTCTCTTGGCTTGATATAATAAAAAGCCTTCAAGATATTAATTGAAGGCAACCGATCTTGCTTACGACAGGCTATCAAGTACGAAATCATTATCCGTTGGCAAGCAGCTGAAAGGGAGCTATATTCCACCTCTCTTGAATCTTCATGAAGAAAGGATGTAAAGGAAGGTGGAAGACACCCTGAAAAATGGATAAATAGAACACAACCAATCGCCCATTCATGTCGATCAAACTTACGGGGCAAATAGAAGATGACCTCCGCATATCATCACAGTTGAAATCAAACCCATGACTGGCTTGGCTAATGTCTCTCCGATATCCTGAGGCTTAATGGTATTGCTAAACTCATCAGAGTACTAAACTTCATCAGCGACAATGTCTCCTCCTACCTAAGGCAGTAAGGAGTAGATGGATATAACTGGAGACAACATCTCCTTTAAATAATTTGTCTAGCCATAATTTTTCTAGCTAAAGGGTTACCGAAAACGAACCTCTCCCAACAATTTTTCTAGCTATAATTTTCCTGCCCATAAATAAAACTCACCAAAAATAAAAATGAAAATCGTTACTTGCATGAGTATCTACAGATATATAGCGAACGAAACCAAGCAAAATACTATAACCAGTGAAGAATATGTTGATTGAATGAGGTTGCTTTTATTTTCTTCACAAAAACAAAGTGAGGAAGAAAAGAAAATGATGAACTGATAAAATTGACAATGGTGTTGATTGAATAAGATTGCTTTATCATCTGCGTTAAAATAAAGAAAAAAAGAAAAGAAGATGGAGTGCTAATATGATATTTACATGTTGTAAAGTACCTTGTTAAGGGAAATAAGATTAAAAGTGTCCTCATTAAAAAATAAAGATTTTAAATTACTCGTGTAGAAAAAACTTCTCGTTCCATGTTTCTCAAACATTAGCTCTTCTCAACAGCTTAACGTGAGTTCAAAAACAGCCATAGATTTTTGTTGAATTTCCCATTTTGTCCTCGTTTTATCTTTAACGGCGACGGTAACTTGCAAAGCAAAAAGTAAAATTTTGAAGAGATCAAAATTTTAGTCAAACACTTAAAAGTAAGTTAAAAACTAACCGCAGATGTTTCATCTGGTACTTGTGGAGTTCGCTTTGCTTTTGCTGCAATTCCGGACATTGTGGTGTTCAAGTGGGTCCCACCATATCTATGTACACAGTATTTTTTATTTGTTTCCGCGAGTCTAATATACTTAAATACAATTTTTTCTTAAATTAAAAAAAAATCAATTTTTTTTTTTTTTGTTATAGGCAGATTTGGAAAGAAGAATTCCAAATCGATGTACGAGTTAAGATTCATTTAGAAATCTTGTACCAGTAGAATTAGGATATAACACCCTATATAAATACCATGCAAATACAAGTACACAACCCTGAAATCAAAGTATATTTTCATCCTGCAACAGTTATATATCATTCATGGCTGATCGTGCTCCCAACCCTTTTGCTCGTTTGGGTGGCGAACATGGCGACGATCCGTCAAAGGCCATCAACCATCGAGTTACATCGGAGGAGGCAATGCGTGATCATGACAACCGTACTGATTTTTCTGAAAAAGAAGCGGACAGAACTAAAAACAAAGCAACAACAATATCAGATGCCTCGAAGCACATTCAGAATAAGTTGGAGAAGAAAAAGAAGAAGCTGAAGAAGGAAAAACTTGAACAGGATATCATTGATGAGCTTGAGAGTTACCAGAAGAGATCAATTAGCAATCCCAAAGCTAAAGCAGAAGGATCAGTTGTTAAAGAACAAAAGCAGCATGGCGGTCGTCGAAAGCGTAACTTTTGGACTAGTAATAAAAATTTTTGCATGCTAATAGTGGTGCTTTCAGTTATAATCATCGTAGACAATCTTCTCAGTTTCATATTTAAGTTTTTAAGCTCTATGTAATTTTTTTTCTTCTTCTTGGTTCCCTTTATTAGTTAATTAATGTCTTTTCTTTTTCTTTTTTTTTTCTAGACTGTGTTAGACGAAAGGGTTCCAAGAACTAATTAGGGTATAATTTTGTAATAATCATAATAATTAATTTTTTTTTAAAACAGCTTCTTGCTTTAAATTAGTTTTTGTGAAATTATTTATTAATGAATTTAGAAGTAAGTAAATTGTGTAGGCAATTCTCAAACTCTGATTTTGGCCTAACCGGACTCGATTATGATTGGCTGCATGTACGCATTGCCACGATTAACTTCTTTTGGCGTATCTCATGTGCTGGTATTTGGCATAATGCAATGGTAATCTCACAAATTTATAATCAGTTTTTCATGTTTAGATAATTTCTTGATCGGCTTAGGCTTAGTTTAGCATTGTAGTTGGGTTGCAAAAAACTTTGGTTTGTCAAACCATGGTGCAAAGCTGAAATTTTAAATCCGTATACGTATATTGTTGTCATTGTGGTCCAAATTAGAGTTTCAGAACCTTATTGTAATGCCAAACTCAGTCTTTTTTAATTCCGCCCCCCCCCCCCTTGGCGTTCTGTCGTCCATGGACTTTGTGGATTGTTGTTGTTCCTGCAGCCTGTGATCCTGTTTCTGTTTTACATACATGCTGAGAGCCCTTTGGTACTTCACCGCAAGTATTTACTTGTTTCATTTCATTTTACTCATTGTATGCTTAGATTCAAAACATGAATGCTGATACGCTTGACTTGTCTTATCTTTCTCCTGTCTTGAGTAAGGGTTTTGGATGTAGCTCCAGCATTGCCTTTATCTGAGTTTTTGTCTGCTGGGATGCAATAGTGTCATTGGATGGTGCAGGCATCCATGATACACGAGATTGGATGGGGATGACTGCTCTACTAGATAAAAAGATACTTCATAATTCAAGTGATTCTCATTATTTTAAAGGTTTTGGTGCAGTGGGTAGCATAAAGGGGTTTTGTGTGCTTAATGCCTAGTTGGAAGACAACAAGAAGTTTCAATTGGCCGGCAACCAATCTGTTTGTCCTTATGATCTAATGGCGTTTGTGAGAATTCACTGCTTTGATCCGAGAAAGTCAGAAGATGTGGGTGACAAAGAAGGTCATCTTGGAAGAAGAGAAAATGAGCTCTGTTTGAATACAAAGGATATTGTCAAGCTTGAAAAATGTGGTGATGGATGGGGAACAGTAATGACAAACGGAATCAGCTGCATGCATTCCTAGGTACACGTTTATCTTCAGAAGCATAAATTAGCGTTTTTCCTTTGTCTCTTAGTTGCTTCGATATGATTCAAACAGTATATCATTGAGAACAACCTTTTTCTTATGCCTGTTGCTAGGTTTGATGTGGGTTGAGATTACATATTCGAGGCCCTATTCAACAGAAGTTCCCTTTTAGATTCCAACACTTATTCTGATGCTGGAAAGGAGACCTGTGGTGAAACTTTTGTTTTTCTTGGTGATCTGATATTTATGGCCCATTCGGTTCAGTTGACCAAATATCAACCTCGTCAGGGATTTTTTTTCTTAGTGATTATCTTCCAAACAAGCTGCAAAAGAGCTTAACATGCACATTCCATGTTTCTCTAATATTAGCTCTTCTCAACAGCTTGCCCGAAAGTACAACATTTTCACTTAATGGAAAATTTACCTTCTGTTCAAGCATATGCTTTTCCACCTTCATTGCATTGCAGCTCATCACCCTAACAAACAGATAATATATATAATGAAGGTGAATTTAACAGTGCCAATGTCGCTGTGCTGTCCAAAATGGATATGGCTGCCGACATATCCCTTCGAAGCCGTGAAAGCAAAGCATTGCTGGCTTCCTTTGGGCACCAACTGGACTCTAAAAAAAAAGAAAAAATTAATGCATTTTGTGTTGTATACGAACGTTCCCTCATATGGCCACTTGGGTTTCGTACATTGCAATTGCATTCCCAGTTGTAAAAACATGCATTGTAAAAGGATAGTAATCCAAATCATCGCCATTAGCCAGCTTTTCTTTAATCTTTGTCCGTGTAAATCCTGATTCATCAGATCAAAATAACTCAAATTCTAATAGTTTAAGTGTTAAAATATTGAAATTTAACAATTTATGCTCTAATTAAATTAAGTAAATGGGAGGGGAAGAATTATGAAAGTTGTTGCTAGGTTACCTTGTCATTTCAGTTAAATTTTATTGTGATTGATAGTTTCTTGTTCAAACTTCATCCCATTAAAATCTGTAAGAACCCCTCTAAACACTTGATTTTTTTGCTCAAATCGATGTGGGATTGTGTTTCAAGATCATTCCAAGAAGGAATTAGTTTCAAATTAAAAAAAAAAAAAATTAAAGATCTAATATTTGTTTAAGCATGAGTATTTAACTATGATATTTTATTCCATGTTAGTTGAGATTTTTGAGAATATTAAATGCAAAGCAAATTCATTAATCAAAGATATATTGTTCTTCATTAGCCATCTACCCAAAGCATATTCTTCAATAAACGTAATTAAATATTCGTTAGAAAGTTTGATCCTCTTAATTTGGACAAAAGCTCAAGAAATATAAAATAAAAAATTTTGAAGAAAACAAAAAAAAAAAAAACAATTTTACTTGATGAAATATAGTATAATTATTATATTATAAGAAATTATTTAATACATTAATAGTAATTTTTTTTAATTTTATAAGTAGAATTAAGATAATAAGATATATAAATTAGTATTTTTAAATATATAAAAAATATGTATCATCATATTAATTTCATTTGTAAAATTAAAAAATTTTACTGATAATATATTTGAAATTATTATTTTTTTGTCTTTTTTTTGTCATCAAATCTATAGTATAAAAATAGTATATGAATTCACGTTTTTATTTTAATTTTGTACATTATTCTTCACATGAATCATACACTAAATAAAGTCTTAATAAAAATCAAAATGTATATTTTTTCACAAAATTTTTTCAAATGTCATGTACACTAGCTAGTTTTGAAAGAACATTTTCCCACGTGCCAAACAGTTTTCCTCATGTTCGACCCTACCCGAATCCAAAAATTGGCCACCCAATTTCCGCCCACCATTTTATTTAACAACAAAAGTATAGCTCACAGATAAGAGATAATAATATTATATTTATTGTTTGAGCAATAGCCAATGTCAACCAAAAGCAATCCAACCCGTACAAAGAACTTTGAGAAAGAATCTGACCCGTCGGATGGATGTCATTTGGACAGAGACTATTTGGTCAACTTAAACAGTACCAATGCACCTGTCCAAATCTGACGGTCCGAAATTAAGGTTTCTTCTAAGACAGAGAAAAAGAAAGTGAAAGAGAAAGACAGAACTCCAAAAAAAAAAAAAAAAAGACGAAAACAAAGATAAGAGAGAGAGAGATTTTTCACTTTCGTTTCTTATTTTCCCTTCAACCCTAAAAGGGATTTAATATCTCTGTTATTCTTTCGTCAATCGAAAAAGGAATCTAAGAGTTTTTGTTTGTTTCTTATTTCGTTTTTGTAATTTTATCCGACTGGAAACGGACGTCGTGTTGGTGAACAGAAGCAGGAGGAGGAGGAGGAGGAGCAGGAAGAGGAAGAAGGGGTGATTTAAACGGCGTTGTTTTTTATTTTAGGAAATTTAGGTTTTGAGATTTTGGGGTGGATTAGTTTTAAGTTTAAGTTTATAACTGTTTTAATTATGGGATTAGGGATTAATGGTGGGGATGATGTGGTGGTGGATGACAGTGATGGAGGTGCCGATGGTGCTGATTGCGGAAATGGAGGGAAATCTTTCGGTTCGGTTTCATGCTCGATTTGCCTCGAAACGGTTGCCGATAATGGGGATCGATCATGGGCTAAGCTTCAATGTGGTCATCAATTTCATTTGGGTAAGTCAAAATTGTCAAGATTGGAACTGATTTTGTCAAGGAATTTTTTTTCCTAAAAAAATTGGGACGATAGGATCTGGGATCAAGTTTGCTCATTTCATTTCTGGGTTGTGTTTATTCTGACTTAATTGATGATGTAAATGAGGAAATCATAAAGATTGAACCTTTTTCCTTTTAAATTTTTTTTAATTGTTTATGCTATTCTTGTTGCTGAAAATGACAATTTAGCTTCATAAAAAAAAGATAACTATTTCATTCAGGCTCAATCTAAATGATCTTTGTTGTTTCAATAAATTGCTCCTTTTTTTTTTTTTTATCAATTGCTATGGCTGATTGGACGGTCAGAGTGAATTTTGCATTGCAATTAGTTTTTCAAGACTATTAGTAACATGGAATCAAAAGAATTGCTGTGTTTCTAGATTTGGCTATATTAGTTCTATTCATATGTTTTGATGAGTTGCAGCTTGGGAGACAGCTACTAGTATGGACATTAGTTGAATGTGAAGGATTTTAGAGTAGGCTTTATGTTATATTTGTTGGTGTGTTTGGCAGACAGTGTAATGAAATGATTGTTTGAAATCCATTTTAAAAGTTGTTATTACATGGTTTGTAATGATTGTTTTCAGATTGCATTGGTTCAGCATTCAATATAAAGGGTGCGATGCAATGCCCTAATTGTAGGAAAATTGAAAAAGGTCAATGGCTTTATGCCAATGGTTGCCGTTCATATCCGGAATTTAATGTGGATGATTGGACACATGACGAGGACCTTTATGACCTGAGTTACTCTGAAATGGTAATGAAGCAACATTTCTATGCGAATTGTTTTTATGCAGTTTCAACATTCATGGCTTAGTGAAATGGTTTTTTTTGCCTTATTTGTGTTTATGTTTCTTTTTTTTGGTATCTTGATATGTTGTTTAACCTTCTCATCCCTTGCCCTCCACCCCATGTCACTTTAAACCACCATCAATTTTATGGGTTTATTTAGTGAGTTAAATTTGATATTTGAAGCTCTTAGTTAATGAACCAAATTTCCTTTACTAAATCTGAACTGTTATCTGGGTTTCTTAAAGTTCAATAATTTCTTCCCAAATGAAAATTTGGCAGATTATAGTGTAAATTGCACTACTCTTGATACACTGCATTGCAAACCTATACAATCATTTCTCCATGTTAGTTTTTGTTGTTTGCCTTCTTTGGCTCTATATATGCATACACTTTAGACTGACTGATGAGTTGAATTGAAATCTACTTGCTGCTTACTTCTTTTGGTTTTTTATGGTTTTTGTAGTCATTTGGAGTTCACTGGTGTCCATTTGGAAGCTTAGCACGACTTCCTTCATCATTCGAGTAAGCATGACCTCACATATTTGAAGTTAAATCTAAGTAGTTTTTTGCTTCAATCTTGTATGCTGAGATGTGGTGGTCAGTTGTCTCTTCTTCACATCAAATGTTTGCAACCTTATGCATTTGTGTTTTTTCGGATGAATTTTTGTGATAAATAACTGCGAGAGAGAGAGAGAGTTTGGTGGAAAGTTGGTATCTTCTAAGTTAAACTGATTTAGAAATTAGAAAAGGTTTATGCCCTGCTTATTATTTGTGGTGGTGAAATGGTGTTTGACTTCAAGCAAATAGTGGATGTGCTTGCTACCTATTAACCTTTATATCAAAATTAATATGCAAGTAGTATAATTATTTTAGACTGTATAAAGTCTGCAACTTATGTCCCCAAATTAAAGAACCCTATCTTGATGGTTTTCTCTGTCATTTGCAAATCGATTCTGTATGAGATACGTGAGATGAATTGCTAATGTTTTAAGAGGTACTAGGCACTGGGACTCATCTTTGGGCCGGAAGTATTTCCTGAGCTTAAATTAATGGAGCATAGCATCTTGACATACATATTGTTTATTTCATCGGAAGGTACAATATGCTTATCATTCTAAGTTGGAAAAGCTTTATGTAGTATATTATCATTAATTCTCCCTTAGTTAAAAGTTCCCCTTTCATTTCTTTACGCTATCATTACAGCTTTCTTTGCTTTTCATTTGTTTTCTTTCCTTAACATGTCTTGTTTTTCTGTTTTCAGGGAAGGAGAGTTTTCATCAACCACATGTAAGATTTTTCCTCATTTTCTTAAGTAATGCTTGTTGTTATGGGTTTTATTGGTGGAGGTTGCCTGGCCTAATATGCTGATATGAGTTGTATTTGAATGCAGATCACGAGTTACTTGGACAACATGCTATCTTTGCTGACCATTCAGCATCTGCTAGTCATCCATGTCCATATGTAGCTTACTTTGGGCCAACAATTCATCCCTCATCCTCAAATTCCAGTGGCAGTGTTTCAGATAGTTCTAGTTTCAACAGTTCCTGGAATGGTGCAACATTGCCTAGTGAGATACCTAGATCTTATGCTTTTCCTGCAATGGATCTCCATTATCATAGTTGGGAGCATCATTCCCCTCCATTCTCCACATCTAATAGTCGAATTGGTAGTTCTGATCAACCTACAATTACACCTGTCAGTCAAAGGTCAATCAGGAGCAGTTCTGATATGCCTAGATCGGGATCTTTTATGCATCCATTTGTTGTTGGCCACAGGTATGCCTCAACATGATTGACATTTGTGATTTGATTGAGTTTTTACTGTTCTTTTATGGAAACTACAAAATCTGTAGAATATTTTTACCAATCCAGCCATTTCTGGAAAACAGCAATGATCTCTTTCCTCGGGAAAACAACTCCCCCACTCTTTTGTCCTCCCTCAAAGGGGCTAAAATGAGACACATTGAGAAAACATAGAGCTTGATTTTTATGGTCTGCTGCTTCAATTGTTTAGACTTTAAAATATCATTCAGAAATATAAAGCATTTAGTTAGACGGTCTCATTTTCTAAGTATACAGACAATATCATACAGAATCCATTTTGTTCTTTGTCCTCTGCTGATTTTTGCTAGTGCTGTGTTTCTACAGTTCTGGTGCTAGGGCAGCTAATTCGGTTGCTTCATCGTTGATCCCTCCTTACCCTGGTAGCAATGCCCGAGCCCGTGATAGAGTTCAAGCTCTCCAGGCATACTATCAACAACAGCACCCTAGCACTTCACCGGCCATGCGGACACCCATTATTTCTGGCTCCCGAAGATCAGGCAGTCATAGAAGTCACACTCAAGTTCCAGTGGCCTCATCATCTGACCAGGTGGGTGGCTTCTACTTCATTCCATCAGGTACTTCAGGCCGTAACTTTCAAGAGGCAGAAAATCCTGTGTCAACTCAGTTCCATGCTTGGGAAAGAGATCATTTGCCTTCATTTTCACTAAACCAGGTCGACAGAGATTCAGGTTGGGGTGCATTCCATCCGGTTACAAGTGGTTCAGATCCTGGCATAAGATCCAGCAGCTTCCGCCAAAGGCACGGATCTGAGAGGACGTCATCACAAAACCGTTCATAGTCTTTCTTCTGATATACCCTGTTTGGGTGAAACAAACTTCCTTTGTCCTCTACTATGAATGAAACCAAAAAGTTATGTATGCTTGAGAGACGATGTATGATGCTTGAGTCTGTCAATCCGGGCAGGGTGAAAAACTGTGAAAGTGGCCCGAAAACGATCTTTTTGGTAGCCACATGGCGGTGTGCTGGACTTGGCTTCCTCTGGTTCCTTTGGCTTTGAGGACATAAAATAATTTTTTTTTTAATGTTGGCTGGTAGAAGTGGTGTTCAAGCTTACAGCTTTGCATGATGCTCCTGCATAGTACCCACAATTATAGACACATAAAAAAATGGTGTTTATGGAAAGAAATATAGCCATAGGTCATCTGCATGATTGAATACACATGCCCGGCAACAATACGCCATCTGCTAGTTGTTTCCTTGTGAATAGATGTCTAGGGCATGTATGAAATGACTACCCTGGGCAGTTTTTTCAAGTAGATTTTTTTTTTTTGGTCATTCAAGGGGCAGAGCCCTACATTTGGTCTGCTTTTATTTTAGGTATTATTCATCAAAACCGAGACATATTAGCTTTTTTGATAGCTCGAATGACGTCAATCGGCTCGAAGAGATTTGGACAAAAAGATCGTTCTTAATTTCTCGCTTGCCTTTTCGACTAATCTATTCTTCCACAAACAAAAAGAAGAGAAAAAATTGTACCTAAAGCGTTCTTCATAGTTCATATAGTAGCCTTATTTATCAAAACTTCATCTTCAAAAAAAAAAAAGAAAAGAAAAGAAAAGAAATGCCTCATTTTTTAAAGATGATCTACCATCAACAATCCCCTGTTAACGCTCAGGGCTTGTTGGATGAAAAGTTATCAAATACAAACCAAAAAATTTATTGAAACTAAAGATCAATCAATATCGTGATCACATTGAAACTTTTAACCTTAAATCATTCATCAACTGAGCAATTTCTCCTACAACAAATAGTTAAAAACCAGCCGATATAGAGAATGTAGGATTAAAATCGGTGGTCCAGATAAGAGAGAAAAAAGACAATGCTCATATGATTTAACTGATGATTACTAGAGAAGATTAAGGTTTAAATTACTACTGCCTGAATAGTCAAAATCCAAATTTAAACTAGTTCTTATGCAAGTATCCTGATATTCATGCTAACAAAAGATTACAATATGCTGAGGAGATAAATCTTGTGATCCTTGGAATTCAATCCGCATCAATCAGATTTCACCTGTCAACCACAATGCCGTTATCAGAACCAAGCAAGCAAGGAGATGATAGGAAATGTTTAGAAACTGATATGTATGTATCATACCGATGGTTCTTGAGATATACTGCAGCTCCGGCTCTGGCTCCTGCTTGCGCTGTTTTTTGGTGGGCTTCTGCTCACATGTTTATTGCGAGGCTGCATATCAAGTAAAGCACAAAAAATTTAACAGAAAAGCAATTGCGAAATACCAAGCCCGCATGACACTAAATTCTACCTCCCTCACAAATCAAACTAACTAAAATCTGAATTAGTTTCAACTTACAGATGGAGTCAGTGATCTGGATCTGGAGCGAGATCTGCAAAAAGTTCCAGAAACAATGAATTTAATATCCAGAATAATCCTCTACAACCTTTTTGGTCCCAAGGCCTCAGTGTCAGTTCCACCTCAGGGTAAGCATAATCATAGAAAGGGAATATACCATCCATCTTAACCAGCAATGGCAGAAGAAGAATTATCGCACTATTCATGATCTCACCATTTAGTAATGATCTTTTTTGCAGGTCATGACAGCTAAATAGAACCGAAATGGAAAGAGGCAAAAGACCAGTAGAGAACTTAAAGACAGATACTTAAATGACGAAGAATATTCTCCAATTATCTATCATTAAATTCAAAGAGATTCCTGAGCACAAAATAGATAATGTTGCAGTAGTCCCAAGAATGCCCTATTCCCTGATTGTCAGGAATTGAGTAGCAAAAGTAAGAGCACTTAATTCATAGTCGTCCAGCTTTAAAATTGCAACACATCCATTATATACCGATCCAGTCTAGCTCTCTTTGTGCTCTTTACATCACATATCAGAATTGTTAGACCTCTAATGGTTTCCAGAGGTGCTCGACAACAACAATAGAATTACCTCAACAACAAAATGAGTTGCAGGCATTTGAGCACCACATCCCATCAAGTTCCTAACATCCAATCCCCGGATCGCCGAAATGAGCCACAGATCTAGCAAGGAAACAAGGCAACCCTTATGAAATAGGTATGATAACTGGCGAACCAAGCAAGCCTTTTTCTCAATTACTCCCCCCAGTTTGGAAAAATCTTTTTTTTTACTGCAAGCTGATAAAAGAGTTTAAGGGTTCAAATGACAAACAGAATAGGACAAGATGATAAGCTTTCTAACCTGGAATATACCAGATTAGAAAACATCTGTAAGTACTTTTATCTCACATTCAGCATAACAAGATAGATTGCAAAACCTCTGCTTTTATTGGAGTCTACACTTGCAAGTCACAACTTGATAGAGAGAAGGATGGTGATTAAATTATAAGACCCATAATCCAATTATTTGATTAAATTAAGATGTAATTTAGAATTGTACAAGAATAATAAATGAAAAAGACAAGATGAGAAAATATTAACAAATGGACTAGGCTGAAACCACGGACCACCATAAACAAACCAAAGACAGGATAACAATAGGAAGATGAAGCATCCCTTGTAGGACACACTCTAAGACCCTCAAAGCAGTAGCATGAAATATGACAATGCAGGTGTAGATGTGCAGAGCCATGCTTAAAAACACTTAGATACTTGTAAGGAAGGCTCAGATTCAACTAGAGCTTGACAAACACTTAGATTCATGTAAAAACACAAGGAATGGTATTAAGCACTTCGATGTCTACACAATACTAAAGTTCACAAGCTTTTCTATGCCAAGCCAAAAGATAACATCCAATCAAACAAGAAGTAAATTGTAAAAAGTTAACACCAAGCACAACGAGCATGAAAATTGTACCACAAGATTCTTAAAGGGAAGGAATCCAGTATCAACGAAGTATTTCAATTAAAGTTAAAAAAGGCCCAAAGAAAAAGAAGTGAACCGTTAAATAGCATTAAATCCGAGTACAGAAGTTATTTTTTGCTTTTAAGAAGAAGAGAAACACTTAGATATTGAATTGATCAGACTTAATTACTAGGCACAAAATAAGAATTTTGAAAACAAGAATGCCACTAGGTCCACTTATAAAGATTACAAACAGGGACTTAAATGAGTCACTGTCACTTGGAAATTCATTTAAACCATTTGAAAATCAAAGCATCGGCAACATAAAAGGAATAATAAAATAAACTTATGCAATACCTTGAATCAGAGCGGGCAGGTGAAACTGAATGGGAATGCAGTGAATCAGACCTAGAAACAGATTGAGATCGCCGCGAGTACCTGGGCCTAGGAGATTTGCTGTAGAATAGGCCAAATAAGGTAAAATGAATATAGAATGAAATATAAATACTCTAACTGTTATTTAACCAAACAATGGAGATTAACCTTCTGCTCCTGCTACTATAACTTCGGCTTCGACTAGGGCTTGGACTATACGTACTACGGCTTGGACTTTTAGAATAGCTGCGCCTAGAATCATATCTCGAATCATACTCCTTCACCTGAATAAAACAATTAGATATGTGATCAAGTAGTGTTGCACAAGAATGGATCTAGAATTAAATATTCACTATAACATACCCGTATGTAAGCCCGGCCAAATGCATTTCGAAACTCAGAGTCATCAAGCTTCCTTATCTACAGAGTCAAAATATAACTTGTTAGAGAAGTGCTGCCATTTTTGTTAAGGAGGTTACAATACTACAAAAATCCCAACTCCACATAAACAATTTAGAGCTTAAAAGTCCACAAGATTAAAGCACAGTAGCTTACGGCATATTTCATATCATCATAGTTTGTGTAATCTACAATCCCTGTCATCCCTGCAAAGAAATTGCAATAACATTAATATAAATGTCAAATGAAATTTCTTTCCAAGAAAACTGTCAAATAAATGTAATACACAAGCAAATCATGTTCACGTACAAGCTAGCAATACATCATAATATATGTAAAATGTTGTTTGTTAAGCCACAGTAGGGGTTGCTTTCAAAACATCTTCCAATTCATTGTCACATTATAATCAGAGATGTTCCTCTCAGGCTGTACAGGCTCAGCATTTTCAACATGAGCACTTCAGTGTGAAGTGATCCTAGAGGAATCTAAGCTATTTCAACTGATAGTTATAGAGTGAGGTGCTGATGAATTATATAGCATGATAATGATTCTACTTACCTCCACGATCACGAAACACTTGAGAGAAACGTACATCCCCAGCTTTGCGCATGTGATCCTGGTCATAAAGCAATAACCATTTATCAGGCACAAACCAGCACAAATAATCAACTTGCTTTTATACATTCAAAAAACCTTTACATATAGACCATGTTACTCCTTTCTTATATAATGTAAGAATTCTACAATATTTTATTATCATTCATCATCATATTATAATTTATGCACCTTATACATAATTTGGTTATTTGAAAGGAATTAAGACACAGGTAAAGGCAACAATCAAGGAAAAATTATAAGCACAAAAAAGGAATTAATCAAGTAACAACCAAAGAAAAAACAATAGCTAAACAACTCACCTTTAGGTCTTGCCATGAAGCAGAAGATGGTAAACCAGTCACCAAAACTGCATATAAAGAGATAATAAGTTTAACTTAAGACAGAAGAAGTTTGCCAAACTACAAAGATGGTGTCAAAGGCTATACATACCGCGATAGTCAGAGCGTCTGGAAGGTCCACGGGTACTGCTATCACTGTAACTGCTATGGCGATCCACAGACAATGAAGGCCTTCGCCCACCATGTGTAAATTCAACCTATAAAAAAAAAAACAGAATAAACATAGTCCAATAAGCAAAAAGCTTAAACTGAAAAGAGACTATAACCCGAATATACGAACAAGGCAAGATTAACGACTAACCCGCAAACGATACCCATCAAAGTTATACCCGTCTCGACCACAAATTGCATCTTCAGCATCACGCGGATCCTCAAACTGCAATTTGCCATTGTTAGAATACTGAAACCTGAAAATTGATTTCCCCTTTCCTTTGCCTCATAATGACAAAATATTAAAACTCACCTCAACAAAAGCATAACCAGGGGGCCTTGGTGGGATCTTCAAGTCAATATCAACAATGGGTCCATACTGCAATACGGTGACACATAACACTAAGGAAGCAACAACAAAAAACGATGCATTGAAAATTTAAGCTAAAATTAATTAATATAAAGAAATCTTTTTTTCTTTCTTTTTCTTTAAACCTTGTAAAATAAATCTTCGACTTCTCTCATACGTGTATCCCCAGGCAGATTGCCCACATAGAGGGTGCGGCTTGAACGGCTCATTTGCCCTGAAACGAAACTCAATTTAATATATATTATATATATGAAAAAAATGAAAAAAGAAAAAAAAATAAAAATAAAAATATAAGAGAAAAAAAAAGCGTCACCTTGGAAGAAAGAGTTTGAGAGAGAATGGTGAAGAGGAGCGTTTCGTTTGAAAGGGGATTAGTTTAGATTATTCTCTACGGCTATGGTCGGGCTTTGAACGAGTGAAAAGACATATAAAAGGAGAGAGAGAGAGAAGACGACAAGGATTTCAATTTCATCGTATGTTGTCACGTGTTCGTGCTTGATTTCTGTTTTTCTGGCTCATAGATTCTCAACCGTTGGATTTCAGTTCAGCTTCTCCATGGGCTAGGTACTGGCCCATGGAGGTGTTTATGGGCAAGCCCGAAAAACAAAAACACAATATGAAAATGAAATAAATAAAAAATTAAAAGAAAAGAAAATGATGATTAATAACAAGCCAAATTTGCACGTGACACAACGCAAACCTCGTTAAGAAAACAGGTCAATATTTTCCTACGTGGCAAGATTTCCGCCCACAGTATTTGCCAGCCGCCGACTTCGCTTTGTCCTTCTCTCTTATAAAAACAAATATATTTTTCTCTATTGTTTCTGTTTTTGTCAAAAAATGGCGGAATCGAAGAGCAAGATTGAATCCATAAGGGAATGGGTCGTTGATCACAAGCTTAGAACTGTTGGTAATTATTTTCTTTTTCCAATTTTCACGTGATTTTTTTTTTTATAATTTGTGTGTTTCTTTTGCTAGTATCTTAATGTTTTTCGTTTCTTTATTTTTTTTGGTTGTTGTTTCGAACAAAAGGGTGTTTGTGGCTTAGCGGTATTGCGGGTTCCATTGCTTACAATTGGTCTCAACCCAACATGAAAACCAGCGTCAAGATCATTCACGCTAGGTAAATCTTAAATCTTTTTTATTTGATTTTCTTTCGTTGGGTTATGGAAATTTTGGTTCATTTATATATCTGTCGTTGGATTCATGCAAAAAGGTATTAGAAAGTAATGAAATTCGTCTTCTGTGTTTTGAAACTTTTAATTCTTTTTTGTTAGAATTTTGCTTTTGTTTTGCGTGTTTGATGATTTTATAAACATTCAAAGCATCCTTCTATTACTGTTGGTTTTGGGTCGTAAATAGTTTGATTGTTTATGTTTCAAGCTGTTGCTTTCGATTAGATGAGGCATATTTCTTCACCACCTGTGCTAGGTGATACAATTATGCTATGTCTGGGCCTTGGTTGATTGTTGTATGACGTTTGCAAGATATGAATTTTTGTAAGGGAAAATTTTTGGGAACTTTTTGAGGTCTCCCTTTAAAAATTTTTATACAATGTAGTTAGAAATATGGCCCTACATGATTATCTTTTTTGGCCTTTCATGTAGCCGACTCCAGAGTTATAAGATATAAGGCTTGGTTCTTCCTTTAAAAATTTTTAGACAATGTAGTTAGAAACATGACCCTACAGGATTATGTTTTTCGGCCTTTCATGTAGCCGACTCCAGAGTTATAAGATATAAGATTTAGTTTATTGTAGTTACAGCTATGGTAATGTGTTTTGTCTGGAATTTTTTCCAGACGATTTTTGGTATCTGATTAATTGGACGGTAAGAAGAACTAAAAAATAGTTTTTCCAAACCATAAAAGAATTTGATATGAAGGAATTCTCCTAGGCTATGGTGAAAATACTGTCATTTGATTTTACTTGAAATTTATGTGATGCTATTAGTTTAATTCTGCAAGTTTGGTTGAAGTTTATATGCTTATTGCATAGTCTTAACCCCAACAAAGGACAAAAAACGGTTGAAAGGAAGAGGGGGTGAAGGAGCTACAAATGTAATCGTTCTGTCTGTAAATGCACAAGTTTGATACCTTTCTAGACTGTGCTTTACTCTTCTTTTTGCATTATCATGTTGCTTAAGTGTTATATATAGATTTGTTAGGGGTGAATTTGTATGCATTGCAAAAAAACCCATCTTTCTTGAGATTGACTTGCCTTTTGTCTTGCTAACCTTGTAAGTTGTAATAGCTGTCGATGTTTATGCCTTGCTTTACTTATTGTGCCTCATTGTTAACCGTTGTCGTCTGCCTTCAATTCAGGTTGCATGCGCAAGCTTTTACATTGGCTGCGTTAGCAGGTGCTGCAGTGATTGAATACTATGATCATAGGAACAGACCCAAAGCTGATCCATACGCAAAATTGCTTCCGGCTGATAGATACTCGCACAAAGAGTAAATGATTCTTGATATGACTCTGATAATTGCTTCTTGGGTCTATAACTTACCCAAGTTAATAAAAATTTTTGTTTTAAAGATACATTACTTTTGCCCCCTTTTCATCATAATCTTTTCAACTGTTTTGGTTATTTACATATGACTTACCCGTGGGGCTTGTAAGTGGATTGAGATAAAGTTTGAACCTTAGAATTTACAGAAAAGAAGGGTGTTCTTTTCATCATAGATCAATTTTTGTTTGTCATTAATGGATGGATGATTAATTCCGATTGTCTGTGAAACATGAACGTAGTTGAATTGACTTTAGAGAGGTTTTGCAGCCTTGCGCTGAGGATCTAATAGCTTGTGCTCAGTTGCTTGCGGTTATGTGCTTATAGGTGTAATTGAGCCATCGAGCCAAGTCAAGTCGATACAATAAGAAACTTAAGCTCGACTCAAAATTTGTTGTTTGAAATTCAGTTCTAGTTCGATCAGGTTTTAAATTTTAAGTTTAAGTTTGATTCATGATTTATTCAAATTCGTTCGATTAAGGTTATTTATTAAATAAAAAAATAAATTCGATTTTTATTTTTTATTTCAAATTTGATTATTTATATTCGAATTTAAATTTGAGCTTGAATTCATATATATATATAAAATAAAAATATCTATATTAAAATATAAAAATTCGATTAAATTTGTCAAATCTTCGAATTATATATTAAAAAGTTTGAATTTAACTTGTTTGATAAATCAATTACTTGAATTTGAGTTCAATTCAACAATAATTAAATCGAATTTGAATTTTTATTTTAATTGAACTTAAATAACTTGTTTGACAAATCAATTATTTGAATTTGAGTTTGAATTCGATTCAACAATAATAAAATCAAATTATCAAATTTGAGTTTTATTTTAATTGAAGTTAAATAATTTGAAAGTATTGATGTATATATATCTTCATTTACATCCTTCCATGTGCCCCAATGGATCAAAGAATTTTATCATTTGGCAGGAGGCAGGCAGGAGCAAACCAACAGAAGTCAGTTGTGTTGCCATCTTTGTCTTGCATAGCATGAACATCCAACAGCAGAGACATTCACATGTATGATCCAATTGATTCATTACATTTTTAGCCTCTCAATTGACAAGTCAAAGCAAAAGGGCAGTTTCACTATTTATAAGTTATAAAATTTTTATTTTTTTTATTACAATTGAGATTGGAATTCAAAATTTTCAATTTTAAAGAGTCAGACTTTTAAACTTCTTTAAAAAACTTTTAATTTTGAAGAAAGTCCACTTGAAAATTTTCAATTTAGAATCGATTTAAGAATTACAGAATTGATAATTAAAACTTTTAATAGAAATAAATACTAATATTAATGTATTAAATAAATTATGAGTTTGATCCTCAAACTATGCACTAATTGAAGTGATTGATTAAATTAATCTCTATAAATTAAGTCCGTACCTGTCTTAGTAAATCTTTGGCCGTTGATCAGCATTACTTTTTCACGGCAAACGATGACCACTGTCACACTGGATCATTAGCAGAATGAATGAATGGCTTAAAAACCCTACCTTTTTTTCGTTCTTGTTCTAGTCGCCGCCTTTCTCTTCAGTTACAGCTTCAACGCTTTCTCCATTGGTAACTCTCTTTTCCCTTTCTCTTCTTTTTCTTTCTGTGAAAATGAAGGAAAGTTTGATGGAATGTCTTACTGAATAAACTGCAAAGTAAAATCCATTGGCTACTCATAAAATTTTATTTTTTTTCGTTTTACTAATGAAGCAATCCCTCTACTTTCATTGTTTGATGTAATTTAGTTCCTGCATTATCTCAGCTACCAAACAGAGTATGACTCAAAGATAGGCTACTTAAATATTGTCATTGAATCGTTGATTTAATGTTTTCATTTAAGCTGATTGTAAGAGTACACATTTATCTTTGTAGTATGTGCTTGCTTGTCGAGAAAATGAAGGACAGTTCTGTTTTTTGTTTTGTGGTGACAGGACTTTAATAAACTTGGTTGATTTTTTTTTTTTTTTGGTATTGGCTGATTGGTGTTTGCTTGTCGAGAAAATGAAGGAAAGTTCTATTTTTTGTTTTTGTGGTGACAGGACTTTAATAAATTTGTGTTGATTTTTTTTTTTTTTTTTTTTGGTATTGGTTGATTGGAATAGGATAAATTGAAAATGAGTCGAGGTAATGCAGCGGGACCCAAGGGGAAGAAGAAGGGAGTTACCTTCACTATTGATTGTTCGAAGCCAGTGGAGGATAAGATCATGGACATTGCCTCACTGGAGAAATTTCTTCAGGAGAGAATAAAGGTTGGAGGGAAGGCTGGTGCGCTTGGTGAAACTGTAACTCTCACCCGCGATAAGAGCAAAATCATTGTCACTTCTGATGGGGCCTTCTCCAAGAGGTAAAAAGAATAAGAGGATGTGTTTTTTGCACTAAGATGGGATTGTTTTTTTGCACTCTTATCAAACTGTTTCTCCAAGAGGTAAAAAGAATAAGAGGATGTGTTTTTTGCACTAAGATGTGATTGTATTTTTGTACTCTTATCAAACTGTTTAAGGCATGAGCTTTCTTGCAGTATGGGTAGTTAAAACTATTGAGGTAAGATATTTGATTAACCTATTTGGCTTGCATTTACTTAAATTGAGGTTGATTTTGATTTATTTCTCGCATATTAGCCTTGCTTGTTCTGATCTCTGAGTAATAACTTTGGTGTTGTCGTGCTTAGTCGTGCTTTCTTGTCGGTTTATGGCTCTAGAACCTCCATTAGTAATCTTTACTGACTGAAAGGAACTTCAATTTTCTGCTTGAGCCAAAATTTCCTGTGTGGTTTCCAGATGAAATATATTTTAGTTTTAGGTGTAGGGAGTTAGAGGAATCTTTTGGTCAGAGTTTGGCTTTTTATAAACATAGGGTATATTTCTCTTTACTTCTCGCATTAGTTTCATTTGCTTGTAGAATCTTCAACTGGTTGGTTTCAGGTTTCATGTTCGTTCCCTTAGTATTTGTCTCCATTTCTTTCAGGTATCTGAAGTACTTGACCAAAAGATACTTAAAGAAACATAACGTACGGGATTGGCTCCGAGTGATTGCATCCAACAAGGATCGAACTGTTTATGAACTAAGGTACTTCAACATTGCCGAGAATGAAGGCGAGGAAGAAGATTGATATCTGGGAACAATCAGTTGTAATGCTACTTGTTTTTTATCTTTTTATTTTTCAGTATCTGATTGTTTGAGGCTTTGAACAATCAGGTTTACAAAACTTGTTTTAGTTATTGAATATGAGATTTAGAAATGCCTCTGTTTCACCAATTGAATGTATTTTATGTTGTGATATTGTTATTAAGCTTAGAATGATTTGGAGTTCGAACAGAATTGAATCCACCTATGACCATTCTTCTGATGTGTTATTACATATTAGTCTTTGGAATCCTTTATTGGGTACTGATTCCATGGTGATGCTCGATCGTAGTTACATTTCGTCGGAAAAGTTTCAGTGTTTCCAGGTTACCTTGGCAATTGCAAGCATTAAACCTTTTATTTCCCTTCAGCATAGTTCTAGACTCCAAATGCAATGGGCAAAGTTAGAGAAATCTACACTTACATTATCCAGACTCTGCCTATTGAATGAACATTTTGTTCCTGGTCAGGATTTGATTTCCATATGTATTTCAAAACAAAAATTATATGGGGATGGTAAATCATTGCAGCATTGCTCAATAATATGCATTTTTCAATTGGTTTCTTTCTCTCTTGGTAAAACATTTATAAGACAATGGAGAGATCCTGGACTTGGTCAGATGTGAAAACTACCATAAACCATGGGGGGGTGAAGCAAGGAAGTAAATTCCTTACCAAACATGGGGAATCATATCTACCTAGGGACTCTTCCTGTTCTCTCCCGGAACCAGCATTGAAACTTCTTTGAAGAAGAAAAGAAAAAGCTCTTTTCTTCTCTGTCAATCTTTAATAAAAAACTTGGGTCCAACACGCAACCCCAAAGTGCAATTTCTTTCACTGTTCTGCTGTCTGTGTCTGGTTATTGCCGCTACATCACGCTCACCACCATCCGGTCTTTTGCCATGCCAAAAGCCAAGGTCTCTTCCCCCCTTTTACTGCCATTCAAACTTTCATAGCCATCAATCCTTTGGTCAAATGTCAAGTTACTAGCATTCCATATTTGAATTTCCAGAATCCAAGATTGGCGCAGGCTGGCATTAGATACACACACCAATATTTTTACTTGAGTAACAAGGCAAATAGCTAGCTTTGGAGATTTCACCACCCAAAATTCGATCTCCCACCCATAAAATCATGTCTCCCCACTTACAAACAGTGCTTAATCATGAAGCTTAGGAAGGTGTAAATGAAAAAAATTACTCATTTGCATGTCAGGTTATTGTTTCCATCTCTGTAAATTTTTCTGCAATCGCTTTTATACAAAATCTAAACATGCCTCAGGTACTGAATCACAAGAAATAGAATAATATAAAATTGTAGCCTTGATGTTAGTTGGAAAATGGAGCATATTCAACATTATCTAACTTAACACGTCAAGTATCTGAAAGGAATTAATGCAAACAGGATTCCAAGTAGAGAAAAAAGGACCATGGTCTCTCCTAGCAACTCCCCAGCAATGCCAAAAGCAGCAATTAGACTCCGAGTTTAGGCTAAAAATTTAAAGTGATGAGATCAAGAATTTTAAAGTTTCAATACAGATTTGTGTTGACATGATGAGCAAATTTTGGATAAAAGAAATGGGTTTTGCTCTATTTGGCGGCAGAAAGCATCCCAACAAAGGCACAAAACTGACCCATTTCATACCTAATAGGCAATATATCAAGTATCAACCCACAAATCAAAACCGGTAAGGATAAGATTCACTGGAAGCTGTGTCAAATTCAAGGTCATATCTATTACAGGGGGATACCATCAATTCTTGGCCATTTCCAAAATCCCACTTACATCATATTGCACTTGCATGTCACGTGCAATGAGGGGTAGGACCCACAGCTTTGATTCTCATTGATAGGGCAAGTGCTGATCATGTTTCTGACCAGGGAGAGAAGTGATACGGCATTGTTAATTAATTGAAGGGGGTGTGTTTTGTATCATCTTCATCTTGAAATTCATTAAGGATGGTGTGTGTGTGTTGAAGGAAGGGGGGGGCATGGCCTTTGGCCTTAACAGACACCTGAAAACTGATACTGGGATGGTGTCTTTAAAGAATGGCCACTTCTAGACTCAATCTCAATAACTCTTTTTCACCTTTTTTTTTTTTTTCTCTTTCTCTCTCTCTTGCAACAACTTGTATATAAATGCATGAGAGTTTCTTTGCTTTTTCCACTCATCTGATCACTTAAAAAATTTTCTTCTATGGATTTTGTCATGATGGGTGAGTAGCTCTTGTTGGAGAAGCAGGGCACGTGCAAGTTCTGTGTTTAGCCATCTCCAAGTTTTTACATGCCGCAAGTGAACTTTGCACGTGCTCCCCTTTTCCACCATGAGTTCCTCAGCTTTTTCTCTCACTCTCGTTGGTGATCGCAGTACAACTCTCTTGTGAAAATACAGATGATCAGAAAGGTAAGATTATATGGCTCAATTTTGTTATCTCTCACTGCCCTTACTTCACCTTAGTTTCTCTCTTCACTTGCCACGATTAATTCTTGTTTTTGCTTTTGTAAGTCTTATAGGAAAAATCAAGGTTTCATAAAAACAATCTGCCAAGAGGATTCACTTTCAGTTTTCTGATAATATAATACTACATGCAAACAATCCAATGTTGGCACAAAGACATATATATGTATGTATGTATGTATGTATGTATGTACTTCTTAGGTTTTTCGATGTTTGCACTATGATTTCATCATCGATTTGCATGGAAGACATACTGTAACATGCAACTGTTGCAATTATATGTGCATGACCTATGAAAGTTAGTTCATAACAGAAAAGAAAAATGAGAAATGGAAACCAATGTGCTAGAAAGTTAGTTCCATTTATCTGTTTGTCAATTTTTAACCTATGAATACATTGTTCAATGAGGATTGTTTCATACTTCAGAGGGCTTTCTCCATACAGTTGTTCTGCACCAATGAAAGGGCAGTAGAAATTTCTTTTTTTAGTTTATAAGCTGTACCGTAACAAGAAGGAAGAAAAACCAATGGAATTTACTTTCTAGGAAAAACAAAAGGCAAATGCTCATTTGGAGAAGAAATGAATCTGTTTTTGACCAAATACAACAGGATGCATACAAATTGTACTTGCATTGTTGACTTGTTGCTCCCCTCTCTGTCCCTCTGACACTTGGATGTGTGTACGGAGCATATCGTTGAAGGTCGAGGGTGAAGCAAACAACACACGCTTGGTTGGATGGAACTGTCCCATTTGTCACAGAAGGAAAGCAAAGATGGCGTAAGAGCTTAAATAAATGGGACTTTATTTTGGCAGTCGAAAAGACCTGTTTATAAGCAAAGTTGCAGTACCCTTAACTTTGCCTTAAAACCTGGGGGACGCTTCCTCATTGTACTTTCACATTTAAAAAAATCGAAAATTGATTTTAATAGAATTAATAAATTGAATTAATTTAATTGAATTAATTAATTAACGAAAGTGAATTTAAAAAATTTGATTTTTAATTAATTCAATTCAAATATCGATTTAATTGAATTAATTAAAATTTTAATTGAAATATAATATATTTTAAATATAAAATGATAAATATATAAAATTAATTATTTTATCTAATAAGTTATTATAATTTTTAATATAATGATTTAATATTTAAATATTTTATTAGATAATTTTATTTTAATTTATATAAAATATGAAAATTTTAAAATTTAAAATATAATTTAATTTAAATATATATTATTAAATTATTTAAAAAATTAATGAAATTAAATTTAATCGATTCAATTAATAAAAATAATTTAATTTACTTTAATTAATTTAATTTTAAATAATTTAATTAAAAATTAATCGATCAATAATAAGGTAATAACACTATAATTATACTATTTATTTAGTTCTTGATTTTGGTTAATGATCTTAACTGAGATGGGGAAAAAGAAGCATAATTGGACAGGGCAATCGGGTGTAGGAAATTGAAACAGATAAGGGACAGGGAACAAAGAGGGTGCAGAACCTTAAAATGCAAGCAATGGTGACAATGAATGAAAGAGAGAGTGAGGGAGAAAAGAGGAGAGTCGAAGACTATGAAATGATGAAGTTTGGACACGCAATGCACATTTTCTGGGGTCGTGAAAAAGCCCACTTTCTGACAATGATTTTGTCACATGCTTAGCGTATATCTATGTCTACTTGATGTCTGGTTGGTCCAACATGCCAGCCAAATTCTTCGAAACTCTGAATCCATTGTTATGTAAGACAAATTCAGTATTTTTTTTTTTTTATATTGGCTTGGATTTGGCTAAAGTTTATTCTTCACATTTGGTTAAATTTTGTTGCACAGGATGAATGAATAGTTATCTTTCTTCAATCTTTTTCCAAATTGATGAGGAGATTAAATCTTTTTAACAGTCCAATCTCTCATTATTTTTTATCAAAAATTTAAAAATAGATAGATTATATTTGACAACTTAAGAATAACTATAAAAAATTATATATTTGAAATAATTTTAATAATAAATTAGATTCGAATTTAAAATATTTATATTAAAATAAACTACTCTTATCAATTAAATTAATATCTAATTGATTTTTTATTTTTTTTTACTCAAAATTAGATATCCAATTCTATGACTTTCTCTACTTTTGATGCTCAAGGGAGGTGAGAAGGACCTTAGAAAAATAAGGAAGAGAGACAAAGGTTTAATTAATTTCTGAATTTTCTTGTTTGAATGCTGATGCAAGTTGCTTTTTTTTTTTTTTTCCTTGGGGAGGGTATAAAAAAAGTTGCTTCTATTTAATCTTTTTACATATTTGCATCATTTGATAATTTTTTTATATATGTATTAATTATTGAAATAAATATTGACAAAAATGTAAGTAAATATATAGGGATGTAATTTTTAAATTATTTTATTTTCACCTCATTTCATATTTTTATTCTTTTATATTTCTTTTTATTATTTTCTCTTCCAATCCATTATATTACTCATCATTTTTTTTTTTTGAAAAAATGCCACTTCAAAATTCTAAAAATTTTAAAAATAATTTTTATTATTGATTTTTATTCAATTATTTATTAATTTTATCTGTATTTAATAAATTTAACAACGTTATGAATTCAAATTAAAAGAAACAATGAAATATTATAAATAATAATCAAATAAATTAAAAAGGCGAAAAATTAAATAATGAATTATCTCTTCCTAAAAAGTTGGACTTTAATCAATTAGATTTGAGCATTTTTTGTCGGTCCAAAACACAATTTTCTTAGGACCTGGGCACCAAAGGCCGCTTCTCTCTTCTTTTTTTATTTTGTTTTGCTAACTTCAAAACGGCAACGTTCTGGATCACCAATAAAATACCTAAAAACCCCCTAGAATCTCACATCTACTCTCCCTGACTCTCTTCACGGCCGCTCCTCACTCTCTCTCTCTAAGGTAATCCTGCTTTTTTTTTTTTTTTCCAGCCAACTTCACCACCGATAGCCACCGCTGCCACATCCGTCAGTTACTGCCGGCGGTGGCTTGTCTTCCTTTCCTTTTTTTCTCTTTTTTACCCGAAGATCCCACACAAAATTTTCCTTAAACTGACTTCATCTCTAAAAGGTCTCTTATATTTTCACCCACTCACAAAATCTTTTAAAACTCACTTCAATATCTCTAAAAGCTTCATATAATCACAAATTTATGTTTTTAGTATATAACTTTTTGCTTCATTTTCAGTTTGAGTTCCGATTATCGTTAGATTTCATAAAAACGTTAATTTTTGGTGGGAGTAGTTTTCTGTAATTGGCATTTGACATGTCAAAACATGTTCGATAAAATGCTTATGAGAGAAACAGAAACCAATTAAGATGTAGTGTAAGTTAAGGAATCTTTATAAGCCATTTATTGTAAAACATTTTGTCCTCAAAGTTGTAATATTCATTTAAAGTGATCATATTCTTAATCTTTTTCTTGGAACATGGATGATTTGGTTTGCTGGGGCTTGCGTGTGGGAATAGTTGGAGTCAATATTACCAATAACCTGTTAAATTGAATATGAACAAATTGCAATGCATCTGAAAATAGGATAATAGGAAGCTGTCTATCAAGTTTTATTGTAATTACAACTCGTGTATTCTTATTATGCAAAATATTAATAATTTGAATATTCAATATTATAATTTTATATGAAAATTATATATAATAATTCGTAATTAATACAAAAATATAAAATATATATTTTATTTTATTAAAATAATATGATTTTTATTAAAATTTTAAATCTTATTATTTTATATTTTATATTTGTATTATTTTCGAATCGCTTCACCGGATTAGATGGCTATGTCCTTTCAGAAGTCTGTTTCTTGTTTTTACTAAGTCATTTCAATAATGTTGTTCAGACCCTAGATGGGTTTCCCAATTCATTTCCCCAAAACCAGAAGCTTTGCTTTTCAATTTAGTAAAACTTTTGGCATGATATTTATCTTGCTAATAAGTTTTTTTTTTTTTTTGTTCTTTTTTAAATCAGATATCATACGTATGGCTAGTAAGCTTTTCTCTGCAATTTGAGATATTCTTCTTTACGATTTTGATCCTCTACAAACAAATTTCAGTGGCTGACTGTATTTTTGTTGGAGTTAATCTAATTTTTTTTCTTTGTGGACAGAGATGGTTATCCCTCCACCCGTTAGACCTCCAAGAATTATAAAATTCCTGAAGCCCTATGTCCTGAAGATGCACTTCACAAACAAGTATGTCAGTGCCCAAGTAATCCATTCGCCAACTGCGACTGTAGCTTCCTCGGCTAGCTCACAGGAGAAGGCCCTCAGGTCAAGCATGGAATCTACTCGGGACGTGGCGGCTGCTGCCAAGATTGGGAAGATACTTGGGGAACGCTTGCTGCTCAAAGAGATACCTGCTGTTTCTGTTTCCTTAAAGCGAGAACAGAAGTATCATGGTAAGGTGAAGGCTGTCATTGATTCTCTCAGGGAAGCAGGTGTCAAATTGCTTTGAATTAGAAAAATTGGAAAAAAAGCATTTACTTCGCTTAACCCGTGCTTCTTGGTGATTCATCTTTTGTTCCTGAATTGATAAGTGGGCTAGATCCAAGGATGAATGCATTGTTGGTTAGTGTTACATGCACCAAAATGAATAACCATAAAATGTAGTTACATTGTTGTGTTTTTATGTTTTTGTCTTTGCATTATTGATATTTCCATTGGTGAACTGAACTCAGAGGTATTGAATCATCCACTTTTCTTGATCTAAAGCAGAGTTGTGATTTTGCATTTGTTGACCTTTTGGATGACCTTCCTAGGCTCGGATGCATGATCAAGTTTATTACTAGGTCTTCTAGTGTTATATGCAGGTCAATTTTCAAAAGCAATTTGTTTTGTTTTATGCTAAGACAGAAGTAACCTTGGAGGTCCAGTTCTTCTGAATGTCCGAAGCTTTAGTCCAGTTGTTTCCTCAGCCACAACAAGGTTAAGACTTAGTCAAGTCTTAACCTTTTATTCTTTATTGCGACAAAACTAATGAAATTGGTATTATCGCAACCAAAGTGGTAAAGAGCTTTTAACTTTAGATTGTGAAATATACAATTAGTTAGGTTTTTTCATGTTAAGTAACTTTTTTTTTTGAGTTTTTTTTTTTTTTTTTTTATACAAAAAATAAGTCTAATTTGAAAATAATGAAGAAAAGATATAAATAGATTACATAGATTGAGATATAAATTTTAGATTTATTAATGAAATTGTATGAGTTAATTAAATTTACGGTTCTTTAGATCTATTCATTGAACCAAAATAGAAAACATAAAAAAATGCATCAAAATTATCACTTTTTTCAATTTTTATCATTGGTGTAATTTTTTAAAATAAATGCATCAAAATTAACACTTGATCTCACTTAATCTGATGAGATTAAAAATAATAATAATAATTACTATAATTATGATTAAAAAAAATATTATAGTTGTGATTGAAAAAAATTTTAATAAAAAATTTATGTTTGAATAAATTTTATTAAAAATAACATTTAAATTTAATCGATGAATTCAATTATATCTTACTAAAAATGTATTTGAATTTAAACGCGCACTAAAACCACTTTAATTTAATTTCACGGGGGATTAAAAGTTAGAGTAATGATTTGGGTTTTTGTGATTAGGATAAGAATTTCACTCGACATCTTTACGGATGAAGACAAGGAGAAGAAGAGATTAAAACAAATCGACTTGGCAACCTAATTTTTTAATAATGTGTTTAAGCAAAAGTCACCATAATTTCCCCATCCAAATTTCTTAAACAATTATTTTGGGACCGTGCTTTCCTTTGAAGCAGTCAAGTAGCAGCTGAATAGTGTGATAATCACTGTATTAATTAATTAAACATTATTAATAATATAACAGCGGATTAATTATTGTCTCAACCCTCAAGTTTCAAATATAACATTATATATTATCTCTAAACTTTTGATCTAATAATTAAAAATATTTAAAATAAAATCAAAAATTTAATTTCGAATCAAATTTTTTTCTTCATCTTTACTTATATTAAGACTTTATATTAAACCCAAAAATATAACATTATATCAGAAGGCGGCTGAGAGTCTAGTTAGGTCAGCCTCGTAATTTTCTTCAAAAGTCTAACCATTTACAATCCAACTCGATATAGGTTGAGGGTATTTTTGATTTTTCAGCGTTCGTAAAAGATGACCTTGTCACGTGACATGCCCTGACACCTAAGATCTCCGAGTTTTTTGGTCCCACCTGTCAACCCTGATCTTATCCCTAATTGCGTGCTCCTCGATTCATTTGACAAATATTACTTTTTGTCAGATCCAAATCAACGGTCCAGATTAATCCTAACTTGTTCGAACTTTAACCCCCTCGTTTCGTCGTTAAATATCTTCGTCACTCCTACTTAGCTCCTCTGTATCCTGGCTATCTGGTTTTCTTTTTTTCAAAGAAGGATCTTAAGATACGCTGATCTTCTGCTTTGCTTCCAATCATATGGGGCTGCTTGACCAGTTGTGGGACGACACCGTTGCAGGTCCCCGACCCGATAACGGCCTCGGCAAGCTCCGAAAGCACTCCACTTTCACTTTCAGGCCTAACTCCGCCAAGGGTACGCTTAGACCCCCCTCTCCCTCCCCAACCCTCGCTATTTTACGTCGGTGGTGGCGACGACACACTATAGACACATATAAAATAACGATATCTAACTAAATGTAATCAAATTGTCGCCAAAAGTAATTGAAAGTGTCAAATCGAACTGGCGATCAGCTGATAATAAAGGAAAGATTGTTAAGAAATGAAACTTTACTACAGATATTTAAGGGTTCACTTTTTTTCTTTTTTTTTCTTTAATATGGTTTGGTGATCTAATGATCAGAATCAGATGGCGGGAGTGTGAGATCCTACTGTGATGAGACGTCGGAGAAAGCGACGAGAGTGACACGTACTATTATGATCGTAAAACCGCCGGGTCACCCGAGCGGATCGCCTCCGGTATCGCCAGCGGGGTCGACTCCTCCGGTATCTCCTTTTTCTGGTAATATATTATCCCATTTCTTTATTTTTTTTCCCTCTTTAGTTGTCGGATTCGTCCCTGTTTATTTCTTAAATCCCAAAATGTCCTCTCCCAAAAGGAGGAGAAACATCTTCATAAGTGGCATATAGCAGGGTTGATATGTCAACTTAATTTTTGTTTTCTGATAAGTCGACTTTAGGAGGGTATTTTGTCATTTAATAAATTCATACGTTTCCTAAATGGATAATGATAATGTAATGTTAGGTGGATGCAAGTGTGAATTTTGTCGGAGAATTTTGAAATGACAATAACGTCCTCGTTGACGTTAAATCATGCATGGGTATAATAAAGCTTAGAGAAATATATCTGCCCTAGTTTTGGCCATTTAGGTTACTTTTTTAAATTCAACAATAATTCATGGTGTCTTTAATGCAGGTCTATTAGTGTTGTGGGGTCTTCCCTTTGTGGGATATAATGTCACAACTTACAACAATCCTCATATATATTGATGATAAAATTAAGGTTTTATTATATGTAGCAAATATATGATACTATCTTCGGCTATTTGATTTAATGATTATAAAAATTTAAACAAACATGTAAGAGGAGAGTTCGAATCCCATCTCTTGTCCCTATCTGGACAAAAAATAATATAACCCCAACTTTGCCACACTTATTTGATGTTAGATGTCGTTTTTGTACCATTACAAAAGTTTTGGATGCATTTGCCCTAAATATAGTGAACTGTCAGAACTTGAATTCTCCTCTTTATCAAGTACGTAGTTTCTCTTATTATTATTTAATGGACGGTTAAGATTGAATGTACAGGTTGCATTAATGACCCTAGGGTTCCCATTATTGTACATAGGTTATTACTAGTTTAAGCTTAATTATGATTAGTGGTCATGAAATTAATGTATCGAACTTTGTATGTGTAGTAGTGGAATTATATATATAGGTGTTATAACTGAGTAAAGATGTTAATGTTGCTGATGTTGTTTAGGAGGCAGAGAGTCGTATCGGTTTCGGAGAAGGTCTACATCGGATGCGTACGAGAAGTCCAACGAGGTTGGACCCGGGAGCCCTCGTCCTCCTAACGACGTGTGAGATATGAACCTCTTTCCACTCGGCAACAAATCAATGTTGGTTTCTACGTCTTTGCAGCTTTAAGTTTGTGTATGTCAAGCTCGGTTTGGTACTGTTTGCATGCGTAGATCTTTTGGATGTGTAATGTTAGACTGGAGTTGAAAAGCTGTAATTATATATGTAGAGATGGTAATCTACGTACGTACATGTGCGTATATGTATACGTAGTTTGCTACCTGTATATAGAGCTTGTATCGTTTCCCTCTGCAGTTTGTTGAATCTATGGACGACATTCTCTAGCTTGTTTTTAAGGAATCAAGACAAAATCTTTGCGTTATCAGAAATTTCCTGTGGTTGAACCAATGGCTTAAGTTCCATCTTGTTTCATGATGAAGCTGCAAATTTATAACACAGGATTCATCGGGGAGATGTTCAAATATAATTGCTTAAGTAGCAAGATTTAACTTTGGTTTGGTAATTGGAACGGTTGACTTATGAATCACATATGATTAATTTCTTGTTTACAGTTTGGTAAAAAAGCTGTTTTGTTTGAGCTTGTATTTGTTGCTCACTCCAAGGAATCTCAAATTCACAAATATTTATAAATATTTTAAATTTATTATTAAGTAAGAATTTAATAAATTCATGAATTTAAGAATAATCATAAAAAGTTAAGCATGTTGAAGTTGCTGTTTGATTCATGAACCAGACGGGTAACTTTTTTTAAGCCTCAAAGGCCCAAATATGATCTACTCCCATTAATGGACCTTCCTAGATCTGGGTTCCTTTGGAATGAGCCTTAAACGGGTTTATTTGGGTAAGCGAAAACCTGTAAACCCAGGACCACCAGACTGTTTGACATCACTCGTATGATTAACGTTGTTACAGTCTCTGTTCATCTGTTTCTACTGCTCTTCTTCTTGTTTTGTACTCGTGCAGCACTATCATGTATTAAAAGGTTCGCCGATTGGATTTTGGTCTTCTCAATGATTCACAGCTCAAAAATCGAGAAGAAGCAAAAGCAATGAAGAATATAGAACTCGGGTTTCTAATATGTTTTTTCCTCTTCAACCTTCTTTCTCCTTTTTCCTCTGGTAAACAACAAATCTGCTTCTTTTTTCTTGTTTTGTAGGGTTCATTAGCTTCAAATTTTCACTTGGGTGTTCTCTCTTTCATTGATATTGGTGTGGATTTTATTTCATTTTATTTATTCATGGCTTAGGATTGGAGTTTAGCCATTAGTTTTTTTTTTTTTTTTTATGTTGCACAAGTTTATGCTTTGAATTGTTGTTGTTTGATGAAAGGAGATTGCTTTGGCTTCAATCAAGTGAAAAGTGATGTTAACAGGGCTTTGTTCATTTATTTGTTTGTTTGTTTTGCTTTAAATTTTGGGAGATTTTGTTGAGCATGGAATGTATATGCTCTTCTTTTTTGGTTAGCTAATATCTTAGTGAGTTTAAGCTTAAAAGTTAGCTGCTTTACCCATGTGTGATTACTATCTATGTATACATTACTTTTAACTTGGTTTTGTATTTTACTTTGAAAAGACGCTCATTTTTCTGATGAATGAATCCCAAGTAGGGTAAGGTCCCCCTTACCTAAATAGAGGAATTTCTAGTTGTTAAATTTGCCCTCAAAGCTGCACCATGTTAAATTCATTTATTTTGTATCTATGCAAGAGAAACTGGTGGTGTGTGCATATCTCAAGGTGGTTCTTTTCCATCCTTCTCCTCTGAAGGGAAATCTCCAAAAAAGGTGGGGAAGGGACACAAAGATTTGACCCTTTGAAGGGTGTTTCGGAAAATAACTTGCTTTGATGCTGCCCAGACACATCCTGCTTTGCTTTCTATTAGGAGGCTGGCTTTAACAGAAGAAGACAGTCAAGAGTGCTTGCATTTGTGGGAATTGCTGGAATGTTCTATCTGTGATCCACGAGTTGGTGTTCAACCTGGACCCCCACTTATATGTACATCCTTCTGTGATAGAGTGTTTCAGGGTTGCTCTAATGCTTACTTCTCAAAGGATGTGAAGGCGCAGGTACACAAGTGTGACTAATCTTTTGTAGATTGGAAGTTTATGTGAAGATCATGTACTAACGGGGTTGGGGGAGGGTTAAATGTTGATACAGTTCTAAATATCCTATGCAGATCTATCAGCACTTAGGTTGTTTTCAGCTTTCATTTTAAATTGCTCTTATTTGGTGATGGTTACCTTCATGGTATTTCCCATTACCTAATGAGGTGAATGATCTTTTCAGTTGTGCCAATGAATTAATGTGTGTTTGCGCCTGGAGCTTTATTTAATTTTGCTTTCTATCATGCTGTTTTAGTATCTTCTAGATGAGGTGCTTTCCTAGATTTAATTCAAACATAGAAATTTTCTGTTAGGTTCTGGCACCATGTGGAGTAAATGACATTGTTTGTGGTAGAGCATCTGAATGGGCATCCAATGGAACAGAACTATGCCTTGCTACAGGTTTTGGTGTCAAACAGCCTGATTTCATGCACAGTGGTGTTGAAGAAACATCTTGTTATGGTGGCAAAGGCAGTCTTGATTCAATTGCTGATTCATGGGCAGCTCCACAATCTGAGAAACTCTACAAAACTGGCAACTTTGAGCTCTTAGAAGATTTCCAGGAGTGGCTGCAGGATATGCCATCTAATGAAAGAGTTTCTTGGGCAGTGGGAAGCCTGGTTCTTACAGCAGGCCTCTTGTTTATAAGGTTTAGTTACTTCCTTCTTGTGAATCATTAAATTTTCCTCCTGACATGTTATTTATTTCGTAAAGTTTTATTTAGTTTCATTTACATCCTCTCCTCATGAAAAGATGATTGGGTTCATTACCAGTCACATTACATTACTGTTTGGGCTATCTCCTCTCCTCATGGAAGGATGACTATGTCTGTAAGAGTATGGCAATGGTAAGTGGACTTCATCAAGCCAGCGTTTTTAAGGTGTTTATACAATTTGAAATGCGATAAGGCATTGTCTAGTCGTTTGGTTTATTTTTTTAATAAAATTTTAATATTGTTTGGTACTTTAGTTATACTTTATTACCAACTTTGCAGCAAACGGAAGAGCCATATCCAACGCCAAAAGCTTGCGGCAATTCAACGCACTGCTAGGAGAATAGATGGCAAGTTGAACCAGACATCCCCTTCTATTCAGGGAAGTAGGAAAGGAAATTGACGATGAACATCTCTGCCATTCTTGCAATTAACTATCGGAGTTTGTAAGAATTCAGGATTTCAATTCTTCAATGTCTTTCATTTTCCACCATTGAGTTCTTATTACTTACATAATCTTTTTTTTGTCAGGATGTTAAATCTGGTATCTATGCAGTTCACAACTTCTCCACTGAGGGCTAGACTGATCAAGATTAAACGAGTCTGTTTAGATTGAATGAGGAATTAAGTGAATCCTCCAGTTGTACAAGATCAAAAGAAGCAATGGCTGACACAATTATATGTTAGTAAAGAAATTTACAGAAGATGAAGAAAGCTATTTTCTGCTTCCGCAGATTTGGTTGGCACACCTTGAAACAAGATATCTGAGAACAAGCAGTTTCTTCTTTGTTACGCATTAGCATATCCTAGTTCTTTACTTCCATTGTTAAATTTTAGCCAAAAATAAAAAGTTTGGCCTTTTCCTTTTGGTCTCAACAAGTTCAAAAAGAAGTCTTTCAGAGTTTGGAATCCTGGTTTGATATTTATTCAGATGATTTTGTTAATCATGTTTAAGACTAAACGCTGAATAAATGCTTTTTCTGTCTGTGGATACATTTAGATAGAAATGTCTTTTTATGATGCCTAAATACCAACGGGTTTAAGCTTTAGTTGTAGCTCAAAATATAAAAAAAATATATTAATGATTGTCATAATGAAGGAATTTCTGGAGACATTTAGAGTAATTTGTGGACAAGAGTGAGGGCTTTCAACGTCCAAGTTCAGCTTCTATCAACATACAAAATTTAGGTAGGTTTTCATACATAACATTATTTATGAGTCAGTTTTGAGATAGGAGGCGAGGCTGGCTTAAGTAAGTTTTCATACATAACACTATACATGAGTCATGTTTGATTCTAAGTCACTATATATGAGTCAGGTTTGAGGTAGGAGAGGAGGCTGATAGGTGCAAATTAATCCTGTATTGTATTGTCATGGTGATATATCAAAGATTTTTGTCCTATGAGAAATCCTAAAAATTTTACAAAATTTTACTTCTATTGAAATATTCTTTCACTCAATTTGCTAATGATTGTTTTAATATGGATAAAATAAAAATGATGGTTACTACTTGAAAATAATTATATGCTCAATCGATTAGTAGTTCATTCATGTTGGTGGATATAATTAAACTACTAATTAGCATTTGAATTTGCAAGTAAAAAAATCTTTCTGAGCAAAATAGAAATGTTGAACATAAACAAATATATTCAACACAAAGGCAGATCTATTCCTAGTCTCGGTACTTAGTGATAGCAAACTGATATTGAGTAACCAAAGCACAAACTAGAATCAAATGCAAAAACATTTTTGTTACTGCACATAAGAGAAAATGGTTGGTTGATTTACAGACTTTTTCAATAATTTCCTAGCAATTAGATAACGTCAAGTATCAGTCTGATAGAAGGTTCCCCATAAAGCCTTGCGTGTATGATGAGTGATCAAAATTTTTGTTCGGATTGAGCTTCCTATTTGAGCAAAATGACGTCCTAGAAACCCCATCTCATGGCACATCAGATCTTCCCAATCTTTGGTGGCTGTTGAAAACAAAGATATAACAGTGGAAATCATATTCAATTATGCATAGCTAAAATTGAATGTTTTCGGAACTTAATCGTTTATTACTTCTAGAAACTAAAATATGAAATTATTGCTTGAGTGTACATACCTTCTTCATGCACAACTTTTTAAAAAACTAAAATATATGGTTTACTATTTCTAGAAACTAAAATATGAAACCATTGCTTAAGTGTACATACCTTTTTCATGGAAAACTTTTTAAGAAACTAAAATATGAAACTATTGCTTGGGTGTACATACCTTCTTCATGGGCAACTTGTTAGAACTGCTTGATGACGCTTTATTTTCGACTGGTTTTAATATCTCAAAGGAGCACACAAGAGCTTCGTCAACACTTAATAGAGCACCAGCATTGTCAAACTCTCCGCCATAATTTGGAGCTGAAAATATTGTTACCAATCTCCGTTTAGCAAAAAACTCATAGCCATCCTCCACAACCTGCAATTAAAAACTTTAGATAAAATAATTATGATGTATCTATTGGTGACACTGTCGAGGTCAGTCCTGATGTATGCATTATAATAGATGAACAGTGGTATCAACCACCAAGTATAAATGCAAAAGAAAAAAAAAAAGACAAAAATCTGTCACCCTCATTTGCTGGTTGGGGTGGTTAATGGTCATCAAAATGCATGCCATCATCTAGCAATACCATTCCTAAGCATTGTTATGTTGATTGTGATTCCTTGAACAGAGACAAAAATAGTTAGTTCCTTCCTTTAATCATTAACAACAAGATGCGTGTTGTTAAACAATCTTCCGGCAAGGTCTAAAAACTAAATTGGTTTGTATCCTAACTTAAACTTATATGATACTGATGTTCACTAAGGGAAAAAGGGAATAAAAGCTCCATTGCATATGCAAAACTACAACCATACATTCATAATCACTGTTCATTTTTGCTCAAAAGAAGCTGGCTTACCTGATGACCTCGACAAATGAGATCAAGATCATTTTTATCCAAAAATTCAGCAACTATATCAGCTCCAAAAGTACATGAGATTCCTCGATCACTATCTGCCCATCCCTCAACCTTGGGATGAGGATCAGACCAAAGTAGATCGCAGAGAAGACCATTATCAGGAACTTCCATTGGCCTTTGAATTTCCTTTATTTGATCCAAATTTTCCAACTCCGGAGACAACCCTCCATGCATACAAAGTATTTTCTCATCAATAAGTGCAGCCACAGGCAAACAGTTAAAGCAGTCTGTAAATATTTTCCAAAGCCTAACATTAAATCTCCTCTTACACTCATCATAAAACCCATAAATTCGATTGATCTTTGCATCTTCATGGTTTCCCCTTAAGAGAGAAATTCTGTCAGGATATCTTATCTTATAGGCCAAAAGCAAACATATTGTCTCCAAACTTTGCTTGCCCCGATCTACGTAATCCCCAAGGAACAGGTAGTTTGCTGCAGGAGGGTAGCCACCATACTCAAAGAGCCTAAGAAGATCTTGGTATTGTCCATGTATATCACCTGTAAAAGACCTCCAATATTAGAATTTCCAGAGGCTGGTTAAGGGGATAATTGATCTCAAATGCACATTATTATGGCTTGTTTTGTAATAGGCATGAAGTTGGAGGAACTATATATTTTTCCCAGGCATGATCAATAAGAGTTTCCCACATTATAAAAACATCAACATAAACATTGGAGCCAAAATATCTGCTGCTCAACTCACTTGGAAAGAGATTTGTTTCCCAATTACCACAGAAAATCCAAAATTGCAACAAAAATCATCTCGTTCGACCAACCTATGTACTTAATTACAGTCATTTCAACACAAAAACGACCTGTTTAGAAACAAGCCATGTCCCAATGAACCTGGCATATAAATTATCTCAAATTTATCTCCCTTCAAAAACGATTGTTCTGTAATTTCACACAAACAATTCCAAATTTCGCTTCAAAAATCCATCAAAATCTTACCAAGGAAAACTATCGATACATTAATTACCAAGAGCCACAAATACGAAATAACAAGCTTGCAATTTCATAATTCAATGAGAAAGAGACATAAAAAGAGACAGAGAGAGAGGGAAAAAGAAGGCTGACCACAGATTCTGATGGGAGCACGAATCTGAAGCAAATTAGGCTGTGAAAGGAAGATTTGACGAGCATTAATACAAAGCTGGCGGATCTCACCTTCAGAAAGCTGAACCTGCTTTCCTCCTCTACCTTCCAACAACCTTCTGATTATATCATCCAATACTCCCTTATCCATCATTCCCTCCATTGTCATCATCATCATTTTGTCCTTCAAATTCACCACCAAAAATTCTTTGGAAAATATATAATCCAATTCAATTCTGTTCAACGTTTTCTCTTATTGAGAGAGAGATAAGCGAGAAAATAAAAAAGGGTCTAGAGCGAGAAAAATGAATAAAAAAGACTGAAACTATTCAGATAGAGAGAGAAAAAAAGGGTATTGTTTGAAATGAGAAAAAAAAAAAAGAATCAAGAAACCAAACCAAACTTGTTAGATGAAGAAAGAGAGATAAATAAGGTAAAAAAAAAAACCCAAAAATAACAAAAAAGTAGAAATTTTTATAGTTCAATAGAGTAAAAAGGATCAAAAGAACCAACCTTTACCAAATGGAAAGAAGTGGATCAAAGAAGAGAGATATTTAGTAACTCTTGGATGTTGGTTGTCATTTTCTTTCTCTCTCTATATTTATAGTTATAATTTTTATAAATTTTATATTTTTTCTCTCTTAAAGATAAGCTTTTTATCTATGCCAACTGCCAAGAAAGGATTCAACATGGCTCATAGTTGAAACCTTCAAAGACAAGGCACTTTAGATTGCTACATGGCACAAATCAAAGCAACCCAAGTTAACAGACAAAGAAAGAAAGAAAAAAAAGAAAGTACACTGAGAACATTTTGGAGTTATAAAGAAAAGAAATTGGATACTGTATCTGTTAGTATCAGGAGAGAAGTCTTGGACTAAATTCAAGCACTGCTCTTGTGAATGTGAACAAGTTGGTACAAAACCGCGTATTTTGAAAAGTTGGTTTTATGTACTTTATAATTTATACGTGTAGAGATACTTAAGATGGGGTCCATTTTGCATACTAGTACGAGTATTTTTTTATTACAGCAGACCAACCAAAGGCACCCAAATCGGTTTTTGGTAACCAATAGGATTCTGCCATGTCCACAGAAAATGCAAATGGCTCCAACTATGCTGTTGTCATAATAATTGTTCATAATTTTAAATAAGTATATTAGGTGTCGGGAATTATTTGTTTTCTGAGTCTGCCAGGTTAGGTTTTTGCTCAAAAAATGAAAAATTCAATGTTGTTATAAAGCAAGGTAAATACAAGTCTTTTTTGTTTTTCCTTATGATAGTCTTTGCTTGATCCTTTTAACAAGACACATCGCCCGAAGATGTTCTTTGCGAGCCAATTGATAATCACTGATGGTTGTGTTATTAGGACTACGTGTGAGACCGTGGTGGGAGACCTCTCACCTCGCTAGAGCCTGCTTTTATGACTAGACAGGAAAGCTGGTTTCATTGCCCTTCAGGGTATCAGGGCCAGTAGAAGAGCAAAAAACTGTAGATTTGCTTCACTCTGGTAACTGCTTTGGGCAATCTGGACCCTGAAAAAACTTATCTTTCAAGGACAAAAATCTAAACCAATAGACATTTGATGTTGATGAATTGATGGAAATATAGCAGGACTGAAACGGTGGTTTGTATAGAATTCAACAACATATATATAGTCAAAGTGGCGCCGAAACTAATACTAAGGTCACTTTCATCTCATCTGGAAGGCCTTACTATTGCAGCAAGACTGGAACTGTGGTCTAGTCAGTGAAGTAACAATGAAGTCACTCTTCAATCTTGGAAAAAATGGTCCCTTCCACATTGTAAACACTGTAAACAACTTGACATCGTGAGAAGAGGCTAATGTGGCCACATGTCACGCCAGTTGCCTTGCTAGTAAGGTTAGCAATCGAATTGCTTTCCCTGCCTTATACCAAAGTCAACAAAGGCAAAGACAACGATAACCTTTGATGCTCATCCCCGCAACCAATGACTAATCACGTAATAACTAATCAGATTCAGAGTTCCAGAAGGGTCCCTTGCACCCTTTGAATCCTGAATTGCCAAGAAAGAAAAAGGTCTCCAGACTTTGATTGGTCAATTTTGAAATTTGCACCCAACAAAAAACTTGTTTCAAACTCCGTTTTATGATTTCAATCTAAATGGATTACTAAACCATTGATATTGATTAGACTACCATGTCTTTAGTTTTAAATTTCAAAGTTCCTACAAGAGTTTTGTGTTCTTCAAACATGTTGCACAAGAATCAGCATGACAATCAATATAGTAGCTGCATTGTCCAAAAGAAACCAATCATTATTGCATCAACAAAGCGATTAGCATGATTTTTTCGAGATGTAACTAACATAGTCACATCACATAATCAAGGCCAATCGAATTCCATCATTCTCATTCCTAAAGAAAGTTATATCTCATGTTAATACCTTTCAGATAGTTATCATGTTCAGTGGAAAGGGTAGAATAAAAAAGAAAACTAGAAAACAAGAAAAACAAGAAACCAAATTACACTATCATTGTCACTCTGCACAGGATCAACAAACAGATCCACACATGAGCAAAAGACTGCCTCATCAACTCCGAAAGGTAACAACCGTCGAAGACATAACATTTTCTGTTTTCTTTTCCAAGATCTCTATAACTTAATCAGTTTGCAGAATACAATAAATCATCCATTCATCCTAATGCTGAAAGCAATGCAAGGGGAGAAGGCTTAAGATGAGGAAGGTGCAGAAATTGTATATCTCAAGCTCTTAACTAATGGAAAACTGAAAAGATATTGGATATCTCAACTAAGACTATAAACAAATAGTTCAGATTCTGGCACAATGCCTCCATTATCTCTATTCCAAGTTTCCAACCATGGTAAGTATTTTCACTGGCCTTAAAATAATTAGGCTTATAGTTCAACAGCTCCATTGGAAGCAAATGGCACTTTAAATACATCCCAAACAGAAACTCCCCCCCCCCCCCCCCCCGAGCCAAAAAAAAAAAAAGAACCATCCACATGTGGTTCCCAGAGCCATACAGGAAAACGAACTTCAAGCACAAACATGTTGAAACACACTTAAAAGATTCAATGAAATAGCTGTCCATCCCATATTCCATACTGATCACAAGACTGATACTTTTCAAATTTCAAGCAATAAGCAACCATAAAAGAAATGTATCCAACAAATAATTCTAGTACAAACAAATTATCCATTTACCAGAATAACCACAATCCATTCCATTGATCAGAATCAAAGTTAACTCATGACTTCAATACTAAAATTCTCTCATTCAAACTTCTTCTAATAAGAAGAAACAAAAGGGTTTTTCCTAATCTTTCTTACTTGCAGATGATTGCAATTAAACCCACATCCACATTGAGGAGACTCTTCAAAATTATCAATTGAAAAACCAGCAGCGGCAATCCCTACAGAAAATTCAAGATCATCTCCTCTCCTTGAGACCTCAACAATATTAACCCACATGAAGAGAAGCTTCACACTAACACCTTCCAAGCTTGCAATTTTGCCCTTCGATATGTACCCTTTAATGGCATTCGCGTATTTCAATTGGTAAGACCCTTCAATAGAGAAGCTACAACTACCATTGAAAGAAGCTGAGAACTTTCCCGATGAAAAGTCAAGATCATAGTCAAGAACGCCTTTCGGAAGAAGACCAATTGGAAAGTTGAAGTCTTTGAGAACATCATAGGCTGTTGACTTCATGGTTTCAAGAGAAATTGTTTCTGAGGCAAAAGATTGTGAAACGAGAAGAAAAAGGAAGAAAATTTTTGGTGACCCAATGAATCTTTGGATTAAGAAAGAACCCATGTCTCTCTTTCTTGTTTCCTGTTCAATTTTTCTGTGTTTAGACAGATATATTTCAATCTAAGCGGTGGTTTTTGGTAACAAGGAATGGTGGTTGAAGACAGGGCAAGCAGGCAACGAGGAAATTGTCCAAGTGTTCGCTTCCTTCGACAGCAAGATCTCTGTAATCATGAACTAAAAGACAACAAAGGTAAACTGGGTTGGGCCAATCTATTTGGAGTTTTTTTGGTTCTTTGGATTCTTGATGATTTGGGTTTGGTTTCATTATTTCGTGCTTGAAAAAAATAGTCAAGTTCAGTCCAACAGGCCTCATACATAAGACAATGCCAGACGTCCATATTTCTTTTGGTGAAGACAAACAATCCTCTTGTTTTTTATTCTATTTTTTAGTTTTCATTTAGTTTGTTCCAATACTGACATTCAACTCATATTAATAATTAGTTCAAAAAAAAAAAACTCATATTGATCATGTAAGAAGAAAAACTGATACAAAACCTCAAAAACATATAGGCATCTCTATTCTCCCAGAGTGCCAGTCTTCTTTTGCTGTTATGACGTTTTTTTTTAAATAGTCGGTCATTAATAATGTTGGCTCTAGCTAAATCAAATGCAAATGATTGATTCTCTATTCTTCATTCTGTTCATCGATGTTGCTTGAAGATGATCTAAGGCGTTCTCTAATCTGCCATTCATCGTCCAAATCATGTGTTGAAGTTTTGGTTGACCTGTGCTTCCGGCTATAGATTGCGTATAACAGTAGCTGAGCTGTTCCAAGAAGAAATCCAATCCCATTTGGTATCTGCAAAAAGTCAGACATTCTTAATTTCATACAATTCGTTTCTTACTTTCACTACAAGTGCATGTGGATTTTGCACATATGCATAGTTGCAGGTTTTTCCATTGAATATCACCATGAACAGTCATAACTACAAACTTTGATTTCTACAAAACTAACGTTAGCTTCTGCCATCATGTCACCGTTACCATACAATTTTATCATATATATCACATTGTCAACCCATGAATTCAACCAAGTAAGCAAATGACTGCGTGTTAAATGTTTTTAATTTGTTAATTATAATTGTTATCATCATTAGGTTTTCTTACCTGCTCCAGATCATCTTCTTGAGTTTTTTTTTTTTTAAGATTTTGTTGGCAATCAGTTGATTTGAAATCGATTTCTCACCAACCTGATCAGCTCTACAAGTTTGCAGCAAGTTTTTTTATGTGAAATTAAACAGCATGGTATATGTTCCATGGAAGAACATTGTTTCCGTCTTCATGCCAATTCCATGATTAAATTCTTGTCCTAAACTCAGCATCTTTAAGAGGATATACCAATCATACGAATTGATCAACAATTTAGAACGCGATAACATAATATGGTGCCATGATTATGATGATAATGAAAATGGTTTTGTTTAATCAGGACTTACTCCAAGGAAGTAATCTTTGACTAGCACAGCATAGAAAGTCCAAATGGCTCCATTCAAGAAAACGAAAAATGAGAGAAGGAAAGGCATATACTCCACGCTTTTAGTCGTCACCACTGTTTTCTGTATACAATAGTAATTTCAAGTTTAATTAATCCTTCCATGATCCATCAGCAACAGAAAACAATATTAAATTAAGGTTACTTGTAGCAAAATTATCAAATTAATGGATGAGAGTGCTTAAGCTAATCTTTTTTACTTCTCAGAGTTTATTGGTTAGAACTTATTAGAAGAGAAGGTCTTACCATTGCTGCTAAAGGTGAGCCATACATGATAATATTAAGGCCTGCACACAAAAATCCTATCACATCTATCCTCATATCTCCATGCAAAATCATTTGAGTGGCCAAAACTGTTGCTGCTACAAATCCCACATCAAGAAGTCCAAAAAGTATCCCAGTCTTAGCCTAAGACACAAGGATAGCATGGCAAATGATTAATATTTCAGTATTGACGACTTCGAAATCTTGAGTTCATGATGCTGGTGGTTAAGAGAAATTATACCCTCATTCTTGGAGGTGCAAAAACAAGGAACAAAGTCACATAAATCATCTCAACCACAACTCCAAATCCGTTTACAGTGGCTACCAGAAAACTTCCAGGCTTTGTAACACCGTAGTAAGTCCACAAGGCTGAATTCATGAGTGTGCAAATGTAAGGAAGGCTCTCAAATTCTTCGGTTGATCAGTGCCTAACTATTCTCCAGAAAGTGCCCCTGCAATTAAAATGACAATCCAATAAATCTTCATTAGCATCAATTTATTACTTATACAAAAAAAAAAAAAAATGCATTGACTAATTGCTGTGAAAGAAAAGAGCTTTGAGTCTGCTACTACTTATAGTTTCCTCCTTGCACTGGTTGCTGTGAGGAATCCAGAAAGATTATGTATACTTACGCTGGAGAAAGAAAGAGTAACACTGAGATGATGTTGCCTGATCAATTAACAGAAACAAGCTTGTTAGAGTTTGAATCCATGAACTAGAATTTGTAATAATAGCCCTCAAGAAACCACTCATAGAATCTAATGATTTACCTATTACTCCAACAAAGAAACTTTGGCTTGTCATGTTGAAGGGGAGACTTTTTCCTTTTTTGGTAAGGCTTTGTTGAGAAAAAGTAGAGAGCTGGTAAGTATATATATATATATATATATATAAAGAGAGAGAGAGAGAGTCAATAAGCTATTAATATGGCAAAGATTAACTTCAGATTCAAATTTAGTCATTCTAAGCAATATATACTTTTGAATGGATAACAGATATGAGCAATTATTTTAATGTTGCTTAATGTACTGAAAAAATAAATGCACTAAATATATTATAGATGATGTAATGACTGCCATGTCCTAATTTCTTGATGAAATTGTTTTCTGAATTATGTTTGATTTGAACCATGGAAATGCATGTTCTTGTAACTGCAGATGGAGGTAGGCAACAAATCCAAAACTACTTTTTTTATATATACTTGAGATTATCGAGAATGTAATAGGATTTTGATTACTGGAGTCCAACACTCTATTAACTATCATTGGCCAAAATTAATTGAGAATTGAAATATGCAACTTTGCTCTTGATTAATTGGTACAGTATTGGTATATAACATTTTAGTTAGTTTCGTTTGGATTTAATTAGATCCAATAGTCAGAGATCTAGCTATGGAAAATTCAAATTTGAGCAGTACCAATCTTTTAATAATTAATTATAAATGACATTTGAAGTAATGATAGCTTAATAACCATGTCTTGCTTCTGATAGTGCGGCCAATAAAGTCATTTTCTTGCTTAAATTCCATGTAATTTCTTTATTTAAATCCAGACTCAAATCACTATGTATTAACAAAGTTATCCCAATTATATTTAAAACTAGATTGCTTATCTTCTAATGGCATTCTTATAATTATTTAATGCAAGAAATGAATCATGTGTATATATTATTCTTAGTTAACTATGTTTTATTGATTAAGAAAACATTTGCTAACAACAATGTGATCTATTAATAGAGTATTAAAATTTTAATTTTAGTGATTCGAATTTAATCTTTCAACGGTTTTCAAATGATATAAACGACAAGCTAGCCTAATTATTAGAGCATCAATTAGTCAATGATTTTAAACAAATAATTATTTATAAAAAAATCAAATTACTATATTTAGTCAACTCCATAATTAGTGAATGGCACCCACTATAGAATAGCTTGAATTGCAGTAGGTCGAGTCTGCAATTTTATATTTAACAAGTGGCCTTAAACAATTAATAAATATTTGCAACGTTGGAAAAACTGATTGGTTTAAGCTGTTTTACATTAATGCATTTTCCTATTAAGTTAATATCACCTCATCAAATGAACCACTGAAGAAATTGCTGAAGAAATTAACAGTTTTAAGCATAAATTACAGAATTAGTACTAAAAGTGCAAGGCACATAGGGTAGCTGATATACATTTTGTTTTGGTTTTGGTTTTTCTCTAAACTGGAAGTCAATGGTACAATAAGAAATCAGTCAATTATAGAACTATAATAAACAAGAACACTAAAATTCTGTTAATATAGTTGGAAATCTGATATATTTTCCAACATTTCAAACCGAATTATCAACAATGGTTTTATCTGTTTTCAAGATTATATGTCATACATCTTTTCTTGAAATGCCGACAGCAATACATCTAAAATATTGCCAATATCAGCGATCTGTTGGTAGAATGCTGGATAAGAGGATTTGGGGTCGAGGGAGGGTGGGGGGGGGGCTACTATGATTAGGATATACAGCCAGCAGCCATGTCACCAGAAAGCACTGCATAGACAGTCCAGGTTAATCCATATAATTATAGGTTTACAGTATAAAAGTGAGCCTAATGAAAAAAATGGCAGAAGCTTGAATTTTTGTAGCTCCCATGTTTAATTAACTTCCTTCAAGATCAGGGGTGATCAGTGTTTCCATCCTCTACATCACTACTCTCATGAGGCCAACTGGATTGCAACTCATAGGGAGTCAAAGAAAGTGTCTTGATGATCTTCTGAAAGCTGAATTGTCGATTAACATGTGGTTTTGGGAGGCTTTTGCCTTTGTTTAGACTGCGATTCTTTAGATCATCTTCAAGTGAATGCATCCGTATGCCTCCTTTCACTAGGTAAGCTGAACCTTCTTCTTCCATGGCCTCGGTTGATTTTGCCGAAACAGACTTGTTCTTGTATATAACATAGAGAATCAACTGAGCTGACCCCAAGATAAAACCAATTGCATTTGGCACCTGAAATTTTTTGGGTGAGTGTGAATCTTTATAAAATCATTTAAAACTGTATTTTATGTATTAGGAGAAGAGAAAAAGGAAAAATGTGAACTTACTCCAATATAGATATCCTTCACAAGCATTGCATAAGCAGACCAAACACCAGCATTGAGGAACAAGAAAAATGAGAGTAAAAATGGCATGTACTCCACACTCTTGGTCTTTATCACTGTCCTCTGTTAAACATTAAAACTGATACATCATTACTTGGAATGTTGTTGAGTAAGGAAACTAGGATCCCTTTTAGCAGACTGAATTTGTTTTTGTGATGTCATCCTATATATCTGTATGAATTTCAGAAGTGTAGCATATGACAAGATAGATTGAACTCTTTAATATTCAACTGAAAAAAAATTCTAGGCAAGCCGAGATACAGCAATGTTATTGTTTGAAAGCAGATGATACAAATTTAAGTAGCAAATGCACAAAAATGATGCATTTTTAGGCTGCTAAGTTTTGTCTAGCTCGTTTATATATATATATATATATATATATATATATATATATATATATATATAAAGCAGTTGAAGAAACTTACCATGGCTGATAGGGGAGATGCATACATGCCTATGGTTAAACCAGCACATAAAATTCCAACAAAGGTGAGCCGCATATTTCCATGAATTGCCAGAAGAGTCACAGCAATTACCGCTCCAAGGAAACCAACATTCAATGCAGCCACCAACTTTGCTGTCTTAACCTGAAAAACAGCATCCACAAATTCCAAACTCTATGACTTGAAACATAGTTGCCATATGCCAATATGCCAAACAATTCAGATGTTATGCATAATCCCTACTGATGTCAATTAGATTATGAAACAAAATAAGTAATATCACCTTCTTATCTTTAGGTGCGTATATGAGGAAGAGGGTGACATAGATGAGCTGAAAGATGGCACCAGCACCATTCACTGTCATGACAAGTAATCCGTCTGGATTGATAATCCCATAGAAAGTCCACAAGCTAGTGCTCAAAAGGGTTGTTATGTAGGGAACTCCTTTGTAATTCTCAGTTGATTTCTTCTTTATCACCCCCCAAAAGGTTTTTCTGGAAATGAAAAAAAAAAAAAACACAAAATTTTTATTTGTCTGATAAGGCTACTAGTCAAATACCATGTCCATCTAAAGTTTTAACTTTTGTACAATAGTGGTTAGTGGTGACAGACATAACTAGTTAAATACCGAGTTAGCCACCAGAATTTTCATTCAAAGATCAGTATAGAAGTAGAAAGCCAGACACATATAGAAAACTGTAAAATCTAGTCTTAGGAAATTAACTTCTGATTTGAATTTAAATAGAAGCCTAACAGAAGAGCAACTTCCTGCAAGTTGATTAACCAAAATAATTAATTAAACACAGTAGATGGATCCACATCCCCATTGGTTTACTCAACATATTCCACACTTGTTCATGGACTAGAAATTATTGTTTTAGATGATTTTACTTACATGGGAGAAGCAAAAACCAATATTGAAATTACATTACCTGCAAAAAAGATGAAAAAGAGAGAAAAAAAAAGTGCTCAAAATCTTGGATTTTGGATAAAGATAGAAGCTGACAACTGACAAAAGCTGTTAGAGAAGAGGGCTAACCAATAATTCCAATGATGAAGCTCAAACCAGCCATTGAAGCAGAGGTATAGTCGAAGGAATGAAGCAAGTGAGAGGCATCAGTTGAAGCAATTAAATGGGGTGATCAGTTCAGAGAATTGGGGCATTCGTGGTGTGTGGTGGGTGAATCAAAGGTTTGACGGTACAAATTTTTGCAACATAGGATTCACCGTTAATCCATATTTGCTTGACACGTTTTGGTACCAAGTCGTGTCTTAATTTGTACTTTTGTTGATAAGACAAATGTGGACCATCTTTTAGTTAATATGATTTTTTGTCCTGACATGCTTTTTCAGTAAGAGAAAACAAAATTGGTTGTTCTGTCATATTGTATAGTACCGACATTAATGGTGAAAAAAAGAAGAAGATGTGGATCATACTAAAGATTCGATATCAATCACAAATATGTTGTCTTAATCTTTGTTCTTTATTGGTAAAGTTATGCATGCCCTAACTGTTGGTTCAATATGATAGTTTCTAACTTCAAACAATATTGGACCTTAGGGGAATGGATAAAAAATTTGTTCATTCATCAATCAAATTTCGTATATTTATTTACTTATCTGACACGTGTTAGTATATGCACAATCTCAATGGATTTTCTCACTATCGAATTGAGATTTCATTTTTGTTTTGTAAAGAACATGTGTAATGTAATGACAAAGAATTAAATGATTGACACTCGAAATCATATATAATCAAGAAAATTATTTTTATATTCACATTTTCTTCTCTTACGAGACTTCTTGAAAATATATTTATCTCAGTAAAATTTTTTAATAATTTATATAATTATTTTTAAAAAATAATATTTAATAGAGTTAAAATTTAAATTTAACACATGCGATCATTATTTTTATGCCCAAACTACAATCTTTTTTGTAAAAAGAAAATGTTGATTATTCTATAATTCACATGATCTAACCTTCTTCCTTTGAATTTTTGTTAAGACCTGAGAAGTTAGGTTGAAATATGCATTATTAGAACCTCAACAACAAATGTATGCTTAGATATATATATATATATATATATATATATATATATAAAATTTATATCTAACCATAATAAAAAATAATAAAATTAAGGAACCTTATCTAAAATTTACCCTAAAATTATTGAAAAAATAGATCATATACTAAGACCTTAATGAAATTATCACTATCACTTTCATGGAAGGGAAGGCATAATATTTTTACATTCACATTTTCTTTTTATAATAGACGTGACACAAGGTATATCTACATCGACATTGATAGTTTTTGGTTCTTCCTATTAGGTCAATATCAAAGAAGACAGCTAAAACAAAGCTGGGAAGTGGTTGATGTGATCCTTATGCTGCTAATTTTCGTTGAACAATTTGTTTAGACTTATATTTTGGTATGATGGTAAGAGTCCAAAGTCTCTAACAAGGCTTCACCATGACTGTCCTTATCACCATGCATGCCATTGAAAGTTTTTGTTGTTCTCATGGTAAACTATCATTTTGGATCGATGTCTATGGTATGCTAGCAATGGCGATTCTTAGATTAATTAGAACTCTTGTTGGCTATGCTTAAAAATGATAAAAAGACGAGATTTCGTTCTTTTATAATTAGTTTATGTATATATAATTCAATATAAAAATAAGAACCATATTATATATTCAATCTTAAAAAAAATGAACATTTTTATAATTAGAATTATATATGTAATTTTTAGGAATGATAGAAAATCATAAAATATGTTTATCGAATATTATTCTTTTTTTTTTTTTTCATCAGACAAATAAGGCCTAAGAGAGATTCACTAGGGTAGCTAAAGCCCAATTTTACAGAAAGACTATAAATAAACCCTACCAATAAGTTCTACTACAGGCCAATGAAAGGCCCTGACTACAAATAAAGCCCAGCTCAAGCCTAGTGCCTTTCTTTTTCTCTTGTTCTGGGTGTGTTTAAGTGTGAACATTAGTCATAGGGGCAAAATTTGGCTTAGTACCAACGCGTGGGCACGTCGAAAGTGCGCTGCTGTGTGAATTATTTGCTAACGACAGCGGCAGAGGTTTTGAGATCCCAACTCAGATCCCTTTCAGGACCTTTTCTGTTACAGTTCTCTCCAAGATGTTCAAAAAGTAAGCCTTTTTCTTGGGTAATGCTTGTTTTAAGGTTCTGGGTTTTGCTTTGTATGTTATATGTGATACGGGTGGTTGCTAAGATAAAAGGATTCACTTTTGCTGGTGATTTTTTTTTTTTTTTTGGTTAATGTCTATGTATCTTTGTCTTTGCATGATGATGATCTGGAATTTGTTTGATTAGACACGTTGAAGTATTGGGGAAGTCTGGGATTAGTCTAATTGGTTTTTATAATTGCAGCTTGTAGGTGTTATCAAGCAATGGGGGAAATATTTGGGTTGGTGTAATTGGGTTTTGGCAAAAATATTGTGGGTGTATCTGTGCACGCAGTTCAATGCTTTAGTGGATGGGTAGAGCATTGGGAAATAATTGATATGCCGTACAGTTTGGCTATATATATATATATACACACACATACAATATATCTATATGTGTGTGTGTGTGTGTGTGTGTGTGTGTATGTATGTATGTATTTGCTCTGGGGGAAGATAACTGAACAAGGATGCACCTCATATTGAACCTTTGCTTTTTGGCTATCATTTTTCTATAGTGGAAGAGCTTTGCTAAAATGAGAATGCTTTGGATGTCCTTATATAAAGGTATTTTAAGCTGGATAAAAATTTTAAGATTATGGTAAGCCGGTATACAATATTTTTTTGGAAGTTATTATGTGCCGTTAATCTTCCATTTTAGGGGAAGTAAACCTTGCCTGTAATTTGCTTATGGTTAATCATGGTTTTCCGTTGGTGATTGTATGTAAGTGATTGACCTCATGCTTTTCATGCAAGGTTTTGTTTGTTAATACAAAATCTAACAAGTTTTTGACCATCTGCAAGAAATACAACCGTTCAATTACTGCTAGGCTTTGATAGATATTTTATGCTTAGGGTACCATCAATGTTTCAATTTGATGTTTGAGCTATGTTTATTAAGAACGACAATTTATCTATATTCTATAAGTGTTTTTTTTTAAGATTTTCATCTGAAGATGTGTCTTCACAAAACCAAGTCAAAGCATCTGTGCAGCGAAAAATTCGGCAAAGCATTGCAGAGGAGGTCTAAAATTACCTTATGATTATTTTAGTTTCACAAATTGTGATAACAGTTGAATTCTGAAATTACTTACGTTTCTGCTTCGTTTAATGCACTGATGAATTTATGCAGTATCCAGGACTTGAGCCTGTATTGGATGATTTGCTGCCAAAGAAGGCACCATTAATTGTTGCCAAATGGTTTGTTGCTCTTTTACCATTGCTTCTGCAAATTAGACCTTTAATCAAATGTTTGTTTCGTAGCATGCATACCTGAGACATGATGCTAACAGTTTCACTTGTTTGCAGTCAAAACCATTTAAATCTGGTTTTAGTGAATAGTGTTCCATTATTCTTCAATATTCGTGACGGACCATACATGCCTACCCTCCGACTCCTTCACCAATGTAAGTTTTTCATCATTTTATCTTCTTAAATTGTAGATCTGCTGCTTCATAATTGGTTTTTTGTTCTATTTTGATTGTAATTTATTTGAGTGATATTCAGACAAGATTATAAGATGACTTTGCCTATGATTATCTGATTTTTTGTTTCCTTAGCTCTTGCCAACTATAAAGATGGTTTTCTTAACCATGATAAGCTCCATTCTCTTGTATAGTGCTTTGTGCATTACTGTCATGTATAGACATCTGTTAACCCTTTTGTGCCTTTTAACTGCACCCTATTGTTATGGAAATCCAAATATGACTATTCTGTATTTTGGTTTTGCAGATCCAGACATAATGAAAAAGTTGCAAGTGGATCGTGGTGCGATAAAATTTGTCCTTGCTGGTGCAAACATAATGTGTCCTGGTCTTACATCCCCTGGTGGTGCTTTGGATGATGAAGTGGAAGCAGAAACTCCTGTGGTATGAATCACCTTCTTTGTCACAGTTCATATGTTTGTTTTTTCATTTTCCCAATAACTGATCTGTCAACTAATCCTTTCAGGCAATAATGGCTGAAGGAAAACAACATGCTCTTGCTATTGGCTTTACCAAAATGTCAGCTAAAGATATGTGAGTTATTTTTAAGTTGTTTCTGAGCATTTCAATTAAATGGATGGCCAAATTTGAACCTGAAAAGCCTAGTAGCTTCTGCCTCCTGCCTGACAGGAGAGTAATGTAGCAGAGAACGTGGCATTAACATGCTAGGCTGCATCTGTTGTTATATCACTTGCCTCTTAGTTATAAATATTATTTTTTTATATAGTTTTTATCCTCTTACATACTTTTTATTTCCAAACTCTCAAGCACTTTCTTGCTAGCTAAATGTTGTTATTAAACTAAAATAAGTACGTGTTCATTATGTTTTACTCTGATTAACGAGTTTCAATTTTTGTTCGTTTGCAGAAGGGCAATCAACAAGGGAATTGGGGTAGACAACATGCATTATCTCAATGATGGTCTATGGAAGGTATTTATACTTAACTATGTGGTGTTTGGATGGTGTCTCATGTTTAATTGTATGTTCTTCTTTTGAACACCAACATGTTTATTGTATGGTATCTGGGATAAGCATTCTTGTGTCGAACCATTTGGTTATTCCTAACTTTCTTTTGTTCAATGTTAATTTGCTTAAATATGTTCAAATTAAAGATTTGGATTCTGCATCTTGCATTTTTTAGCGTAGTTTATATCACCGATTATATTCCCATGGTCATGCATATTCGATCTCATGCTGGTAATCTTGCCATAAGTTAGTATATGTTATTGCCTTTTTCTGGCTAACAATTTAACACAACCTGAAACATTAGGAGGTCTCGAAGTCGAAGCAAATCAATCTTATGCATTTTGTTATTTCCCAGATGGAGCGGTTAGAATGAGCATCTGCTATGCCAGCCAGCCATGTAAAAGTTAAAGAGAGACTTGAAGAAAGAAGTTATATACCTGTGGTCCTTCCTCTGCACTGCAGTTTTTCTCTATTTTGAGATGTTTGTATCCAGCTGAAGGGAATTACATGAATCTATCAATCTAATACTGTAGAGAAATCTTTGTTTCCCATCTGTGGGCATTTCAGCAAAATATAAAAGCAGAATTTTGGAATGAATGCTAATTAAACAGTAAGACTTGCAACAGTTTGGATTGAAAAAAAAGGCAGCTAAACTTTGTTTGCCTGAAGGCCATGCTTATCTATGCTCATATCTTTATCTCATTATCTAGAACCCTTCCATGTTATCTTTTTATCTTATGGTGCAAGCCAAAGTTGGGTTAAATCATAAAAATCAATAGCTACAAGAAGAATGAATTTTCCATTAATAATGCAACCTTTATCATTCTCTTACATGTAGGTTAATGGGTATTTATAAGCAAGCTTAAATATAATCAAAGTATTATTTTAAATATTTTTAACATTTAATATATTGTTTTTATAAATTTGGCTTTACTTTAAGGGCTTTTTAAGGTTGTTATATAAAGAAATATTTTTCATCTAATATATTGAAAATCATCACTTAAAGACAGTTGCCCTTGAAATGTCATCTACCAAAAAACTTGCAAAATAATTCGAAGCCCTAAATCTATACAAGAATTGGGTTGGATCCCAAAATTTTTTTAGTTACCTCTCTCAAAAAGGGCAGCCCACTTATCAGTCAACTGGTCTATTACACGTGTAGGGTTCGGAAGAGAGGACCACCATACAAACAATAAACTCAACCCCACCTAAGCAGACCTCAACATCACATACTACAAGCCATTCAAAACCCTAACCTTTCTTTTGAGTTTTGTTCATCGCATCTCTAATCAGTCGCCGCGCCTCTCCTGCTTCACACAACCAAAAAAGCTTTGGCAATGGTCTGTTACCACGTCTTCCCAGATTTCCCAAATCCTTCTGTCTTAAAAACAACAAAAAGTTTTAATATTTCTTTTGTTTTTCTTGCATTAACAGGGGATCGATTTAGTCGCAGGAGGTAAGAGCAAGAAGTCCAAGAGGACAGCTCCCAAATCCGATGATATTTACCTTAAACTCCTCGTCAAGGTCTCACCTTTATCTTCACTCTCTTCATAAAAATGTCTTCTTCTTTTTTCTGAATAAATGATCTGATTTTTGTTTTGGGTTATAGCTTTACCGATTCCTTGTAAGAAGAACTGGGAGCAAATTCAATGCTGTGATATTGAAACGCATGTTTATGAGCAAAGTTAACAAGCCTCCACTATCTCTCTCCAGGCTTATTCAGTTCATGAAGGGAAAGGTGTTTACTTGTTTTTGTGTCTGGGTTTCCTTCTGGATCTTTATGTTGTTATTGGTTAAGGGTTCAATTCTGTTTCTTTATTTTCGTATGTGTATGAATATATTGTAGGAGGATAAGATTGCTGTGGTAGTGGGGACAGTGACAGATGATATAAGGGTTTATGAGGTTCCAGCTTTGAAGGTTACAGCTCTTAGATTTACTGAGACTGCTAGAGCTAGGGTTGAGAAGGCTGGTGGAGAATGCTTGACTTTTGACCAGCTTGCTTTGAGGGCTCCTTTGGGTCAGAACACGGTATGGGATCCTTCTGTTGCACTCTTCTGGCTGTTTTTCTTGACATTACTCTTTGGTAGTCTTTTGTTCAAATTTATGTATGTTGATTTATCCTGGTTTTATCAAGTTTTCAGTTCTGCTTTTTTCATTTGTTGAAACTCCTCCAAATTGAAATGCTGATGTTACTTTCATGCACTATATTGAAAACATGAAAGGCAATGGTTTCTAGGAAACATAATACGCAGAAACTTGTCACTTTAAAATGGGAATGTAGCGTGTGAAGTCGTGATGATATTGATGCTTTGTTGCATGATATGATTCTGTTAATTTTCAATACTATAATATTTTTATTCCTTCTTCATTTGAAAGGTGATCCTAATTAGTTGAACTTTCTCCTTCTTTTATGTTTCTCTTTATACAAACAGAGAAAGTGACACACCTTTTGACTGGAAACCAAATGTGTTCTGCTGTGTAATTGCTAGCTCATCAAAATTTTTTCTTATTTAATTTTTAATAGAAAAGATCTTTCTGCTTTTCTTCTGCTAATTTTTTTCTTCTGAAATAAGAAAATGTTGTGTCTGGATTTCTTAAGAGTTACTTTGGATGGAATTGCAGGTTCTCCTTAGAGGTCCAAAGAATGCCCGTGAAGCGGTTAAACACTTTGGTCCAGCTCCTGGTGTGCCTCACAGCCACACTAAGCCATATGTGCGCTCAAAGGGAAGGAAGTTTGAGAGGGCTAGAGGAAGACGAAACAGCAAGGGATTTAGGGTTTAAGATGACTTTAATATTTGATTGTGAGGCCTGTCTGTCATTTATTATTGCAAATCAAATTTTGTTCGACCTTAGGTTTTGCTGGCAGTTGTTTACTTGTTTATGTTCACTTCATGTTCTTGGATTGTTTCATTACTGGTTTGAGGGTCGATCCTTCCTATGCTACAAACTGGAGTGTGTTGAAGAATTTTAATCGAGTTATATTTTACTCTTAACTATGGAATAATTTTCTGGTTGACATTGGCACTGGTAATTGGGGTTATAGTCAAGCTATGCGAGCCTGTTTATAATTATCTTTTAAGGCTTCTATATAGAGTCATTCTCCTGCGTGCCACTGGTTGACCTGAACCAATATAAGTAGGTATTTTCGGTTGGAAAACCTATATATATATATATATATATATTATGGTCAGACTAAAAATGATACAAAGTCTAACCATATCAGAATCAAGAAATTGGGAGTTATGCACTTTGCATGCTAAAAAGGGGATTTGGAATGTGTGTACAAGAAACCAACTTCTGCAATAAAGAGAAATTATCCATAAAATAAAAAACAGAACATTTAGATGTTCTACCATGATGAAATAAGGCTAGAAATACCATAGAGATGACAAGGGTTAAACTTCATAGTCAAGGGGGACTGGATGGTTTTCATATAGAAAAGCTGCAGAAGATTTTAACAGTTCCTGAAGTCCAAACTCAGTTCATTTCCTATAAATATGAGTGAGACAGAACGAAACGTCTGATAAGATCACAATAATGGAGCTTAAGAGATAAACAAATTGGGTTTGAGCTTATAGAATTACCGCTTTGTTCATTCTATCTCGTGGGGCTACCACACTTCAGAGTGACAATTAAAAGAGCATATGATCAGAAATTTTTTACCAAGTCACAAACGTAAGGAAACAAAATGTTCAATCTATGATTTACTATTTCAGTTATTCCACTTTGATTTGCTTCCTGTTAGACCAGATAAGCTTTCTCTTTAAAGATCAATCCCCCCTTTCTTTTCTCTGCTGTTTCTCTTGTTCTATAATTTCTTCGTTTTCTAAGTTGGGTACCCCAGAAAAAATCTCTTTTTCCCAGAAAACTTCTATTGTTCACCAAACCCAGAAAAAAGAAACAATAGAGAGAAATGTAATCCAATAACATTGGAGCACATCTCCATGAAAAAAAATGGGAGAAGGCTCAAGCAGAGAGGATCGAAGAAAAAGTTTTTTGCTTTACGCACAGATAAAATCCCAGGAACCATTCACTGAAACAGTGGATTCCCAAGAAGAACTATGTGCGAACAAAACAGAATCAAAAACTTGGAGAGAAAAAGATGATGTTTTCAAATGTTGCTAGAGATCAAGGCGGCAGTTAAACAGATTTCCAACATACTAAAAAATACAAACCCTAACTCAAGAATCTTGTGAACTGGTTCTGCTCCGGACAAGACCACGTTTATATAGAAACAGCTAGTACACGTTAATGACGGTAATACCCTCGTTCTGGTCTTTTTATTTCTCTTGTCTTTTAATGGGATCAAGAGTAATTTTAAATCCTTTAAAATGAAAAATGAATATATGAACTGAATTAAATTCAGATTAAATTCTAGCTTAACGTTAATCATATATATGAAAGCATGCTTCACAAGTAAATATATCCTTGAATTTCATTTGCATCCCTCAAAACTATTACTTTGCATCATTAAGATAATGTACTAATATCTTGTATTAATAAATTTTGAAAATAGAACTCGATTAAATAAAGATCGCCATAAATTCGTGGTAAGTAATTAATTACATTTTATGAAAACTTTAAAGCAATATGCATGCCAAATTTACCTATAAACTATAAATAAAATTAACATTTGTAACTTAATTTAATTAAAGTAACAAGTTGAAGTTGATAACAAAAATGATATTATTTATTATTATTTTTTAAATATATAAGTGCTAATTCTTTAACTTTGTTGATAGAATTGTTAAAAACTCGATAATGGGTATAATATATAATTTTTTTAATTAATATTCTAATTATAACGCTTTGAAACATTTTTCATGGAAATAGAACTCAAAAGAGATAATGACAAAATTTTAGTCCTGTATTAAATGAATTATAGTTATAAACATTTCTTACATAGAGAATTAAGTATAGAAAAAAAAATGGTGATCAATTGATCATAATCTACTGATGTTTTCTCAGAGTGAGATTGTTTCCTCAAGCTGAAACCTTGGCTACATTGGAATCAAAACTCAAGGATAAGGATATATCAGAAAAGCTAGCTTATTAATTAGCTACCGTCTTCGATTGCACTTTGATGTGCCCATTTGTTGTGTTGCTCTGGAAAAAGCCTGAGATGTAAGGCACTCTTCTAGGCTTTATCCAGGAGTCACCATCGATGAACTTTCCTGGAGTGAATCCAAGTGCCGCCCAATGTCTTATTTTCTTAATTCCACCCCATGTAACACGGCCTGTATTGTTAGAACCAGGGCCATGGTTGTTGAATTCAGAGTAGAAACAAGTTCTTAGGCCCCATGGGCCATCCCAAATTGTCCACCCTTCTGGTTTGATTAAGTCATCAAGGTAAGACTCCATAATTATTGTCCTCGAGAAATTCCCCCATGGACGGCCAAGATATGTTGGGAACTTGTCCTTGACAGGAACCAGTTCAGGAGCAGCAGTGAAGGTGGAGTTTTGGATGACAATAGCTGTTGGTTGACGAACGTCGAATCTGCCTTGGGCGGTAACAATGTTTTGCTGTTTATCTAATGGCTTGCGGACAAGGAATGTGCAGTTCTGGAAAACCACAGCTGCATCACCGAATACGAAATCGATTGTTCCAGAGACCGTGCAATCACGGTAGAATTGGCGTTTGCTGTGAACGTAAAGTGTATCCTGGTAGCCATCCATGGAACAGTTGTAGAAGACTGCGAAATCGGATAAGACCATCAAGGCCACAGCTTGGTATTTGGCTGCCCCAGCAGAGTTCTCGAACCCAATATTTTTGGCAAAGAAGTTGTCTCCATTAACAGCTGCATTCATTGGACATATCAATTAAGTAAAATCCTGAATGTATCAGATTGCTCTAGAAAGGGAAGCAAAACTTGAAAATAGAAAATCAAGGCTTAATTATTCATACCAACTGTAGCAGTCTTGAAGGTGGGAACACCATCAGCGTTGTTGAGGAGACCGGTGATTCGGGTTTTCTCTTTACCATCTCCAATAAGCGTCACATTAACCATACTGTAACCGAATTCGAGATTCTCCTCATAAACTCCTACCTTGATGTAAATGACGAAAGGCTTGATAGCATTCAAGGGGATACGGGTCATTGCAGCATTAATAGTCATGAAGTCTCCACTCCCGTCCTTGGCCACAACAATATCAGGCTTGAATCTGGATGGAGTAGCTGCCATCATTCTCCGAACTCCAAACTGAATCTCAAATTCGCCATGGCCAATAACAGGGGGATCATAATCCTGGAGCAGACGACGGGTCCAGGGATTAGTCTCTAAAAAGGAAGTCCAATCGTAATGCCCAACAACAGGAAGTTCCTCTTCTTGGAGTAGGCGACGACTTACGCCTTGAATTTCTAATTGTTTAAGCACTTCAGCCATCTCAGTGACAATTGCAAGGCCGTTTCTGCTAAGTTGCATGGAAATATTCAATGCCTTCTTCATTTTCTCTCCAGTGTTCGTCGTTGTATTTCTGAATCCATCTAAGCAAGTTTGTTGGTTGGTGATCGTAGCACTCAACCAAATCTTCAAATCAGCCAACATTTTATCAAACTTGGTTTCATCTAACTTATCAATCTGGTTGAATGATTTTTGGAGTTCATTTACTGAATAAGTCATTAGTTGTTTGCAGACATCTAGAGCTTTCTTTGATCTTGGATCTTTTTCAAAATCTCTCAACGTAGTTGAATTCTTGGCTGCTTGAGACGCAAACTTCATTGCGGCCTTGAATGCTGCTTGGATAAGTTCCTTGATGTCTGTGCTATTTCCAGCCTCGGCGCGGAGTTGCTCTTCACATGTTTTCCTGTAATCTGTTGGTTGGCAAATGGATTTGATTGCCTTCATTGAGGAAGATACCTGAGAATTTTTAGTGCCATTGTTGGTTTCATCATCGGAATTGGTTTCATTGATGCTAACCCCAACTGTTACAGCAACCACCATGGCCACCAAGAGGAAAGAACAAACCGCAATAATTGCGATTCTATTCTTCCTCTGTCCATCATCTGAACTTGACATTTTTTGTATATATACCTTTCAAGACAGGGAGTTTTCTCTTGAAAAGAAAGAGAAATTAAAAAAAAAAAAAAAAAAGAGAAACCCACTTCTTAATTTTTCCTAGTTGATCTTAAAGTCCCCCTATTAGGCATCAAGAGTTTCCTAATGCAAAGAGGGACAACAAATTCAATGGCCAACTCCTTTGAAGCCAAAGAGCCCCTAGGAGCTTGGTTTTTTATGATTCTTAGTATAAGAATTATAAGTTTATAAGAAAGATGAAAAAAACAAGCATAAATGGTTGAGGATTTGGTTATTTTTAGCTACAAAACATGAGGTTTGCAAGAGATATATGGAGAGTCAAATGACAACCTAGAATATTGTTGGTGTTTCCCAAAAATGAGAGGTTGCAAATTTGCTATCTAAAACATTTACCCTCTCAATTTAGTCAATTGACCATTTACAAATTTGGTCTTGCTGGTTTGAGATAACTGCAAATAAGAAAATTTTATGGTTCAAAGGAAACTGACAGTTCAAAACCATGAAATCATTCTTTAGAATACCATCAATAATATATGTTTTGAGTCATAGATAGTAGAGGGGAAAGCATATATACCACCCACCACCCAAAAAAAAAAAAAAATCATTGTAACTATATAAAAAATTGGGTTAACGTGTGTGTAACTTAGTCTCTGAATTATATCACTTTTAATGATTTTATATTTATAAAAAAATTCTTGATTAGTACTCAAACTTTGTTTTCCACAAATATTTTATCTGAGGCACTAATTCAGTCATAAGTTGATGTGGCAAAAAATAATTAATAAAATCATAATATGGGATGCATTTTTTAAGTTAATATTTGTCATGTTAGCTTTTTTTTTATTAATGATATTAGTTAATATTACAAAATATTTGATGAAAATAAAATTTAGATATCTAATTGTAAATTTTTTTTAAAATAATATATAATAAAAATTAATACAATTCAAGAGTTGGAAACTTTATTACATGAACTCTCACATATATTACAGCATACACAAACTTAATTTATAACCTTGCCATTCTATAACTTTGCATAAAATTTTGTTACCCTTCCATTCTTATATTTTGACATTGTATCCAGTCACTTTTAATAGGCTCCTCTTTCACCCCTTAATTCTAGTTACCATATCAGGAGTTAAAGATACAATGCACTGAATTCCCAATATTTGAAAATAAAAGCAAATTACCTGGTGTAATCGAATCTTTATTTGGAAGTTTTGACTATTTGATTAGTTTCTTCTCATACTTCTTATTTAGTTAAGAATATATTTGGAACAATTGTTATGGTAAACACTCTTCTGATTCAAAATCTTAACAAGCTTAACCATCCCTTTAATGCTTTTGCTACTATGAGATATTCTACCATAATTTCGAAGATACATTTTCAAATAAAACCCATCAATAAATAGAACAACTTCTTCACTTCCAATCTAACCAACCCCTTTTCAAGAGCCAACCATCAAAGCCATGGAAACCCTGTCTGTCAAATTACCATGTTCTTCTGATACCTCTAGCATCTCAGCAGCCTCAGAAGAAACTCAGAACAAAGGTGGCATGGGGGAAAATATGATGGCCAAACTGAAAGAGAAAGTAATTGTTGTTCAAGAATCTCATGAGTGCAACCAGCTTAAATCTGGATTACATGTTTCACTCAGTGAGAAGTTTTCTGGGGATGAATCAATCCATGGCTCGGAGGTGGAACTCAAACTTTCTAGTATGGGATCATATCAAGCAAAGCAGCAGCCACAGGCACAGTCAAAACCGAGGGCTTTTACATGCGGCTTTTGCAAGAAAGAATTTTCAACCTCTCAAGCTCTGGGAGGGCATCAGAATGCGCATAAACAAGAACGTGCAATAGCTAAACGACGTAAAGAGTTGGATTTAGGGGCTTTGGGGCATCAACAATACCCTTACTACTCATATTCAAGCCTGTCTCAATCCTCTCTCTATGGATCTTTCAACAGGGCTCTTGGGGTAAGAATGGAATCCATGATTCAAAAGCCTGCTTCTACTTACCCTTGGACCTCCCTAGGCTACCGTTTCGGCCATGGAGGAATCGTGATGGATAGTAATTTCCAGGCTCAGAAGAGTAGCACTTTTCCAACATCTATGGCTGTACCAGCTTCAAGTATTGCACCAAAGAAGCCAACAAGCAGTAGTGATTTCTCCCCAAAACGGATGTATCAGAAAGTGATCATCGTCATGATGATGATTCAGGACTTGATTTGTCTCTTAAGCTTTAAACCTTAATCCCCATTATATTTTTAGTTTATACTTTATAGTATGACTAATCTTATAGGGTTTAAGAGTTAATTTCCTTCAATTTTTTTTTGTTTTTACTTTTATCAATTATCATTGTAATAATTAGATTTAACTTTCATTTCAATATGAAAGTTCATGTTTATACCAAAAATGAAAGATTATGTTTATTGGGGATTGATAAACAATCTAATTTGAATTAAACTCATTTTCAACCATGTATTTTTTTTCATTAAATAATTATTAGCTAGCTTTTTAATTCACAAGATCATACCAAACTAATTAATAATTATATGTCATAAAGAAATATATTTGAAAGTAATTCAATTTAAGGGCATGAGATACTTGTTAATTAACTTTGATTAAATAGTTCATAAATATCCCTTTTTTTTCAAAAATAAAAATAAAAAGGAGAGATAAATCATGTAAAGTAAAAGAAACAAATATAACAGCAACATTTTATTTTAAAATTCATATAATTCATATTAAATACTTGAACTCAACTATTAAATCCTCATTATGTTTATTTTGTTTTTTATACCTTATGTAGTAGTTTTATTTAGATTTTGACCCTAAATGATCTTAGGAATGAAATTTTTTTTAAATGAAAAAAAGAAAAATCTCAACTGATGATTTGTTTCTTATTTTGCATATATATATTTCAATGTTGTATTTATTGTTCAAAGGGATCTCATCATTTTTCCAGGATTTATTATACAGCTAGCTTTTTCATGGTTTCTCATTTATATAAAATTAAATATTATTTTCAAATTTAATTACATGCCGATTTGAATTAGACAAGGCTTACCCCATTTAAATCTGAAACTTATAAATCTTTATGATATTTCATTTTTAGTTACAAATCTTAATACTTATTAAAGTTGGCTCCCCCTATTAATTATTACCATTATTTTTCATTTAAAAATTAGCAATTTGAATTCAACTCTTTAAAATTTTTTTCAAACTAAGATACTCTATAATTATTATTTTTTTATTTAAAGTTATAAAAAATTGGATATTGATCATTAAAATTAAAAGTTCAATACTATGACAATCTATGATCTTATTTTTCAAAGGCTAAAATAATTTTTAAAAAATCTTAAAGTTTATCATTTTATTTAGATAAATCCGGCTTTATACGTATTTTTATTACATCAAAATAAGTCATTAACTTTTAATTTGTATTCAAATAAATACTTAACATTTAATTTGTATTCAAATAAATCATTAACCTTTAATTTGTACTTAAATAAATTTTTAACATAAATCAATCTTATTTGAAATAATGACTTATTTAGATATAAATTAAAAAATAATGATTTATTTAGGTACAATAAAATATAAAAATTTATTTAAAACATATAAAATAGTTTATGAGTTTTTTTAGTATTTCAATTTTTTTCAAAATGCTTTCAAACTTTTGTGTAAAAATAAAAGCAGTTGGGTTGGCCATATGGAACAATATTGGTTTGACTTGGACTAATCTTTAGCATCTACTTGAATGAATATATCATTACCATTTTTTTTTATCTTTTTTGTGGAAGTTAAAATTATTAGTGATTTGATTGTAAGACTTCATTGTCTAAGATATATTTTATCAAATCTGGATTTGTGATATTGAAATGATCATACAATTAAGTAATAACAATAAAAATAAACTTGATAATAAATAGAATTAATTTTACAACCAAAGTGCAATCCAAAATTTGTGTGACAGAAAAAAAAAAAAAAAAAGAGACAGGTTAACAAATAAAGCTGAAAATCCAAGAAATCTGGTTGAAATTCAAAGCAAACCCCCATTATAAGGAACTCCAGTTGCAGGCAACCAGCTGTCACCTTGGATGAAGTTGGACACAGTGAAGTTAGCAGCATCAATCTCGTTTATATTCCTATGATATCCAGGCCATGTGACTCTGGAATCAGTATTTGATCCTGGACCCTTGTTATTATATTCTGCATAGTAAAGAGTATCAAGGGCAAAATCTCCAGACCATTCACTCCAACCTGAAGGTTCAATCAAACTATCCATGGAACTTTGCATACAAAGAGTTCTTGAATACTCCTTCCAAGGACTTCCCAGGTACGTTCTCGTTGTCCCGTTACTTGAGGCCAAATCATCAGCAGCTCTAATGACGCAATTGTGAATTGATACGCCTGTGTTTTGGTTAGGATCAATTTTTCCTTGTGCAGTGATGGTATTGAACTGGTTTGGTAATGGCAGTCTAGGATATATGTTACAATTTTGTAGAACAACGGCTGCATTGCCAAATATGAAATCAATAGTGCCATAAATATCACATTCTTTGTAAAATTGCCTGAGAGAATGAGCATATAATGTGTCCTGGTATCCTTCAAAGCTGCAGCTGTAAAATGTGGACATATCAGCACCATTTCGGACCGCGACTGCTTGCTGCTTGATAGGTCCGGCTGTATTACGAAATGTTATGTTCACTGCAACAAATCCCTTCCCAACAACAGCTGCAGGGCAGATATGAGTCAATAAAAATGTAAGGTTGTGTGAAAGATTACATTATAATATTGCAGCGTGATTCCAAGCTAAATTCTATATAATTACCAAATGCTGCAGAATTGAACGCGGTTGATCCATCAACAACGCTGCGATTTCCAGTGATTACTGTCCTGTTAATACCATCACCGATCATCATCAAATTCTGCTTCATCTTACGTATGGAAACATACTCTTCATAGACACCAGCAACCACATAAATAAAAAAGTACTGGTTACTGTCACCAGTATTATTTGGTGCTGCAGCCACTGCATCATTGATGGTGGTAAAATTGCCACTTCCATCAGGATTTACAGCCACTACTTGACTCACTGAGACCCCTTTGCCATCTGTTTGAATATTCTTTCGTCCGCTTGCAGATTCATAAATTGCTTGGTCATGGCTTGAAATTCTTAAAGGTAAAGGAGAATTTCTTCCATTTACCAAATTGGAAAATATATAGTTTCTTCCTGTTAGCGATTTGGTAAAGCCATCAATCCAACCATGCCTGAAAAGTGCAAGAGAGACACTGTAGAACTTTGTTCCATTAAAGATAGATGGCAATAGGTTATTCTTGATCCTTGAAGATGATGTTGTAGCTTCAAGCCCTTCAAAACAAGTATTTACATTAGTTAAAACAGCACTAAGCAAGGAATGCTAATCATCAGCCAGGAAGCTGTCTAGACTGTCCATAGAATTGATTTTTTCTAAAGTGTATGACAAGAAATCTACGTTCAGCTCAGCTAGAGACTGGCAATCCTGGAGGGCACGAATCGTGCTTATGAACGAAGTTGAGGGGAGTCTGAGGAAATACTTTACAGAACCAGGAAAACTGTAAGCATTTGATAACGATCGATGGACTGAAATCCTGCCATAGTCGAATATGGTGGAGAATTTGTTGGATGGTAAAACGCATTTGCAGAAATCTGCATGTGGGGTGTACTTGCAAATGCATTCTGAGTTGAAGACTGGGGTAGTGATGCTAGCAAGAGACGGAGAGAAGAGGATTATAAGGAAAGATATGGTGCAAAGAGCTGAAGCCTTCGCAGCCATGATCATGAAGCTTATTGCTAAATTTTGATTGGTGAAACAGGTCTGGTGTCTTAGGCATATATATATATATATATATATATATATTTATTTATATTCATCCTGATCAAACTGTGAAGAATAAATTAGACGACTAAAGTGCATCAATTAATCCCCCAATAACTTTGTAGACACAGATTTAATAGATATTTGGGTTATTGCATATCAAAAATTTCAACCGAATTATTATTTTAGACAACAAACTCCATTACCAACAGAACATACATACATGTCCCTGTTGTGATTTAAGATTTATAATAATTGTTGACATATCCTTGCATTAGAGATGAGGCAGCAGGTAAGATTCTTGAAGTTTTTCTGCACTAAGTACAATATTTCATTAGAATCCATACAATAAGAATAAAAGTGAACACCAATACTAATGTTGTCCACGTCTTCCTTGTTTGTGCCTTCAACCATAAGCCAAATGTTGGGGTCAACACCAAGGAAGCTGGGGGCGGGAGATAGGCTTTCCTGACTTGAAAGTTGAAACATGAATTCTGATTAATTGATTAATTACAATATGTGGCCTGTAATTACGAAAGGAAAATAAACTTAGATTTGCATATGCCACTCTCTCTCGCCCTTTTTTTTTTCCATTATCAACAAAAAGAAAAATAAAATCAATAGTTAGAACAGCTGACACAAAATCTTGAGTTTGTGGGATCCAATATCAACTACCACAAACACTTGAGCACATCTGAGATTTGTATTAGACTGTACCAACATTGGACATTTAGGTTATCCGATTTGATCAACAACAATCTTAGTTATTAATCCTTTTGCATGTTGGCAGGTTTGGTTTAATTTTTGTGGAAAAGGAAAAAAGCCTTACCATGCATCAACTCAAAAGCCTTGAATCTTGTTCTTCATAGTTAAGGTTGCTACCCAGGCAAGACAACTTCGATTTTTGTCAGAGATTAGTGGGCTTAACTCAAGAAAACATGAAAGTGAGGACTAATGTCGAAGTGTTTTGGACTCGACGGATGAGGCTCTCAAGTGGGCTTGGATGAAGAGATACAAATGGGTTGGTCACATATAAACTTGTTGAACTTGAACCGAGGAATTTTTTTATTGTTGTCCACCATTGAACTTTTAAGCCTTGAAGACAAAGCTCTTTACAAGGCTAAAACCAATAGCAAGTAACCAGTACTAGTAATCAAATCTAATCAATCATACATGACGAAGCTGCCAGATATCGGATCCTCAAGTAGTAGAGGCTGAAACACACATGTAAATCAGTACAACCACTGGAAAATTCGTATATAAGACTATACATATAGCTAGTCACCTAATTGCTCAAACCTGCCGTGAACTTGACGCCGGTTGCAGGCAACCATGACCGGCCGTCAATGAACCTCCCAACTGTGAAGAAACTTGCGGTGGCAGCATCTTGGATAATGTGGTAACCAGGCCATTTCACTCGTCCGGATAATGATGCACCAGGGCCATAATTCCTGTACTCACCATACCAAAGTGTGCTCAAGGCAAAGTCCCCATACCACTCAAGCCACCCTCTAGGCTGCACCAGACCACCCATGTAAGTGTTCATGAAAACTGTCCTGGAATACCGCTTCCATGGCCTCCCTAAATAAGTTGGTTGAGTGGCAAGAACATAGCTGTTCTGAATCGAAAAGCCGGTACTTTGATTCGGGTTTTTCCTTCCCTGAGCAGTGATTGTAACCTTCTGAAGTGGCAAGGGGACTCGAGTGAATATTTTGCAGTTCTGGAGGACAGCTGCACCATTGCCGAAAATGAAGTCTATGGTGCCATAAATATTGCATTCTCGGTAAAATTGGCGGAGGGAGTGAATGTAGAGGGTATCCTGGTAGCCTTCCATGCTGCAACGATAGAAAGCGGATTGATCAGAATCCACTCGGAGAGCCACAGCCTGGTGGTTCTGGGGTTCGGCTGTATTGCGGAATGTTATGTCTCTCGCTATAAATCCCTTTCCAGAAACAGCTGCAAGAATCAAGTCATACGGTAAAATCTTCATGCGAATGTTATGAAAAGATCAAGGCTCAGGGAATATTACAAAACTTGGAAACTTTCATTCCAGAAAAGCATGTAGAAGCGTGTGCATTCCAAAATGGAATTTCACTTTACAAAAGTAATAATGCATTCTGCCATTCACATTAATTTGGCTAATGCAATGCTTAAATTCCAGGACTTAAATTTCTGAACCATTAAGTCAAGCAATCTTTTCTATCATATGAAAAAAGAATCAAGCTTAAAATTAAATCTTTCTTTAAGTAAAAAGACTTTAAGGCAGATAAGTAGTATTTACCAACTGTAGCAGTTCGAAATGTAGTCCATCCTTGCAAGAAATTCCTGTTCCCTGTCACAATTGTTTGTCCGATTCCATCTCCCACCACCATAATATTGGTTTTTTTCTTCTTCATGTCAATGTTCTCCTTGTAAACTCCCTTCTTCACATAAATGATGTACCTCCTATTACTATAACTTGGAGCCTCATTGATAGCATCTGTTATGGTCCAATAATGCCCGCTCCCATCTAATGACACAACCGCATCTATGTGCATAACGCGTGGATTAGTTTGTACAAGCTCTTGATCACCATCGGTTATCCACTCCGGAAATTCTGAGCTTGTGTTTGTGGAAGTGCTTTTGCGAGGTGGTCGAAAGGGCAAGCTATGTAATTGAGTGTACATAGCTAAAACATTGCCAATAAGTTGTGTAACTTGTTTCAGGCTTCCTCTGATGAAGCTCTCAAGGTGGTGGTCTGTGCCTTCGAAGCCTTCAAGGCAGGTGTCTGGGTTACTCAACGCAGCACTTAACCAAGCTTTCAGGTTCCCTTCATGTTCAGCACTTCTATCACCACCACGAATTTTTTTCATCTCAGTCAAAGACCAGGCCAACTCCGAGACGGAGAAATCAAGAAGTTCCTTGCAATCTTCAATTGCTATTTGTTCACGATAACTGACAGACAAAGCAGTGAACTTTGTTATTGTTTCAATGGCTTGTCTTGCTTCATTAAGCGTCGCCCTGAGAGCAGCATGCAAAACTGATGAGGGGGTTTGAGGCCCTAAGTTTTGAAGCTCAGCTTGTATATTTGAGAGGCATAAATCCTGGCTATCAATGCCTGTGCAAGCCTGTATGATTAATGATTGAGTAGTTAAGTTCTGTTTTCTTAAGGGGGTAACGTCAGGTAAAGCTTCGAACGAAGGTAACAGTAAGAGAATAAAAAGAAACTTGGCAAAGGCCATGTCTTGGGGATAGAGTTGGAGGAGAAAGGCAGAGATCGATGATTGTGGTTTTTACAGAGAATGTAACTTTATATGCAAAGGATTCAGGTATTGTTTGCATTGAAAGAAAGGAGTTGTCATTTGAGTTATGACTTCACCTTCTTTATGCTTTTCCCCTGACGAAGTTATGCTCTCTTTTAAGATCCCACCATAATATTCTTTACCATTTGCCGCGTGCTGGTCAAGATGGCCGCTGTTTTTTCCACACTAGTCAAGTTCAAGCCATTCGCCACACAATTGACACATCACAATGAAGCATCTAGCCAGGGCTTGGGCTTTGGAAGTAGGCCTGCAGCTTGGTATATTAAGCAATCCAGTTTAGATTCCCCAGGCCATTGTTCTTCACTCGGAAGAACAAAGGGATGTAATATTGAATCATTGATGACTAGACGTAAGCCTAAAGGAAACTAGCTTATTGTTCCCATACTCACTAAAAACACAATTATAATCATGGCGAATGTTTATCAAGTCTATCTGCAACTGCAATTTTCATCATTTGAAGCATTCAGAGATGGTATTTTTCCACGCATATATGGCAGAAGTCAAGTTATTGTTCTATCAACACTAGAATTCCAAGTTTTCCACTGCTAAGTTGACAAAATGGAGATTCAAACTTCAAATTAGGTTTTTTTTTTCCCATGATACCATGAACTCAAACCAGCTTACTTAAAAACATAGTTAAAATAATCCTGTCAAAATACAAATAAATAAACCATGGTCACTGCCAGTTGTAGTAACTTAAAACCTATTATCCTAAAGCAAAATATAAACTTCAAACATGACTTCTATTTTGAAGAAAACATTTGGAACAGGCTTTAAACCGCAGAATTAAAAAGAAAGGGAGATAATTGCTTCTATGTGCACCTGAAAGGATAGGGTAAACTCTTTGCTAACCAATGGACAAGGCGCAAGGGTTTATTCATTATTCTCCTTATATATTTGCAAAATGAAATCATTTAATCCCACCTTATTATGCAACCTCTAGCATGCATGCAGGGTTTCAACAATATCTGATGAAAGCAAGACCTTAGAGGGGCAAGTAGTTTGACCGTTTTGATCCCTACACACGAGGCTTTAACTGCAAGTTCAAACCTTTCAACTGTAACATTGCTCAGGTGCACAAGCTTTGCTAGGAGTTGTACTTTCTTCTTCGTTTTACTTTTCCTATAATTTTGTTTGGGACTACAAAGAAACCAACATCCTGACACATGCTAACTCCAAATTGAACTTCTACCATCAAACATGATATTATCCAAACAAAAGGTGTCATTCCTATTCCTTATATCTCTAGTTTCCTTCGATGCCCCTTTTCTTCTTTGGTTAGTTGATTCATAGGATTAGCAAAGGAAGTTTCCATGTGATTACTTCACCACTAATCATCTACCATAACTAATAATGGCATTCTTTCATGACCTAACAAAGAGACAATACCTAATTAAAGATCATTCATCCTCAAAGTCTCTGTCTAGATGAGTAGCACAAACAAAAGTTTCAACTGGTATCTAAGTACCCAAAAGAAGTTTCAGAGTGTTTTGAACTCTTGGTGCTTCTACCAACTTTTATGTTTTCAGTTGTGGACCTCATGGTCCTTGAGCATCAAAGAATTGTCAGATAGTGATAAAGGGGAAAAAGTCATCAAATAAGGTAAGGGTGCCAAAATTACCTCTAGTAGGAACCTGGGGATCATAGATTTGTATTTAGTGTTGACATCTACTTCTGAAACCACCCAGTAGATTGGTGGCTTGGCCACAATATAACGTTATCCAATTTCACTGCTATCCCACCTCCAGCCTTCTCATAAGGTTGATCAAAGGTTCTCTCCCATAGCTTCTTGCTTTCTTCAACCCCTTTTTCTTTTACAGTCTCCCATATCCCCACTATCTTGCCCATATAATTCCATGTGTCCTTCAAATCCTCTGCATACACTTTTGGGTAGCTTTGGTTCATTGCTCATAAGTAACAAAAGAAAAATTGAAATATGTGACAACAAAAAAAGAAAAAACGAAAAAAAGAGAAAGATATGAACTATTTTACATTTTAGTAGCTGATTGGAAGAACTACTATCCAATGCATGCACAAATCTAAAGCACCCATCTCCAAATCTTTGCATCATATACAGAAATCCTCTGTATCTTTGTCTAGCTGCTATCAAATACACTAACTCATACAAGTATGGTTCTGAAATTTTTGGATACAAAAAACTTCTTCTTTTGAACTTCATTGAAGAGATCTTCATTGATCAGTGATCAGTCTTCGGAATCTGATTCCACTTCATTCTCAAAAGGCTCAGATGAATGAATATCTTTGAACCCAAATTTCTTTACATCTCATTAAGTTTGTTCTATATTTGTTAATTTAGATTATTCTTATAGGTTGGTCATGGGTGTTTAAGTGGGACATAGGCTTGCAGCATTGTTCAAACCACAATGGATGTTGTAATTATGGGCTAAATCGATCCTTGTCCTTGTTATCAATCCACTACCATGGCAATATATAATTGTTTGAGGATCCAAAAAACTTCCCCCACTTGGAATCCTGTAATGATCAGACAAGTCTTATACTAAAATCGTGCATTTAAAAGACAATACCAATGGTAAAGACACAATCCTTTTTGCTTTAGTACAAAGGAAAAGGATCCACACTTCTCATTATTTTAGCAATGATAATTCTAATTGGTAACAATCGCGCAAAGCCACAAAGCAAATAAAGTCTCAGTTCTTGATTTGAGAAACACCATTATTACAACCTTTTGGTAATAACTCGACCTGTTTAGCAACTACAATGATTATTTAATTAGCATTTGTATTTGAAGTTGCAGACGTGACCGGTGCAGATGCAGGGCATTTGAGCCCTGCCTTCCCTTCTCGGCACTTGGTAGCGAAAAGACCAGGAGGATACTTCCCATAAAGATTAATGTAGCTGAACATGGTTGAAGCACAATCGGTTGTCAGATCATTGATCTGGTCTGCAAAAGGGCAAGCAAATTGCTTGAACGCTGCACAGCAACGATCAGCTGGGTATTGAGGCCCTTTGCATTGGCTCGTGATAATAGTGTAGTTCTGGAATTCAAAGTTAATAGGACAAGCTGCAGATAAGGCAAGAAAAACAATAAATCATGCTAAATATTCTATGAACAACTCTAGACTCCAAATCTTAATCAAGTAAACAAACATTTACAGATGGAGTCACGTCCGTAGATGATTCGTATAAATATACGTATATTTGTACATAATGACATAACATCTATTGAAATTCTGAACAAAATTCACCAGAGAGTGAAAGTTTTTGAAGTATAAATAAAACCTTTCTTCATCTGAAGTAGATTCCTGCTTGTGGAACCGAGAGAAGATAAGACACCATCTGCATAAAATCACGGGAGACAGGATATTAAGACATGGAATCATATAGATAGTGTAACAAGGAAAAATCCCATTATCTATTGTGTGGGATAGCAGATGAAATCTGATGAATACCAGAAATGGAAGTTGAGAAAGAAGCAGAGGAAGCAACCAAAAGGAAGAGAATTGCCAAGTAGGAGAAGGACCAATTTCTCTCCATTTTTCTTTTCCTGTTATCAGGCAGAGCTACTTCAAAATCTTGCTTCTTTTTTCTTTGTAGCTTCTGTTCTTGTATTCTACAGGATTGATAAAGGATCAGAATGGTCAAAAATCTCAACCTGTACGAGAAGGAGAAATGTTAATGAAGTCAAGCAATCAAGATTAAAAAAAATAATTGGTTGATAATCAAGACTTGACGTCAACTGAAGAAAAGTCTTTCATCCATTATAAACTAAACCTTCCGTAGCTGAGTGAAATTTGTTATTTGCCCCATAAGCTTACACGTCCTTGTTTTCATCTGTCTGAGCTTGACGATCCACTGATTAAAATAATTCTCGTTAACTCATTTATAATTTAAATTTGATCTGTGTTTATTTAATGATAAAAATTTTATCAAAAATTTTAATAAAATTATTTATTTAAAATATATCAAAATTATTAAATTTTATACTCATAATTTATATAATAAATTCTTTTTCTCTGTCTGATTTAAATTTTTAATTTTAATAAAAAGTTTTATAAATTTCTACTCAAAACCTTCATTTAAATTTTTTGTTGCCCCACAGTATTCTCGTTTGAGATTGTAGCCCCTGTGGGACTAAGACAAATATTGTTAATTGTTTTGAAAATGGTGACAAATTGACAACCAGGATTTGGGGCCCCTTTCGTTTTCAAGGATGAAATTTTCTAACCATGTCTGATTTCACATATTTAAGACATGTAAACCTTTGCTTTACCTCCAAAGCCAGGCCCCCACTATCCCTTTGTTTCTTTCCACCGGTTAGGTACGTGTGAACCGGATTTTTTAATCTAATGGTTAAAATATATATATATATATAATATAATAATTTCAAATTTTCAAATTTTACTTTGTTAGGAATCTACTACAACCAGCAGCCCGAAATGGAAGCCCATAAACTTTCACGGGTGGTTGTTAAAAGCCCAATAAATGGCAATGGCCCACAACAGGGACACGACATTTTGTAGGAGATGGACCATCACAATATCGACCGGCCACAAAGCACAGCCGAACATGCAGTGCCAAAGGGCCAATGGAATTGGGCAATGCAAGCAAAATCCAATCCAACTCACAACAAATATAAAAAAACTGAATCAAGCTGCCCCTCCAGAAAATATTTCAGCTAAGGTCAATTTGAAGAGAAGTGGAGCTACCCTGGTAAATGGTAACCCAAATGCTCCTTTGACAGGATTTGACCCTACTAAGAAGATTTAACTTTCAGGTTGAAAAGGGTTAGTCCAGAAAAATTAACCTAATAAGATGCTTCCATTTACGACAATGGGAATGATGCTAGAATACCTATAAGATTCAACTGGATAACCAAATTATCCATGCTGTACGTAGGTTTAAATAATGATATCACAAACTTTCCACCTCTTACCTTTTTCATAGCATTGAAGGCATGAAGTAAAGAAGACAGTGCCTTGAGAGTTTTAATATAAGGTATTGAACACAAGCTACAACAAGGCTAAGTTTAAATTCGGATGAAATACTTTGTTGGATATCTGATGAAAACACTATTTAATTTGATAACAATCATAACATAACAGTTAGAAGAACCAAAAATGGAAATTCCTTTTCTATTTGTGGCAGATATAAGCTTAGTAGTGGCTTACTTAAGTTCCTTGACATCATTACCAAGTCTGTTTAAATCTAAAACTTCATTACGTAGTTGCACTGTTCATCCGCTCAGCTTGGAACTGCCTTACTAGCTGCAAAGACTGATGATAGAGATTGAGGTCAATACCATCAACATTCCTACCAATACGTGCTTGCAGGATTGCCTGAAATAAATCATACAACCAGGACACATTAGTCTTTGATAGAGGAGAGGGAGAGGGAGAACAAAGAAAAAGGCGTTTAAATTGGTTGTAAAGGAATATACTTCATTGTTGGGTTGAATATGGAGTTCACCAATGAATTGGAAGATGGAGCCGACTCGGAAACTAAGTTCCCTCAAGTGCTTGGTATCTATCTTTAGGACAGCACTTTGATCAGCAATAACAGCTATGGCCGTCTCCACAGAATACTCTTGCAGCCTAGGGATGAATGGAGATATTTAAGTTATCCTGAGACAAACTTCAAGTTCTCTCTCTTCCTTTTTAATATGGATATGACATCACATCATAAAAATCAACCAACTAACAAATAAAAATAATATACTGATGGTGCAATTATCTAGCCACTCACATCAAGAAAAACAATACATAATTGGGTAAGGCATTCAATAATTTTTTAAAATCATTGATATATTTGCAACAAATCTCACTCAGCAGCTAAACCATCTGCAATGCTAAAAATTAGCATAAAGACATGGAATTTCCTCAAATTGTTGGCACCAGCCATAGACATTTCCCTGGTCAAAGAGCAATCTGATTGGATTAAAAGAAATTAGTTAATATCCATATTACTCCCTCATATTAATTTTCCCCACTTGGCCCCTTCATATCCCTATACAAGATGATCTCCAAAAATGAGAATAATTTATATCAAGAATCATTTAGAGAAAAAACCTGGTATGATTTGGACACATCAACAAGACTAATATTGATACATGGCAGCTCTTACAAACTTTGGTTTTAAGCATTAATTGGGTGTAGAAGAAAGTGTTGATTTGCTATATAAGTCATGAATAGACTTGCTCACGGGGCATCAGTCTTTTCCATGATGCAGCATAGAATATAATTAGAGTCATCTTCAGTGAATTTTCTTTTTAAGAACAATCTCCAAACCAAAAGCTTGGATAATAAAAAATTAAAAATAAACATCTGCCTCAAAGTATATCATCCAAGATTACAATTATTTTGAGTGCAGATGGTATGAAAAAATCAAGAAACAGATTATTGTTTTGTGCCCTGTCACGCTAATAAGAGATCACAACATAAAAAGAAATCCAGACAAGAGAATAACATTATTTGTAAGAAAGAATGGGCTATAGCACACAACATGCAACTGGAAAATCCATTTATTTAATATTCTGTATGCATGTTCATTTCATGTTTTTTGTTTTTCATTTTTTTTAGCAGCCTTTCCTAGGTAGACCTTTTTCTTTTCTCTGGAAACAGAGACTGTGGTCTGAGAAACAAATACTTGGTTGTTGGTTTATATGTTTTGTCTCCATCCTCACTTCCAAAAGACATGGAAAACCTTAGAATATAAAGATTCAGAAGTCTAATCTATCAGTTGGGTTCTGCATTTCTTCTATGGGGTGAACAACAAAACACAAACTTGCATCAATTCTTCAAGCAAAATCCATCATGAACTTTAACATCACCCATCCTTTCAATTGCCAACACCACACAACCAAGATCACCACTTCCACCAACATCATACTCGCTCATTTGTCATCTCCACCCAACAAATACCACACCATTGTTACGCCTCCACTGCCAGAACATACACCCACCTTATTTTACATATTCCTGTTGAGCTCCTCTGCCTCTAACACCATCATACTTCACCACCTTCACCCGCCCATAACCATTATTACCTCTGCCTCCAAAACCATCAGTATAACATCAAGTTTACTACCATCACTCTATCCTCCCCTTCCTGCATCCCCATTCTCACATGCCCACAATAAATTTTAACAATATCTCATCACTGAAACAACCGTGACATTTTCTTCTTCATTTTTGGGCAAGTCAGCAAAAACCAGGCCACCTACACCACTACCACAACCAAACAACCACTGTCACCATATTTACACCTCCAACTCCAAAATCACCTTCATCTCACTATCACATGATTCAAGCAGCCTACTACTATCACCCATCAACATCTACTCTCACCCCTCCCCCATGATCCTTCTTTTTGGTACCTTCGAACTTAATTCTCTCAAAGAAGTAACAAAACTAAGTCAATAATAATAATAATAATAATAATAATAATAATAATAATATTATTATTATTATTATTATTATTATTATTATTAACCATGAAACACGGTTTATTGTATGATTTTGCCACCTAAGAGAAAATGCATAGAAAAGAAGGCAGCTAACCTTCCAGTTACTCTTAGTGAAGCTCCTTCCTTAAAAAACTCAGAAGACGGTTGAAGCTCTGGTAAAGTAACCAATGCCCCTGATTTAATTGCAAGAGACGCCATTAAAACGAACTTGAATCCTGCCTCTGCCTGCAATATAGAAATAAACCCACTGAGATTAATAAAATTAGTCTGATATTACTGAACTTGTTGATGAGAACCCAAGACAAAGCGGGAGTTTTTCCTTTTACCGCGTAAACGAATTGGGGGAGCGTTTGTGTAAAGAGAAAAAAAAATTGAAAAACAAATTAAAATTCTCTCAGGCAAATTATCGAATAATTTGTATCAATAATAGAATGGAAAATAATTTGACCAACCTCATCAACCAGTTTAATAAGCCGAAGAGCTTGGGCCCCGTATCGTTTGCTCAAGCGTGGCACATAACAGTTTGAAGCCCACCATATAACAGTTTTTTTTTTTATTATTTTTTAAAGAGCTTGATTTAATTTTTAATTTCATAAACAACATTAAAATTTATCATTTGTTTCTTTTTTAATTATAATTTTTTCCTGCCAATCTATGCAATAATTTATTTTTTTTAAATATAAAAAATGGCACAAAGTCAAATTTTAAATCGGCAAAAAATATATTAAAAATCAAATGTTATTAACAGTTATCTTATACTAATATTTATAAATTTTAGAAGCCTTAAGAAAATAGCTTGAATTAGTAAATAGATATCAAAATTTAAATTTTAATCATTAAAGTTAAAATTTTATCTCATATTATTAATTATTTTTAGTGCTAATGTGGAAGACTTTCGGAAATACAAATTAGTTCATTTGAAATTCTATTCTTTATGACCAAGGTTCAACCCAATTTTGAAATTAACAATGTTAATAAAAGGCAATCATAAGAAATCACTTCACGTATGGAAATTTAAAATAAGTCTACACAAATCAATTCCAAAAGAAAATAGTATAGTATAATATTTTATTTTTAATAAAAATTATTATCACAATATACTCACTATTTATTATTTTTCTTGTAAAGTTCGAGGGCCTACAAAATAATTGCCATTTACTGACGCATTTAAATGTGTCACTATACCCCCATAAATTCGTCAGTGTATCCTTAAACTCATGTGTTAAAGGTCAAAGGTTATAGGTGTTCCTATAAGCACTACCATATAGCAAGGGCACGACTATTAGTATGGGCTGCTTTTTCTAAAAAAAAAGTTGTTTATTATAATTGTTCACCTAATTGAGAATATCATAGCAACGTTCAAATCAAATCTAACCAAAATCATTTTATTAACTTAAAAAATAAAATATGTTTATGTAGTTAAAACTTAAATTTGATAATTTTAAATATAAAAGTTTATATTGATATTTTAATTTAAATTAACTTTTTTTATAAAAAATTATAAAAAATAATATTCGTTTCTTAAATTTATTAAATACTATATAAATAAATTGAATTAAATTTAATATTAAAAATAATTTTTTTTATTAAATGTTGATTCGTTGATTTTATCCTACAAATCAAGAGCCAACAATGAGAAGTTGACATTGCAAAAATAAGGTACATCAAAATAGGAAAACAATCTTCTCTTCCAGATTGAAGTTGACATGGCAGCTTTTCATTGGTCAACCAAAAGAGAACCGGGTGAAAATGCAGACAACAAAATAAAAAGCTCGTTAATCATATCGCCTGAGGAGAAACTCAATTATCGCGACAAAACCTCTCCTCTAGAAACAAGTCTTTCTTTCGTTTTTATTATGATTCACTGCTTGCGCACCACATGCCGCTTTCCTAAGCTTGACGCGCGACCTGAATAGCGTGGAAACAAAAAGACAATGCCACGTGGTAGCTGAAGGAGTACTCAGACAAGCAGGGCCCCACTATTCATTTCTGTGTTTGTACTTTGCAATTTGTTTAGTGCTATAAATAGAGAAAAAAAAATAAAAATTAAAAATGTGCAACTCTAACCATACTGAGAAAGAAAGGTCAGATGGTCCCAAATAACTGGGTAAGGTACGGCGGTCTTGCCGTTGATTACGCTGACTTTTACAGGATCGGAAAAGGTTTCAAGAGGGTTCGAAAAATTCAATCAAGGTAAAAAAAAATAAGACGAGAAATTCGAATTTTTAAAACTTGTTGTGCTTATTCGCCTTATAAACAAAATCAATTTTTATTATCGTTAAATGAATACATGGTTGAATGCTACATCAATACATATGAAGGTCGATATTTATATTTCCCGTTACGAAGCAGATTTTTTACTCTCCATGAAATAATTCATTTAATTATTTTTACTAACATTACTTTAGAGTATATATCAATTGATCATTAGTTTACATGAGAATTTTAAATGTAATTTATGTTTTTTATTATTAAATATAATTTATAATTATTTACTCAATTTATTCTTAAATTTGATATAAACTCATAATTAATCAACTGTTCACTCGTGTTATCATTTTTATTTTTATATTCATACATAAAATAAAAAAAAAACTTTAGATACAATATAAAATAAATAATTTTTTTTAGGGACCATTTGTTTTGAGAGAATTTACACATTTTTTCTCAAAATTTTATTGTTCAAAAGAAAAGTAACGTTATTTTCAAATTTAATATGACATAAAATTTGTAAAATAATTATTATCATTTTAAAAAATATATCTAAAAATGAATACAAATCAATTGTAAGTTTATGTTAGTAAAAAATTTAGTTTATATATGATATGTGGCATGAAAAAGGGTTCCAATAATCTATTACAAACAAATTAAATGGATTTATTTAAAGTTTTTATGATAAAAAATGCATTGAATAATCTTTAATAATTTTTATAAAGAAATTACTAAATATGTTTTTTGCTAAAACCGTTTTCAATAACTTTTATTAAATTTTTTTTAAAAGATTATTCAAGTCGATTTTTGTCAAAAATATTTTCAATAATCCCCTATCATTTTTTTTAGATTATTCGAAACATTTTTTCCAAAAACATATTAAATAATTCATAAAATAAAAAATTTAATAAATGTTATTTAAGGCATTTATGACAAAAAACGCATTCAATAATCTATTTTAATTTTTATGAGATGATTATTTAATACGTTTTTTAAACAAAAAATACTTTGAATAATCTCTAAAAAAAGTTAAAATTTGAAAATTATTTAAAGTATTTTTACTCATAAAATACCTTAAATAATCTCTTTCAATTTTATAAAATAAATTATTAAAAGTATTTTTAGTCAAAAACATATTTAATAATTTTTTTATAAAAATAAAAATATTATAGTAATTATTCTAAAAGATTATAATAATTATTTATGATTTAATATATATGAATTTTTCTTAGTCAAATGAGTAAATTTAAAAATGAAATAATTTAAAAATTCAAAAAATTCATAAATACTGTATAGTTTAAAAAAATTATATATATTTTTAACTTATGATTCCATTAATTAAATGCCCCTTGAAGTTTCTTTAATGTTTATCATACATTTTATTTCTTACTAAAGCTTTAAACACATTACTAATTTGATCTGACGTCTCAACAAATCAACTTTAACATTTTTTTTACGATAATTTATTGCTGCATGTTCGAGCTTCCCTTCGTACGGTCATCAAAACACTTTCCTCCAACGAACATCTAAATATACTATTAATAGTATTTAAAATTTTCGTATAATTTATTTTTAAAAATAATATTTAATAAAATTGAATTTTAATATATAAAATTTTTTTTGTTTCATGCTATAATCACGTGATGGATTTAAAAAAAAAAAACCTGTAGCACGAAATACTAAATTAAGAATTTTTTAAAAAACAAATAACAAATCTACGCCACTGTAAAATGCGCGCGGGCCTAAAAAATCGAAATCACAAATACATCGCAAGAGAAAAAATAAAAACAGTAAAAAACGAACACTATCACGAGAGATCACCGACTTGGAAAACGGTCCCTGAGAAAAACTCAAGTAATGACGACAGTTACATACAGTACCAAAAGAAAGGAGATGAGGGACCTACTGGACGTGTGAATTGAAAGTTCACTAGATTTAAATTAGTGGTTTCGAATCCGCACTCTGCTTTCCCATCATCTCACGCAATGATAAGCTGATAACTCTTCGATCAGTACTATGTCTTATCATAATAAGTAGATCAGCTTTTCACTGATAGGTACGTAGAAAATGAAAGACCCCTGTACAGCGCATCGAAGATAGCGAGACCCAGTCTCTCTCTCTCTCTCTGCTTTATCTTCTTGTATTTCTTCTTCTTCTTCTCAGGCTTTAAACCCTAGAAATCCTCCAAATTCGAGCTCACGTAAACTTTGGAGAGAGAATCTTTAGGGGAAAATCTCTAAATCTCTACAAATTTATTCAAATTCGAAGTTATAGCTGACTTAACTCGAGCTCGAGTTGTTCCTTGACTCGGCTGGTTTTGGTAGATCGAGTTTCTTTTGGTTTTGAGCATACAAAATGTCGTCGTTGAGCAGAGAGCTGGTGTTTCTCATACTTCAGTTTCTGGAGGAAGAGAAATTCAAAGAGTCGGTTCATAGGTAATCCTTTTATTTGTATTTTTGTTTTTATTTTATTTAATTAATTTCCCTGTACACGAGCACGCACCGCATATTCGTATCTTTGTCTTGTATTGGTATTTTTTATGTCTACAAGTAGAAGGAAATGAAGGAAATGAAGGAAATTTTTGTGAATCTGAAATTTTACTGTTTTTCTTTGTGTTATTACTTTTTATGGTGAAATTAGTTATAGTAATTTAAGTAGCTATGGTGATTGAGTTTTAGTGGTGGTAAATGGTGAAAATCAGAGGGTTTTGGTTGTAGAGGTAAGTTTTTGGTGCCTTAATTTGGCCGTGGTTGACCTGGTGATTCGTGTATTTGTGTTTTGTAAAATGCTAAAATTCATGTATTGTGCCATGTTTTATGTGAAGATTATGTGTCATAATTTGTGTCGACATGAAAACATGAAATACTTTTTTATTCTGTTAATCTCATACATAGTTGTTGCTAAAAATTTAAACCGTGTCACTTTTGTGTCTTTTTTTCTGATCACGTTCATGTTAGTGTCACTGTGTCGTATGTTAGATTGCCAGGTCTGCTGTTACTTGCAAGTTATGAAAAATATGCAATGGAATTTTAATATTGATTTTTCTGTCTTTAGGAAGTACTATGTTTTGTTGCATGTGAAAGAGGCGATTTCAAATGGAATGAATTTGTTGTTTTAACTTATTATTATTAGAAGAGAAAAAAAGATTAGAAAGAAGAAGAAATGATAACTCACTTTTATCGCATGTTCTTTTGTGAGTAAAGTGGTAACTAAGAATTTTACAGGTGGGCAAAGTGTTTCTCTGCTCCTTATTTCATTATATTTGGCCTAAGGAAGTAGAGTGATTTGATTTGCATTAGCAATTATATGATTGTGAATTTATGTTTTAAACAATGTCATCTTCTATAGGCTTGAGAAAGAATCAGGGTTTTTCTTCAACATGAAATACTTTGAAGAGAAAGTTCAAGCTGGAGAATGGGATGAAGTTGAGAAGTATTTATCAGGTTTTACTAAAGTTGATGATAACCGATATTCCATGAAGATATTCTTTGAGATAAGGAAGCAGAAGTATCTGGAAGCACTTGATCGGTATTGTTAATGGTTCAGTTGTTTAACTATTGGAAATCCTTAAATTATTGATTAATGAATGATTTGAGTTTTTTTTTTATCCTGTTGAAATAGTTTGATATTTTTTATTGATATTGCAGGCAAGACAAGGCAAAGGCTGTTGAAATATTGGTGAGTGATTTGAAGGTGTTCTCCACATTTAATGAGGACTTGTACAAAGAAATTACTCAACTTTTGACCCTCAACAATTTCAGGTAATTTCGTTGCACAAATAAACTATATTGGTTAGTTGGTATTTGTCAAGGTATAACATTAATGAATGATTTCTATTTATTAATCAGTTATCTGTCTAGAGATTTAATTTGGTAACAAGGGAACATATTAGTTGAGTTTTAAAAAGTTTATTCCAAGGAATTTGATTATAAAGGAAACTTCTGTTCAGCTGAGTAACAAAATCTTGACTTTTTTTTGAGATAAAATGTCCATGTCATGTAAACCAAGCCCAAATGAATGCGTGAAATCTTCATAATTGTATAGTTGTATTTTTCTCATCTGAATGCAGGGAAAATGATCAGCTGTCAAAATATGGAGATACAAAAACTGCTCGCTGTATAATGTTGGTAGAACTAAAGAAACTCATAGAAGCAAATCCACTTTTTCGTGATAAGCTTGCTTTCCCTACTTTGAAGTCCTCTAGACTAAGGACTTTGATCAACCAAAGGTGAAGTTGATATATGCTTGTTATTAAAACTAGGGAAGCAAATATAATTTGTTATACTGGTATATATAGATATATATTTTTTATTTGAAAATATGGGTTCATACAGCTTGAACTGGCAGCATCAGCTTTGCAAGAATCCAAGGCCAAACCCAGACATCAAGACTTTATTCACAGATCACAATTGTATGCCTCCAAACGGTCCTCTTGCACCTACACCTGTCAATCTTCCAGTTGCTGCAGTTGCAAAACCTGCTGCTTATACATCACTTGGAGCTCATAGTGTATGTTGCCCAACATCTGTATTTTGTTATTTTCTTGAATGGATATTTATTTTACTACTTGTATAATAATATTTGGAATATTGACTGACACATACTTTGTCATACTTTTGGCTTATAGCCCTTCCCACCAACAGCAGCAGCAGCTAATGCTGGTGCTATAGCAGGATGGATGGCCAATGCTTCTGTCTCTTCATCTGTCCAAGCTGCTGTTGTCACAGCATCGTCCATACCTCTTGCGCAAAATCAAGGTCAAAACTTCAATGCTGACTCATTGGAAATCTCTATTCTAAAGACTGGCATAATTTGGACAATTGCTCTATTAATGCACATCAGACTGTTAGTCATAAGATGGTCAAAACATCCATTTAATTTTTTTTCTGATTTTGGGGTGTGGTTCCAGTTGCTGGTCTAATATTAGAATGCCATTCTTGTCATTTATAATTTCTGGATGTGTTAATTCCTAAGGAAGCCAATCTTTGTTAGCTTGAAAGTTTTTTTTTACTTGATCTATTGGTACTGGAGATGCTATCAGACATTTCTTTTTCTGTTTACTCTGTCTTCAATGCCATGCAAGGATAGCCTAAAGGATCTCTTTATTACGTAAATATGTCTTATTAGGTATATGCCATTTAATCTGCATTCCTATTTGAATAGTTTCAGTCTTGAAGCGTCCAAGAACACCTCCATCTGCGCCCAGCATGGTTGATTATCAGAACCCTGACCATGAACAGCTAATGAAAAGATTGTGGCCTGCTCCATCAGTTGAGGAGGTAATTTCTCTTTTTACATTTCTTTTAGTTATTCATTTTTGTGTCCTTCATTACTTGTTCTTTAACTTTACATTTTTACTAATCTTAGATTCATTTGCTTTTGTTTAATTACTGGTTTAATATGTTTCTCTTTTTGCATTGTTAGGTTACATATCCTACAACACGGCAGCAAGCTGGTTCATTGGATGACCTGCCAAGAACAGTGGCTTTGACCATGCATCAAGGATCCATGGTCACAAGCATGGATTTTCATCCTTCACACCACACATTTCTACTTGGTATGAAAGTTTATTTTTATCCATCTTACCGAGTCTAGCTTGAAACTTGTCTCTTTTCATGACATAATGTAATTGGAGCAGTTGGTTCTGCTAATGGTGAAATTGCACTCTGGGAACTTGGAATGCGGGAGAGGTTGGTTTCAAAGCCATTCAAGATATGGGAAATGTCTAAATGTTCAATGCCATTTCAGGTTTATCATCACTTTCTGAGATTTCTCTCTATGCTATACTTTTTTTCTTGTCTTCTTTTTCCGATGTCTGTCAAACTATTTTTGTCATGTGACTCGTGTGTTTTAGCTATTTCTATGCTTTTCAACATTGCAATTGATTTTGTTGGAAGAGTTACATGCAGGCTTTGATGGTCAATGATACACCTATATCTGTCAGCCGCGTCACATGGAGTCCTGATGGAAATTTTGTAGGTGTGTTCCTTTTTGATAGATTACGAACAATTTAGTATTCATATACTTGTTCTTATTGTATTTCTTGCTGCAGGGGTTGCATTTTCCAAACACTTAATTCACTTGTATGCTTATCCTGGACCAAATGATCTAATCCAGCGTTTAGAGGTTAGTTGATTTTTTTTCTACTCTCCAACTAAAAGGATACATAACTGTTTTTTGACATTTTTTTCTTTCTTAACAGATTGATGCCCATGTTGGTGGCATAAATGACTTAGCTTTTGCTCATCCAAGTAAACAACTCTGCATTGTTACCTGTGGAGATGACAAGCTCATAAAGGTGAGATAGTAAATTTTTACTAATAGTTTTGTTTAAACTGGATATCTATTGTTATCCTAATGAAAGAAGTGGAACAGGTGTGGGATTCAATGACGGGACAAAAACTGTTCAATTTTGAAGGTCATGATGCTCCAGTTTATTCCATCTGCCCACATCATAAAGAGAACATTCAGGTACAATGCAAAAATGTCATTTTTTGTTGATTATATATACAAAGCCTTAATTATTAAACAGCTGCACTGGTTGCCTCTGTCGCTGTCTTGACTGTGACTATAACCAATCAGTGCTGCCTAAAGATGCTGTCACAACCATCTTATTAAATGCATGAAATTTTGTATAGCAATGTGCTAGCACAACCTGTAATTTATGATTCTCTTTCCAGTTTAATATCCATGAAAGAGCTGTGTTCTTTATCAAAACCATTTCCATACTCCTAGTTAGAACTTTACCCCCAATGATCTTCCCTTTGGTGCTATAGTGTCTGCTATATTTGATTCACTCTCTTTAACATTTTAGGCCAGTGTCTTTGTGGAGTATATAGCTTTGTTGGTTCAGTTGAATGCTTAGATTTTCTTTTTTGGTCGAGAATTGATGTTTGGATGGGAATTTATACTTTCATTTGCTAATTATCAATGTCATTGCAGTTCATATTTTCAACTGCTGCCGATGGGAAAATTAAGGCCTGGCTGTATGATAATATGGGTTCCAGAGTTGATTACAATGCTCCAGGTCACTGGTGTACTACAATGCTTTATAGTGCTGATGGAAGTAGGTATGATCATGAATCTTAAAATAGGAATTTTAGTAACTTCCTCTTGAAAACTTTAAGTTGGACTGTATTCATTCCCCAAAAAAATTGTTTTTTCTTATAATGCCTTAAATTTTTGTTGTTGAATTTTACATGTAATTTATTTCATTCTAATTTTGAACTTTTGTTAATTTCTTCTTTTGGATTCAGATTGTTCTCTTGTGGCACAAGTAAAGATGGAGAATCTTTTCTAGTTGAGTGGAATGAAAGTGAAGGAGCAATAAAGAGGACTTATGTGGGGTTTAGAAAGAAATCAGCAGGTGTTGTGTCATTTGACACGACACAAAATCATTATTTGGCTGCAGGAGAAGATAGCGGGGTAAAGTTTTGGGACATGGATAATATCAATCTTCTTGCTTTCACAGATGCTGAGGGTGGACTCCCTGTAAGTTAAATGTTCAAATTTTGTAGTTCTTTTGTGAAACATGTATGCTATTAAGTTGGGTGTTTAATTAATCATATTAATTGCCTCAGAGTCTTCCCCGCGTGAAATTCAATAAGGAAGGAAATCTCCTTGCTGTGACAACAGCAGACAACGGATTCAAAATACTTGCAAATTCTGTGGGTCTTAGATCTTTAAGAGCAGTTGAGACATCACCTTTTGATCCATTGAGAACACCCATTGTTTCTGCTGCAATTAAGGTTATGATCGTTTTGATTTGCTTAATGTTTTTTTAAGAATATTCATGTCTTGAGACCTGCAGGTTTTCACTTTTTTCTCTGTTGGTTAGGCTTCTGGCTCTTCTGCAGTAGCAAATGTTGGTCCTGTCAGTTGTAAAGTGGAAAGGAGCTCTCCTGTCAGGCATTCTCCTATACTTGTATGTTAGCTTGGATGTTCCTTGCTTCACATTTCAACTTTTCCCTGAACTTTATATGGTAATTGGAGCTTGCAGCAGTAACAATATGGTTCATATTGCTACAAGCACATTAGGAGATTAGATTTAAGGGCCAACTCTTTTAATTCTTATGGATGCTCCCTTTCATTTTTCTTTTCATGCATTAAGGAACATGTTGTGCTTTCATCAGAACAAGTGGGCTGTCTATAATGCAAATAGACCCTAGGTTTTTCAAGGTTTTTTTGTGGTTATTATGTTCTTTTTGCAATTGATTTTATTGTTTTGGATTGTTTTTCCCCCAAGAATGGAGTCGATCCCTTGAGTATAAGTGTCGAAAAGCCAAGAGGTGTAGATGATGCAACTGACAAGACTAAACCCTGGCAATTAGCTGAAATTGTGGATCCTGGTCAGTGTCGGTTAGTTACCTTATCTGACAGCACAGATAGCTCCAGCGAGGTGCACTAGTTTTCTTCAAGAATCAGGTTTAAACCTTGTGATACCATTTAGCACTGAATCATTGCATCTCTTTGAAGGTTGTTCGGCTTTTGTATACAAATTCTGCTGTTGGTATTTTGGCACTTGGGTCAAATGGTGTTCAGAAACTTTGGAAGTGGCCCCGAAATGAACAGAATCCATCTGGAAAGGTACAATACTTTTTCTTGAATAAAATTGTTTCTTTTACTTTGACATTTTCTCTATAACTTCCTTTTTATTGATGAGAACTCTGAATTCCTTTAAACTTTAAAGGCCACTACCAATGTCGTTCCACAGCATTGGCAACCAAATAGTGGTCTTCTTATGACTAATGATGTCACAGGTGTCAACCTGGAAGAAGTGGTACCATGCATAGCACTCTCAAAGAATGATTCATATGTAATGTCAGCCACAGGGGGAAAAGTTTCTTTGTTTAACATGATGACTTTCAAGGTATGCCTTCATGAGCTTGTTTATTGAATGTACTTTTATGTTTGGCATGCTAATAACACATGATTTGCAGGTAATGACAACATTCATGTCTCCTCCTCCAGCTTCAACCTTCCTAGCATTCCACCCTCAGGATAATAATATCATAGCAATTGGAATGGAGGATTCAACTATCCATATTTACAATGTTCGGGTAGATGAGGTGGCACTTCCCAACTCCATTTGACGTGTCCTTATTTATTCTTCTTCCTGTTGTATTATCCTGCTTTCTTAAGTGGTTCCAAAGTAATCTGTTTTTCAACTTTTTTAGGTGAAATCAAAATTGAAAGGTCACCAAAAACGAATAACTGGTTTGGCTTTTTCAACCAGCCTCAATATCTTGGTTTCGTCAGGTGCTGATGCTCACGTAAGTGGTATCCAGGCTTGTCATATTTACTTATTTTATTCTTACCTTTTCTATGGGATCTAAATGATACAAAACTTCAGGTAATCATAAAAATAGAAAAGATACAACTGATTTTATTAGTTAGTTTTTCAACTTAATTTCCTTGGTGTTTCTCTGGTTCCATCATCTCTGATATACATTACACAGTTCTATCTCTTCCATTTACTCTGTTTGGATTAAAATTTTTTCCGTTTGTTTATGTTCATGCTTTCTTCCTTCATCTGGTTAAGGACTTGCTACAATATTTTAGTTTATTGATGAATGTAATGTCATGCCCGTACAACTGGATATGCATGTTACTAATCGACAGAGAGGGAATAGGGATGAGGGAAAGGTCTTATGTAGAGTGATGTTATTACTTGTTAACATCTTGCTATTCTCTGCAGCTGTGTGTATGGAGCATTGATACATGGGAGAAAAGGAAATCAGTTCCAATCCAAATCCCATCTGGAAAGGCACCTACAGGTGACACACGAGTACAATTTCACTTCAATCAAATTCGCATGCTGGTAGTTCATGAAACACAGTTAGCAATATATGATGCCTCCAAGATGGAGCGCATTCGACAGGTAGGAAAATCAAAAAGTGGTATCGATTTTGGTGATATAATATTTTCTTTTGATGGGGGGAACACTTTCAAATGCCATTCATTTGCCGCAGTGGATTCCACAAGATGTACTGCCTGCACCAATATCTCACGCAGCATACTCCTGTAATAGCCAATCTGTTTATGCTACCTTTTGTGATGGTAATGTTGGGGTATTTGATGCTGATAGCCTAAGACTTCGATGCCGTATAGCTTCGTCAGTGTACTTGTCCCAGGCAATCTTAAAAGGGTAAGTTATCTGCTATATTCCATGCAAATTCATTGAACCTGTAGTTGCTTTCCAAATCGATGTTAGTGTCATCTCCATACTGGTAGTTTTTGTGCATGGTTAATTGTGAATCATTGTTTCAAATTGCATGGACTCCAGCAAACATTCAATTTTCTGGTGTCACTGTTTTACAGAAACCAAGCCGTATACCCGCTTGTTGTGGCTGCACATCCGATGGAGGCAAACCAATTTGCAATCGGATTGACCGACGGATCGGTGAAAGTGATGGAGCCGTCTGAATCAGAAGGGAAATGGGGAGTAAATCCACCCATGGATAACGGTAGGACTACATCGTCATCTACCACAAGCAATCACACACCTGATCAGTTACAAAGGTGAGATGCGTTTGTAGTAATTAAAAATGTATCACTGTAATTTTATCAAATGTAGAATATTAGGTTCTTACTTTTAGTCTTCCATATTAAAAGGTAAAGCATAAATGATTAGGAATGGCCAATTCTTGTATAATCCTCCTACTTGATTGATATTTGTTCTTCTCTTACTTGTACTTAACCCTTCCTATGTTTTTCTTTTCTCTTTGTTGGGAATGGTTGATGTATTTACATATTATTTTTCCCTAATAAACTCAGTTGTAATTATATATATATATATATATATATATATATGGAGTATAAAAAGTATCAATAAATAATACTAGCGGTCAACCAATCCTCACTCTTAAACCTTCAAAAACCAATAAACAAACCAAATTCCATAAATGTTGGAATTTTGAAGGGCGTAAATGTGATAAATTTGTTACATTTATTTTTTCACTTGATTCGGATTCATTATGATGGTTAAAAAAAAATTCACGTGATTTTTTCTTTGGAAAATCTAGTAACTACTATATTACCTTCAAAAAAAGTGAATTTTTTATTAAAATTTAAAATGAAAAGTTAGTAAAATCTGGTAAATTTTAATTTGATAACAAAACCATTTTTTTTTATTTTAAAAAATATAATCAAATGAAGTTCTCAAGACGGGATCTTTATCCAGTTGGGCCAGGTTAAATGGCCCATTATAAAAGGTATTATGGGAAGAAGCGGATTCTGAAAACGGGCCGAATTGTTTTAGCGGTAGTTGCAAATTAGGCTTACATCACGGCTATTTCCCAAAACGCCTTTTTTTTATTATTTTTTTTCTCTTTCTTGCAGAAACAACGGGCCGAACTGTTTTAGAGGCGGTTTCATATTAGGCTTAGGATCCAAACGCCTATTTCCCAAAACGCCTATATTTATTATTTATTATCTCTTTCTTGCGGAAACTTCTGAAGTCACTCTTCTGCTTCTTCTCATTGCTCGCGGCTAACACTTTCCAGGCGAGTCTGTTAAAGTTCAATCTCGTTTTTTTTTTTTTTTTCGAAAATTCCATCGTTATTTTGTTGTATTTCACTCGAACTTTTATTTGTTTTTATTATTGCAATTTCTTCATGAAAATTAATCAAAAGTAAAACCGACTTAAATAATTCTAATTTTTTGATCTGTTTTCGTAGATTTAGGATTTCAATCTATCAATGGTGAATTTCATGAATACAAATAGGAATTTTTTTCATTGTTTCAGATCGTAATTTTATTTTATTTTATTATTTTTTTTTTTTTGTCTTCTTTTACTTGGGAACTTGTAGTTGGATATGATTTCACTCGGAGCTTGAACATAATTATGGTTTTATCTTTGGAGTAATTGTTTTTTAACTTATTTGATTGAGATTTGATGTTGTTTGTTCCAGGCAATCGCGGGCAGTGTTACCAATTTGGTTGAAAACATGGCAAATTTTGCAAAACCAGAGAATGCTTTGAAGCGAGCTGAAGGTTAGAAACTATTTTTATTTTTCATCTATTAGGCTCCGTTTGTTGTTTGGTTAATTGCATTTTGTGAATGTATGCTAGCCCTTGTTCTGTATTAAAAATCATTGTCTGCTGTTAATGTGCATCTGGATTGTGGAGGCATTGCCTTAAATAGTTAGGCTTAGAAGTGTATGTTGGGTTGTGATTGATACTTTTATTTTTATGATATACGTGTTTGTGATGACTGTGTGATGGTGTTGATGCAGAGTTGATTAATGTTGGGCAGAAGCAAGATGCGTTGCAGGCGCTTCACAATCTAATAGCTTCAAAGAGATACAGAGGTTGGCAGAAGCCACTTGAAAGGATAATGTTTAAATATGTAGAGCTGTGTGTTGACATGCGGAAGGGTCGGCTTGCCAAAGATGGTCTGATTCAATACTGAATTGTATGTCAACAAGTCAATGTTAGTTCTTTGGAGGAGGTGATCAAGCACTTCATGCATCTTTCTACTGAGAAAGCTTAGCAGGTTCGTAGTCTGGCACAAGCCCTATAAGAAGCTCTTGATGTTGATGACCATGAAGCTGATAAAAGGCCTGACGATTTTATGCTAAATTATGTCAGTGGAAAGAAAGAAAAGGATAGGTCTGATCGTGAACTTGTTACTCCTTGGTTCAAGTTTCTTTGGGAGACCTATAGAACAGTACTTGAAATATTGCGGAACAATTCCTAGTTAGAGGCACTTTATGCGGTATTTCCTGTCTTAATAACTTTTCATAAATGTTGAGCATTTCTTACACCTATAACTAGGTCTTCAACTTTTGATAACTATGTGAAATCGGACAAACTTGTTTTAAGCATTATGAAAGAAGGGTGGCTAGGTTCTTTCTTACATTTTTTTAGATTTGAGTACACAACCCTTCACTGCTATTCTGTAAGGTTCATTTATGGTTTGTCAGAATTTGCACATAAAAGGATAAATTTTGAGGAATATAGGACTTAAGTTGTTATTAGATGAATTGCAAAGACTTCACCAGGTTGCTGGAAAAGAGAGAATATGATTTTGGTCTGCAGTCCCTTATGATGGACAATAATGGAATGACTGTCTCTTGTTTTATGTTTACTTCAGATGGGAATGTCTCATTTGCGTGATAATAGTAATTTGTGTACGTATTGATTTAAAATGAAGAATTGTTCATTTTTTAAATATCCTGTAGATGACAGCACATCGGGCGTACCAGTTTGGCAAGCAGTATAAACGGACAACAGAGTTCCGAAGGTTGTGTAAGATTATAAGGAATCATTTAGCAAATTTAAATAAATATAAAGACCAGAGGGACAGACCTGATCTGTCAGCACCAGAGAGCTTGCAACTGTATCTCAATACAAGATTTGAGCACCTAAAGATTGCTACTGAGCTAGGACTCTGGCAGGTCCGTAGTTTGCTTCATCCACCTTCTATGTGTACTTAATGGATGAATTTGCTATCTTGTGATGGATATATCTTACATGCTTCTGATCATTACTTGTCATGTTGGTCCCTGCAGGAGCTTTTCGTTCTGTTGAAGATATTCATGGATTGATGTCCATTGTCAAGAAAACACCTAAGGCTTCCTTGATGGTGGTTTATCATGCTAAGTTAACTGAAATATTCTGGATTTCGGGCAGCCATTTTTATCATGCTTATGCATGGTTCAAGCTATTCACACTTCAAAAAAGCTTTAAAAAAACTTAAGCCAGAAGGATTTGTAGTTGATAGCATCATTGGTTGTTTTGGCTGCACTGTCAGTGTCCCCTTACGATCAAACACGGGGTGCAACACACTTGGAACTTGAAAGTGAGAAAGAGTGCAACCTTCGAATGGCAAGTCTTGTAGGATTTAATCTTGAACCTAAACTTGAGAACAGAGAAGTGGTATGTTGTATTAAATTCCATTTGCTTTCATTTTCCTTTTTCTTGCTGTTAACGTATTCTGACATTCTGCACTTCTTCCAGTTTTCAAGGTCGTCACTTCTCACAGAACTGGTATGTTTAAATTTTATAAGCTCTTTTAGCTTGTTTCTTCTTCTTTTTTTTTTTTTTGTCTGTGTTACTTACACTGATTTGATAGCTTGTTCTAATGAATGCTCAAAGTTTAAAAATTGTTCAAGAGGCTTTTTTTTTTTTTTAAAGAAAGGCATGGATGGCAACGTTGTCAATTGCTGGTTGCTTATATGTCTTAACGATGATGTTTCTCAAGTCAATTTTAATATAACAGAACTCAACCCAACTAAGCCCTTAATCACAAACTACTTGGATTTGGTTACATGATATAATTTCTCTATTCCACTTTGTTAAGGTACAATAATCAATTGCCATATAGGTCTAACTTTATTTCTAGGTTATTATAGCCTTAAAAACATGTGCTGTACCTGGATCTCTGTGAGGTCCATAATCTTTCTATTTATGAAGTTACTTGGTCTTTTTTTGCCATGTTCTTTAACACAAAGAAATAAGTCAACCCAGTTTTGCAAGCTAGGCTTGATTGTGACTCTTTTTCTCTCTCTCAGATTCTTATGGGAAGGAGTATTGGCTTTATATTTATGTAACTAAAAATTTTTTAGATGTCGTTAGGTTGCTGTCTAAACTGTCTGTTCTTATTCCCCTTTTATTTAGGTCTCCAAAGGTGTACTTAGTTGTGCGACTCAAGAAGTGAAAGATCTTTACCATCATTTGGAACATGAATTCTTCCCTCTGGATGTTGCGTCAAAGATACAGCCTCTATTGATGAAAATATCAAAACTTGGTGGGAAGCTGGCTTCACCTTCATCTGTACCTGAAGTTCAACTCTCTCAATATGTTCCTGCCCTTGAAAAGCTTGCTACGCTCAGGTTGCTTAAGCAGGTGTGTTCTTGCGTTTATTTTCTTTTCATTGTTCTTTTTATTTGCTATATACCCCACTTTGTTTATTTATGCTCGATTTTACCAATGTCCTTGTCCCTTGCTTCTCCAGGTGTCCCAGGTTTACCCGACAATGAAAATTGAGAGTTTGTCTCAGATGATCCCCTTTTTTTATTTTTCTGTGGTGGAAATGATTTCTGTTGATGCTGTGAAACATAATTTCATAGCAATGAAAGTTGACCACATGAAGGGTATTTTGCTGTTTGGTAATATGGTAAGTTAGAATTTTGGGCTGTTTATGCTTCTTCACTGATATTGCTAGGATTTGTGCACTTTGTTCATATTTCTTAAATGTGTCCACATAGCATAGGATACATTTATTTATTTACCTTTTTCCTTATGTTGGCCTTTTGAGGGTCTTGAATCTGACAAGCTTCGTGATCACCTAACCATTCTTGCTGAATCTTTGAATAAAGCAAGAGCCATGATATACCTCTCTGCCATGAAAGCATCAAAGCTGGGTGAAGTTTTACTGGGTTTAGGGGATATCGTAGATAAGGAACACAAGAGGCTTCTTGCTCGGAAATCAATCATTGAGAAAAGAAAGGAAGAACAAGAACGTCAAGTATTGGAAATGGTAACCCATTTAAATGGCTAGTTGCATGAGCAACGTGAGGTTTCATCATTTAGCAAAAGGGTTAAAATGAATTTATAAAGTTATGCCCTTGCTTTTGTTTGTTTTGATCCACTAGGAATGTGAGGAGGAGTCAAAGAGGCAGATGTTGCTGAAGAAAAGTGAAGAAGCAGAAAAAAAGAGGCTTGCTGCTGTGTTTGAACAACAGCGAGCTGAAAGAATTCGTAAGGAAATAGAGGAGCGGGAGCTTGAAGAAGCACCGGCACTACAGCAGGAAACTGAAAAGCATTTAAAAAGAGGGAAAAAGAAGCCAATTTTAGATGGGGTGAGCTGCCATTTTTTTCATTAAGTTTCTGATTCATATGGAAGTTGCTTTTTTTGACTTTGGATGTTTATACAGGAGAAATTGACAAAGCAAACCTTGATTGAGCGGGCGATGAGTGAGCAGCTCAAGGAGAGGCAGGAACAGGAGAAGAGACTGCAAAAAGTTGCCAAAACAATGGACCATCTGGAAAGGGCAAAGAGAGAGGAAGCAGCGCCCTTGCTTGAAGCTGCTTTTCAACAACGATTGATAGAAGAGAAGGTGCTTCATGAACGTGAGCAACAGGTGAATCTTTTAATTCTCTGTTTTGTTGCACCTGTTTTTGCAATTGAAAACATACCTAGTTCTCTATACTTCCCTTTCAAGGCACCGAAACATGTGACCTTTTATTTTCTATAAACATATCTAATACTGTGATGTGTTTAAGTCTGCCTCGGCAGATGCTCTACCTTCATTTGCATATCTGTCTCAAAGGGATGGACAGATATTCTATGTTACACTATTTTTGTTTAAGAGGGTTTTTTTTTTTTCTTTTTTGGTTTTAGCTATTGTCAACCTTTTGATAATATCATATGTAATTCTGTTTTTCCGTCTTGTAGCTGGAAGTTGAGTTGAGCAGACAGCGTCACGATGGGGACTTGAAAGAGAAGAATAGGCTGGCACGCATGTTGGAAAACAAGGTCAGTACATTTTGGGTTTGTGGCTGTTGTGCTCTTGAGAGAGTTTCTCTTGCAAGAGATAATTTTCTTGCAACTTACTGTATCTTTTCTTCCACAGTGTTAGCCATTTAACATAGACAAATTTGGTTTCTGCTTTTACACAGATGGTATTCCAGGAAAGAGTAATGAGTCGTCGGCAAGCTGAGTTTGACCAACGGAGAGTAGAGAGAGAGGAGAGAATCAAACAAATCATTCAGGCCCGGAAGCAGGAAAGAGATATTAAGAGAAAGAAAATATTCTATGTGAAATCTGAAGAGAGGATAAGAAAGCTGCGCGAAGAGGTGGAAGCTCGTAAACGTGAAGGTATATAATTTTATACTTCCAAATGATTATATTTTCATAATTACTTGACCTTGAAATTTTATTCCATTTTTGGATTAGCTCAGAGATCTTTTTCTTTAGAAAAATTATGGTCTAGTTGCTTCATAAATTTCCTTTTTCTCACGTCAAATGAATTCTGTCTCACCTCCAATTAATTCAGGGAAATTTAAGAATTTTGTCTGTCCAGTCATTTCAGTTATGCTTTTCTGTTATTTAAATTCTTTAGGTATCTTTCCTTTTAAAATGTTCCTCTTGATATAGGATATTGTGTTAGTGTGTGTTAATGGTTATGAAGCTACAAATTTGTGCTTTCATCTACTATAATTATTGGCACTCTGAAACTCGCAGAGGCTGAGAGACGAAGGAAAGAAGAAGCTGAGCACAAAGCAAAAATGGATGAGATTGCTGAAAAGCGGAGGCAAAGAGAACGAGAATTGGAAGAGAAAGAGAGGCTGAGGCGAGAGCTCTCTTGGGGAGGTCAACAGAAGGGCTGTCTAGGCCTTCTGAGCTTCCTGCTGGGTCCCGCACAATGGAGCCTGGAGTTGCTGCTACTGCGCCTTCTTCCGGGAAATATGTTCCTAGGTTCCGGCGAGAAAGACCCGAAAGCTCAGGTCCAGCTCCACCTTCAGAACCTGATCGCTGGGTCAAGCCTGCACCCTCAGAACCTGATCGATGGACTACTGGCAGCAGGGCCCCTCCACCGCAAGCTGATCGCTGGAGTAGTGGCAGTAGGGCTCCACCTCAGGATTCTGATCATTTGGGTGGTGCTGGTAGCAGCAGCAGCAAGCCAGAACCCTGGAGGCCATCAAGAGCCAGGAACCCACAACGTGTTTGATCCGATTTCTGATCTTCAAGTGGTGTCCTGGAATACAAATTTTGTCCCAAACTAACTACTTAAAATTAGCGGTGTCAAATCTTTTGAGTTTGAATAAATATAATATTAAGTTCAAGTTTTTGATTTGAAATTTAAAATTTGAAATTCAATTCGAATTCGATTGAATTTTATTTTTTTAATTTAAGTTTGATTTGAGATAAAAATTGAGTTATTCAAATTCGTTCGATTAAGTTTGATTAACATAAAAAAATTAATTTGATTTTTATTTTTGATAAAAATTTAATTATTTATGTTTAAGTTTAAATTCGAGTTTTAAATATTTTATTAATTAAAATAATAAAAATATATTTAAATATAAAAAATTAATTAAATTTATAAATTATTCAAATTGATTGTAAGAATATTTAAATTCAATTCGATTAATAAATCAAATTATTAAAATTTGATTTGTGAGGACTTTCCGGAGAGATGAATTATATGCTTTTGTTTTTCCTTGTTTTGGTCGATTACTGCTTTTTGTACGGCTACCAGGCTGAGGAATATCATATAAACCAGTCTGACATGTTAATGGTGGATTTTGTTTCTTTTGCTGGAGATAGTTTAGTTATGCTTTGCGTTGGATAAGTTTTTGTCATTTCTCATTCATAGTCTTTGACCCTCGAAGAGGTCCTGACAAAGTTTCTGGTTATTATGGTGCTTTGTTGAACATAATTTTTTTCATAATAAAAAAAGGGAAGAATTATGTTAGAATTACTAGTTTACATTTTATGATTTGTTAATAAAATTACTATTGATTTCTTGGCTTATAATTATTAGAAATCGCCGACACTAAAAGTACACAATTTTTTTAAAAAATTTTGAGGTGTCAGAATTTAAACTTAATCATTAAAATTAAAATTTTAATATTTTATTAATAAATTATATATGCAAAAAATTATTTTGTTCATATGCTCGTTAACTTTCCATTTCTTTAATATCCATCAATAATAATAATGCCCATTTCTTTAATATTCATCAATAATAATAATTAGTTTAAAACCTCCTGAAAATTAAATTATAATTAAATGGAGAGTAAATGTGAAATATAGTTTTATTTTAGGAACATAAATTTTTTTTCTTTTCTTTTTCCACTGTTGTTTCTTTATTGGATTAATATTTGCGGCCCAACATCGCGGCCCACCCAACACAAAAAAAAAAACCTAAAACCCTTCCTCTTCCCCTTTCTCGCTCCATTTTCATTTCAACTCTTTTGCTCTGTCATCATCCCTTGGATTTTCCGAGTTTGAGTTAACTCACTTAAAAATAATGAGTTCACTCGCTAGCAGATGTGCAAAGCTTCTTAGAATCTCTGTTCCTACAGCACCCAACTCTTCTCTAGGTCTCTATTTCGCTCTTTTTTTTTTTTAAAACATTTATGGTTGTGGGATTAAACATATTGATATAAGCTACTATTTTTATAATTTTTCTAGATGGTTTTTTATTTGTATGGATGCCATTACATAAAAAGGTTAATTTTTGTGTAATGAATGGTTAGTTATGCTGATTAATGTTGGTTCTTTTAGCACTTTCGACAAACAGTTGATATGCTTGATTAATAAAAGTGGAATGACATATTTGCATGTGATAAATTTGCTAATGAATGTTGCAGTGGCGGGTGTGCAACGTGCCTCCAAGATGTGGTGTTCGACTGGTTCGCTTGATAGCGAAAATGATGAAGGGAAAGACGGTGAAATTGAAGATGTGATTGATGATTTTCTTGGCGATAAGTCTGACAAGCGTGAGCCACAGCTCCAAGGTGTCAATCCTGGAAAGGGTTGGAATTTCCGTGGTGTGCACAAGGTATAACCTTTCGTTAGTTTTAATCAGTGTGAATTGTGAATTTTGGCTGGGAATTTGATGGGCTTTTTGTGTATTATGTAGCATTTCTTACTGCAAATCTTTGATTATAAATATGATTGTTATCTTGAATCACTAAATGTGGTATAGGATGCTTAAGTGATACTCATGGTACTTATAAATCAACCAGCTAGCTTAGTTGAATTTAAGTTCTATCTGCATGCACAGGTCTGCATGTTCATCTCTGCTCTTACCTTTAAGTGGAAATTTAAATCGAGTATGAAATATTTTTTACAGGCAATTATTTGTGGAAGAGTTGGGCAAGCCCCTGTGCAGAAAATATTGAGGAACGGACGAACTGTGACTATATTTACAGTTGGAACAGGTGGCATGTTCGACCAGAGAATCATAAGGGACCAAAACTCACCAAAACCTGCCCAATGGCATCGAATTGCTGTGCATAATGAAATACTTGGGACATATGCTGTTCAGAAAATCACTAAAAAGTATATATTCGTACTTGATGCAATCAAAATTTGGATTATCTAAGAAAATAGCACCATGTTTATATCTATGTGTGTTTGAGGAATGGATTTTTAATGCAGCTCTTCGGTCTATGTTGAGGGTGATATTGAAACTAGAGTTTACAATGACAGCATAAATGGTGAAGTTAAATATATACCAGAAATATGTATCCGTCGCGATGGTATGTGGCTCTTTATTTATCTCCCTTCGTATTATTCATTTTATTGTTTTAGGGGGCATGTGTTTGTTGTCTGTTTTTGGTGACCTCGTAAATTGAGTTGTGCTCTTTGAATTTGATTTGAAACAGATTTAAGTTCTTGAAGAAATTAGACACTGGCACGCAGCATTATGCACTGAGCTTTCTTATGATTATGTTTCTCTGTGTTTGTTATAATAAGGACTTCATCACCTTTATAGGCATGTACACGGCACATTGTCAATGTTGTAACATTTTTACCCTGTAATTTACCTCTTGCAGGAAGAATTCGCCTTATAAAGCCTGGTGACAGTCTTAGCAATATATCCTTTGATGATCTGCGTAAGTTTTCTTCCCTTTCTTACATTTGTGAGTTGACTGGTGGTATTCCTGCCATGTGCTACTGCCATACTTTCAAACTCTGATTGAAAGTTTCTGCACAACTGGAATACCCCAATCCATCCCATTAACCCTGTGACCCCAAGGTGGTCTTTTTATACTAAGTTCCTGGAACTACTATCAGAGGACTTCACAGGTCACTGTCTCAGTTAGCTTGCACTTCTACTCCTTCAATCTTTTGATTAGTGCACTTGACTGTTTGTGGCAGGAGAGGCATTACTGTAGTTTGATGTCTAACGACACATTCTAGGAACGTTTCACCGAAAGATGGGAGCGGCAGAAGCTGCAAACTCTGTATAAAAAGAAGAAAATGTCAATTATTTTAGGTTTTCGGCTAATTGCTCCAAGATTGAATTAGTGCTTAGTTATCATAGTTACTACACATTACTTGGTCATTATGGTACTTTTTGTTTAAAACTTTCTGATTGTCAGACAAATATGATGATCATTTTCCCTCTCTTTGCTGCCCCACCTTCTTTATCTCTCCATCATGGACTGAAGGGAGGTGCACTTTTGAAGAATTAATTATGTGAATTGATTTATGATATTATTAATTAGGTTGATATTCAATATCATTTTAGGACCGTTTACTTTAGCAACATGATTGCATCAATATCAGGACCTAATTTGCTTCTCTGATTAATTCCAACCTCTAGCTTTGCTGTTTTGGTATGCTTTATATTGTTAATTATTATGAGAATATCTGACTTGGTCCGATGACATTGTCTTTGAGAAACTCAAGCGATTTGGCTGGTTGTAAAGATGAGCTGGTGGTCGATCCCCATCTCACTTTTTTCTTTTTGTATTGTTGTTTCAATTAAAATCCATCACAATGAGGGTAGTAAGTTCAGAAGATAGCATTGCTGTTGCTGAAAGGCAGCTGGAATATATATGTATATAAGATAAATACATATATATATATATATATATGTTACCATGCAATCTTAACCTTTAATTACAAATTCAAGCGGTTAGCAATCAAACTATCACCAATCTCTATAAGATTTAGATAGCATCTTGTTCCGAGTTGGTCGGTATTACAGCCGAGCACAGAAGTAAACTAACAAACGATAATGGCAAAACACCTACTGTATCTATCTCTGCCTCCATTCTTACACCCATCTATTGCAATCAACAGGTAATGGGAAACCATCCATTTTCACACAGCCAGAAAAAAAAAAAAAAAAAACACCATATTTACTTTGTTATCGAATGAGATGTTATGTGGCCACTGTGGGTCTGCTTGGCCTTTTTCCTTCCATGGCATCTTTCTTTTTCCGACATTTGTTGCAGAGAAAGGGTCCTTCCCAGGGCTTGGAAGCAGGTGAGAAAAAAGGCCCAGAGTTCGCAGTTATACCCTCTGCGGGAGGTTGATCAATTTGACAGACTGCACATTTAAAGATTCCCGAGTTTGCACTCATGGGGAAATCCTTACCCAACCTGCAATTTTTATTATAAAAATCTACTTATGAATTATATTTATAAAAGGTTGTGGAAATTCATTAGCAACTTCTGCTAACTTTTTTCGGTACGGTCTGCTAGTTTATTTTAAGACCATCCATATTATTTCCCCCAGGCATTTCCACCCCACATACATGTTATAAAGTAAAAATTAAAATAGAAAACAAATTAGAAGAACAAGGGAAAGTTCTAATGAATGACCTTTCAGCAAGCATGGCAGAACCCTCTTCAAATAGTTCCTCGACAACTCCAACGGCAGAAAGTTTATTTGTAGTCTTGTTTGTAGAATTTTGAGATATCTTACCGAAAAGAAAAGAACTCAGCGCATTCTGCTTCTTCCTTGGTGTAGGAGGTAGGACAGGCTGGTCAGAAGGAATAATATCAACAACCAGGCAGGTTGTATCATCCTTCAGACCCCTTGACCTCAAAGCTTCCTAAAAGAAGTGTTAAAAACAAGAATTAATATCAAGGCAAATTGAGTGGATAAGATAAGTGGAAAAAAACCAATCTGGACATCACCTTAACAACCAGCTTTGCTGCAAGGTCCGCTGGTAAACCCCGACAAGACTTGGCAGCCATGTCTGAAGATAAAGCATCCCAAATACCATCTGAAGCAATAATAAGTCGTCCTCCAGCGTTTGACAACTAAGCGAAAACAGAAGAGAAGTTTCAAGGTTTGAATGCTCAGAAGAAAATTAATAAATGCATCAGCAAAAAGACATAAGGACATAACCTTCACTTGCTTAACATGCGGTATTGGGACAATAAACTCTCCAACATCTGTGTCACCAATTGACCTAGAGAGGCATAATCCACCAGGCCAGCAACGGAGGGGACCAACCTACACAGATTCAATACATAAAGATAACGAGTTATAAACATTCTTAAACCTTCACAAACAACCTATTCCACCACCTCTAGTTCACCCCACCTGAAAAAGAAAAAGAAGAGAAAGTCCTCTTCTTGTAAGAGTAGAATACCTCATTGCCCCCGAAAACATTAAGTCTTCCTACTTCACCCCCACTGGCAGTGACACGCTCCCTTTCTTCTACATTCTCTTCTAGCCTGTGATCTACAGTCAGGAGAGAAACTACACCCCCTTGGGTGTCATCCAATATACACCGAGAATCACCAACAGATGCAACAGTGACAGTCCATCCATCAATTACAACAAATGTAACTGTTGTCCCAGAAGTTTCTCCTGTCATCAATATACATGACTACAAAGATAAGCATGCAGCAGAATTTAACTGAGGGAAATTAACTGCGATGAAATAGAAATGAATACATGCCTCTCTGCTGAAATTCAATGTCCGTTTTCACAAAACCTGCAACCAGAGCCCGAGGAAGGGCTTGAAGCCACTCCTCCCTACTGATGCGTTGTGGAATTGCATTCAAGATGTTACCCAATAAGTTCTCCTTCACAAAAATGGCAGCTGATATACCATTATGCCCATCAAAAATCTGCCAATAAAATGAATATTAGGAATCTCTACAAGCATCAAAAGTAATGTCAACATGATCAGTAGGCGAGAAAAGAATAATCATTAGACTTTGTTTCTCATTTTTATGTGGACAAAATTAAACAAGAACATATGTTGACCAGAACTAAAATTGCGAATATATTTTTCCCACATCACAATTCAAATTCTCTCTTTTTCGTTCTTCATTTCTTCATAACCAAACAAGAGGAATCCATTAAATGCTATTTAAGCTGATAAGCCAATATCCTTCATGTTTAATGTGTATGTGTGTGTGTGTGACAGAGAGAGAGAGAGAGGGAGAAGGGGTGGGTGGAAGGAGGAAGAGAATACCGCAAACACTGAAAAAGATGTTGCTGGATTCCCAGGAATCCTCTGACAATCAGATTTAACCAGAAAGTAATCTTCTCCTTTTTTGGCCAAAGCAGCCTGTCCAAACTTCACAAAAGGCTTCTCAACTTTCTCATTCCTCAGCTCACGACCAATCAAGGTCGCAAGTGGAACAAGAGGTGGTTTCATCCTTGATACTTCAGCCTGACTCATGTTAGTTTAGGTCTCAACATTTCAAAAACTCCAATGCTGAAGCCATAGCAATCCAAATGAAACCATTTAGCATCAGCACATTCAAAGGAAAGGGAAATGCACAAGGCACCTAAATAAATTCTTAAAAAATCAGTTTTGTTTGAAGACTTGCAATGAGTAAATAGTAACAATAGAAGAAGAATTAAATAAAAAAGCATTCACATGCTATATAGTATATACCTCATAATTAACCTTTAGAACAAATTTTTACCACTCAATCAGTGAAAAAAAGGCTAAAAATGAATCAAACTGATCTAGAGCTTCCCAAAATTATTTCATCATTTTACATCATATGAGATGACATACAAAGCCAAAAGGATCAAACAGCAAAAAGATGAATACATGATAGTCGTCTCAATTTAACATTTCTTAAAGCTTCCATGAAAAAACCCAATCCAACAAAACAAATTAAACAAAAATTCCCTTACACATTTCACCACTTCAATCACAAAACTAAAACACAAATCCCCAGAAACTGATCTGAAAATTTCCACATATAAACTCTCTTTTATTAAACTTACAGCAATCAATGGGACTGATAAAGAAATAATGAATCAAACAAAGACAGTGTACAAAACTTATTATCCAATGCTAAATTCTTTACCATTAAAAAATTAACCTAAAAATATCATTTTTAAACCATCAATCTACAAAAAAGAACAATAGACATATCTAAACCAACCCATTATCAAACGTTTTCTTACAAGCCCAAAATTCAGTTCAAGATCCGAAATTGAACAGAAATCAAGCTCATGAACACCCAAAAACCCCAAACAAAAAAGTGAACTTTGAGAAGTCCAAAAAACTCACAGTTGAAAGATGAAGAGAGGGAAACCTCAGGTCAAGCAGATATGGCCACACATTGGGTGTCTCTTCATTGCTCTGCATGAATAAAAGGCATTGTTTTTGTGTTTTTCTGGGTTACAAAAATCAAACTGAAAAACCCAGAGCGAGCTCACAGTGATTTGATTGGAAGAGAAATCCAGAGAGAGAAACGCGGTTTTCAGGTGGTGATTTTTGGACAAAAGCCTTTTACAATGACATTTATGTCCTACATCTTAATCTTTTTCCTTGTCCCAAATACATTTGAAATGACAAAACAGTCCTTTGTAATAAATTATTTAAAAATATTGCTATGATTTTTTTAATATAATTTTTAAATATTGTTTAGTATCATATTACCAATTCATCCTATCCTTTTAGAACTGATTATTATGTAAAAATGCTAGAAAATGTAAGATAGAAGGTATAAAAAAGGGTAAAGAAAATCTATCTGTCAAATTTTCTTGGTTTAAAATGAAATTGGATTTGACTTCTGTGCTCATTCATCCACAGAGAATTGTTTTCTTTAATAAAAAATATAACGGAAATTTGTTGTGTTTTGGCTGTCAGAAAAAAATAGTGGGGTTGGAGAAAAAGCTAGTAAGCCAGGGATTGTTTGTTTAGGAGGAAATTGATTGGCAGGCCAGATTAAAGAAATGAAGCATGTCAGCAGGCCAAACAAGACATTTACTTTTGTTGCTTCAGAAATACTCTGTTGGATTGTCTAATAAACTTAATTAGTTCCAAATTCAACATTTTATTTGTTCAGACATAGTAGGTACCTAAATGATGAAATAAAGGGTAGATTTATTCAAAGTCAGCAGTGGCAGTGCTGATGACAACGGGAGTGGGATTGCATTTGCATGTTTCTCATCACTATGCTTAATGTTTTCCATTATATCTTGTAATCATGGTTCAACAAGTGGAAACTGCAAGTTGCCTCTTACTAATTGCTACATATTTTTTTATACCTTTGACTTTGTTTCTCTAAATCATACTTGGGATGATAATTTAGCATAAAAGAATTCAGATGCTAGACAAACTTTGTGGCTGGTGGTGGTCTGTCTCTTTAATGGAATTTAGTGAATATATCTTTCACACACTTGAAAAACAAAACAAAGCATTCAAGGCATTTGCTGACATGGCCATGTGTTTGTGGGAGCTACATATGGTTGGCCAGTCATTTGAAAGGCAAGGTGACATAAATCAACATGCAGGTGGATGATTGTTGTGCTTCATTGTGGCTAAAATCATTCCTGCTCCTGCCTCTGGGTGTGTATGCAAATCTTTGTTCAGGTCAGTTCATCTCCCTTTCATTAATCCTTGCTTCTATCTTCAATGGTTTACCCACAAAAATGGAACTAAATGTTTATATATAGGCTGGCCTAGGGGGTTAATTCATATGTTTGAATGTTAAAAAGTTTAATTATAAATGATTTTATGCCGTTCAGTGTTCTGTACTTCTGTTCATACTCAAATCATAAGAGAATAGTAGTATATTGGAATGTTGGTTCTGAAAATTTTTCCCTTTTCAGATGGCAAAGTAACCCAAAGATGCCAAAACCAAAAAAAAAAAAAAAAAGAAAGAAAGGAACAGAAAACATATACTCCATATAATACAATTCCTCCCTTCTGTTCTTGATTCTACAAGAAAGAGCATTTGAAGGGGAACGGGAGAAAAGAAAAACCAAAGAACAAATCAAGAAGGTGGATCATCATGGCGATCATGATTACCACCACTAAACACAGGCAACTCAAAGTTGTTGCCACTTTCATATATGTAAACTTCTCCCTCTCACTACAACTATGTGGCAGATACAAATGAGGAAGCCAATTCTTTTAAAACTTTAGTTTAATCACTTTGTAAATCCGGTTTTCCTCTTTCCCTTGTGCAAATTTGGATTAACTCCACCAGAAGGCTTCCGCGTTGATGGTGAAGGAATTAGTGATGGAATTGAACTCCTTGATGAAAACCAAGAAAAATGAAAATCAAGGCCTAAGGTAGTAGAAATAAACTGAACTTTGCAGTAAAAGAAAAAGTGTAGCATAAATGGCAGTTCATTTCTAGCATGGGTTATGATTGCATGGGAAGAGAAATGTGCATATATAAATATTAGTGATAAGGCATCTAACCTAAATTCTGTGCTCTTTGCTGTCCTGAGTTGCTGTTTCTTTGATTTAGATGCCAACCCGTTTGGAACATTGGTGATTTTAGGACTATTGGATTGGCAAACTGAGTCTGTCTCCGAACAATCACTTGTTGCAGCTTCATGATCAGAGTCATCAGTAGAGCCAACTTCAGACTGAATCGGTTGCTGATCATAGTCTTGGTTGCCCTTTTTGATTGTAGTCATTTTATTCAAGTTTTGTTCTGGGTGTATCTTTGTAGGACCACGAATACAACTCTGATAGAACTTCTCAGGCAGTTGTCCATTGCCATTTGGATCCTTCCTTGAGTTGTCCTGCTTGTTCACTATGACTTTATCAACCCAGTCACCAGACGCTGGTTCTCTATCATCCTCCTTTGCACTTGAAGCAGGACTGCAAAGAGGTGGCCAAAGAGATGGATTCGATAACATCTCTTGAAGTTCCAAACTTTCTCTCCTAGATGTGGATGAAGAGTCATTCTGAACCAGCGGGCAGGTTTATCATTAGGCAAATCTTATCATTGGAGATGCACAGACAGAAAATTGACAGATTTTCCATCTCTGAAAGATGATTTCTTTTATTAATAGATTGAGAACAGTTTCAAGGATTTCAAGGAACCATGTCATTCAAATATTCTCGTGAGTTTAGACTTAGATAAATGATAATTTCTAAAAGCTAATAATCAACAATTTTTTTAGATAACAGCAATTTATATTATAATCTTCAGAGCACTTCAATAAGATGGATGAACAAGTTCTTGAAGCTTGTTAACTCTGTAATCAACATCCTATAAATTGTACTAAATCACTTTTGAAAACAAATTCTTAGCAATTTTGGCACTTAAATGATACCTCAGTAGTAGCAAGGCCGCTAGATAGATCACTGAAACTCTGCCATTTAGGAAGAGAAGGGGATGATCCAAGCTTTGGTCCACTTCCTTCTGGGCTACTGGATATGGATTGAGTAAGTTGCAGGTGCTCGGGCTTTCCTTCCTTTCTCGCTAAGCCTGCTTTAAGATTAGCTATCTGACAACAGTTGAAAAGAGGTAAGCAAGTGAAACAATGCTTACAACGTAAATGAAGTAAAAATATAAGCACAGGTTTGACAGCAGTAGGCAGCCATAAGTTAAAATGCAGAAGGAAAGAACCAAGGGCACATGAAGAAACCTGTTCTTTAAGCTCTTTCACTTCTCCACTATCTTTGTTCACTTTAGCAGCACCAAGCTCAACTGAGGCAACCCTTTCTGCAAATTTAAGTGTACTAATTGTTTCTCCAAGAGCTTCATACTCTGGAGCAATGTGAACAAACATCAGTGTCTTGGCTTGTCCTCCTGCAAGATGAGACCAATAGCATGATTAGCAAAGAAGAATACAGTGGAAAAATGAAAAGAAAATAGTACCTCTTTAGGTTGGAGGGTTTCAGTAATCTTACCAAGTGAATCTTGAAGCAACTGAGTAAGTTTACTGTTTCTGTAGGGAACGTGTGAATTTTTTGAAGCAAGAGAAGAGATAACATCTCCTAAAGCAGAAAGAGATTTGTTGATGTGTTGTGCCTCTTTTAGCCTATCCCCTGTCACCTCAGATTTATCTACCCTTTCACTTCCTGCCAGGTCAACCAGATGCATAGAGCCTCGAAGAATGACTCCCGAAGTGAGGTCCTTTCCTTGAACATGAACTGTCAAGCAGCTGCATTTCAAGACCGCATTAGAGACTTAGCATGTTTTGGCGCATAACCAGAAATGAAATCAATCTTGTGAAACTCAAAACAAATTATTAGACAGTACCTGTGAGATCGACTACTCCGGTCATTCATGGCTGTGGCACTAACTGCTCGATTTTTTTGCCCAAGGTTCATCAAATTTATGACATCAAATGTTGATGATACTTGTACAAGGCTTGCATCGGGTACATTAATCCCATTTTGAGAGCTGTTACGAATTTCTAATGTGTGTAGGAGTTAGAGAAAACAAAAAGGTGTACGAGGCACAATGAACAAGATATAACAATAAGGAGAAATATACGTTTGATTTAAAGGATATTTTTTATTTAGAGCATAAGTTGAAAGGAGATCCCTGACTTGCTCATTGTAAATTTCAAGCATTTGCACAGAAATATCATAGGAAATGGTTTCTTTCCTCTGGTTTGAGAGAAGAAATAGATCACTCAATGCCCTGTAGTTTACACCTAAACCTTCCTCAGCGAGCTCCTTAGGCCCAGTCTGGATTCATCAATGAGGTGAAGAACAAAAGACTTTATTAATCAACTTATTAGTATTTTCATGGCAGTGAAAAGATGCTGCATTTCTTACCATGGTATAAGTTTTCCCTGATCCTGTTTGGCCATAAGCAAATATGCAAACGTTATAACCATCAAGAACAGACCGAATCAAAGCTTGGGTATCAGAGAAAACCTCCGCTGCATAAAGAGTTCATGTCAGGAAAGGCTAATAGACTGAAAAAATTACATGGATAGAATCAGAGAGAAAAGAACTTCATTTGAATAGCTAACCTTGGGTTACAGAAGGACTGAATACTTTGTTAAAAGTAAATGATTTCCTTCCCTCTTTTCCATATTTTGAAGGAGTGAGAATTGTGATAGTGCTGTCAACCATGTGGTCTACACAACTCAAACTGTTCAATTGCCCACCCAAGAATGGCCTCACCCGGCAGTATACTCTTATATTCCCTAAAACATAGTTTACCAACAAAAACCATTGAGATTTTATTTGAATGTGATATATTCACAAAATCAAACTTTTGAACTGTTAGACTGCTACCTTTCAGGTCCTGCACTTGATTGTATAACTTGCGGTTTTCTTCAAGAACTCTCTGATATCCCGAAGCAGCATAAGCTAGACTATGCAAGTGTTTACCTATTAAAAGAAACTAGAATGAGAAATATTACATTTTCACTTTAAGAACACATAAAAGCAATCAAGGATTGAAGTTTGTACCTAGATTGATAACCTCTTCATGGTACGCCCTTTGCAAAAGTTGCATACCCTCTCTTGTGGAATGAAGACAATGTTTCAGTTCCTACGGGAACAAACACATCAATTGCTGCATCCCTATGGTAGAAAACAACAATTTATAACTAGAATTAATGCTAACTGCAAATCACCAGAATATCTCGTTGTTGTTGTTCAACCAATGTCTGCTGTTTCAAAAGATGTCTTGTTGATTCCTCATCAGTGTTGCACTTCTCATCGTAAACTTCCTTTTTCTCTGGCTTTGTTGATGATTCATCTTCAATCATTTCCTCATCCGGGGCCTCTACTTCAACCTTCATAATTATATCATTTAAATGATATTAAAGTATTTAGTTGATAATATCATGAAGTAATAAGTGAAAGCTATTTGGAAATATTTGCCCCACCTTGTCATCACATGAAGCAGTTTGTGAAAGAGAATTATCAGGGACAGATTCTTCCATATTTTTTGCAGTACTTTTAATCTGTCAGATTACCAAAAATAAGTAAAAAAAGCTACTAAGAGAATTATGGATCCATGTTTATGAATGGTTTACTGAGATTAGAAAACTGATTATGCCATCAATACATGTTTGACACAGCCCTCGACAATAATAATACTTACAAAAAAAGGTGCAAGAAAATTTATCTGCTGATAATCATTGAAAATTTGAGGATAAAGATTTGACAGTTGTGAAGAATTAAAGCTGCTCACCTTTTCATTGTGGATTGCCAAGCGTCGTTCGAACTCCTCTGAGACTTTATCGAGCATAGATTCCACAACCTGTTATAACCAGAAGAGTTATTTTTTTGGTTTTCCCTTTTGAAAAGATAGGTTAAAACAGCACATTTCCCTTATAAAAATAGAAATTTCCTGATTCATTATCCCCTATACTATACAGGAAGAGGCTTTGCACATTTGGCAGCAAATAAGTTATTGACTAACTTAACAGTTCTCTAGACCTCGATTCTATCCTGACTAAAGTAATTGATTCAGAAATTTTTGTAGATCAGAAGGACTTTACCATTGGAATTTCTTCTTGCTTCTTATCTGAAAGAGCTGCACGAACTAGCATTTCGACAGAACGTACGGAACCCTGTGGAAAAGAATGAAAAGGAGCTATTAGATTAGATGTTTCCCATTTCAATCCTAATAAAATAACTAGCATGAACGTGAAAAGAGAAAAAAAAAAAAAAAAAAAGCTCACTAACTGCTTCAATGAGGTCTGACTGCTCACTACACAAGCTATCAACAGACTTCTCACCCAAAGAAACGGTCCTTGAAATGGAATTCATGAATGGTTCACTGCTTTTTCGTGTGAAGGGTTTCCCTGTCCCGAAACTTGAGGGTTTGGAATTTGCAGTGTATTTCCATGAACCAATTCCACCACTTTGTTTCCATTCACTGTAAGACTTTAGTGCTAGAACACAGTTCACAATCCTTGAAGATTTCCCACCCTAGAAACAAAATATCAAGAAACATTCATTTCATGCGACAATGGTTTTTAATCTAAAATTTCAATACAAACCTGTTCCAAATCAGAGGCTTCAAAAGTTGGAATCCCCATTTCCTCTACGGCTACAAGGAAGTTTCTCACGTTTTCAAAGTATTGGTATGCTGATAGAGCAGCCCCATCAGGAACACTAACAGAATCACAAGCTCCTTCTACTACCTACAATTTAAATAAAAAAATTGAACTTGGGTAGGAAAATTATTCACGCAAATGTAATATTATCAGAAAAAATAGTTGGTGAAACATACCTTTGGCACAGCTCCAGGTTGAACCTTGTTAAGAACATTGCAAAGGATTTTGCCACTTCGCAATCCTAGCCTGAATTCTTCCTCAGAAGGCTCAGCCGGTAAGTCTTTACCCCCAACAACACCAACTGTTTTTCTCAGCCACCCAGCGGCTTCATATCTTCTCAAAGCTACAAAAATATAACATATGAACTGATTTTATTGTTTCTGTTTCGTTGCATTGTTTCAGCAAAAAGCAAGCTTAGGGAATCAACCAAGAAAAGGTAGTTTCAACAAATCATGGAAGTTAAATATGCCGTTTTTATGATTGTTTCTGTTAAATACAACAACATATCTTCAGCATTATGGTAAAATAAGATCAATTTGAATCTCTTAACATAAAATTTATAAAATCTGAAGCTCAATTTGATTTAAAAAAAAAAGAAACGTAAAAGACTAAGAATCATACAAGAAAATCCAAGAAAGTATTACAATAATGCTAGATTGATAGAATAATTAGACAAAAAAAAAAAAACCATTGATCATTCAATAGAATCAAAGAACAAATCAGAAACAGGGCAGAATAAAAAAAAGAACAAAAAGTTGGATCATTACAAGATTCCTCTGATTTTCTCGAAGCCAAATTAATGTCATGGATTCGAGTTCCTTGCTGTTGAAGAACATCTTCCAAAACTGACATCACAGAGACTTGTACAATTGACTCTGTTGCCATTTTATAGCAAAACCAGCCGTTGAATACAAAAACTACCGATTACACAGGTTCAATTCAAAATCCCAATTCCTTTACATTTATCTTAAAATCCCAAATCGTGAAAAACCAAAAAAAAAAAAATTCTTTTTCTTCTGTTGAAATGCTCTACCAAGAAACAGAGGATCAAAACATAGACCAAAAATTCTGTTTTTCTTGTTTTTCTTTCTATTTTTTCTATTCTCTTTTTTTAAATATTGGTATTGTATCTATCTGTTGAGAAATACAGAGAGAGAAAATTTGGAGGGTTTAAAAGATTTTCTCTCACTTTCTCTCTGTTTTTTCTCTCTCTGTTTCTCTGTTTTTCTCGCGGTTTCTCTCTAATATTGAAGAGAAAAGCTACACACCGACCTGGTTCCGAGCCTCCCGGTTATGAGGACGGCTTATATTTTTCCGAGGGAGAAAATGATGGGCTAATATTAAACTTTTTTTTTTTACTGTTTTTTTATGTATTTATTTTTAGCTTTATTAAAAACTAATGAATATAATTATGCTTCTTCTTCCTTTTACTCTTCTATATATTTGTTTCAATTAGATACTCAAAAGATAAATGGAAGATAATGGAAAATCTAGGGCATATAATAATGTTTTTTTTTAGATTAAAAATATGGGGACTTGTGATATACTAAAGGTTTGATATTTTCGTGTTATGAAAAATAATAAGTACAAATATAAATAATTATGATTAAATAGTTTTTATAAGCAAACAATTTATTAATTGAATGACTAAAAAAAAAGGGTTATGATATATTATAAGATTTGAGATCGATATCAATAAACTCATTTGTAATATCAAAAAAATAATACTTACGATTAAATAATTTCAAATTAAATCAATTTACTAGTTCATCATTTAATAGTTAGGTAAGTGAAAGGGATTTGTAAGATATATTAGTAGCCATTGAATAGTAGAGTAACATTATTTGTTGTAATGAGAAAAAAATTTGAAAGATACCATTCCCCAAAAAACAAATCCAATAATAATATATAAAATTATTATTATTAAATAATCATGATATTCTCAATTCTCTTTGAACTTTATGTAATTATCAGTCTTAGAGTAAATATAAGCAAAACATTTTTATAACATAATAAGTAGATCTGATAATTTAAAATAAAATACAATGATATTATATGAATAAAATACATAAAAATAATATTATTTAAAAAAATTTCAAAAATTATAAATAGGTTTAATAAAATTAAAAATTATATTTTATATTTTTATATCGATACGAACTGTGAGCTACGATTTTCATGTAAAACATGATAAATACAATATTTCACATAACATGCTAACACGAATTATCAAGTCTAATAGTAAGTACCTAAGAAAGAAAAATAGATAAGCCAAGAGTTTCTTTTCAATAAAATAAAAATCAAGCTTATAATTAAAGAAACAATTTTATAATCATAGAAAGAAAGAGATTAATGGACAATGTACTGGAATCCCACTCTAAAGTTGAAAATATGAAATTCGAATATCAATGGTAACTCAAAAAAGAAAAGAACAATGTATTAATTTTTATGTGTTATGCATTAGCATTTGAAGGTGACATAAGAACAGTGGTATATCAAATGAACCCATCAAAGTAGAAGCAATTTATTTGTTGCAATAGCTAAGATGTTGCTTTCATGTTGAGTTGGTCTTATTTTTAAGAACAGAATGACAAATGGAGATTTTTAGGAAAAAAAAATTATGCATGAACTTTCTTATTTAAAAAAAAAAACATTGGAATAATTTTTCTTTCAATATGAATACAAAGCAAATTTGATAAGAATAATTAAAATCAAAGTGATTTACCAGTTGCAATCAAATTCACCCACCAATCTAATCAATTAAAAAGGTTCAAATTTTGAGAGAAAATATGTAGGAGATTCATCCATAGCTATCTTGTTTAAAAAAAAAAAAACAAACATTTGTACATAAAAATTGCATTTAGAATTAAACATAATACAAATAATGAAAGTTTAATGACATAAAAGATAGGCTGTCCCTTTGCTTATGTGTAAAGACTAACATGTGAGCATGATTAGAGAAACTCAAACATCAATCACACAAATAAACAAAATCTTGAAAAGCTAAGATCATTATTACTCCCATTGTACTTTAAATTGTTTTTCTTCCATAGATTCTTTGAAACATAATAAGAACTCATTAACAAGAACCCCCCCCCCCCCATATTCCATGCATCCCATTTGCTAAACTATGATTTATGAAGTTTATAATAATTTGATCCCAAAATACAAAATCTAAGTTATTATTCGGGAATTAATAGTTTTTTATTAGTTAATATGCTGGTGTTGGAAAGATCAAATAAATATATATGTTGCATTCGTAGTATTTGATTTAATAATTAGGATATGTTATCTTTTTATGGAAGAGTTGAGTTTAAATAGTTTCTTGCTTAATATATATATAAAAAAAAAAAAGCAAAAATGATTGTTCATTATTATGAGCTCTTGGAGCATAGAAAAATGAGGAAAATAAAACATAGCATCCTATTCTCAAAGAGGCAGCCAAGGGGTAATATTGTAAATGCATCTTCCTCCTTTCCCTCCAACAAACGTTCAATAATATTTAAACACATGGTTCGGATCCGAAGCTGAAGGTTCAGTCTAACAATTTAACTTTTCATTTGGTCTAAAAGGGCCCACAAGAGCCCTATTGTGGGCTCCAAAGCACCATGCCTTGGTTAAGGGCATAAGGCTTTCGGTCCAAGCTCAAGCCTTGAAACAAGTGGGCTCCATTGGCCCACGTAAAAGAGGCAATGACATACTCAAATCAAAGCAAAAAGTTTAACACCACTTTCCTTAAGCAATAAAAAAACCATAATCAAAGGGATAGCTTTTAAGAAATTAATAATAAGATACATATCCCTTATGATATATTATAAAAAATTAAAAATTAAAATATGTATTAATCTCCAGATTTTACTTATGAAATTAAAATAATATCTTGATATTATATCGAATATTAACTTTATTTTTAACCTGAGAAAACTTGAAATTCAATGACTAGAGAGTAGGGCTACACTTGCACATGCAAACTATAGAATGTTTTTTTCCTTTCAAAAGTTGTGAGAAAAAAAATTTAATGCATATATAACATATATAAAAGTAATTACAATGAATCTGCTTGAAGGAAATATAAAGTCAAGTAGGCAATGTTCTTCTTTTTAGGGCAAAGAGTATATTTTTATCAAGTTGATAATCACTAACATTGCCCCAGCCTCATTATCAGCTCCCTCACATTGTCATAAACTAGAATGGTCCCTAAATTTTTGTGCTATGAAAGTTCAGGCTGAGAGACTATATGGGTGTCATTAACACTCCAAGTCACTGAACTGGACAACTCAACTATCTTGAAACCTTTGTGGATAAAAAAACATGTGATGAGTTGCTTCTAGAGGAAAGGTGATCATTCCAGCCAACTAAAGATATATGCATTTGTATGAATCTGTAGATTTTAAACTAGAAAAAGATGGAAAAGAGAGAAAGAATCTTGATGTGTGTCAAAGGCTACCAGGGCCTGCAACCCTAAACTGGATATAGGGAGCTTTCAGCTGTTTATATGATAACTAAGATTATTTTAGTTTTGAGGTAATCATAGGCCACAAGCCTAACACTCAGGACCAGGTTTGGTTTAGAAGCGCTTTTTTATCTGTAACTATTCATTATATATTGCAACCAAAGGTGCAGAAGGCACTTCAGTCACACTCTATTGGTAGACCTGTCAACAATACTAAAGAAAGTGGTTGGTTGTCACTTGAGAAGCTTGGCTAACGCCTGTCAGTTGTATGTCACTTCATGAAAGAAATTTTATGAAAAACATGCTAATGCATTTGGCAAAAAAATCAGCCTACTTCAACAATAGCTCATTACTTTAAAAGGGCTTTGTCACAATCTTGGGAAGTTTAGAATTTGGTATCCCAGTTCCCGAGTTCCCAACTGGAAATTAGGATGGTCTCATGGTCAATGGTTAACTGAAATGGGAACCAGACTTTACAACTTTAGTTAGTATAGCACAACCTTGGGCCTTTGGGGCAAATTTGTGTCATTTCAAAGGCTTTTAACAATCTCAACCCATTGAGTTTACCCCCATACTATATAAACGTCACAGCCCTTTGGAAAAGCAGTTTTGTGTTCTGGATGCTGATGCCCATGAAGGAATATCTGTAGAATGCTAGACAACAATATTTGAGTCAATGGTTATCATTTTAAGTTAAACTTTTAATATCCTTTAATCCACATAAATAAGAAAAAGGATGCCAATAAAAAAATCGATTATTTTTGAATAAGTTAGCATGTGATTTAAGTTAATATCTAAAAATTACAAGTTCGAAAATGTATATAAATAATAAAATAAAAAATGTGAGAATAAATTAAGAATTAAAACAAACTAATAAAATATATTTATTATTATCTTTTACATAAAAAAAAAGATTGGTTTCATGTCTATAAGGGCATATGCGGGGATTTGCTATTTACAAGATTTATCTCATTCTTTTCTTGCTAAAGTCATCTACCTTTTTTAAAAAAAAATTAAAAAAAATTGCCAGCAATTCTAAGATCTTTTAATATTGGGTGAAAACTACTGAAAAGGAAAAACAGAAAGAAAAAATACTGGATAATTTAAGAATTATATACCAAATGATTTGATAAATCATGACCCCAAAAAGTGACTAAGATGTATTTTTCTGTGGCAAGATAATCATATTGGTGGGACCCCATAAACAGCTTGACACGTTGTGGTTAAAGAAACAAAAAATAAGAATAAATTATGCTTTTTAAAATTCAAATGTTGGTAGCCAACCAACATAGAAATCTCTACCCAATTCCGCCTTTTGTTTGCCTTTATATTTTTTATTGAATTCGTTTTTATATATTGTGCAATGTATTCATTTTATAACCAAAATTACAGAATTGATATATGTTTTTAAAAGTATATATTATGATGTTAATTTTCTTTATAAAATTTAAAAAATTTCACTCATAGTGATTGAAAATAATTTTTTTATTATCAAGTTATATATATTTATAAAAAAAATTATTTATAACTCCTTAATTTTGCCTTAAACGTGGCATTTATATTCCTCTTCTATTCATTAGATTATCTAAATACATGAATTTTTATTTGAATATAAAAAAATAAAAAAGATAATTTTACAAAAATAAGAGGGAAAATAGTGTACTTCATTTTTTACCATCTAGCATTTGTTACTTTTGTTTAGAATTAAACAATTTGTATTAGGCAATTTAAGCTCAATCCAACATAAATAATAAAAAAAATAAAAAGTTTTATTATTAAAACAATAACCATTGTCCTTGTAAGCTATAATTAGATGTAATCTAGTTAAGTCAAATCAATAAAACTTAAGTTATAATTCAATTTGAAATTCAATTTAAATTTTTTTAAATTTTAAATTTTAAATTTTATTTTGATTTAAGAAAAAAAAATTATTCGAATTCGATTAATAGATTTATTCAATAAAAATGAGTTTGATTATCATATTTTATTTTAAATTCAATTATGTATTTAAATTTAAACTCAAATTGATATATATATAAAAATAAAATAATAAAAAAATATTAAAATATTAAAATTTGATTAAATTTATAAGTTATTTGAGTCGAATATTATAATATTTAAACTCAAATATCTTGAAAAATTAAATTATTCGAATTCTAACTCAATTTTATAATAATTAAATCAAATAAAAAATTTTATTAAATCTGAACTCAAAAAATTTACTAACATTTAGTATAGTTTAAATCCCAGCTATCAATTATTTATCGGCAACAGCCCTTCTGGCGATCACCAATCACGTGCTAATCTACGAGAACTAAATCATAAATAATCAGGTGGTGTTATACAAAATCGGGCGGCAGACGGTGCTGACACATAATTGATCATTTTATAATCCAACGTTCGAGTCATATTTTCTACTTATACACCACCGCACCATACCATTGATTCGGTCAACGGCGTGCCTTAATCTTTTTGCCGAGTAAAAAGTTACTCCGGTAATCTTAAACCGTCTTTCCAGTCCATTGTGAATTCCGACGAAGCTTTAAAAAAAAAAAAAAAAGACTGAAATTATGATTTACCACTCAATTTTTACTGTTTACTATGATACTACAGTAATTAAATCCTTAATCTCTTTCGTCAAAATTATATAAAATTATTACATTTGTTAAGAATAAAATTTTATTAGTGAAATTAAAAAATATAAAATATATGACTATCTGTTAATTTTATTAATAATTTATGGAAAATGAATTTAAATTAGATATTATTTTTTCATATTTGTCTTTAAATTTGGGGGATTAATTTTTGTACATTATCTTTCCAATGCAATTGTCTACGGGTTTAGGTGTAACCACGCAGCCCGTCGGATGGCCATAACCACATGTGGGTAGGGCGCTGAGGTACTGAACCAAAGCCAAGTCAAAATTAAAATTAAATTACATCAAAGAGATCAAGGGTATTTCCGTGCTTTCATACAAACCGCTTCGCGAAGTTGCCTAGGCCATAATTATGTAGCAACGTTCATATTTCCATTTAATTTTATACCAAAAAAAAAAAATTGCACATTAAAACAAAAATTATATATAAACAACAAAGAAAACGCAGCAGCTTACAGCCGAAACGATAATCAGACATTGCAAAAAAAAAAAAAACATATTTTTCTTTGTTTTTGAGCTCTGTCTTCCTCCCAGGTAATAGTTTTTTTATCTCTTGTTTTGTTTTTATGTATAATTTGAATTTTTTTGTTTAATTTTAATGAAAAAGTGAGGTATTTAGATATTTATGGATGCTTTCATTTTGAAAAATTCGTTATATTTTCTTTGATTTTATGCTCAGGAATCCTGATTTGAATGGTAAAAATCTTTGTCTTGTGGAAAAAATTTAAACTTTAGGAAAAGCTAACGGTAAATTTTTTTTGGTTCTGGTTTTTGGTGAAATTTGATAAATTTTGTCAATGGAAACTTTAGTATGATTGTTATTGTGATCTGGGTTTTCTTTGTTTTCTTAAGTTTTGTATGGTAATACAGATCGATGATGATAAATAATAGGTAAAGATTGTAGTTTTTTTTCCTTAAAAAGATTTATATTTAATTTACCTAATCCATTTAAGTAAAGCTCAAGGAAGAAAAAAGGAATTCTAGAATCTTTGAATTCATTTTGATTTCATAATTTTTTTTTAAATGAAAGGAGATTGATATATATTTGGTTGAATAGGGATTAATGGTTGGGTATTTCTTGTATGTTTTCTGGTGCAAGAACAGATGGTAAGGGGAGGGAAGGTTGGTGGTATAAGCAATTTTAAGAACAGGATCAGATCGAAAGATGACGGTTCGGATGATTCAGATGAAGATTATGTAGTTTCAGAGGAAGGAAATGAAGAATCTGATGATGATGCAGAAGATTATTGTTCTTCCTTATATGAATGTGCCTCAGAAGAGGGTTCTGGGAGTTTTGCCAATGAGGAGGAGGAAGAGAAAGAGATGAGAAATGTTGTTATGTTGAAAGCAAAACATATGTCTTCAGCAAGGGAGAGGAATATTTTGGATAGAAAATTGCGAAAGCTTAAAAGTGTATCAGATGAAGAAGAGGAAGATGAAGATTATGAGGAGGAGTTGGAGGGAAATGAACAATCTGATGATGATGCAGAAGATTATTGTTCTTCCTTAGAAGAATCGGGATCGGAAGAGGGTTTTGGGAGTAATGAGGAGGATGAGGAGGAGGAAGAGAAAGAGCTGAAAAAGGTTGTTAGGTTGAAAGCAAGGCAGATGTCTTCAGCAAGAGAGAGGAAGATTGTAGATAGAAAATCTCGAAAGCGAAAAAGTGTATCAGATGAAGAGGATGAAGATGAGGATTATGAGGAGGAGGAAGATGATGATGAGGAATTCACTCCAGATCAGGAAGATAGTTTGGATGAGGAAGAGGAATTAACGATGAAAAAGAAGAAAAACAATATGAAAGTTACCAAGCGAGGTTTGTGGAAACGGGGTTCTTCTAAACATAAAAAGAGGAAGAAGTCTGCGGTTTCTAAGAAGCCTTTGAGAAAACGAGGAAGGAAGAAATGTGGGTTGAAAAGGAAAAAGAGGGCTGAAGAAGAAGATGATGATTGTGATTTTATAGATAACACTCAAATTGTGAGAAAAAAGAGCAGAACTAATGCAGGACAAAGAAAGAAGGCATATGTTGTAGCATCAGATTCAGATTTTGTGTCATCTGGATCATCTGATTATGAGTATACCATCTCAGAGGAAGAGAGAGAGCAAGTGAAAGAAGCCAACCAATCATGTGGAAGTTTAAAAACTAGTTTGAGGAGTTCATCATCCTCAAAGAGAAGTCAGGAGTTTGAGGAGTTAGGCCAGCAAATGAAACCTACAGAAAGAAAGGGTAAGGAGAAGGTTGAGGAAACAAAGGCTGAAGTAATAAAGCAGGTTTGTGGCATTTGTCTCTCTGAGGAAGATAAGCGAAGATTGAGGGGCACACTGAACTGTTGCAGTCATTATTTTTGTTTCACCTGCATTATGGAGTGGTCAAAAGTGGAATCTCGTTGCCCATTGTGCAAGCAAAGGTTTGAAACAATCAGTAAGCAGGCAAGATCAATGGCAGGAGTTGATTTGAGAGATGTAGTGATCCAAGTGCCTAAGCGTGATCAGGTATGTTATGTTTCTCCTTATAATATTTTTGTGTAATATTTTTCATTTTCCTCACTTTATTTCTTATTTTTGGTTTGAAAGGGGCATATTTATTGTGTGCAGGTCTACCAACCATCTGAGGAAGAACTCAGAAGCTATCTTGATCCGTATGAGAATGTTATTTGTTTTGAATGCCACCAAGGTGGAGATGATGCACTCATGCTACTATGTGATCTTTGTGATTCATCAGCACACACCTATTGCGTTGGTCTTGGGCGAGAAGTACCTGAAGGTAATTGGTACTGCTACGGTTGCAGACCTGTTGCTTTGGGGTCCTCTAGTTCCCAAGTTCAAGATTCTTTGCCTGATCAAAGGACAATTAACAATTTGTACAATAGATTGTCACCCATTGTAAATTTAGGAGAAAGTTTAGACTCCATCATAGGTCCTTCACCTCGTATGCCTTCAACTCCTGGTTTTGTGGGTCTTTCATCTCCTAGATTTCCTTTTGGAGATAGCCCTGCTGTTTCTCCAGTATCTGGTGTGGGAGCTCCAACTCTGACAGGAAGGCGATGGTTGCACCGCCAGATTCAAAATCTTCGTTCGATCAATAGGATGAATCTTATGACTGGTAGGACTGATGGGATATCAACTGCCAATATGGACATTGATTTTGTAAACTCTCACATTGATCAGAGTAGGGAAACAACAGTTCAACAAGCTAGGACACAAGATATGGGAACTCAGCATCAAACAGTGTTTGAGCTTAGGTTACAGGATGATCCCTCTTCTTCACTGCGAAGTAGGGACTTCTTTTCTTCAAGGCTGGGCCATTTAAGAAGGCAAGCGGTTCGGGATTCAACTACCCCAACGTTCAATACATCTATCAATTTGATGTTATGGCCTGAACTTGCTGGTATCAGTTCAAATGAGCAACTCCGACGGTGCAGCAATGGATCAAACATTGGACCTGATGGTTGTGGTTTGCCTTTTTCTGTTAGAGATGAGGGAAATTTTTCGATGGCCAAGGAACAATTGCAAGCAATGGTTAGAAGCCATTTGAAAGACTTGTCCAATAATATTGATTTAGGTAAGTGAAGCCCTGTCTGTAATCAACTTTATGTCGGGGATATTTTCATCTCCAAACCTTGTAGTCTGCAGTTTTCACATTTCTAAAGAGCACAACTTTTATGCATAAATCATTATTGTATTCACACTGTCTTTCAATTTGGTTTTTTAATACATTTTTTTTTTGTGAATGATTTGCAGTAGTGGTTAATTAATTGAGTTCTGTCTTTGTGTTTGTGGAAAATTTTCAAACTTCTTTTTATGTATATATATGCAGACAATGGTACTTTCAAGGACATTGCAACAAGTTCCATGCATACCTTATTAGCTGCTTGTGGGCTTGAGCATAGGAGAAGTGAGGTTCATCTTGTGCCTGCGCCATCAAATTGTGCACACATTGAAAGAGTGGCAGCTGGGCACGTGAGCTTATTGAAAGGTTGTTGCTTAACTTGTTTTGATTCTTTTGTAAAAGATGTAGTGAAGAGGATCATGGATACAAGATCCCCGCAGTGGTTAAGTTTAGGTCTTTAGATCTTTAATGTAGTGAATGTATCTTTCTGCATACTCTTTTTTTTTTTTTTGGTTAGGAATTAGAAACAAATTTTTAGGAAACCATTTTTTAAGTTGATTTATACTTACAATGCACAGACATTGAGCTCATCGTCTTTTCTTTCTTCTCCTCCTTGTCAAAGTCAATTTTCTGCTACTCAATACTGATTGCTTTTACTACTGCTAAAGTTTTTCTTCCTCATTTGTTCCCATCATCTTTCCTTTCTTTCTCCTTCATGTCTCTTCTCTGATAAAAAAAAAGTGTGAATAATTTGTCCTTTTGATATTGCATCTAGTTTATGCTCAAAAGTATGGCAGTGGTGCTACAGCTGCGATAACCAACAGAGAGAGCCATTTATGGATAACAATTAAGGTCCAAAGGCATGTGAAAAGTATAACTTTGATGGACAATTTTCAGACACTGATTTAACTTGCAATGTTAGTTGGACATAAAATAATGATATACCTTGTTAGATGAAAAAATATATACATGCACGTGGTATTTAAATTTTCGAAAATGTGGTTGTGCTTTTTAGGCAATACGAAGGGAGCTTAACTCTTAACAAAAATGCACCATATCATGCTTTTGGCATGTTGTCCTTCTCTCCATGAAACTCATGCCTTTGATTTATTGAGATGATTATGTGCAAATAGCAGCTTTGTTTTTGATTTACCATCAGAGTTTTGCCACTCATATATAGGAGTTCATTGTCTTTCTAATGTTGTTGGCCAAAAAATCCGTGCACTTGGAAAGAAAAGGAGTGTACGAGTTCAGCCGCTTGAAAACAACACCATTCTTGGATTTAAAATTACTATTTTTCTTCTTTTTAAAATTATAATGGCCTGAAATTATTGGGTGAAGTGGAAATCTGATCAGGCCTAACAACTAGAAGTTCAAATGCAGCATAAATTACACTCATTTACTATACCTTATTCAGCATTTTGCTTAATGCATCAACATATTCACTACAAACAGCGTAACAAAACATACATTCAGGGCTCTTGCCACGCAGCAATCAATATGAAGGCAAGAATGCTCTTCATAAAATATCATCAAGAACTGTGGACAACAACAGCCGTTGAACAAACTCGCATCTTTTTGCCTTCTCTTCCTGATCCTTGACTGCAAGAGGTGATGACTCGACATTTCTGTCATGAAAACCAAATATTAGAATGAGAAAGCTGATAGAATCCTAAAGATCACATTATATATTTCAAAGATACTGTAGCAAAACTGTAGAAATAGAAAGAATATCTAGGACCAAATATGAAATCCCATGAAGAAGTTCATTGCCAGAAGAAAAATTCAATACTAGTCATCGATCTGTTTTGAATAAGGTTTGCGGTACTGATGCCCGGTGAGAAACTGTCTAAATAAATAAACAAAAACTAAGACACCTCATAAAGTGTCTTATCCCCCTTCAAGTGGGCACCAGGTCACTTATTTACTGTCGGTTTTCTGTTTCCCCACCTAATGACCAAGACCAAGTCTCATCCCCTTTCTCAAATAAATATATGTTGAATTGGTCCCATATTCATAAAGAATGGCTTGAAAGATGGCATCTCATTGAGTAACAAAAGAGACAAACATAACCACATCTGCCTGCCCTTTTCACCAAGGGCTGAAATAATCCATACCAAACAAGAAGGCTATGACAAGATCCATAGTTTATCTAGAATTGCTGAGTGAATAACAAGATAAAGACCATGTGCATTCAAAACACCAGCCCCAAGCAACCAAGGGACAAAAGGAACAATTAAATATGCTAAAACTTACCTTTCTGACTTATTCACGTTTGAGCTTCTCTTAGTTGTGCCTGTTTCGCTAGAAAAGGGAGGCTGAACACTAACAAAGTCATCAACAATGGGCAAAATAAATGAAGACAACAACGGATCAGGTGCTGAATTGGATGAAGACACTATATAAGAAGAACCCCCAAAGAGAGACTGTAGGTTTCCTTCTCGCAGCTCTTTCTTCAGAAGAGAAAGTATGGAATGAGATGCACCCTTATGTGATTTCCTTTTGCGCTGCATGTAACAACTTGTTAAGGAAATGAAAATAATAAGTCAGGTCCTTAGAATGATGTAACTGTCATACAAGGAAGCCCGAAAACAAAGCTAGCAATTCTACTATTACTCCACTGAAGAGGGAGTGGGGGACATGGGAGTCATCTTGCATACTGTCTTAAATGTTTTTAAAATGGCCCAGCAGTCAAGAGAAGGAACAAAGATGATAAAGTTTGCAGGTAAGAAAGAGAACCAACAATCAAATTCTACAAATGTAGCAAACTCCATTGACGATTTTCGAGGTACATGACATGTGAAATGAAAGAAATTATCTATATAGTTTAAACTGGAATTCCAAAGACAATTCCTCATAAATATAACTCATAGAGAAGGATATCTTGAATATATTTCCATGTTGTAGGGTTATATGTGCAACCATATCAACTCCCACCCTCATTGAACAGACCGGACATACCTGCAAATAGAAACACCATCGCAAACAAAGTTTAGATTCAATAAACACCTTTCCTCATTAGAATAAAAGGTTCTCAAGCACCATGTGACAGAACAATCAATAAACAGAAACTATTAAACTCCTTTTCTCCAAACTTACATACAACAGATCAACCTACAATTTTTCAGGTCAGACCAGTATCAATACCAAACTTCTAAGCAAAATCAACACTAGTGCTAATTTTTTCAGTTAGCAGACATAGAGCTCATGGTCCAAAACTAGTTAATCCAAAAACATCAATATTCTAACTATCACAAGACTCATTTAAGTAAAATAACAGCCAAATAGAAACTTTTGGGGTAAAAGCTTAAAGTTTGAAACTTGGGTCCATAACAAACAAACCCCTTTTCAATTCCTTTCAATGGACTGATCAGTGATCAGAATTCAAAGCTTAAATAAGTTAAGTGAACTATGCTACTTCGACCAATTTTCAATTACAAAGAGAACAATCATTTAAAAAAAAACAATCCAATATAGCCAACTTGCTTATAACACATAAAAATAAAATGGGCATAGAAAATAAATGAAAAAAAAAATAGAACAATACCCCATTTTTAGCCTCCACAGGATGCTCATCATCAATGTGACAGCACAAGCCAACAATATCGAAATACTCTGAACAAAAAGGGCATGGAAATTCCTCTCTTATATTATCTTCTCCATCTATCTCTTCAAACGCCATAAACATATCTGCATTTTCAATCAATTTTTTTTTTTAAAAAGAGCAAAAAAGTCTTCAAAAAAAATCTGATCTTTAATCATAAGTCAAGTTACTTCCTTTCCCTTCATTTTCCACCACCAAGCACAAAAGCAGCAAATATTTAACCCCAAGCAACGTAAAAAAGAAAAGATGGGATTTAAAGATTACCAGTTCGTGATTGAAGAGCTGATTGATATCTCTGAGAAGATGAAGAAAGACGAGCACTCCATGAATCAGCATCCATTTCTAAATCACCCTCTTTCTTTAATTAATTTTCAACCCAAACAAAAAAATTAATAAAAATCCAAGAAATTAAAGAAGATGAGGCTAGTCAGATCTTTGGGGCTTGATGAGACAGTGAGCGAAAGAAGAGCTGGTTGTTCTTGTTCCTCCTTGGAGATGAATTTAGTCGGCGAAAGGAAGTTTTTATGTATCAAGTCGTGGCCTTTTATATTATTCTCAACCTCTATCCTTCTGTTTTTGTTTTTTTTTTGCGTGCCATCTGTCACGAATAATAATAATAATAAATAAATAAATAAATAAAAGCCTTTTTCATTCCATGTGACATCGATAACCTTTTTTAATTTTCATTTTTAAATTTTAATAATATAGCCTATCCATCTTAAAAGTTTTCCAATATATTTTTTTTCGCATTAATCTCATTGCCAATTTCTCATTTTTTTTTTCATTAAATTCAGGTAATAATCGCATGAGTGAATAAATTTAAAGTATTTTTACATCCAAATTTTACACATTTATTTTGTATAAAAAATTCAACATTTTGTTGGATAATTAAAAATTTTATTATTCACCCACAAAGCAATTGTTTTGACGAATTTAGCTGGTGTATAAAAAATTATATCGAGAATTTAATTTATTTAATTCATATAAATATTTTTAAAAAATAATATTTAATAATAAATTTAAAATTAAATATCAATTTTTATAATTTTTTATTCCAAAATTGCATCTTATTTGTATAAAAATTTTATATAAATAATAATTTTACATAATTCAGAATACTTTTGCTTATTTTTGGATTTTTTCTTCTAAATTGTACTACTAATTATTATAAAATTAATAAAAAGAAACAATTTGACCCGTCATAATATGGACCGGATCTGGGTGAGGGTCTCACCGTAGATCAGCATAGGACCCGTCCCTACTAACTGAATCCGACATAATTGAAGATTAAAAAAGTGATTACAACACTAATCACAGTTCTAATTGGAAACAGAGAGCCTAATAAAATTCAAAAAAATTTCTCCACGCTCACCGTATCATTTCCCCGGGTTTTCGCCGGCACGTGACTCGGCCGTTCGTTTCTGTTCAACTGCCCCGTTAGCGGCCAACCAGCGGCCTCCGGTCACGTGGCCATCCCTCATGTTTGCTTTTTCTAGCTCCGCTATGAGAAAACCTCAATTTTTAGATCTCTAAATTCTGAATCTGAATCAAATTTAGATTTAGATTTAAATTTAAATTTAAATTTTTATAATTTTCGGTTTAGAGCTATGGCGACGAGGAACCGAACGCTGATATTCAGGAAATATAGGGATGCGTTGAAGAGTGTTAGAGTTCCGGCGAGTTCGTTGGCGTCGGCGTCATCGTCGTCGGTGGCGATGAGCTCCGTCGGAGGACCAGTGATTGAGATGGTTAGTACTTCGTTGCTCCATCCAAATCGTTCTTATACTCCTCTAAGTACCGAGGATCCTGGAAATTCAAGGTAATATTACGTTTCCAACTACTATTATTGATCATATTAATTGTTCCTGTTAATTTGTTAAAAAAAGATCAAGAATTCAAGATCGAGTTCAAAGCTTTTTTTTTTTTTTTTAATTATGCATGAATTTCTTTAAATGTAAATTAGTTAATTTAATTGAGCTGAATGTGTCTCCTTTTTTAATTTTGTTTTTATAAAATTGAATTACAGAGTTTAGGCTAAGCAAAGGTGTTAAATTTTATAAAGAGTGACTATTTTTCGAGGAATTGGCATCGAAGAGATGCTTACAAATAAATGTGGTTGAATTTGTTTGGTGATGGGTGAATAATTCTTATAAGAATGATTTAGTTGTGAGATGTTTTAAATGATTTGGAAAGAGCTACAGAGATTATGAGGAGGTTTATGCAGTACAATGAAAGATCAATGTTTTGCAATGGGGGAATGTAGATATAAATTACAATAGGGTTTTCTTCAGAAGTTCATTTTCTCTTTCAACTAGTTGTGAGTTCATCTATAACTTTGTTTGAATGGTCATAAAATTCTGTAGTAGGAAAATAAGGGATTGTCTGCCTGTTGCAGTAAGGGTGCAATTACAGTGGGTCTACCGCCGGCTTGGGTAGATGTGTCTGAAGAAATAGCAGCAAATGTGCAACGTGCACGGACAAAAATGGCCGAGTTAGCCAAGGCTCATGCAAAGGCTTTAATGCCTTCATTTGGTGATGGTAAAGAAGATCAACGCAATATTGAGGCTCTTACCCTTGATATAACTAATCTGTTGAAAAAATCAGAAAGGAGATTACAGAAACTCTCTGCAACTGGACCTTCTGAGGATTCAAACATCAGGAAAAATGTTCAGGTAAGGCTTAGTTGTTCAGCTTTATATTGAGGTCAGGAAATGTAAATCATTTAGGCAAGATGGTTTCCAGTCACTTATTCATTTAGTATGTTGATTCTGTCATGTTGCTTAGTGATTTGTATATTGGCCTAATTTTAGAAGTAGCAGCTTTTATTTTCCAACTATTAAGATGATGTGATTCAGAGTGGATGAGACAAACTTGAAACAGTGTCAAATGCTCCCTCTCTCTCTCAAACTTTTGTTGTTGAGACTAAAAGGCTTTTCTTCATAGAATTCATATATTCTTGGCATGCATCTTCCTTTTTTTTGTCTTCCTTGGTGATGATGAGATAAAAGGTCATCATTGGTTTTGCTAGCCCATACACCTGTGTCATTGCAGAAGGGAAGATAAAATGTCTGACATCTGGTGCTTTATTCCATGCCCTCTGACAGATTTTTTAAGTTGTTATTCCCTCAAATGATGTGCTATTCTGAAATGTTCTTTTGTTTACATTTCTTTCTTGTCATGTTTTTCTCCTTTTTGGCAGCGGTCACTTGCCACTGACCTTCAGAACCTATCAGTAGAGCTCCGGAGGAAACAATCAACTTATTTGAAGCGTCTCAGGCAGCAAAAAGAGGTATAGAAAGAAACTTCCTTCTTGACAATGCAACATTGTATCATATTTGGTTGCAGTTCACATGCTAATTGGTCATACAATTTCAATTTCAAACTTTTTCTGTTCGTTTATGTGTTTTGCACTCTTACAATGCATTTTGTGCATGTTTTTGGTATAACTAAATTAATGGCTTCAATTGTAGGGTCAGGATGGAGTTGATCTAGAGATGAATCTAAATGGAAATAGATATAAAGCAGAAGATGATGACTTGGATGATATGGTATACTGGTTTCTTTGAACCCTCTTCCTTTTATTATAGATGATCAATCCGAACACATTTTTGTAAACATGAGTTTTAGGGTGCTGAACTCCAAATAGCATGTTTGAATCTTGAAGCTCAATTGTGTGTAAATCAAGCACCAAAATGTGCCTAATTCAACTTCCTTGTCTTTCCTTTGTGGAATGGTATTACGGTTTGATGGATTTGTGTCTTTTTCTGATTCCAGTTTGGTGTCAGATACTAATGTTTCACAATTATGTTATTTAGGTATTTAATGAGCATCAGATGGCAAAGCTGAAACAAAGTGAGGCATTCACAGTGGAGAGGGAAAGGGAGATTCAACAGGCAAGTGCAGTACTCTTAATCTTTTTCTTATCTGATGCTGCTTTCAGAGCTATCCCAAACTAATTATTTATGTGGCAAAATATATATATATATATATTTATAAATACTTATATTAAAATGCTTTTTGTAGGTTGTGGAGTCAGTAAATGAGCTTGCTCAGATTATGAAAGATCTGTCAGTTCTTGTGATTGATCAGGTAGGAATCCATCTAGCATTGATAATAAGTTACAAACTTTTCCAGAGTCATTAAATGCAGTTCTCTCTCCAAACAGGGTACCATTGTTGATCGGATAGACTACAACATTCAGAATGTTGCAACCACAGTTGAAGAAGGTCTCAAACAGCTAGAGAAGGTCTTTTGTCATTGTCCATTATTGATCTTCATTTACATGTTTTCTGGGACTCTCTTTCATTCTTGTATGGATTGGACTTTTGCAGGCGGAGAGAACACAGAAACAAGGAGGCATGGTGATGTGTGCTACCGTGCTTGTTATTATGTGCTTTGTCATGTTGGTCCTCCTAACCCTCAAGGAGATACTCTTTTGATCTGCAAGCGTGGTTTTTCTTGGATGATTGCCATTTTGACGCTTCGGGTGAGCCCATTATTTGACATGTCGAGAGTCAATAATTTCCTTGGCCAGCACAAGAATGTGGGAATTTTGAATTTCCCCACATACTCATGCCAGTTTATATGATCACGTTTACTTGTTTTCTTTCTCTTCTACTGTTCTTTTCTTGTCGTTTTAATGTTTTGGAGAAAAAGATGGGGAAGGGAGGGAAAGGCGGTTGTTTGAGCTGGGTTTCGAGTATTTGAGTAGCGAAAGAACTCCCCAATATTTGTATAGAGCTTATATAATGTAGAACTGTATTGATTCTTTAAAACTCCTTGGGAGTTTTCTAGTTGGTTCCCATACGAGGAGATTAGGCTTTTGCCTATGTTACTTGTACCAATTCTTTTGATTTGGAAAAGAAAATGAAATAAATCCACTTTGGTGTAAACTTATAACGGATGAGACTCTTGACATTCTTTGGAAATTTCTTCTTGAATTTGTCATGATAAGGCTTGCAGGAGAATTGAGAGGAAAAGGCTGAAAGTAACTATTTATCAGCCAAGGAAGTCTGTTACCCTGGTTGTTAATTTCCAAAAAAGAGAAATACTAAAAGATGTTTTCATTCTTCTTTGGAAAGTTATGGATGCATGAAACATAGAGTGATATAAATTATGGAAATTTTGGATGGTTGTAAGGATGTTCCCTAAGGGCGGTTGGATCCTGTGGATATAAATTTAATGCCAAACCTTTTACTTACAACTAAACCATGTCAATAAGAGAGAAAAAGAGAGTTTCTTGTTGAAATAGATGGGGACATGCGGGAGGGTTTTTTGTTGAAATAGATGGTTGCTGTTGATTTGTGGTTGGACTAATATCTCGATCATGTTTTCATATCAAAATGCTGAGCTAGGGGCAACAAACTGGACAGGTAAGTCTAGGTGACACGGTTCTAGGAAAGAACCATAAATCTCGTATTGATTATGTATTAAAATTATTTTGGGATATAAAAATTAATATCACTTTCTACTTGTGAAACGTTTTATATGAAACAAAATCATAAACTCAAAAAAAGATCAAAACAGTAAATATCTTACAAAAGTGTTAGCTATGATAATTAGATTGATTTAGAACATTGAATCTGGATAAATCATGACAACGATGAACCTTAATTGGAGTGAAAAAAAATGTTACGGTGAACCTTAATTGGAGTGGTGAACCTTAATTAAAGTGAAAGAGAATGTTACGATCTTAAAAAAAAAATCATAAATTCATATCGGATATGTACTAGTATATTAAAATTAATTTTTAAATATACAAGTTCATATCACTTTTAACTGATTTAAGATATCAACTATATCTAGATTTTGAAACTGTGCGAGCTTGACAACTGTTTTGACTTTCAGCCCGTAACATAGGCGCCATCTTTTCTCTGATTCTCTCATTTCTGCTTTTATCTTCTGTCTTTGCCCCGAGAAACAGACGCAATTGTCTAATTGCACATGACCAAAAAATGACGTTCAGTGATGTTACTAAAAAAATTCTTAAACAACTAAAAAGGAGACGGGAGGGACCAGGCAGGACAGATCCAATGCTCAAAGATCAAATGGAAAACAAAGAGGGGATAAAAATATCAAACCATCAAATAAAAACTCTATTTCCTCTTAAATGTAGTTTTTGACAGCTCCAAATGAGGAATTGTATACCCTACAAAAAAATATAAGACTACCTGAATGGGCAAATTTTGGTGAATGACTTAACAACACTTTGATTACATAGAAGCAAAAGAATATTCCCATGTTACTCATAACTAGAAGGTAACTGTTTTGGGAATACCAAAATCACTCGGCTACAAGGCATGAAAAGCTATTGCAAAGACATCACCAGGACCATGACAACTACAAATTGAGACAGACCAAATACTTGTTTTACGTGCACTGAAAATAAAGACTCTGATTCCTCAATTTATTGTAGCAGATCACCAACAACATATTCCGTCCATTTCCCCTTTCTGCATAATATGAACCTGACTGTATTGGTAACCCTAGCAAGCCCAGTATCCTTGACATTGCACCCTCGACACCACACCCGACCGTGGACAGGACCCAAACATGAAGACAAGACGCCTGACCTGGAACCCAACTATCGTTACTTCCATCATCTCCATAAGGACTTCAATACAGAACCAGAAAGTTCCTGAAATATTAAATGCAAACAGCTTTTTAAAACGCAAAAGCAGATACAAACAATAGTCCGATATGCATAATCAGACATCTATCCTACCTTAGAAACAGAAAATGCTCCCACTCGAGTAAAACACTAACAAACAAATGTATGCAAACAACAGCAACACATACCTCTAGCTGAAATTGAATCCCCCTGAAGGAACAGGAAGCTTGCCCCCTCCAAAATCAAACCCTGTTTGCGAGGCATCACCTGATGGCATTGTCTCATCCTCCTCTTCCAGCCAATATGTCTCGAGAACTTTCACAGCCTTTTCATAAATCTCAGTGTTATCATGAGACTGTAAATTCTCAATCTTCTCCAGACCCTCTGCATCTTCAATCATTTGTGCATAGAGATTCACACCTCCAGTATTGCCCAGGTTCTTATCAGCTTCTCCTACCTTCAAAATGTTCTCAAGCCCTTCTAAACAAACTGTAACTATCCTAGGATCTGGGCAGTTAAGAAGATCACACAATGGCTTTATACAACCTTGACTTACAAGGAATCTGAAAAATGCGATATGCCCATATGAGAACTAGTTTATCATTAATAATCTACCAAGACGTGATTCCAAACAACTACGAGAGGAAACAATTTTCATACTTGATCTGCTCATGAGTCCCACCAGATGTAGCATTTGAGATGGCCCACGCAGCTTCTTTCTTAATATCAAATTCAGCATTTTGAAGTAGATGAACAAGCGGAGCAATAATATTAGCTTCAATCACAGCCTGCAAACTCGTACAATTACACATCGTTTCATCGTATAAAAGGAATGCAGAAGCCTTGGACCCAAAATTGATAAAACCAAGGGAATATCAAGGCAACAAGAAAAAATGATACAGATCCAACTGTTACCTGTATTTGTTCCTTATTTCCGGCTGTGATATTTGAGATTGTCCAACAAGCTTCCTTCTTGATGCTTTTTTTAAAATTATTTGTCAACAGGTTCAAAAGGCATAGCAATACTTGATGATTAATAATACACTGCATGGCAACAAGTTCCCATAATGAGAAAAGACAAAATGGTTCATACTATATGTAAGCAAAAAGATAATCTTCAACAACTAAACCCACAAACCTTGCATCCATTTTACAATGTAAGAAGGGGCCCATCAATGTGGTTTGAGTGAGAAAACTAGTTATTCACACAATCAAAGAAGATATACGGCAAAACATCTATATTTTAGAATGATCATTAAAATAAAAATGACTAAGTGGCTAATACCTGGGTTTGCACATCATCCCCAGTTACAATATTTCCAACAGTGCGAAGAGCAGGAATTAGCACTGAAGGAGATAGGTGCCTGCAAAAGCCACAGAATTTAAGATTTAGGTCAGGCAAATAAATCAGAGAAGGAAAGACTTTGAGATTCAATGAACAACAAATAGTCTAATAACTCACATCAAAAGTTCTACCAAACGCCCACATACACCCGCTTCAATAACTGCTTGGATTTTGTCATTTGTACCATCAGAAAGATATGAGAGCGCCCAACATGCATCAGTCAAGACTTCTTCATCATTTGAATGAATAAGACGTGCCAAAGCAGGAAGTGCAGGCTTAACCTGAATGATAAATAAAGGATAATTAGTAAGATAATAATTAATTCAACCCCACCAGTGAATTGCCATACAATATTCATAGCTAGATAATAATACTCAATATTCATAACCCTCCTAGCAATATATCTCACTTTCTGGTTTAATTTTAGCAATGTGCAATATCTCACTCATTGGTTTAATGTTAGAAAGTATTGCAATGTATAATTTCATAATCCAATGAACAATCCACTGCCTCAGATCTCAAAGAGGGACAAAGGGAATTTTGCATTGTAAATCAATAACGTTGAACATGAATAAACTTGCTGATTCATGTTAAACCAACAACTGTTCCCCAGCAAAAGAAGGGAAACAGGGTCAAACCTGATCAAAGGGAGGTTGGGGCTTGCCCCTACAAAAATTTGAGAGTGTCCATGTAGCATTTCTCAGCATAGAAAGTTTAGCATGCTCATTCAACTGTGCCAACAAAGGAAGCAAAGCACCATTACCAAGGACAAGATCACGACATCTAGGAGAATCACCAGCAACATTTCCCAATGCCCAGACAGCCTGAATGTTCAAAATGAAAAGAGAAAATAAGATTATAAACATTTCATACTAGCTTTTGCTAAGTAAAATTCAATTTATCTCACTTCCTGATTCTTTCAATAATCAAAATTACTCTAAATTCCTTTCATATGCATACCTGTTCACGAACATCATCACTTGGGGATCCAAGTAACTTCACAAATATTGGAACAGCCCCATGATCAATTACCACCTTCGTGTTCTCAGATGTCCCGGAAGCAATATTTGTGAGGGCCCAAGCTGCCTCAAACTACAAAAATATTAAATTAGTAAGAAACTTAAAAATACCTAGAAATATGAATTGATAAGATAATGATGAAGCTGATAGGAAATCCAACCTGAAGCTGTGGAAAATCTTCCCTCATAAGAAACTCAACAAAGCGAGGAACAACTCCAGCTTGTATCACTTCCTCAATAGGCGGGCTACGTTCTGGGATAAGTAACAAGTGATATTGAGGTACATAATTTAAATGTTATATCTCTATTAAACAAAATTTCTCACCAACTGAAAGCAATTTCCTAAACTGAGTAGTTGCCTCAAGCTGCAAATTACTATCATCAGTCCAGACACCAGCAACCATGGCTGGCAAGTTTTCCAACTGCAGTCAAAGATTGAACATGAACAGAACAATCCGATTATCAATCAAGTCATAGACACAGGCACACACAGCCAATCAGCATATAATGCAAATAATTGACAAAAGCTATCACAACATAAACTGTGGCAAAAACAAAAATTATGAAACAAGCATGCCAATTATTCACGACAGCTTTGCTTTGAAATAAACTAAATAGAGGAACCCCATTTTCACAATTCTATTTTAATTAATTCTGGCTCAATTTCTTGCCAACACCTAACCGGGAGTAGAAACACAAATCCACAAGCTGATTTAACAATTTAAAAGCTTTAACAACTTTACCCACTTATAAACACTGAAAAAATAAACGAGAAAATATAAAAAAAATGAAAATCGACCTTTTTTTCAATAGCAGAGGAGTGAAGAGACGCAGACATTGGCTGAGCTTGGAGTCCTTCACGTCGCTTCTTCTGCAAACTCTCTTCACGGCGATTCTTCCTAATCTCCACCATGTTATCCTCCCTCCTTCGCCTCCCTTCCTCCGCGTCCACCGCCACCTTGTACCTGTTCCTCCGAACCTCTGTCCTTGCGCTTGGCCTCAACGACATCTTCTCTAATTTCCAAAAATAAAACTCTTCAGACAGAAATAAAATGATCGAACAAGAACCCTAGAGAACAATTTCTCTTTTGTTTTCCTTTTTTGTTTCCTTCGACCGAAAACCCTAGATGGAAAATATATATAAAAAAAAAAGGGCCTTTTTGAAGATATTTTGATTGATTTGATAAGACTTGAGAGGGAGAGAAAGTGAGGGGGGTGTATATAGGATTGTTGGGAAATCAATTTCTGTAAATGGTCGTGGATCGGATTCAAATTACGCTACTGCCATTATTTTTTTTCTTTTTTTTTAATAGGGAGAGAAATTAATTCTATTTAAAGGAACTTTTTGGTTATTTTGATGGAGGATAAACGTAGTCGTTTTATATTTAAATGTGGTTGGACGATGACATATTAATTTCTTTGTTTAGAGGGCAAGCCAGCACATGATATGGATACTTGTTAAATCAAAATATATATATAAAAAAGGAAATATACTTTAAGAATAGATTTTGTTTATTTGTCAATTATATTTTTAAAAATATGAATTCATTTTTTATGAATAATTTGTTAATTTAATATAAATCATTTATGAGATTTAAGATTTGTTTTAGCTTTAGATTTAAATTTTTTTCTCAATCTAAACTTTTATTTTATCAAAAAAATGAATTTGAATATAAATAAAATAATATTTTTTTCTATTAAAGAATTGAAGATTTAAAAGTTATTTATTTTTTTAAACAAATTTAGTGTGAATGAATTTTCCAATGTTAAAAATTATATATGTATGTTTTTGATAAAAAATAGTAGTAATAGCCAAAAAAAGAAAAGGAAATGAAGCCTATGAATAATGAACTTTACGAGCCTATAACTTTTTTAAAAAAATGCAAACTAATTATTAGCAAGAAATAATATGCAAAAAAGAAAAAGTCATTATTTTGGTGAGGAAAATTGTTCTTGCTTAACAAATGGATTGTCTTTTAGTCCACTTAACCTTTTTTCTCATAAGTCATGAGTATGATTTGACTTGTAGATTGCTGGATTAGGGTTGAGCATAATTTGATAAAAAAATAAAAAAAATGAATTTTTAAAGGAAATTAGGTTGGATAATTTAAATTATATGAATATTTTTGTTATTATTTTAGTTTAAATGGTTAAAATGATCAGTTTTTAATTTTAAAATACTTAAATCGAATAAATTAAAATATCTAATTTAATTTAAAATAAATAATTAAAAAATATATAATATAGATATATCTAATAATATGATATAAATATACTTAATGTCAAAAATTAAAATTAAAATTGATTTGACCGAATTCAGTCACTGTTTGATTTTTCAATTTTCTTTATATATATTAATCAATTTAATTTTTATAATAAATTAAATTAATTAAGTCAATTATTCAATTTTTATAATCGAATTAACCAAACTAACAATTTACTCAATATTACGTTAAATAATAATTCAACTTTTTACAAAAAAATAAAACAAAAATTAAAAAAAAATTGAGGCCCAAGGGAGGCCTATAGAAGTTTTTTGTAGGCCCAAACATAGTTAATAAATTTAAACACAATTTATCTTTGTGAAGCATCCTTTACCAGTTATTTCAAAATTTTAACCCAAGGAGAGTTTTTTTACCATACATTACATGGTATTTAGTAAAAAATAAAACATAATTTTTGGGACCTCATCGGTAGGAGTTAAAATTACAGCATAAGCATGGTCCACTGGACCATCTCCTATTAAAGCCCTTTTATCTTTTACTCGGCGTATGAGCATTTTTCACCATCACAAGGCCCACAATTTCATCTCTTTTCACTCCCACCATAATCATAAAATTGAAGGCTACGGCGATGCTTAGAGTTTTTATTTTATTTTCATTTTTAAATTTGGCCATTTAAAACAATAATATAATACCAAAATTATATCATATAATTAAAAAAATATGAAAATCACATAAATTTATAAATCACCAAATCTATTTTCACGAAAATATGTTTTGATTTCTAGTTGCATAACCAAATTGGTGCATAAGAACCAAGCCTCAAATGGTCCTTCAACGTGCACTCTTAATGCCAATTCCGTTTCACGAGACGGCCAAATTGTGCGCATAACAGAACATCCCAATGCCAAATGTCAGTGGTCACAGCAAATTTTCTTTAAAAAAACCAAAAAAAAAAAAAAACCTCCTATGAAGAAAATTAACCTAAAAAAAAATTCAAGTTACTAATGATGGTATTAAGACAACCACGCGTCAACAGCGGGAGCCGTTCCATTTCGCCGCATTGCCTTTAGATGCAGTGTCAGGTACCCTCTTCGTCTCCGTTGAATGGGTGCCATCTACGCCGACCATATCGGAAAACATCCTCTGCAAATCGTCAAAACTAACCCCTAGGAAAAAACCCCACCAAATTATCAATGGACAATAGTTTAAATCATAATTACATATATAAACTTCTAAAAAAGAGAAAATCAAGGGCAAACCTCGTCTTTCACATTGTTCATCATCGAGATCATCTCCTGCATAAAATCACAGAAATCCTACCGACACCGTTTTAAATAAAATCGAAATAAAACAGTAAAAACGTTTTAAATACGAAATTAATAAAGAAAGATTAAACCGACACCGTTTGTTTGCCTTCTAAGGCAAAAACTTTAACCTTGGCAAAAATTTTTAAAAAATGATATTTTTACGCACTTCGTCTTCTTCTTCCAAGGCATCGTAGAGACCGGCGTCACACATTGATCTCTTGGACTCGTCGGAGAGAACTGTGAAAAGTTTACGGCCAATTAAATGAATACTAAACTACTAGAATTCAACGGAGAAAAGATAAGAGGGAAGGGATTTGATAATGCTACCGGAATAAGCTCCTTGGATTTGCTGAAACCGGCGTTTGACTTCGCCCGCAACGCCCTGATTTCTGAAGTATCTGTCAGGATGCCATTTCTTTCAAAATTTAAACATAAAAAAGTTAAGTTCGATTTCCTAAAAAGACCGTTTTATCTTAAATTAGAAACCAATGGAAAAGCAAAAAAATGAAAGTGAAGACTTTTTATTACCAGAGCGAGCTTACGATAGGCAGTGCGGATATCAGAGAATGAGACGTCCTCGTGAATCCCAAGAACGGAGTAATAACAAGATCCGCAGTCGGATCCTCCTTCCCGATCCATCTCAGCTGTCAAAACGCTCCCTCTCTCTCTCCTCTCTCGCTCTGAAAAAAAAAAAACTAGAAAAAATCCATATCTTTCTGAGACATTAGAAACAGGAACAACAGAAAAACAAAAATCAAATGTACTTTAAAAAAATCTTAAATACTAGCTTTTGTTGTCGCTGTTGATTTTTTGTTTTTGGAGGAGGGATTTTGGGGAGAGAGAAAATATCTTAAGCGAACTTCGTGAAACGTGAGGGGATATGAAGAAGGAAACTGCGAGAGATTTCGGCTTGATAGTCCTCCAAGCTAGATATTTTCTTGGCGGGTTTTTTAAATGCCGCTGGAGTTCATTTGAAATTACGAGCATTGCCATTGGCTTCCCTCTTCTTTTTGATTTTTTTTTTCTCTCCTGCCAATCTACATTCCATTGACACGTTTTCGTTGGTCTTCAAGTTACGTATACGGTTTCCTGCAGTAAAAGGGTAGCAACAAGCGGCCAATATTAACAGATGGGGCACAAAGTGTATAACCAAGTATTTAAATTGCTGTAACGGTCACATTTTTTATCGTATCATATTTGTTACGATTGTGAATATAACGAAGATCTTCACGATTATTATAACTATTACGATCGTGAATTTTTTTAAATTTTACTCAATTTATTATAAAATATAATAATTTTAATTATTAATCATAAAACCTCTTATTTTATAATTTTTAAAATAATTTATATCTTATCATATATTTTATTTATTTAAAAAAAAATATTTATAGTAAAATATTCATATTTAAAAAATTATTTATATGATAATTAAAAAAAAAAAAAATAAATATATAAAAAATAAATAATCATAACGAATAATATATTTAATTATTTAATTACCGTACTCATCAAATTATTACAGAATTATATTATGCATAAATCAAATAATAAGTGATTAGATATTCATAAATTAAGTAAGAGCATTATTATTTATGAGTCAAAAGAATTGCTTTTTATGAACTTATAGTAAATCAAACTTGACAGTCTCCATGTTATGATCAATTTTCAACAATAATAACCTCAAGTCTACTACTTTCTTGTGTCTTGACTAAATTGCACAGACTCACACAACTTCTTACCCCTTCACCTTACATTCAATAATTTTTTTTCTCCAAACCTTCATCTTCATCCCCATCTCTCAGTTCTCTTTTTATTTGGTGTATGCTATCTGTTTGCTTTTGTAAACCTCAAGTTTCACTCTCATATCTTATCTCTTATTTTAAGTCCCAGCAACTCTTGCCTCCTTCTATCAATGTAACATAACCCAATCTAATCTCAAACACACAAAATCATGGCAAATTTGGAAATTAAAAAAAAAAGATAATTTGAGTGTTGAATTAATTGTTTACTTTAAATTGCATATACTTGATTTTGATTGAAGTTGAACTTGAGAGAATTGATTTTTTTGAAAGTTTAAGTTTTGTGAGTTTTTTTTTTTTTTTGAATTTGTAAATTGATGTTTATTTTTTTTCTTCTTGTTTTTATTTTAAATTTTTTAAAAAAATCAAATGAATTTTTTTTTTGAATTTTTGAATGAAAATAGGAATAACGGTAATAGCGGTAATAGCGGATAATAACGGATCGCTATTGCTACTATTTACCGTTATACCATAATTCACTGTCGCGATTCATCCGTTACAGATGAAATTCAAATTCTCCCCATTTTTTTCCAATAGCAGTGACGGATAGTAGCGCGACCGCAAAATAGTGGCCGCGACACCGCTATCTGACCGCTATTTGAATCCTTGGTGTAACCCTGCTGCTGATCTGAGTCCATGAATAAAAAAATTATACTACAGAAACACCTATGGATGTTACAGCCTGCGTCAGAAAACTGAAGAGAATGTCAAAACAGATAGCAGTCTACAACAAGTTGCAGCAACAATGATTCCATGGCTATTATAGTATTAGATAAACAGATTCTACTGAAAATCTCAGAATTTGGTTATTACATTAATGATTTTAACTTACAAACACTATTTACAAATACATCTTTGTTGCATTTATTGTTACTACTTACAAGGATGTAAGCTAGCAGAGGAAGAGATTAGCTTCAGCTAATTAATAAACGCTAGAGAATACTTGCTTCCTATTCTGAGATTGCTTACAAACTACATACACAAAGCCTTTGCAAAAGATAAACAATACATAAGATCTAGAAATCTAACATCTAGGACATTCTTGGCTCCTGATTGCATGACATTATGGTAGATGCTACATAGCTATCAACTTACAGTAATTTACAAGTGCAGAAAACAATAACCTAACACATCCGGAGAAGCTTGCCTTCTGGTCTGTAAGTAATCTAGTCATTTATGCACATATGCCTTCTGACAGCCAGAGCCGCCTTCTTGCAGCTCCGCGACTAATTGACCTCCACTGGATAACAGCTCGTAGTTTCGACCACCCAGCTTTGGGCCACACATCTCTGGCCTCTCCCATGCTTCGGCAATGTACATCAAAGTTTGGGGAAGAAGACAGGATGCCTACAGATGATTCGCAGCCTGGAGTCAAAATTAATCCACCGCCTTGTCCCCATGCTGGAGTAGCTGAAGTCCAAATTGGCATTTGAGCCTGAGAATTATCCTCTGTAGCAAAAAGGCTATCTGGGAAAAGTGACAAATTGTTATCTCCATTGTAAGGGAATATTTCTCCCATTCCGAAATCGTTTCTTAGCATTGGATTAAAAGCTTGAATTGCATGTCCATCCAGTGGTAGAGAAACCTGTAATTGATTGGTATCTACCACTTCACAGGCATAGGATGTTGAGGGTTGGTTGAAACCCAGTGATGTACCCGGTTGATCTGCATACATACAATGAATCGATGAAATCAGAAATGTAGCAGTAAAAACAATCTGGTTAAGAGCAAGAAGAGTTTACGATATAGCCAGCAACTTGTACATTGAAATGACAACTATGTCTGTATGTGACATCCAGAGTGTATCTTAAGAAAGGATGCCTACAGTGATGATAGCTAGGCTGCCGATATATGATTCATCATCTTTTTGGCAGTCTCTACAATCTTGAGTAAATTTTGAAAGAGATTCCTTAAGGTAACGATTCCATAGGCATATAAAGATAGGTACAAAGTTGATTTTGTACTTCAATTTATAAAGAATGAATTTAAAATGACTAATGGATCTTGTACCTTGGTTTGCAACGGAGAAATCAGGTTGCTGCAGAAGTAGATGTGGGATGCTAAGTGGCTCAGGCAGCGGATCTGTCAAGGGCAATGTGGGGCCCATAATTGCTGGTCTATCAGCCAAGACCAGGTCCTGAACATTCTTGTAAGCTTGTCTCTTTGCATCTTCCACCAGAAGCTGCAAATTGATCAGAGAATCATTAAATCTCAAGTCATATGGAACATATCTGATGCGAAATACAGTAAATGATTATGATTTACGGTCTCGACATTTGTGTATCTATATGAGTTTCATGGATATGACACACAAACCTTCTGAGAAAAGGTAAAAAATTCCACAAGCTGGTAATTTTGGCCATCAAATGTTGCTGCCACAACGTCGTAAATGGAATTTAATAGGAGTCCAACCCTTTGTGCAGCTCCATCGTAGGTATACCACTTATCATCATTTACAGGACAAGACAAAGCATGACCTATGATTGAATCCCATACCCTATTTGAGATCCCGCCACCGACAATCTGCAGTAATTAATGTCACAATTCAGATAGGTTCAGCAATAACATATATGCTCAAGTGTTCTGATTGACATGAACAATTATTCACTTACGTCCCGTAGTGCAGATGGATTAGTAACATGCAACCGCAGGAAGTCCTTTACAGTAAGAATTTTATTAGAGGTCAGCCGTGTATGGAAGGCACCATCTTTTGCTATCCTTTCCAGACGCCATACTTCATCATGCAGGAGGGGAGGGTAGTGTTTCTTGCACACTGCATGAATATATTCCATCTCCATGTCAATGCTCACGATTATTCATAAATTCAATTACAAAGAGAATACAGAACTGAAGTTGAAAAAGCATTTGAACTTACACTGTCCACGGTGTTCCTTCACCACGAATGCTTCACTTCTAGCCTCCCTGATTGTCACTTCACCAGAAATTCTTTGCACAATTCTAGCTCCTAATCTAAACTTTCGACTTCTTATCCAGCTAGAATTGTCGGTGAAAATCACATTATCAAAGGTACCCATACCATCGACCAACGTAACATTGAGATCTCCAGTCAACAGTGGCCTTTTACCTTCTCTTTCACGAAGAACACTGGCATTGAATTCAGTTTCTGTCCACTCTTCTCTCTCGTCAGCACCAAAATCACCATTAAGGACTACAATCTCAACCTTACTAGAAGACAGTGAACCAGATGAGACCATTGTCTGGCTAGTTGCATCAACTAGGATAATCCTAATGGTATCGCCATCCTCAGCTTCAACCTTGCTACCTGTAAATATGGTTGAGGGCAGTTTATTGACAAAACGCAACTGCAAGTTTCTTTCTCTAGATGCCTCAATCCGATTAAGCGAGGACCTAAAAAACAGTAAACAAAAGACCAATGTTTGACTGTTAATCGAGAAAAAAAAAAGATTTCAGAAAAACTTACAAGGAGACTGTATAGCTTATAGCATAACATAAAAATCTATATAGACACGAATGATGTATTAATATATCAAATTATATTTCAGGTGGAGCTTTAGAACCCAGATATCTTAGAAGATAGCTAGTTGAAATAATTCTAGTATTGCATCCTTTGCAGCAAAATACAAGCAAAGCAATCTGAAGTTAATCTTGGAGATGCTGATGAAACTTAACAGTTCATCCTGTCATATCAGTCAAGATCTAACACAATAGGCTTCAATGGACCCTCAATACAAAATCCATATCATTTTCATCACAGAGGAACAAAATCTTTGACCATATTTTCCAAGAAAAAAGGCCCCATAGCTTACCTCGAAGACGGGTGAATGGAGGATAGAATTGCTCTTTCCACTTCCTCCCTTACCTAATCACAAATGATATGTAGAAGAATTAAGAAACAGAGATGTATAAGTAAAAAAATTGTGTATTAAGAATTAAAAAAGCTCAAGTCAACAACTAATGTTCAACTGTTTGAATCGGCTAAAACCCACAAAATTGAAATTTACATACTGTGTTTTTGAAGATGAAAAATCCTATTTACATGTTGACTTACATAATGATAGGTAAACATCCTAAGTTGAGCTCAGAAGATTTGTTGCAAATGCAGACCCAAATGATACATATAGTAGATAGCTCCTCAAAGACGATTAAATTACTTACCCATGATCGAAGCGTTGGTTCCAGGTTGAAAACGATTCTGTTCAGGGAAAGCCCTCCCAATCCCATTATGTTCCTAACAGCACTGCACAAGAATAAGAGAAGAAAACCCATTTCGGAAACATGCAAACTGAGCTTAGAACAGAAAAGAAACAAACTCATCCCATCCCAAGAAGACCAACTCACTTCTTCAGGGTGGCTCTTCTTTTTGGCTCTGGAACCATAACTTCCAGCCTCTCATCACCTCCATCAGGAGCAGGCCTCTTACTGGGAAACATCATGAAAGTCGAAGGAACTTGACAATGACTTCTTCAGAGAACAACAAATTCAAAAGAAAAGCAAAAACACTTTCAGCATCAAACCCCAGTAACCAAAACCTTCTCCAGCTGTCATCTTTATAAATACTCGGCAGTCAGCAAATAGCATTGCTTTCATTGACTTGTAAAATAAAATCAGTCATGGAAGATACCTGGAAACTCACTAAACCATCAGTGTTTCAAAGCACGTAATGCCACTAAAGTCAAGAAAATATTGTAATATGAACTTTAAAGCAGCAAGAAAACCCAAAAAGAAAAGAACAACTAAAAAAACATTATTAAATTATGCTAATTCTGTGAAGATACTTTCAAAAGTACCAACAACTACTTAAATTGTACACAATCACTGGACTTCATTAAACAGACAACTAAACTTGAAAAACTGCTAATAAAATCATTGGGTTTTCAAAGGTATAACGAACTGGAACAGGAACAAACGCGTGATGATCATTGAAAAGTACATAAAAAATGGCAAAAAAGTACAATAAAAAGAGTAATCCAGCAAAACGGAACGGGTTAATCACATGTGTTTTTTTTTTCTTTTAGTAGTTCTTCGGACGGGAAAATTACAAGAAAAAAATACGGTGGATTAACGCGTGCAAGGGGAGAAGTGTATCGATCAAGAAAGCTGCTCGAAATTTACGTAAGACATAACTTTTTTTCTACAAATACCGCGTTGGGTTTGCAATCTGACAAAGATTGTAGTTTTTTTTTTTATTTTTAAAGGAATATTGTCAAAGATTATTTCCTTAGTTAAACTCCCTTTTGTTTTTTGTTTTTTAATTAAATCAATGACTCTCAAGACTTGGATTCTTGTTCTTGCTTTTTGCATATATATTTGCCATCCTAGACGTTTACTAATTAATCACACTTGACCTTGAGGAAAAATCAAAATATTTTAATTGATAAAATCCCATCAGCCCTTATCGTGATTTCTTAAGCAAAAGTATATTATCAATCAAAATACAGCTAATAATTGATAGAGTCCAAAGAATAACAGCATGTAAAGGTATATGCCATGTCTTGCTTTTTTATCCTTAACAAAATTCCGTCAATCTCAAAACTCATAGGCTAAAATTAAATACTCCCATTTCGTTGCGATGTCACTTTCACTGTCGGCCAACATGTAGGGCTGCTCTTTTCTTTTCCTTCTGAGTTAAATACTCTTCAATATTTTCAATAACACCCCTTTTTTATTTTTCGTTGTTAATCTTAACCAGATGCAAACTCCATAGTTTTCTGAAAAATTGTATAATATATATGTATATGTATGTTTATATATATGATGTTGTTTGCTCTAAATTTAACCTTTTTTTTTCTTCTATTTCAATAATCAAATAAAGTTTAAGCATGTATAAGTTAGATGAATTCTCTTTCTTTCGGAAAAAGAAAATAATAATGGCTGTTGAAATTGTGTTGCATTTGTTGATTTTCACTTTCTTTGCAAGTTCATGGTATTTACAGTCTCATTTCTGCCATGGAGGAATTTTCGGGGAAAATTCATGGTAATGAAAACTCCTGGTATTTATAGTCTCACTAATTTCCGCCATAGAGGAATTTTCAGAGAAAATGCATGCCCATGAAAGCTCCTGGTATTTACAATCTCGTGTCTGCCATTAAGGAATTTTCGGAGAAAATTCATGGTCATGAAAATTCCTGGAACGTGTTCCAAATTATACGACTTTACAAGTGTAATCGTTTTGGCATATTTCATGAATTTCAATTTTATAAAATTATTGCCTAAGCCAAAATAGAGTCTATGCTATCAACTCACACTTGATGTAGTTGTGCGGTTTAAAAAAATAAAATTGAAGTCTAATGTTTGAATGTTTTAAATTTTATCGTAAAATCAAAACAAAAATACATGGATGATTTATGAATTATGATCTATCTATATATATATATATATACATATGGAATTATAAGCAAAGAAAAAAATGTAATCCAAGCCCAATATGATAAAGAGCAAATTTCTTATGTTCTTTTGGGCCGTTTGGCAACATTCTTTAGTCCAAAATCCTTTATTGCTTCTCGTTACAAAATCTATGTATAAGAGAAAAACGACATCGTTTTCAGGCACACCAATTGTCAATTTGTAATCCCAAAGCGCGGGAGACTTGAGAGTCACCTTCTTCGATTTAAAAAAAAAAAAAAAGGCCAAAATCTCCCAAAATTCATCGGTCCTCAAACCAGCAATGGACGGCCACGACTTCGAGCTGGAGAAAGCTCGGCTGCTGAGCTTAGCTCTCGAGTTCGGCTTCGACGAGCAATCAGCAAAGAAGAGCTTAGATCGTTTGATCTCTCTCTACGGTAATTCTTACCATTTCTTTTCATTTTTGCCTTTTCTTTTTGGGTTGATTTTTAATCTATTTTTCGAAAATTTTTACTTTTTTCGGATTTTTATGTTCGGTGGAAAAATTGCCAAAACTTATGTAATATTATCGTAAATAAATTGCTAAATAAAATTATGGATCAAATTGAAAGATGAAAAAGTAAATGTATAGTGCAAGGTTTAAAATTGATTGAATTTGTGAAGGTGATGATGGCCAAGATTTTATTACTGTGGAGCATTGTGGCGATGATTTTCTGGCGGCGTTGGCTGAAACAATGGAAGACCGTGAGGATTGGGATGATGATTTACAGGCTGTGGAATCAGAAGCTTGTGGAGCTTTGAACAATTTGTTTGACAAAAATACCCTTCGCAGTAGTAAAAGTAATAGTAATACCAATGTGAGAAACTACATCAACATCACAGATGATTCTCCTGAACGAGAAAAGCAAACAAATTTGATGGAGTTGGATTCTTCCAGTGATGATGAGGACTTGGGCTTATCAGTTTTGAAGAAAAATGGTGATTTTTCGACCCTCACATCTCAACAGGATCAAAGAAGTCGCTTGGTAAGAGATTTTCACTACGAAATTTTTAGTATTAGAAGTACCCTTATAGCTTTGTAGCAGAACAATCATTCATTGCGTATTTAGAGTTATGACAATTAAAGATACTGAATTAGTTGGTTTGATTTTGAAGGGTTCTAAGAGTAGTGTGACTCAAGGTTCAGTTTCATCAATTTCTGGTCAAAAGCAGTTCTCCAGCATGTCAATGGATAAACATGGGACTCTAAGTTATGAAGAATTACAGGCTTTGGATGATGTTGAATTAGCAAATGTTGTTATCTTTGGTAACAGATCATTTCGACCATTGCAGCATCAGGCCTGTAAAGCATCTATGGTAAAGCGAGATTGCTTCATTCTCATGCCCACCGGGGGTGGTAAAAGTCTTTGTTATCAGGTTATACTCTTTACTAATGATATTTGTCCACTAGGTTCTGCTAATTTGCCAAAAATCCATAACTGAATATACAAAAGATCTGAATTTTACAGTTGAAATTGAACATTGAACTTATTTTGACTCTTAAATCTTACAAGTGCAAACTGAGCATGGAAGGATGCAAACTGAGATAATGTTGGGATTTTTTTGGATACTTGGATATGGCAGACCTGGTTCATTCTTTTTATTTTTATTACTTACTTATTTGTTTTGGCTAGTTTACTTGTTTTGTTCTTTAATTTTATTTACAAAATCGTGATGTATGTATCTTATACTTTGCTCAGCTTCCAGCGACTTTGAAACCTGGTGTTACAGTGGTCATCTCTCCTTTACTATCTTTAATTCAGGATCAAATAATTACACTGAACCTTAAGTTTGGAATACCATCTACATTTTTGAATTCTCAACAAACTGCTTCCCAAGCAGCAGCTGTCATGCATGAACTGAGGCAAGTTAATTTTGGCAGGAAAAGATAATTTTTTGGACTTTTAGATACAGTGATCACAGTAAAAAATCTTGATATATCTATTTTCTTTTCATGCTTGTAGAAAAGATAATCCTTCATGCAAACTTTTATATGTGACCCCAGAAAGGGCTGCTGGAAACCCATCATTTCTTGAGGTATTAAAATGTTTGAATAGAAAGGTGAGCTTTACCTTCTCACTGAATATATTTGAAGCAAGTTAAGCTTTGAAAATTTCTGCTGCTAATGTAATTTCTGCTCTCATGTAGGGACAATTGGCAGGTTTTGTTGTTGATGAAGCACATTGTGTTAGGTATGCCCTTTTCTTTATTTATTTTGTGGAAATTTGAGTCATTATTGATGGTTTTGATGGGTATATATGATTTTTATATTCTTAGAATATTTGGTATTTAAGCAGCCTTATCCCTTCACGTTTGATATGCAACTGGTAAATAAACTTGTTAACTCCTGTTCTAGGTCTTATATTTTGTCTTGTAAAACTATTTCAAAACTTAACTCAAACTCACGGATTGTTAAAGTGTGATTTCTACATGCATCAATCATGGTCCCTGTGCATGGTCCAAATAACTAACATTGATGGAAGATCTAGGAGATTTGATACACAAATGGGTTCACTTGTGGTCATAGGAAAGGCAGAGCCTGTGAACTGCAAGAGTGAATATCTCATTGGAACCAAACACAAAAGAAAATTATATATTGCTAATTACCATAGTTAGAGAAATAAAAAGGTATAGGTGTTTTTTTGTATTGCCAATTATAATTCTATTCTCCAAGCTGATTACCTAGTGCTTCTATTTGACTGCATTTGTATAATTTTTCTTTTAACTTGACACCAAGGCCTTCATGGCATTGAACATGGTCCTAGCTAAGTTGAAGGAATTGTGTAGGAGCTGTGTTTTTTACCGTTGATTGTTTGTATAAGCCTAACTCTGTATTTGTGTCAAAGAACACATCACAAACGAATTATGTAGGCATTGAGGTGAATAAGCCACACAAGTTTACCGGTGTTTCCTATCAATAAGTAAAGAAACCTTATTGTTTCTTTTATTTGGTTTCTTTTTTTGAATGCATGAATCACAAATCAGGATTTTTTTTTTTTTTTTGAGAATAACCAGCCTACACCCTATGGAGGTTGCTAAGAGTAGCATTAAATTAACCATAGTAAGCAATATATCCTAGGCCAACATATCCCAGAGAGATAAATATTATTTGATTGAGCAATGGACATCAATGAGAATACTCTTGCTCTTAAATTCTTTTCAGCCAGTGGGGACATGATTTTCGTCCAGACTACAGAGGACTAGGATGTCTTAAGCAGCATTTTCCAAATGTTCCAGTGATGGCTTTGACTGCCACAGCCACCAACTCAGTTCGCAAGGTAATAAGTCTTAACTTTGGACTTTTTTTTTTTCATTGTTGAATAAACGATGTCTTTTTTGTCTCAATTGGTGCTTTGCAGGATATTCTAAAGGCTTTGAGAATTCCCCATGCTCTAGTCCTTAAAACAAGCTTTGATAGACCCAACTTGAAGTATGAAGTGATTGGGAAGGCTAAGGATTCATTAAAGCAACTTGGTCAGATTCTGCAAAATCGTTTTAAGAATCAATGTGGAATTGTCTACTGCCTTTCAAAAAATGAATGTGCTGAGGTTTCAAAGTTTCTGAATGAGAAATGTAAGATTAGAACAGTATATTACCATGCTGGTTTGGCAGCTCGACAAAGAGTAACTGTTCAGAAGAAATGGTATGATGGAGAGGTCCAGATTGTATGTGCAACTATTGCTTTTGGGATGGGAATCGATAAACCAGATGTCGTAAGTCCAGATAAGATCTACAGTTTATCTCTATCATGTCCATAAATTAATTTTCAAAACTAGGCAGTGCACATTTCCAGTTGTGTGATAGGACCCCAATAGACACTGCATCATAGAAAAAGTTTTTTTCGGTGATTGATTTCATATGGAAAAATTACTCATGTTTGGTACAATCACAAAGGTTCCTACTTTCATCAATCAGTTTAGTGTTTTTTTAAAGTAAAAATAACACTTTAAGATTAAATGTAAATAATATTTTCGCTACCACTGATAGTTGATATGGTGGGTGCAAATTTTTGTTTAATTATTAATTCTGCCAGTTATTTGGACATTTGTATATATCCATCATTGTAATCACAATAACTGTACTGATTTATAGTGGATGATATCAAAATATTTCTTTTTGTTCCATTACTTTTATAGAGCTTATTGATTCTTTTTCTTTTAAACTCTTTTCAGCGTTTTGTTGTCCATAACACAATGTCCAAATCAATTGAAAGTTATTATCAAGAATCTGGAAGGGCTGGAAGAGATAATTGCACTGCAGTCTGCATTGCTTTGTACCAGAAGAAGGATTTCAGTCGGGTTGTTTGCATGCTACGAAATGGGCAAGGTTGCAAGAGCCAAAGCTTTAAAACAGCCATGGCTCAAGCAAAGAAAATGCAACAATACTGTGAACTTAAGGTTTGTCAGTGATATTTTCTTTTTCTTTTATCTTGATGTAACAACTTTTTTCTTATGCTGAAAGTCATCTTTTTCCAGGATGAATGCAGGAGACAAATCTTACTTGAACACTTTGGAGAGTCTTTTGACAGAAAAGCCTGTAAATATGGTTCAAATCCATGTGATAATTGTCTCAAGACTTCCTAATGAGCATAGGCAAGAATGTTTGCCTATGTTGCAACTAAGCTTTATACTGAATCAGAGTTTGATGTGACATGGTCATTCTAAACAAGTTTACGAATTTAATGAATTCATGAGAAATTATCATTTTAAACAAGTTTACGAGTCTAACAAATTTATGAGAAATTATTGTTTTTATAATCTATCAACTAATTCAAATCCGAAAAAATAAAAAATAACAAACTTTCTTGTTACTTGAGTCAATTCTTTAATACATAATGGATGTAAGACATGGTAATAATTATAAATTTGCTAATCACATTGACAAAAAAGATAAACTTAATATAAGATCTAAGATCTCAATATATAGTCATATGATTAATAAGGACTTTTTTGAGGAATAATTTGGCAAATAGCACATGCAACAACCATGCTATTGTTGGGACTAAATTTAATATTTTCCTCCAATTAAGAGAAAGATTTTGCTATAATTGACATTGACATGTGAACTACCCAATTATGTTTATGTGCTCAACAGTTAACACTATTAGGCCTTTGCTTAAAGTTGTAAAAACTTCTCTATATTCCAAACCTTTTGAAAACATCTTTTTGGTTTATCAGTTTGTGTAATTACTAAAATTAAGGGTGGATTTTACTGGTGACTTGGCTTTGCATGTCGGAGAAACCAGACAAAAGGATAAAAAAAAAAAAAAGTTATGGCAGGAATCTTTATTAGGACAAACAAAAAGCAACTGCCAACCGACTTCCATTACAATAGCATGCTTCAATTTATTAATTAAATTAGGTGTTTAGTGATATTAATTAAGGTAATGTTTAGGCTAAAAATTTAATAATTAATGCATTGGTTCCTTATCAAAATATTTTTTAAAATAATATTTTAATTATCTTATAACAGTGCAGATGTTTAATTTGATTATAATAAATATTTTTAAAAATCTGAATATACCTATTCCCTTCATTTAATTCCTTCAGTTTTGAAATTATGTCATCAATAAATAATAACCCAATTGACCCAAAAAGATAAAACTTGATGGCATGGATTGGCTATGCATTCAAATAATTTGAAAAAGTGAAACTTAGAATTGAATTGAATTCAATTTTAAAGTGTTTATGGGGGAGATAAAGAAGTGGATTTGGTGGAGCAAGTGGAGCCCAAGCAGTGGTGAAGGTCCCAAGCCCATGGTAAACTGCCCCATGTGGCATGCCATTGGTAACAGAGCTAGAAGAAAATTCCAAGACCAAGGCAGAAATAGGATTTTTTTAATTGATTTGTTTCATGAGGGAGAGCCTTGGGTCCTTGAATTTTCAACGGCAGAGTTGGGTTTTGTAGTGTTATGTCACTTCTCCAAGATTTAATGCTCAAGCTCAGACCAGACATTTCTTACTCTTCCAGTTGGTTTTTTTTACTTCTTTTTGTTTTTTTAATTTGAGCTTGTGTTTCTTAGCTGGTATCTACCGAATCTCTCTCTCTATCAGTATCTCTGCTAATGTCACTAAAATATTTTCCTGAGATGGATCTTTTTTTGTGTCCTTTTTTGGTCCTTCTTTCTTAAAACCAAATTCCATTTTTTTATTGTTATGTTCATTAGTATTATTCTAGTTGCAGTAAAAAGAAAAGAGAGCCTTGCAATACTTGGAAGAAAGAAAAATGGTGCTTGGAGTTTAGTTGTAGTGAGTGTAAGGGGAGACTGATTGGGTTTATTTGAAAGATTGAACTTTTTTGTTCAATTTAAAGAATACCCAGTTATATTTACCTGTTTTTATGTAACCCCATTGTGACAAGGAGCTTGGTGCCTGGATCATGGGGTTTTGCTACTTTTGAAGAATTCAAGGTGGGTTTTTTATATTCATATAATGAAGTTGTCTTTTTGCTCATTTACATCTTTGTTTTCCCTTTTGGAGGATTGTTGCATCTCCATTAATTGGTGTTTTTCTTACATATTGGATTATGGAGATCTGATTCACATGTTCATGTACTTGATGCCAGAAAACTCTCTTCTCTCAATTGCTTGCTTGAAAATGATGCATTGTCTCTCTTTGTCTGTTAGCTGAATGAGCAATGAAAGCATAACCACGTATGATTTTTGAAATCAAAGTTTCTTTCCTTCTTGTTGGCTATTATTTATGTCCATGGAGTGAAACCTTTTTTACATTGTTGAGATAAGGTGTGATAATGCTTGTTATAGATTGACTTCTAGTTCTAGGCCTTGTTTGATAATTCAACTTTTTCTTTTTAGGTTTAAATCTTTGAGTAATATTGATTTATCGATGAGATAATGGAGGTGGAAAGGAAACGTTCAAAGGGAGGATTTTTTCAATTGTTTGATTGGAATGGTAAATCTCGGAAGAAATTGTTCTCAAACAATTCTGAATTATCAGGTACATTTCTGTTCTTCATCTGTATGGATATGCTTTTGTTACTTTTGTTATGTTAAGTCTCTTTTTTCTTTTTCGTGAATATGTTAGTAATTCATGCACAACTCGTTTCCATTTTGAATGTAGAAGAATCAAAGAGAGGAAAACCTGTGGAAAATCTACTGAAGTTACTGCCTCATACAGTGGGAAATTTCCCCCCTTTCTTCCTTTAGTCTTCTTTTGCTCGACTGTTTTTTCTGGTAAAATATTAGCTTCTGACTATATTGTTTTTTTTTTTTTTTTGCATTACCAGACGGAGGGGGATGAGGACAATGCCGCTTCAAGTAATAGACAAAGTGCTGATTTTAGTTCTGCTTCCTCAGTGACTAGTGATGAAGGACATGGATCTAGAGCGCCTGGAGTTGTTGCTAGGCTTATGGGTCTGGACTCATTGCCAACACTGAATGTCTCTGAGCCCTCTTCTACCGCATATTCAGGGTCTTGCTCTCTTAGAGTATCTCATTATGAAAGAAATACTCCTAATTTGTGGAATGACTATCAACTCACAGACTATGCCAACATCTCTAACAACCTTGATAGGTTGTCTTCAAATCCCATTGAACCAAGGTTTCATAAGGTGCGGAACCGACCAATTGAGAGATTTCAGACTGAAATATTGCCTCCAAAATCAGCAAAGCCAATTCCAATCACTCAGCAAAAGCTTTTGTCTCCTATCAGGAGTCCTGGGTTCATCCCGACCAAAAATGCAGCTTATATAATGGAGGCAGCTTCAAAGATTATTGAGGCTAGTCCTCAGACAACTTCCAAACATAAAGTGCCATCATTTGGGTCCTCTTCAGTTCCTTTGAAAATCCGGGATTTGAAAGAGAAAATTGAAGCTGCACATAAAGTATCCAGGCCTCAAAGACCTGATGAACCTAGTGAAATTGTGGCAAAGCCTTTGAAAGGGCAGCATAAGGACAAGAGTCACAATAAATCAGATTATGCACTGACATTCAGGATATCTAGGGATTCAGAAAAAGGTAGTTCTAACAGTTTGAGGACTAAGGGGAAATCAATCTCGCTCTCAGAACAAGCTAGGATTAATGTCCAGAAGAAAGAGGGGTCATTTTCGAGTGGTAATGAGAGTGCTGCAAATCAGAAGGAAAGGAATGATGCTAAAAGAAAACAGTTTTCTAGGAGCCAGTCAGATATGCAAAAGACTGTGGAGAAAGGAACTTCTACAAACAGGATTAACAATGTCCTGAGGCAGAATAATCAGAAACAGAACTGCATATCTAATAGAGATTATTCAACATCGAAGACTTTGACCCTGGACCAGCAAGGTAGAAAGGCTAGGTCCATAAATGGTACAATTGGGATGAATAGGACTATAAATAAGGTGACTGTAAACTCTGAACCTTGGTCCAGGAAGACAGGCTCAGTGGCAACTGATCCTGCAAAGGGGCTTCCCATGTCTAGAAGAAAGAATTTGCCTAGAAAGAAACCGCCTGTAAATGAGGATCTTCTATCTGGAGAAACTGCTTCTGATAATTCATCCATAAATGGCAGTGAAAGGTCCATAAAATGTAATGTTACAACTGATGGGCACTTGAATCAGGAAGCAGAGAAAATGAAAACAAGCATGGACGTTGTTTCATTTACATTTACATCCCCCATTACAAGATCCATGCCTGATGTACCTTCCACAAGTCGAGTTGTGGAAAAGACTCACAGCTTTGATAGTGATCCTTCTGGTGACACTGATCTGCTATTTTTGAAAAGCTCAGCATTTTCTTCTCCTGGACTTAATATAATTGATGGGGATGCTCTAAGCGTTCTTTTGCAAAAAAAGCTTCAGGAATTGACATGTAGAGTTGAGTCATCCAATTGCAATATCATTATAGAGAGGACTTCGTCTAGTCCAACATCTAGTTTGCAATATTCAGTGCTCTCATCTGGTACAGTGACTACAACATCTGCGGGACATCACACAAGGATTCAGGTGGGTCTGGTTAAAGATATCTCATATAGTTCAGTGATTTTAACAGCTCTTCAATCGACAATCTGGGGCTTGATTGGAGAAGGAAGTGGCATGTTTGTTTTACTTTCTCGTAGTTACCATTTACTTCTAATAGCGGGTCTTTGCTTATTTCTTGGCGTATATAATCAAATAGCACACTGCAAATTTCCTAAGTATAGAATCTAGTGCTTGGATTTCAGATGGCTCTTTCCCTCAACCTAAAAAACATAATAATTGCACTGAATAGTCACTATAAATAAAAACTTCAGTTTTATGAGTTAAAAACAGAGCCAACATAGCTATGAATAGGGATCACAAAGAGAAGTTGGTAGCTGATGGAGAACGTTCCCCTTTTATTTTCTATGGTTTCTGTTTCTACCAAGTTGGAGTCTTTTTGATTTGTTGAATTGTGAAAACCTGATCGTTTGCCCAAATAACTTGCAATATATTGTACTGCCTTTTTCCATTATCGAATGTCCTGGGACCCACACCTTTTGATTCTATTTGAAAGTATAGATATTCACCTATTGGTACTCTTAATTTCATCATTTATACAAACAAGTTGTTCACAAGCAAGAGTGATCTGGAAGGTTAATTAGATATATCTAAGTTAAATTTTTTTCCCTTAATTGTCTATTACATGTCTAATTTCAATAAAGAAATTGTATTTTTATTTTTCAATCTTAATAAAGATAATATATGACTTTAAATTTATTGAATGATGCCAGCTTTCAGAAGTAATTGAAGAGCAAAATGCTAGTAGCAGCTGCAGCGAGACTGGCATAGAATTAGATTGTCGATATCCTAGCCCACTTTCAACTCTTGAACCTGCTGTCACGAGTGGAAGCTGCTCAGATAGCAGAGATGGTACCAATGGTAAGCTGTGCTCTTCTTATTCTTATTTTCTTCTTTGGAATTCCACATTTCTTTCACTTGAACCCATTTTCTTATGTGTTAAATTTAGTTAGAAATGATATGAGTGTAATTGTCAATTAAATTCAGGAACTAATTATTTGTCTGAGAGGCAAAGCAGTTGTTACTTGTGGTAAAGTGCATGATTTTGGAATCATTTATATTAGTCTATGGATTTTGCCTGATTCTGAAAATTTGCATAGATCTTCATAATGGGTAAACTCAGTAACCATGTTACTGCATTGACTACTCTATAAGCTGGTTTAATGAGATAATGGAATTTTTTTTATCATTCCATTGACCGACACATGCACTCTACACTTGCAGGCACCAAGCAATTCTTGTTGGCTCAAGATCAAGAAGTGTTAAGTTGGACCCCTGGAAGTGAGTCTCTTACTGAATTTGGTATGGAGTTATCTGATTCAGCATCTTCAAAATCTGTGGGAGAAATGGGCAAAAAGCTTCTAACTAGGACATTAAGTTCAAGAGATTTTAAAGAGTTAACCAGTTGGGAACTTGATTATGTGGAAATGGTGCTAAAAGACTCTGACCTAAAGTTCGTAGAATATGCATTGGGTCAAACTGAAAATGTTATGATCCTGAATGCTTTCAATCAGCTTGAGCATCGGAATGGAGCAGAGAGAAATGGAGAAGATTACAACAAGCTTGAACAAAAACTTTTGCTTGATTGTGTGAGTGAAAGCCTGGAGTTGAAGTGTGGGCAAGTTTTTGTTGGAAGCTGCACAGGATGGGTTAAGTGGGGAAAATTGGTCCAAAAAAGGGGGTGGTTGGCAGAAGAGTTGTACAAAGAGATTTTGGATTGGAAAAGCATGGGGGATATAATGGTGGATGACCTTATAGAAAAGGACATGAGCAGAAAATATGGGAGATGGCTTGATTTTAACCTGGAAGCATTTGAAGAGGGTGTAGAGATTGAGAAAAGTATATTAACTTCTTTAGTTGATGAATTAGTTTTTGATTTATTGCTTTAAGGATCTCTTAAGATAGCCCTTTTGCTTTTTGGTTTTCCCCATTTAAATCAGTGTGTCTAGCTAGGTAAATTATTAACCAGATGGATCTTCTATTATCCTCTTTGTTCTAAAGGAAGATGCATACTTACTATATATAATTCAAAATTGTGAACTTAGCATCCTTGATCAAGACCAACCTTTTAAACCAGTTTTTGATTCTTAGATTAGATCACGAATTGATCTATTAAAGCCATCTTTTTTTTCTTTTTTTCTCTCTCTCTCTGCAAACCTTGAAATTCTCATGTACAAATTGGTTTTCTAATAACTTAATTTTGTATTTTTAGTTTCTCCAGAAGCTATCAAATCAAAAACTTAAAAGTATGGTATAACTGAATCCAAAACAATTTAATAAAAGTCTGTAGACTTTAGGTATGCAAAAAAATTGTTCCTCATTGTATAATAATCATCAAAGAGAAGCAGATGTTAAGCCTTGATTGGCTGCCTTATTTTCTCCAAAGGCTGGCTTGGCTACAAAATTCAATGTTCTTCTTTCTTGGGTAGAGGTAGCAACTGAAAAGAGACGGAGTTTTCTGAGATGTTTACAAATTAGCATGTGGGAATCTTAACCCTTCTGATTAATTAATGATTTATAGAACATGTGACACCAGATGAGGCTTGAGGGGAAGAATGGTAAGGTGACATAACAGGCAAGTTTTCTTATATTTTTGTACTTTCAAATTTGTTTTTTCATCTGTTGGCTCCTTTCCCATTTCCCCACATGGATCCCTACTCTTCTCTCAACGCTTACCCTTTTTAATTCTTTTAATGTAGCATAAAGTTTTTTTTTATGCTACAAGTTGAGACATTCAGCTTCCATTCACCCTTATAAGCAGGGCATTACTAATTGAGTTGGCACTTGGCAGCCATTGACTTTTGAGATTGTGGTGAAATTAAAGTTTAAATAGGAAGTTAGGGATTCGATGTCACTTCAAATTACTTTTTGATAAATCTTTGATAAATAGCAAGTTTGAGCTCAAAACCTCTTGTTAGATATGCTATAAAAAATCTTCATATTAGTGGTCTACAACCTAAGATTGATAGGCTGTTGCATATTGAAGAGTGTAGAATGGAAATGACCCAATATTAACTAAATCTCAGTCTTTTTCATGTTATGGTGGGACATGAAAACAACATATTGAAAATGAAAGAAATGCTATCTTAAGGAAAGTGACAATGGCAAGAATTTCTTTGGCAAACTTACTAATCAAGTTGACAGGCATCATTCATTACAAGTTTCACTCAAAGTGAATGATTAGATTAGATGGGATCTAGACTTGTAATTCAATTAATCATTTAAAAGGGTTTACTATCACTTATGTAACTCGGGAAATTAATATAAATTATTTTAGGAAAAAAGATTATTTTAATTCACAAGCCCACATTGACATTGTGGGTATTTGACAACTATAAAGCACATTGATGAACAAATCTGAAACACATCCACTTTTCTCATTTTTATCTTGTTATTTACATGCACAATAAAACACTTTCACAATCTTCCTCGCTTCTCTCACCAATCACTACTCAACTTTGTCACACACGCACAAAAAAATGGAGTTCCAAACTCAACACAACAATGAATCAAACCAAATCTCAAACTTAGAAACAGAACTAGAAATTACTCCAAATGGCCAAACCCAAGATCCACATGAGCCTCAAGTTTTCGTTGAAGACTATGACAGCTGCTGCTCCACACCTTATGTTAGCGCTCCTTCAAGCCCTGGCCGGGCACCTGGACTTGGACCAGTATCCATCAATGGTGGGTTCTTTTATAGTGCACCAGCTAGCCCTATGCACTTTGCAATGACCTCAGTAGCTTCAATGGTGTCATCAACCCAACCATCTTCTCCTGATAACTCAGTGCCTCTTGGTTTTGAGTTTGAGTTCTCTGGAAGATTTGGGTCTTCAGGGTCAGGTCAAACAGGATCCATGAGCTCAGCTGATGAACTTTTCTTAAATGGACAGATCAGACCTATGAAGCTATCCACCCACTTGGTAAGGCCTCAGGTTTTGGCTCCTTTGCTTGATCTTGAACATGAAGATGAAGAAAATGAATATGTTGATAACAAAGCAAGAGGCAGAGATCTGAGGTTAAGGGATAAGTCTTTACGGAGAAGAACAAGATCCATGTCCCCTTTAAGAAATGCTACTTTTGGTCTCAATATTGATGACCAAAGCATGTGCTTAGAAAAAGATTTAGGCCAGAAAGCTGACAGCAAGAGCGATGAGGAGATGTATAATGAAACAAGTGCTTCGATGTCAGCTTCTTCTTCCAGGTCTTCTTCAGCTGGAAGAAACTCAAAGCGATGGGTTTTCCTGAAAGATTTTCTAAGGAGCAAAAGTGAAGGAAGAAGCAACAATAAGTTTTGGTCAACTATTTCATTCTCTCCAACAAAAGAAAAGAAACCTGGGAGCAAAAGCAGTGCTGTGGTTCAGGAGTCTAAAAAGAAGCTAGGCAATGTATCAAGTGGGGGATCAGAGAATCAAAGAAGCAGTAAGAATAAGCCTGTGAATGGAATAGGGAAGAGGAGGGTTCCACCATCACCACATGAGTTGCATTACACAGCAAATAGAGCACAAACTGAAGAAATGAGGAAGAAGACTTTTTTGCCTTACAGACAAGGCTTGCTTGGGTGCTTGGGATTTAGTTCAAAAGGTTATGGTGCCATGAATGGCTTAGCTAGAGCTTTGAATCCAGTTTCCTCCAGGTAAACCAGTCAATTAGGGGAATATTGAAACAAATTGTATAGAATTTTTTTTTACCTTCTTAGCTTTTCGTTAAGAATTTTTATGATCATAAATGTATTTTACATCAGTTAGATCTTCTCTTTCGTTTTAAAGGAGAAGAAGTTGTCCCTCTAGAAATTATGAGGTTTAATTAATTTAGATCTAGTTGCCTTGTATAACATGTAAAACAATATGCTTCCCTGTATTTTGCAGTGATGATGTAACACTATCTAATATCTATTTTCCATTTATATCTCTTGTTGTACTTCCTCTGATAAAGGTTTATCTATAAGGACATTCATGTGTTGACAAGATATAAAATTTGAGAATAAAATTTACTACAAGTTTTCCGATTTGTTCATTAATCTAAACTGATTCTAAAATATAATGAACTTATTAAAAGAATGGTTACATTCTGCCAATGATGAAAAATCAATAATTAGAACAGTACCTGCCATTTTTTATGTATTTGTATGATTTAAAGGTGGGACTATAAAGGTGATAGGGTTTTATTGCAATCAATGTTTACATCTTTGTTCTTTGGGGTACCTAAGCAATGATCCATGTTTCATCATTATGAAACATTGTTCCTTTTAGATTATTGATGCAATAATATCACACACATGGTTCAGTTCAGGGCTCTCAAGTCTCAACTTCCCTGTTTACAATTTGGTGGCAGATGCTCAATGGTTAACACACATTAGCACCAGCACATGAGGATGCCCCCCATATGACCTGACCCACAATCGAAAAGAAAACTCTTGAAGTTTTGTTTGTTTCTTCTTGGTTCAACTGTGTGATGCACATGCACATGATGCTTATATTATATTGCATGAGGAATGGGTTTCTTGGGATTTTGGAAAGATATGAATTGACATCAACATTGCTCCTATGTTTACTTGTTTTGCCTCAAGAAAACTTGGGGAATTTTTTGGGTTTATAGATAAAACTGCTTTTATTATTATTATGTGCAGTATTGAAGCATAGCAGTTAGATCTACTTGAAGAAATTATTAGATATGGAAATGATCACCATAAAATGTGATAATGAGCTATGGGCCTAAAGGAGTTTAGAGATTATGCGACATTGACTTGATTTTGATAGTGTTTCCAATTCTAAACAATTGATTAATCTTTTTTTGGCTTCTTCGATCTGGGTTTTTCCTTCTTTCTTGTGATCATCATGTCAATCCATTTCCTTCTAGGAAAAGGAAACTGAAAACTCCAACAAATCACATGAACAAGCTTGCTCTGCCTTTCCTAATATCCAACATTATGTCCCTTATGATTATTCATATAATTGTTTGTAGATAAGCTTGTTGTATGATTATTCATATAATTGTTTGTAGATAAGCTTGTTGTTAACCGGTAATTTTAGACCACAACCCCAAGCTATTGTTGAAACAGAAGGAAAGAAATCATAATTATTAGGTAAGGAAATATCAGATGAGAAGAGCCAAGAGTAATCGGATAAGTAGATTTCATATCAGGTCCCAACTCCAGCGATCTGTGGGGCATCTCAAATTTACCCTGGGAAAAAATAGTGGCAAAATCACATCAACAAGGTCCACCTAGGCCTGCCTCAGCTACATTATTGTGGACGGGCTTTTTTTACTGTTTCTGAGTTATCCCAAGAATCAATTTTGATGACACAAGTTATGGGTTTGTACAAGATTCCAAAATGCCTTTTTCTTGCGTCTCGCATGAATTCTATAGCCTCATATCCAACTCTGAAGTTACCAATTGCAAATTCATTTCCTTGTTTCTAACAAATACCTTAAGAACTAAGCATTTGGATACCAAATAGATGATGTTTTAAGTTAAAATGGAAAAAAGAAAATTCCCTTGACAGCTTAACCCAAAACCAAGTGGTTATGGTGGACCAGCCATTTGTCTGTTTCTACAAAGAATAATAATAGATCACATGAATTACCATCATTGGGTGGCCTAGGAGCCACTGGCCACGGACGTGGGCCAAAAGTTCCAGATTTTTTCACGTACTAAACTCATTTTCTCTAGAACTTGATTACTCCTGACAACCTTCACTCAAGCTTATCAAATTCCGGATGAGTCGGTCTTCTGTCTCTTATCTAATGCTCCTTGAATCCTGGTTCTAAGATTCACAGCACACAAATTGCCGGTTCCTAATGCAGTGTTTTCCATAATGGAACATCACTAATCTAATCCAAAACAGCTAGCCTGGGCCTGAAATAAGTAGTTACAACTCATCATCCAGAATAAACTATTATCAAAAGGCCCATTGAGACTCAGCTAGGGTGTGTTTAAATTGGCCGAACCTCATAGGCTCAAAACGCAAACAAGAGTTTGATCATGGCTATAGTAAAAAGCCTTATAGACTCCTTTAATTCAAAAGAAAGCTTGAATGGATCAAATAGAAGCTACAGATGAGAATATTAACTTGAAGGAAAACGGCACCGTTTTAAGGAGAAAGACACTACAAGGATAGAACCCTTTCTGCTTTCTGGACTCCAATTAGACTTAAATCCCGCTTTAACGATTTAGGGTTTTGATTTGATGACTTTCAGTCCTCTCCCCAGCAATTTCGAATTAATCTAAGCCAATTTATTCTTCATTTTTCTGTATAATCAAATCAATGGCTACCAGCAATAATGTAAGAACAAATTTTCTTTTGAAAACATATTCTTTTTCTTCTACTTCAATTTTCATATTTTTAGCTATGGAATTTATTTGACTATATTTGTTGCAGGCTCTTGGTGTTGATAATACCTTCAGAAAGAAATTCGATCGAGAGGAATATTTAGAACGCGCTCGAGAACGTGAGAAACAGGTTTTTTTTTTTTAATCAAAATCTCTTCTTTTTTTTTAATACTTGATCAATTTCTGCTAATTTTTTGAAAAAAAATTGATTTTGATTCAGGAAGCAGAAGGGCGAAGTAAATCCAAAGGTGGGCTATTTTTTTTTTTTTATTTGATTAGCTTCTTAATCGATAGCTTTCTTTTTTTTTTTTTTTTTTGGATTTAAGAAATTGAATTTGCATAGTGGAAATTGAATATATGTACAGCAAAAGGTCCTCCAGTGCAAAGGAAGCCTCTGAAACATAGGGATTATGAAGTTGATCTTGAGTCTCGTTTGGGTAAAACTCAGGTTGGTATAATTGCTTGGATTAAACATAATTATAATTTGTAATTCTTGTTTATGTTACACCATCTTGTTTTGATATCTATATTTTGCAGGTTGTTACTCCAGTTGCACCTTTAAGTCAACAGGTAATTTCTTATCATTTTCTTTGTTGTTCTGATGTTCATTGTTCATTGCAAATTGCATTTCTCGAAGAACAGCTTAGCTGGTTGATGTTCATCGATTCGTTTAGCTCATAGGGTATCCTATACACAGCTTTTGATCTACGAAGCATTGTGAATTTGTTGAATCAAAGTTTAAGGTTGTACAGCTGTCAATACTTCATGTACTTTAGGAGCAAACCCATATCAACCCAATTTTCGATAGACTTAAGTTGATTTCAACCTGTTGCACTTGTTACTCTTTTACCAAGTTATGGAATAAGGCTTTAGGAGGGTACTGAAGAAACAGTAGTATGTTTGCATTGCTATATGAATGAACGTTTGATTGTTTAGTAGGGTGTTAGTTCCACATGAATGAATGTTTGATTTATTATTTTTTGAACAAAGGACATGAAATAGAAGTGGCCTAATGGCAAAAGTACCATGTTTTCTCACTTTTATTGATCTCTGTAACAAACTTTTTATTTATTATGGTGATAAGGCATGTGTTGATTAAGTTGATTCTTGGCAGGCTGGATACTATTGCTCTGTTTGCGAGTGTGTAGTAAAAGATTCTGCAAACTACTTGGATCACATCAATGGGAAGAAACGTATGTGGTATTCTAGATATTCTTGTTTTATCATCTTATGGATGTGTGTTGACATATATAGACATACATATTAGTTTTTCATTAATATAATGGCCCCCCTTTTGCTCTGTTTTTCAGACCAAAGAGCTTTAGGTATGTCCATGCGAGTAGAACGGGCAACCCTTAAACAGGTACTCAGTTGGAAAGTTTTTTATGTGTTTTTAAATGCTTAACTGGTTTAAGTTGTAGAATTTAAAACCTCATTAGCTAACACAAGCTGTGTAGTATTTATTTTGAGATTTTAATAGTAGAAGTTATTTGGTAATGCAATCTAATAAACATGTACGTCCTTTAGAGTGATTGGAGTAAGAGTTTACGAATATTAGTAGCAAAATGCTGGGTGGATTGGAGCTTCTATTAAATGTATAAATAGATGAAAAGGCTGTATGTCCTTTTCTGAAACAAAAGGACGAATTTACCATGCAAGAAACTGGTTATATTTACTTGAAGATAGTAAAAACTAGAATCTGTGGCATATGAATTATAGAGGCCAAAAGGAGCTGTCGCCTTGGACATAGTGTGCTTCCTATTAATTTCCTTCCTTGCTGGTTGCAGGTTCAGGAGCGATTTGAACAACTAAAAAAGCGAAAAGCTCCTGGCAGCTTCTCAGAGCAAGGTGAGTCTTGTCTCAGTGCCTAAGTAGTTGTAATTTGATTATAGCCGAGCTCAAAATGATTGATGTCTCAACTCTTTCTTATTTTTTGTAGATCTTGATGAGCGGATCATCAAACAACAAGAAGAAGAGGAAGAGCGAAAGCGGCAACGACGAGAAAGAAAGAAAGAGAAAAAGGTGAATAGTTGGATTTGATAATTACTCAGTTGTTGTTTGGCCATTAGTTTATTGCTTTTTGTGTTGAGATGTTATGTTATGTAGTAAGCACTTTTTTTCAGCTCCAAGCTGTTTCCTAGAGCCTATTTTTAACTTCCTTATTATTGTTTCCTTATAGTAAGAACTTCTATATACTTCTCAAATTAAAAGTTGATTGTTGATTATTCTATGGGTTCAGAAAGAGAAGGCAGCAGAAGAGGAAACTGAAATTGATCCTGATGTGGCAGCTATGATGGGATTTGGCGGTTTCCGTTCATCTAAAAAATGATCATGTTTGTTTATGTAGTATTACTGTTTTTTTTTTTTTTCAATGATAGACAACTCCATGACTTTAGGTATTCAAGCCTTAGGAGATTGACTTGTAAGGTTTTCCAATGTTCTGTATCCAATGTTAATTTGAATGGTTCATTATTTACAGTTCATCTATTAATATATATTTATTACTATAAAATGTCGTTGGATTGTCTTACATAAAAAAAAAAAAATCTATTTATCGTTCATATTTGCTAGATGCTGTTGATATTTCATTTACATATCTTTCATTTATTGTTGAATTCTTGTTTATAATGGCATTTGCTGTATATAAACATTCCTTTTCTTTCCCTTAATTAATTTTGATGATCGGCCAATAGCCCATGCCTAATGAGACCTTTGAGTAAAGGCCTATGGAATATGTGTGCATCAGGTAGTTACTCCGGCAAAATCTTCCTTTACATGTTGGTAGAGAGATGGGTGAGACAAGTGGAAAAAAAAAAAAACTATCAGCCAACATGAAACTATGATAAAATACTTTAGTCAGGTTCCGTAATACCCCTCAAACAATAAGGTCTGTTCAATTGTGTTATTTCAGAGAGTACATCTGACTTAACTATGAATCAGAACTTCAATTGTTTATCTTCTCAAAAGGAGCTACCGTTTGTTTATCTTTTTTCACCTGCATTTCAAGAAGTTGTCATTTAATCATTTCAACATTATTTAAAACTACAAAAAACAGTAGATGAAAGAAGTGATACCAATGATGTATATCAGAGTTGATGTTATAATCAAATGATCACTTATTTTTGGTAGAAGCAAGTGCTAACCACAGTCCACAAGCGCATGCTACTTGTACAATAATCAGCTATGATGAAAGGAAATGAGCAATCATTTCACACGCCTGACATGGACACTGCATGCCCTTCCTTTTTATCTAAAAACAAGTACTTTACCAGTAACCACCCAACCTGCCATCACCTGTATATAAACATCCCAAGCCTCTCATTCTGTCAGACGATAATAAACACCATGGAGGTCTTTCCATTTCCCGTTAAATTTCCCATATTTCATTTTTTTATTGTCTAACTAGTTAATTAATTCACTTCAGTATTAATCAGATTTTGATGTCACAGGTTCTTGAATTCAAGGTACGTTTACACTGCAAAGCTTGTGAGAAAGCTGTCCGCAAATCCTTGCTCAAGATCGATGGTATATATCTACCTAGCATTTATCTCCCAGAAGATTGAAAGCACATATTATATATTTGCTTCAAAGGATTAGAGAAAGACTAATGCTTTGGTGTTATATAGGTGTAAAATGCGTGGAAATAGACATGATATCAAGTAAGATCACAGTGTTAGGGTATGTTGATCGCAAAGCTGTGGTGAAGGCTATTCATAGGACAGGGAGAAGAGCAGAGGCATGGCCATCAATATCAGCATCATCTCGTAGGGAGGACTACTTTAGTCCCAGACTTCCAAAAGGGTTCAGGTGCATTATTCCTCGATTTGGTTTCCAAAAGTTTGAAAAAGTAATGTAATAATGCTCTTTCTTAAGCTGTAAGCAAAGAAAAAGAAAAACAATTATTATTATTAATGATCGGATCCTTTTGCTGGTGTTTCTGTAATTTACCGATGTCTGCCAACTTTCAGCCTTGGGGTAACAGTTAAGTCATGTTTCATTTTGGTTGAAGATATTGAAGTAGCCATGCTTTGCCAAAATCATGAATCTAATTTAATGTTTATATAAATTCGAGCACTATGATCAGAAGAATAATGTTTTTTTTCTATCGCTATAGAGCAACTAAAGATAAGATCATAATATAAAACCCAATAACCAATGTTAATATAGATAAGCTAATGATAAAGTTGTGCAATCTAGGTGCCTCGCTTATTTCACCCTGGAAATAATCCTCCACATCGAAATTCCCTGACAAAAGGGTAGCTCCTGCTAATTACAATTTTGTGATACTTAAGGTTGAAAGATTAGTAGAGATCAAAAAAGCTTTGACAAATGAAGAAAGAATGTTATGCAGACCAATGCTATGAAATCGAAATTTGAATAAAAGAAAAAGATTCCCATACCTCTTCTGCTTGTGCAGCTGCATCCAGCTCGGAGCACATCTCTCATGTTACGAACAGTGGCCTTGCTATAAAATGTGATGTCTGATAAAATGTTGTCAACACATTTAAGCACCAATTGTGTCTCAGCTAAGCAAGGTTCAGTGCAGAAGATGTCAGTAGCTTCACGAGGTATGTTCAGGTTAACACTCTCAATATATAAGCCTCATTGCAACCGGTATAAATTTGTACGTATATATCCATAAAAAATGCTACCAATGAAAAGGATTTTCAAAAGAAAATTGCAATGAATACTGGTACGCTCGATATTAATCTTACACATTTGTTGTTGAAACAAAAGAAAGCTTTTGCAAGGGATTGTGTGGGAAAATTTTGTGCATTCCCTGTTTCATCATGTTCAAAAGAGCTGAGTATTAAATAATTGTGAAGGAACAAGGGAAATGATCAGGGTGATTAGCAGGAAAACAAAAACCTGAGTTTGCGTAGCAGCAAAATATGGCAACCAAAATTAAGTTGAAGCAGGTGAAACAATTGAGCTTTGATGTAGCTAACGCCCATTGTGCTAACTGTCACCAAATAACTGGATAAAGAGGATGGTTTTATTTGATACTAGAGGGATTGGTAACTTAAAAGGAAAAAAAGACAACCAAAAGATTAGACCACCTGGATTTGAATAAGAAGTTGGTTGGCAGCCTGCAAATTCTGCTTAGGAGAAAACGCAGGGACAAAAATGAACTAAATGGAGAGTAAACAAGGAGCCAACTCCGTATTGGCGTTTGCAATGTTTGGAATTTAGCGGTTGACAGAGTTAGTTTGCAAGTTGTGTCAGATATTCAATCCAAATATGGTATCTCTTGTATGTTGAGTGGTGAACACTTGCACAAACTCAGAAAGTCTGACAAAAGTAACTTTTCATTTCTCTGTCATTGGATAGCAACAATTGGAGAGGCGGGGTATCGATCCCCGTACCTCTCGCATGCTAAGCGAGCGCTCTACCATCTGAGCTACATCCCCATTTGTAAGGGGTGTTTATGAAAAGCTTTACTGTTTATAAAGTTTAGTAAAATTATTGAGAATATATTTAACTATCACATATGCTAAATCATAATTCCACTGGCTAACAGGTAGATTAGGCTGGGTGGCTTTGAGGTCTCATGGCTTCAGGGCACGACCTTACAGCAGTTGCACTTCAAAATTCACTTTTGTGGACATTAATTGGTTCAACCATGCATAATTTGATGGTAATTGCTATGATTTCATGAGCATAAAATTACAAATGAGCTAAGATTTCTGTCAGAAAATGTCAGGTTGGATTGATCTTGAATAGCAATGTATGCTATTAGAAACATGTTTGTTTCAATCTCAAATCTAGCAGAACAACAAAAAAATATTAAATCTTATATTTCATAATTCTTAGACCGTGTGAAAGACCAAAAAAAAAAAAAAAAATCATATTATGTCGTTTTAAATCACATCTGAAAAGGATCATGTCCTAAATATAGACTAGAGATACTCCAGTCCAAAATATAAACTATAGAGATAATAGAACTGAAAGGGTGTGAGTCACATCACGTCTGTTAAATGAGTATAGTTAAATTACAAGAATGAAATAATGAATATATTATTAGTATGATAAAGGCAACAATGGACAACGAGGGCATGATTAAAGCAAAAGTATCACCCTCTAAATAAACATTCAGGGCTCAAATCATCAATTACTTGTATGTCTCATTGTCTCGAAGAAGGGAGCTTGTTTACCAATTCAAACAAAAATGGAAGGAAAAAAAAAGAAAGGGATAAGAGAAGAGAGGAAGGGTGGGTATCGGGTGGTTTGAAACATCTGCAACAATGATTTCTGAAAGTGTTCCATCCAACTCAATTCTGTATAATAATAACACTAAAAAAAATGCATATCTAAATTTCCTCTAGCTACCTACTTAATGTACTGAGAAAGCCACTTGAAACCATCTCCATAACCCATTTTACGGACAATGCTACACATAAATACTTCAAGGGGACGAACATTTGAGTCTCCCAAGTTGACCTTACCCTTGCCTGTGGTGAAATTGGTCAGGCCAAGGTGATATCGCAACTCATCTTCTGAGGCAGCATATGGTATATCAATCTTGTTGCCCAAGATGAGGAATGGAACGTTAGTCAAGGCTTCATCAGAGAGAAGAGCATCCAACTCCTTTTTTGACTCAGCAAACCTCTCCTTGTCATAAGCATCCACCAGATAAACAACCGCATCCACCTACAAACAAATTTCATATTAGTTTATTTATGCTCTGCAGAAAAAGAGAAGATAGAACGTTCCAGTAATATTGCCTCCTTCATAACATGACACCAGTAATAACAGAGCCTTCGAAAACTTGCAGGAATCCTTTTACCAGACACAAAACAAGCTAAGGAAAGAAGAATCAGAGTGCAAAAAGAGACAAATCCTTTTTTTTTTTTTAACAAAAGAAAAATAGAATTTATTTCTACCAGCAACGTAATCTTGATATTGTTACTTCAGTAAAAGAGATTGCAGATATATCGTGTGTGGTGAGGAACTATTAAAACACCTTTTCAAAATTAAAGGTGCTATCGGCGAGCTCCCATCCTTATTCTTTGTGCCTCATGAATCAGATAATCACAAGAATCATTATCTGGGATTATAGGGTCACATTAAAATAATACAATAACAAGACACTCTTGCAATCATAAGGAATATGAAAGAAGAAAAGTAATCTGCCAGATGCATATTACAACCAAATTTTCAGATCCCTATTCGCACAACAAACTTTACCATATTGACCATATTTGAAATATAGCTAATGCACTTTAGAATTTCTCACCTTATGTTCAATTCATAAAGAGCTAGCATTTATAACTAATGAAATCTCTTCTCCACATCATGAATAAACACATTAGAAAAATCAAAATGCAATTAAAAATCACAAGAGAAGTGCATAGTTAGAGTCTGAAGACAGAATATTAGAAATGTACCTTGGCATAGTAATCTTTCCAAACTCTTCGAGCAATCTGATGGCCTCCCAAATCAAAGGCCTTAAACTTGATTTTCCCAATACTCAATTCCTCTGATGTGGGATGCTGTGTTGGCTGATGCTGAACTAATCTCTGCCAAATCCCATTACCAACATCCATTAAAAACCAACTTTCAATCACCTTATTATTGAAGAAAGCAATCAACTCCCCCACCCCTTTTCAATAACAATTAAAAAACCATTCCAGTTAAGCAACTAATCTCTACCAAATCCCATTAATAATACAATATTACCTTTAATTAAAAGTTTATTAGCATAAAAGACCATTGTCAAATCAGAAAAATTAGAGCTTTATTAGAAAAACCAACAGTATTAACAGAAATCTAATTCCTAAAATTGTAAAGTTATTGGATTTCACCAACATTCATTTAGCAACCATATCACAATAACTTTAGATAATAATGATAGTAATAATTAATGTTGAATTATGAAAATACCTCATCTTTAAGCATATGAAGCAGAGTCGTTTTGCCGGCGTTATCAAGTCCTAAAAACAAGATCTTGGCCTCTTTTTGCCATAAACCAAGGGAAGCAAGGATCCCATAGAACCAATCTAGGAAAAACATGATTTAATCCCTTCACTAAAAATAATTAACCCTAAAACAAAAATTCCCCAAAAAAAATTGAATATTTTTATCAAAAATCGGTCAGAGGAAAAAAACATGTAGAAAGGAGTGATAATGTGAAAGAGTGGCGTATTAATGGGTATATAAGAGGAGGGGAGTGGGTTGGCGAGTTTTGATGGGTGAGTTGCTCGGACCAATCAAGTGGTTTGAATTGGGGGGTGGTAGGTTGGACATAATGGGTCAAACAAGGCCGTTTCCGTTGTGAAATCGATCGGATCTGTTGATTTTGGATCTGCTCTTTTGGTGAGAGGATGTGATTTTTGGGCCTGTTTTAAACGGACGTGTTATCGCCTGATGGATTTTTTTTTTTTTGTAACCAACTATGTGCCATTGTTTCATAATTGTTTTTAATATAAAAGCAATTCTGTTGTTTAAATAAAACTAGCGGGTGAACAAACAAAAGTTAGGTAATGATTTTTTTGGCCACAGAGATAGTGTTTTTTGTTTAAAGTTTTAATCTACGATTTAAATCACATAGTCTATTATTTATCTAATCGAATAAATATCGTATATATAAACCCTCTTAAACTCGTAATACTTAAATATTAAATTCAATGATATATTAATTGATTTAAAGGTTAATGACATCAAAGAGATGATATTAAATGTGTGAATTTTTTAAATATAAAAATAAATAATTATTCCTAATGTTATTATTTTATTTAGGTCTTAAAATAAATTTATTAACAGAAGTTATGTTCAATTAATTTTATTATTATTTTTTTTGGCCAATGAAGGATAAAGAAGTTAAGTGGTCATCAATCGTTAAACATGTAATAAAAATCTGACTTTTGAAGTAGTTAATGAGCTTACAGCGAAGTAAAATATGAAACTAATTTATTGTGTATACATTCTAAATTAATATATTGATATTTTGATACCACGTGAAATTTTGATTATGAAAGAAGCTGGTTTAGATTTTAAATTCCTGGTTACCTGATAATAGGATAAGAAAATTCTTACCAAATTATACTAGTATAAGATGCATGAATGTAGTTGGCTGAATGACATTACAACTTGTGTATGTGATTTCGAACTTGCAATATATGACCACATTTTTTTTTATTTACTTTTGGAAATGTATTTGGCTGTATATCAATCAACCCATATAATTAACTACCAACTTTGTTGTGAGCTTGTCAAGATAGCTCATGAAAACTGATTTATATTTGAACGATAACTCTGCATTTGGTGGTATGTGATTGTCAAGAGAGCTCATGAAAAGTAATTTTATGTTTATATATCTCTGCATTGGGCAGTTATCCGAGAGTATTAAACAAATTGGAGGTCAGTTTTTTTTTTTTTTTAGTTTTTATATATAGCTTCTGCCTACTCTTCTTTTTCCAATGATGTTAAGTTAATTTGTGACAATAATTCAATCATTTTTAAAAGTAGATATTAGATTGTTAAGCATTGTAAAATGGTAAAGTTTTTGCATATTTCTAGAAATGAATGAACTTAAAGAGGGAAAGACTGAACCATCAAAACATGCAATACACACCATTAGCACTTGAATTGTTCAAACTATTTCATAAATCTGACCATAACAAAAAAAAAAAAAAAACATCCTCCTCTTTGTTTTAAAGGCAGTTAAAATCAGATTAACAAGGCAATCAGTCGCAATTCCTTTGCAAGCAAATACAGCCTCAAATTCTTTTTTCCTAGTCCTACAGCTACAAATTAAAAAAAAAATGGAAAACTTTTTAAGAGCACTTTTATGGTGCTTTTATCTCCAAACCAAATTGTCAGCAACTATTGCAGTGCACTTCGCCTTACAGCTCATCCTACAAGCAAAGACAATCATTGATCAATAAACATACAACTAAAAAAAATTGAACCAAAGTCGGACAGGAAAAATATAACTACTTACATGTACATCTTCCTCCGTCTCTTCCTTTATCTCAGCACTGTCTTCGCTTGCGTCTGATTTGGTATCAGAATCAGATTTGTTTCCTTCAGCATCATCACTGTCATCATCTTCGTCCTGGACATTTAGTTAACACAATGAAAACCAGAACGACAGCAAAAGCAGCAATCGTATTATTAAGAAAGCATTTTGTAGGCTTACGTCAGAATCAACTGGGTCATCCTTTGATTCCTGAAGGTCATGTTTCATTAGTTAGAATGGAGATGCAACAAGTGAAAATAAGAAAGAAATAAGATACTTCTAGTGAAAAAATATACCTCCTCCTCTTTCTTTTTCTCTGCCTCCTCAAATGCTGCCTTCTCAGCCTGCAAAAACCAATAACATCAGCCAAATATGAAAAAAAAAAAAAAGAACAGCTCAAAATCCAGAGATGCACATACATCCTTGTGCTTGCCCCATGTTTCTTCAGCCAGTTTCTTTGCATACTCTATATCATCAGCAACTAAGATATTATCAAACATTGTTCCAGATTTCACCTGACAAAATCAAACATTTATATTGATATAATTCTAAAATGACATGGAGTGACAATAGCATAGAAGTAGAGAAAAAAGGCAAAATAATACCTGCCACAATTCAATACCAACATACTTCAAGTTGGGGAAAACATAGAGATCAGGATCATCCTTGAAATCTATGGGCCATAGTAAAACACAGTAATAAATAACCTAAAATTTTGTTATTGATAATAAAAAGAAAAAAGAACACAAAAGAAATAGAAACAAACCTGGGTTGTCAATCCTTGGTGCCTTCCACTTGCCCTTGTAGTTGGGGTTCTTGATTTTCTGCAGATAGAGGAAGAATTGTTACACATTATTAATTCAAAATCATATTAAATGCTGCAATTAGAAACGGATTTCACAAACCTTTGGCTTCCATGGGCCCTTGTACTCAGGGTTGGGAATTGTTGAGGGTGTCCATTCACCATCTTCTTCATCATCCCAATCTTCAGGCTGGTGTAAATGATTTTAATCATTAACCTTTAGGACAAGGCGTACTATTTCATAATAAAAGCATTGCAAAAGGAATTAAATGACTACCTTCTTAGCATCAGGATCAGGGATCTCTTTTGGAATGTCATCATAACCCTATAGTAATCAAAACACTAGAGGTTAGCATGCCTATGCATTTTTAGGCAGCATATATAATGTAGCATAAGAGAATGGAGGAAGGGGAAAACTGAGAAGGCTATTACCTCTGGCTTCTTATCTTCAGGATCAGGGATGTATTCCTTTTCATCCCAATCTTCAGGCTGCCCATCATATAAAGTACTTAGGTTGTAACCAAAATTTATATGACAAAAAATAAACCAAAAAGAATCAATTGAGATAGGCATGACTGATTACCTTCTTAGCCTCTGGGTCCTTGATTTTCTTTGGTGGGAGAAGATCCCAATCAGTGTACAAGCTACCAGTTTGTTTCTCAACATTATCAATAAGGATGCTGTATGTAGCATCCGGATGAAGAATGAACGTATAAACATGAGTGAGTTGGTCAGTCTCACAGGGAACTTCCTTTTTGATTAACTGGTTTTTCCCATTGTAGGTAAGAATAGCATGAACTTTCTTGGTGCTGTAGCCACAGATATCAGGCCCAAACATAATGCTGCAACCAACAAATGCAACAAAAAAACGGTAAATCTACAAGAATGATATCTTTAGCGATACGAATAGGTTAGACCACAGGGGAAGAAAAACCTGTATGGGGTTTCACCACCAAATTTCTTCTGGTCAATGTCACCACTGAGCAGCTTCATGTAGCCACCACCACAATCAAGCTTCTGCTCATGTTTGACAGAAAATTGGAAGACTAGAGTCTTGTCCTTGTTGTTAACTTCTGGGAACTCAGCCGAAATAGCAAAGAATCTGTAGTCTTCACTAGTTTGAATACCTGTGCAAAATGTAAAGCCATTAGTAACTAACTTGAAACAGAAAAGTAAAAAGCTACCTTCATCAATACCAATCTAAGAGTAATTCCAGAAGGTTACCTTTGTCATTAGGATCTCCGTTCCATTTTCCAGAAGTGTAATTCCATTCCCCAGCCATGTTCTCATCTTTCTTCCAGTCAGATGTTACCCACCGACTTTCCCATCCATCTTCAGTTTCAGAACAATAGACAAGCAAAATCAGCAAAAAAAAAAAAGGTGAAATTGCGTTGTTTAAAAACGGTAAAAGTAAAAAAAGTACAATAAAAGCAGAAGCAGATTATTTTTCGTAAGTTCTCTTTCATTTGTTAAAAGGAATACAGCATATTAGGAATGTAACCAAGCATCGTACGACCAATAGTACGTACACTTTCTGCTAAACTCTGATATTTATTCTACTTAAAAGGACAATAACTTTTAATTATTTTTGCTAAAAGCTAATATTTTCATTCCCTTAACTTAGGTTCTTACGGAAAAAAAAAATTCGCCTAACAATAAATAATATTAATAAACGCAGAATAATAATATAAATCATCTACAGTTACATATCAATTGAAACACAAGACACTAATTCACTGCCATTTCTTCTTGAATTGAACTAAATTTCTAATATTAATTGCTTCTTTTTTTTTAAAATCTAGAACCCTAATATGAAATCAGATTTCAGCAGATCTACTCGAATTTAAGCATTTGACTAAAGGAACGAATTAAAAAACCACATCGCCAAATTAACACATAAAAATCACCGATCCGTTCAAATTTAAAACTAATTGAAAGCTTAAACCTCTAAAAAACAGATTAAAACGTCAAAAACAAGCCGATCTAAAGGTTCATATACAACGCATAGGTTTACTAACAGAAAGCGGAAGGAAATGAGTAAGAAAGAGTTTACCTTCGAAGCGTTCTTCGAAGAATACTTTAGCAGAGGCGATGACAAAGAAAGAGAGAAAAATTAGAGGGAGGAAATTAGGGTTTCGTTTGTTAATCGCCATGGCTGAACTCAGCGAAGAGAAAAGAAAAGCTGCGGAATGGAAGAGTGTGACGGAGCTTGCGCTTTTATAGTCGTCGATGTCACCGGTTCTTACGGTCAGTTAAATATGACGTCGACTGAAATTAAAGGTTGGAGCCAATCATTTGATGACAAGTCATACAAAAGTGTCATTAGATTGACGTGGCAAAAAATGATAGGCAAGGAATTTCACGTGACACGTAGGAGGATTTTGTTCTGTTGTTCTCGGAGTTTCATGGGTTACGCCGTTTCATTATAGTTAACTGTGCTATACGTGGCGCGTAAGCAATGGCTAGTAGGCAACGGACTATTAATTACTGATTAGGTGTTGGATTTTAACTTTTTTTTTTTTTTGAAGAAAAATTCAGTTGCTCGGTGACATAAGATATATTATATCTTATAGTTTAAAAAATATTAAATATACATCGTGAATTCAAAATGATCAGGTTATTAACTAGTTTTTAATTCAAAATCATTTATATTAAAAAATAATTTTATCAATTAAATTAATTTTTTATTGATATTATGAATTGATAGATTGATTTAAAACATTGGATGAGTGCATGTTCGAATCTTTAAATCACGTGGATCGAAATTTAAATCTCGACTCGTGACAAATGATATCAGAATCAATCTTAAACCGTTTAATCCGCGTCAAGTGTCTCGAGATAGGCATGGTGATTAATTTCTATGATGAGGACGTCACGAGATTAGTAGGGAAGAATGTCACAGACCTAAAGAGAAATCATGAATCTCACATCAGACATAAAAAGAGAGTCATTGTGATATATAAAAGTTCACATTATATTCTCCTTATGAGACGTCTTTTGTAGGATAAAACTGTGAGATCAAAGGGGTCAGAGCGAATAATACCTCACAAAGGTGTAAACCGTGATAAGTAAGTTGATCTAAGATGTCGAATGAATACATATCCATATCTTAGAGTCACACGAATCGAAGCTTAAGTCTCGACCCGTGACAAGTGATAAATGATTTTATCAATTAAATCAATCTCTTATTGATATTTCAATATTATCTTTTAGAAACATCCATTCAAATTTGAATTTTCTTCAAATATTTATGCCATTACTCATTATTATTATTATTATAAGGAAAATATAAGTATTAAATGTGAACGAAACAAAGCGGTAGAAATTTTTAATACAAAAAAAATATAACTTATGTATTGATACTAAAATTGCGTAACAGTAGCAAAGCCAAGCTTGATTTTCCTTTACATAATGTCGTAACATCTAGATCCGGGGATCTATCGCTAGCCATTGACTTTACGGAGTCGCCACCAATCTTTTTTATCTAGGTGCGATTGGCCACCTAAGGAATCTGTCCTTTCAAGGAACACCTAAGCTTAAGGGTCCCTAAAAGAATAGGTTCAGGTCTACAAACCAGAACAGGGTTCGGGAGTTCGGTTACGTGTGAGGAAGGTTATAGCACCCTCACAACGCCCATCAAAAGATGGTACCAGCTTAAATTTGTGTTATCCAAAAGCCTTAAAATTTTACCAAGTAATTAATTATTGGAAACTTTTTTCAATTGACTCTAATACTTTTAGCAGAAAATTGAGAAAATTCCCTCACCTCAAGAGTATGCAAGAAAAACTACTGTTTCACTTACAGAGGCTCCGTCGTCGGATTATTTAGAGAAAAAACAAAATCAAAATTAAGATAGAAAGGAAGGAAAGAATGATTTTTTTTAGGGAAAATTGATACTTTCAACTTTTTCCCAAAAATATTTTTTGGAAATTTCGATTTTCAAGAAAAATTGATACTTTCAACTTTTCCTCAAAAACCCATTTTTTGAAAATTTATTTCTAAGGAAAATTGATACTTTCAACTTTTTCCCAAAAATATTTTTTTTGAAATTTTGATTTTCAAGGAAAATTGATACTTTCAACTTTTCCCTAAAAATATATTTTTTTGGAAATTTATTTCTAAGGAAAATTGATACTTTCAATTTTTCCCTAAAAATATTTTTTGGAAATTTATTCTTAAGGAAAATTGATACTTTCAACTTTTTCCCAAAAATACTTTTTTGGAAATTGATTTTTAAGGAAAATTGATACTTTCAACTTTTCCCTAAAAATATTTTATTTTGGAAATTTATTTCTAAGGAAAATTGATACTTTCAACTTTTCCCTAAAAATATTTTTTTAGAATTTTTTTATTTTTATTTAAAGAAAATAAAATAATAAAAAATAAATAAAAAGAATATTACATAAACCTAATCTAATAAATAAAAAATAAAAAATAAAATAAACAAATAAACAAAGAAATAAAAAAAAAAAAAAAAACCTGGAGCGGCTCGGATCGCGGCTCGGCTCGGAGTGGGCTGGCACGCGCGGGTCAGAAAGCGGGTCGACGCCCGGGTCGGGTTGGGTTACGGCAAAACGCGCGGATCCTCTGATTAACTTAAAGCCAAAACGACGTCGTTTTTGGAGGGTATAAAAGGCAATCCCCTTCGTTTTTTCAGCAGAACGCTTCTCCCTCTCTCTCTCTTCTTCTTTTTTTCTCTCCCTTCTCTCTAGAAAATGAAGAAACCGGTGCCGGATTCTGGGAAAGTCGCCGGAATCTGGAAATTTCGCCGGAATTTGGCCGGTTTCTGGGAATATTCTTCGGTTTCTGGGATTCCTCACCGAAAACTGGGCAGGTGGTCGGAAACTTCAAATTTGGCCGGAATTGTCGCCGGAAAATTCAAACTTGGCCGGAAAAATTAACCGGAATCTGGAATTTCCAGAAATTCCCAAAAAAAAAAAATTCAAAAAATTCCCAAAAAATTCCCGATGATTCCTAGAACTCTCCTAAACCTTTTCTTAGCCTTCTACACTCTTCTATTCGCCTTTTCCCCTCAAATCAGTAGCTCAGGCTCACTGTTTTCTGTGTGTTTTTCTCTGTTCCAGGGGGATCCCTTTTATAGGGGTTGATCAGGAGTTCCTGATCAATCCCAATTCCTCCTTGGACGGGAATTCAGTCTTTGAATCCAACTGGACTCTTCTGATTGAATTCCCCTCCAGAGTGGGATTCTTCAACTTTGAATCTTAGCCATCCAGAATTAAAATCAAAATAAATAAATAAAAATACTAGATAATCAAAAGATATGATAGTATAAAAATAAAAAAATAATATCAGATAATTCAGAAAAAAAAATCAGATAAAATTAACAGATAATAAAAAAAAATAACATAAGATAAACCCAAAAATATATTACAAAAAAAAAAAATAATAATAATAAATATATAACTATATACATACAATACATATAAATCTAATCTAAATAAAAATAAATACACAAAGATATACATAATAATAATAATAATAAAATACATAAAATACAAAAGAAGAAAAAGAAAAAAAAATACAGGATTGAAATGGGCCTTACCCCTTTGGGCCAGGCCCAATTGATCTGGGCCCGGACCCAATTGGGTGTCTACACATAATATTGGTACTAGTTCTAGTTACAGAAGCATTTTATCTCACAGCTCTACTGCTGAACATTATGTACAGGAGTTGGAACTCAGACAACGTAAAAGGGTTTGAAATTTAGAGCAATTTGAAAAGCAAGCCTCCATGAGCTGCGAAGAAAGGAGCAAACACCAATGACTCCACTGCCATGAGCTTGATGAGGATGTTGAGTGATGGACCAGAAGTGTCCTTGAGTGGATCTCCAATTGTGTCACCAATCACTGCTGCCTTGTGACAAGCTGAACCCTTAGGACCCAGAGACTTGGCATGTTCGCTGGCACCGGCCTGCACAACTCACAATATTCAACTAAAAATGTCTAAATTTAAAACTAAAAAACGATCATTGCAACAACAGCTCCTCCAACTAGAACATCGAAGATTACAAGAGCAAAAAACTTGTACCTCAATGTATTTCTTGGCATTATCCCATGCTCCTCCTGTGTTGGAAGCTGAGATGGCAACCTAAAGGAAGAAAAGTAATGACAATATTTTGAGTAAATAAATAAGTTAGATCAACTAAGGGGAAAGGATGATGCATATAAAACAATCTTGATGACCCTGACACGTTTAGACACAAGTTTGCAACACGATTTTTACCAGGCAGAACAATGCTTTGCATTAGAAATCAATAAAGTCCTGACAAATACTGTGAATTTATCGAAGTTGAAAGTGCAAATGAGAGATGATGATAGCAAAAAAAAAAAAAAATGAAGATCGGCAATTGAAAACCTAAAAAAATGATGATAAAGTTATGGAAAGACAAGTGAATGGTAACTCATACCTGGACACCAGAAACAAGTGAGCCGGCTAGAACACCAGCAAGAGTTTCAACTCCAAATAAGGTTCCAACGATAAGTGGGGTAAGCATAACAAGTGCACCAGGTGGGATCATCTCCCTGAGTGAGGCATCAGTTGAAATCTTGACACAATTTGCATAGTCTGGTTTTGTTCTGCCTTCCATTAGTCCTGAAATTGAATTAAATTGCCAACGAACCTCTTCAACCATTTTGAGAGCTGCAGTTCCAACGCTCTTCATTGTCATGGCTGAAAACCAATAGGGCAGCATGGCTCCAACTATCAGCCCAATAAAAACCTTTGGTGTCAGTACATCGACTGACTTGATGCCTGCTCTGCTAACATAGGCACCAAATAAAGCAAGAGAAACAAGGGCTGCTGATCCAATTGCAAAACCCTGAAACGATAAGGAAGAACATGCCAAAAATTCTTTTCAGTTTTTGAAGAAAAAGATAGGAGAAAACTAAGGAACCAACAATGAATTTGAAGAAAAAGATCATCGAATCAACCAAAACCTCACCTTGCCAATGGCAGCAGTGGTGTTTCCTGCGGCATCTAAAGCATCTGTTCTTTCACGTATCTTATGACTCATTCCAGCCATTTCTGCAATACCACCAGCGTTGTCACTTATTGGACCATAAGCATCAATTGCAAGACCGGTGGCTATGGTACTTAGCATTCCCAAAGCGGCCACAGCAATTCCATACATAGCAGCCAGACTAAAGCTCACATAAATAGCAATGGCAATGGCAAATATAGGAATGATGACGGATTTGTATCCCAGAGCCAACCCAAAAATCACGTTTGTTGCAGCACCTGTCCTGCAAGAATCTGCCACATCCTGCACCGGACTACAAGTATTTGACGAGGGTGGTAAGCATCAGAGATAGAGAATGAAAAATGCAATGCAGGAAGGTATATCCAAAGGCTTTGATGAATAGCATCTTAAAGGTCAGCCCCAAATAATTTATGTTGATTCTAGTCCAATAATTACAACCCAAATGAGGTAAGAACTCTTCTACACTCACAAAGATCCTCACCTGTAAGCATTGCTAGTATAATATTCTGTAGTATATCCAATAACAAGTCCAGCCCACAAGCCAATAGCAACACAGAAGAAAAGGTGCCTGCATTATACATAATCAATAAGACTTAAACAAAGAAAAGGAGAGAAACCTTCAAATGAAGAGAAAACAGTTTACAGGTTGCATACCAATTCTTCACTTCCTTTTCAGTTCCAAAATTGAATAGAGTGAATTCTGATGGCAATGCAAAGAAGCTGACCATGGCAATCCCAGCAGTCATCAGCACAGTAGAGATAAGGAGTTGCCGTTTCAAGGATGGTTCAATTTCACTTACATTCTTAATCTCAAACAGATCAGTTGCGAAGAGTGTAGTTATCAAGCAAACCACAATTCCCATTGAGCTAATGATCAAGGGATAAGACATTGCTGTAAAGTCATGACTGATACCAAAGGATGATATGGATGCAACAAAAAGAGCTGCACATGATGATTCAGCATAAGATCCAAATAGATCAGAACCCATCCCAGCAATATCTCCTACATTATCTCCCACATTATCGGCAATAACCTGTACAAGTGCCACAAAGATAGGTGCGAGCAAAAATGTTATTCGTTTAGAACATAAGTGGCATTGGAACTTGAGAAGTATCTACTACTGTACTTATAAAGAAACTTAAAGTGGGGAGAAAGTGATGCGTAGAGGGAGTGTGGAAGCATTTGTCTTTGGTATCCAGTCAAATTTCAACAAATTCTTGGACTAAAACAATAGTACAAAGCTCAGCTTCAGCACTTCTGGTATAAATGAAGATATCTAAGAAGCTAAATAACAAAACAGAACTTAGTCAATGCAAATAGGTCCAGCAAAGTGGAAAAGGAACTGTGGGAACTTACCGCTGGATTTCTTGGATCATCTTCAGGGATATTTCGCTCAACTTTACCTACAAGATCAGCACCAACATCGGCAGCTTTAGTATATATTCCTCCCCCAACTCTTCCAAATAGGGCCATAGAAGAACCACCAAGACCATAACCGGTAATAGATTCATAAAGTCCCCCCCAATCATCACCATAGTAAAGTTTAAACAAATTAATCGATACATAGAGCACCAAAAGGCCATTGGCAGCAAGAAGGAAACCCATGACAGCGCCTGAGCGAAAAGCTGTTATAAACGCCTTTCCAACACCTTTCCTTGCTTCTAGAGTTGTTCTAGCATTGGCATAAGTTGCAATCTTCATCCCTAGAAAACCTGAGAGGACAGAAGTAAGAGCCCCCAGCAAGAAAGCAATTGTGCTAAAGAAGGCATTTGCTAGGGCTGGTTTGCAAATATTTCCCTGGTTGTATGCGCATGGTTCACTTTTGGTGCTGAAGCCCCTAACTGAACCAAGGAAGAGGAAGATGATGACACCAAATACACACATGAAGACACCGAGGTACTTGTACTCGGTAAAAAGGAAAGAGGTTGCACCTGGGAACATGATACAGATTGGTAAAAAAATTCAATTACAGAACTTTGAAATTGTTAGTAGAAAATAACTGACAATATGCATCAAAATTTATGTTAACAGCACTGTAAATAATGATGCATAAAATTTTTTATAATAATCATGATGCAAATTGTAGTAGGATCACTTAACTTAGATAGGCACAAGGATCTCATAAAAGACAGATCTACATAGGTGGATTTCTCAGTAAAACAAATATATCTGCGCGCAATATTTAAAATAAAACATCTCCATTCTTCACAAGTTACTCTGAAGGAGAATCAAGAACCATGATAAACGACAATAAGATAGAAACTAAAAACAAACTAGCTTAGCCACTATTATGAAAACAACGTATATTTTTCCTCCCTTTTGGCTGACAGAATGAATCACGATCATCAACCTCTACTTGAAATAATATTCGATCATGTATATTTTTGGACTACAAAATTCAACAGAAAGAATAATAAGTTGAAGAAAAGAAACTAACAACATACCCACCAACCATGAAAAGAAAAGAAAAAAACCCAAAAAGCTGAAGCACAAACATAAAAGTGAGAGAAATAGAGAAAAAGAGCTCACCAACGGAAATTGCATGTTGAATCTCAGCACACTTGATAGAAACCTCAAGATTGTCAATACCCTCCTCTTCTTCATCAGCTTCAATCAACTTTTCTTTATATCCATTGCTTGAATCACGTGATGAGACCTTCACCTTGGAGACTAAAAACCACTGAAGCAAAGCAAAACCAATGCCTACCAAGGCAGCTACAGGTATCAGAAGCTGGGTATGCGCCTCACTCAAGGCACTCATTTCCACGAATTCAGTAACAACCTCACTTTGTTTCTTGGCTTGTCCTAACAAAATATCTCAAAAACTAGTAACTGATTTTTTAATTACAGATTCAAAAAGCTGCAGTTCTCGAGAGCACGCAACCCAAAAGTGATCTTAGAGGCCCAGCATGGCTATTGAAATATGCAAACTGGTTGTTTTGAACGACAGATGGAAGACTTATTAGATTCTTCTAAACCGTGGATTGTGTTTACCAGTCGTTTTGATTAGCAGTTTTGAGTTTTTGTCAGAGTCTTTATCCAATGTGCTCCCTTCACACTAAGTTCATGTTGTGAAGTTTTTGTCAGGCTATAGACAAAGTTGGATAAAAACCAGCATTTACAATGTGGGGAGATAAGATCAAAATATTAATATGTACTGGATCATATGCTATAATGAATCAATTAATTAATCAAATTTTTAATTCAATATTCAAAAATTAACTTTGGAGATTTTTCTTTTTGGACTCCTTAAAACATTTTGGATCAATAGCATTTTCTTTAATGGCTATTTCAATGACAAGTTTTAATGTTTTATTATATGCACTTTTAATCAACAGCATAACATGATCACTTTTTTTCTTGACTTTGATGTGTACACCAGAACAAAAACTTGGATTAAGACAGGCACTTAAGGAGAGTTGGATTAATGGGTTTTGATTGATTCAAAGTCTGTTGTGACTTGTCCACTTGACATAAACCAAGAACCAGATCTTCACTGAGCCGACGTGACTCATGCGAGTCAGCAAGCATCCAAGGAACAGAGGCCAGAACGCTATCACAATAAATCCCATGAGGCTGAGGGTTGAGAGTCCAAAAAGGCTTGATTTTGAAGAAGCTGTCATGGCTCTGGAAAGCACTATGTCTTTTGAGATTGATGGCTTTTAAATCTAAAAGGCTGGATTTGGGCGAGAGAATTCGGAACACAGGCTGGTATTAAACCTTGTAGCGGTGATGGGCTTACAGTAGTGGGTTTGCTGCCTATCATATATCAAACGGCGCCGTTTCTGCTGAGATGGAATCCGACTAAAGTCTTTGATATTACCTGTTTTATACCTAGGATGAAAAACAAATAAATCATCGTTTCTTTTGTGGATTGACGACAAAGAGACGACAAGGTACGCTAATTTCTCAAACTGTTTCTAACCTTCATCTTCTGTTTGCTTTTCTCTTCAAAGTACCCAACTTTTTGCTATAGCGAAGCTTGAAGAGTTTAAAAGATTTGATTTTTTTTCTTTTTTTTTAATCAGGCATAGAATTGGAGGAATTAAATCTGTTAATATTTTTTTGGGTGCAAATTAAAGATGGGATCATCATCAGTAATAACCCCAGAAGATGTGTTGGAGTCATTGATGAATGATGGAACCATTGATGCTCTCAGGTTGAAGATTATCAATCAGCTTAAAGCCAATGTAAGTCTCTTTCTTATCTCTTTGGTCTCTATCTTAATAGATAAGTATGCAATATGTTGAATATTTTATCTGGGTATTTTTGTTTTGATGTAAAAATAGTTCTTTGAATGACTTTCTGGAACAATGTTACTTAAATTTGTGTTTTATCGTGAAGATTTTGCAAATTCAGTGATGCTCTTTGAGCTTGTTTGGTAGGTTAAATATGAATTTTTGTTCTTTCCTTCAATGCGATTACATTTGTCTGACTGAAATCTTTTGGCAGAGAATCCTCTCCACTGCGAAAAATTAGTGAATAGATCTCCACTGATTTTCCAAACAGTAATCTATGGATAAATTGAGTCCTGGATATAAGTTATACGTGATGAAGGAAATGAATTTGGATTCTGGAATAATTGTACTGAAGTGCTGGTGACTTGTTTATTATATTTATTGTTCTAACTTGGCTGAAGATTATCAATCAACTTAAAATTCTAAGGCTTCTTATTTGAATTTCATGGATCCTTTAAAGTTGCTGATATGTGTTGTTTGTGTTTCGCTGATATAATTAATTAGTATTGTTAAACTTAGTTTATAAACTTACATTCATTGAATTTGAAGAGTAATGAGTCATCATGCTCCCTCCAGTTCAGTATGATATCTGTACTTTTTCTTCGTTATAGGAGGAGCTGAAGAATACGACAATCAAAATGGCAGAGCAGAGTAAGGTCCTAAACACCGCTGGTGCGGAGAAACAGACGAAAAGAGAATTGTTTGATGCACTTAGGCAGGAACTTGAGTGAGTGTTGTTGCTGTTCTTCGTTGTTTAATTTTTTTTAACAGCTAAAGTTCAATGATGCTTAGATGGTTTCGTGTACTTCTTTCATGTTTTTACCCTCCCAGCCTAGGTTCTCAGAATTTATAAAAACTTTCAATGGTCATCATGGACAAAATGCTATTTGCTCCTGGCTGTAAATGTAGAGTGGAACTAATTTGTGTTGTTATGATTGGGCAGAATCCCAGTTCTTGAGAGGGCCTCAAAATCAGTTTGGGAGTTGATTCTGGACAGTGGTGGGCTGGGGAAGGAAATAAGTGAAACAGTGGAAAGAGTGTTCTGTAAATTAAGTGGCAGGGAGCTTCCATTGTTTCCTTATTCAAATGATGAACGTGAGCCTGAAAGGGAAGTGGAGGAGGAGAAAAGAAAAGGGGAAGACAAGGAAAAGGTGAATTCAAACTCCAAACCAAAGAAACGAAGTTTCAGAGACATGAATGCTGAGAGAAGTGCCAGTGAATAAAATGTTTTAATTTCAGTTGTATAAATAGAACAACAATCTCTAAGCATTTCGATCAATATTTTTTATTTATAATCATGGATATTAATTATATCTGGGTGTAACATTCTCATGTTCACTCGTACATGATAAATTAAACTGCCTTTGATACTAATCCCCTACTTAATTTACATATTTGTTAGAAAATGGCAGCTGAACTTGTGAATTTGATTGAACGTAAGTAACCTTACCATTGACACAAAAATTGAGATGTTGATGGCTTGGACAAATTTCTTTAAAATTAGAACATCTTCTTCGGAAGTTCTGATCATGGGGCAAGGGGAGTGCCCTGCTGGCTTAGCCATGCTTTAATTTGTTTCATGATGTCTAAAAGAAATTAAGTACTATTGTTCATTAATTTCATTTTTCTTTCAAACATCTTGGTCCTGTGGGATCTTGGAGTAAAAATAAAAGGGTGAAGAGAGAGAGAGAGAGAGAGAGAGAGAGAGAGAGAGAGAGAGAAGAAATAAAAAATAAGGGAAGAGAGAAATTAAAAAGAAAAGCAGTTATTATAAAGAAGCTGTATGAAATATTATTACTGTCAGATTTTTTAAGGTGATGAATATTTTAATGGATGATTGACTAACACAATTAATTAATGTTCAAATAATTAATTGTCTGGATCCTTAAATGGTAGTAGGCTGGCATAATGAAGTTTTCCTGGTATTATTAACAGCTACCATGCTGTTTTAATTACATTTATAATCATTGAAAAAAGAAAAAAAAAAAAAAACTATACATTCATTCGAAAATAAAATGTAACTTTTTGGTAGAATAAATGGAGCCAAAGCATGAGCTTCCGCCTCTCCCAAATTGTAAGTCAAGCACACTTCAGTAGGGTCTGGATATGAGCCAAACCACGTATTCACTGTGAGGTTCAACAGGATTAGAAGGGTCTTGAGATGAAGAAGCTTCCATAGCACGGTTTATCACTTCTTCCTCCGGACGCTCACCTGGTCCATCCATGGTTTCAATAGGTTGGTAAAATTCTAGACCGTTTGATATTTTCTTGCATAGTCTAGGCAATCGAGGGTCGGCGCTCAGAAGCTTTCAGACATTGTGTTCTATAGCATCGGGAGCACATTTCACCATATGCCTGTTCAACAAGATATTTACATTAGTTAATAATGCAAAAAAGAGTAATTTAATAGATAACTAGTTTGATGCCCGCGCTTTGTTGCGTGCTGCGTAATAATGAAGTCGATATTGTTTAAACATAATATTTATAATCTAAAAATTATATCTTTATATTATTTTTTTGGTACCATTTTCTTTTCAACATGAACTCTTCATCCAACATGGTACTTTTAATCAGATATGCTCAAAGACAATACAATTCACAATTGCTCAAATTTTATCCTCTAAATTAATTACCATACCAGTCAATGTAGGTTTAACGATTTAAATCTCAAAAACACTTAACACAAGATAAGATAACAGCTTTCTCTATGACAAATCAAAATTGAAAGTTCATATCCCAGGCAAATTGTATAACCTTTAATCTACGAACTATTCCTTTGGAAAACTAACATTCTTAAATATACTTCTTCATTGAAGCCAACACCTTTTTCCAACACTAATTTTGTTCCTAATGAATTCATTCTACTTGTTAGTTCATGAACCTTTATATGTTCTTAAAAATCTAGACATATGATGTTGGTAGTTTAAAATGTGATGCATCTTACATTTGATACAAAGATTTAATTATTGATAAATAAAATTAATTTTTATATTAATTTTAATTTTATTCATATTTTAAATAATTATGTTTGAATAGAAATAATTATCATATGATAAATTATCATAATTATTTGAATATAAATAGATTATTATTTATAAAATTCATGATTATACAGAAAGTCATAACCATCTGAATAGAAGTTTATATCTGTTCATTCATTATAAATCAATCTTTCAATATAACCATTTTCATTACTTCTGATTAAAGAGTTTGAGATTTTATTGTATCCTAAAAGCATAATTACTTTTAGAAAAATATTCTTTACGCTTCAAAACCAAATTTCTTTTTTATTATTCCTCTTCTCTTATTTATTTTTTTTAATAATTTAAAAGCAATTATAAAAAATTTATATTTCGCACAAAGAAGATACAAGGAAAAGAAATTGGCATAATTTAGATATCAATATTAGAGGAGACTCAAAGTGTCAAAAGATTAATGTTTTATGGACTAAAATGTTAATTTTCATAAATATCCTCATTAGAGGTATGTGTTTTATTTTTTGCCTAATTACTGATAAAAAGATCGATTGAATGGGATAAATACGCTAATAATTTATTTCATTAGTGTATAAAGTCAAAACACAATATGCAAAATATTGATTATATTGCATAAGTTTATGCATATGCTGAAATTGACTTCACAATTGAGTTTAATAAATTGTATTATATTTATTTAAAAAATCGATGCTTATAAAGACAGATGAAAAATAGCCTGAAAACATAAAAGAAAAAGATATAAATTCTACAACCAAAATAATTATCACTTGTTATCAATAATTAAATTGGGTTCTAATGGTGTGGCCTATTATTGAATTGTCATATTTTTGTTATATATAGAACAGGTAAATTGTCCCATGGTTTCTATGAAAAATAATTGGAAATGGGTAAAGGAATTTACTATAAAAAATTAAATGTAAGTAGAGAATATATGTAGAAAATAAGATTTGGCTACAAGATTAGTTTTATTTTTAAATCATGGCACTAAAATTAAGATAATAAATTGAGTCAAACTATTTATATAGCTCTATCATTGTTGGTCGTTAATAAATCAAATGTTGATATATATAATTTTTAAATTTATTATTGGTTCAAATTTTGACTAGTGTTCAACTTTCATGAAAACCAATTAAAATTAAAATGATGTATGTGAATAATTATTATTAAGATATAGTGTTTCATGGATTAATTGGTGGATAATAAACCAAATAATTGTTATTATCAAAAACATCGACAATGTGATATGTATTTTGATTACTGGGTGTGTTATATTAAAAGTAATTTTACAAAGTAAAATTTTATTGTGAACAATTACAAAGAAAAATTTTAAAGTATAATTCAATATGTGTTTAATGGCCAAAACAAGTAAGACAAATAAACTCAAAATTTTGGAATATAAATGTTCCTGTTGTATTACTATGATTGAAAAAACTGGCTTACAAAAGGTAGGAGATTAAAGAGATGCTTGTTTAAAAAGAAAATATCAAACTATTATAACTATGAGGTTTATAAAGATCTGGGTTTTGAAATATTATTTCCGTTAATGATGGCATTTATAAATTGTTTGAATTTATAATATAATAAGTTAATGCAAGTTTATTATATGCAATACATATATAATTTCATGAAAAATTATGGTTGGTGGTAATATAAAATACACTAAGTATGTATATCTATGGCACTCCTATATTTTGTAAATTTTATGTTAGTATCACTAACTTAAATTTGGCCAACAATTTGGGCTAATTAGATGATTGATTAAAAGAAAAGGCATGTCATTAAAAAAAAATATTGAAGCATTTGTCGGTTACTAGCATTTTAAATGATGCTCATTAATGTCTAAATTAGTCGTAGTTATAAATTAGAAAAGAACACACAAATTCAATGTTACAAAGGCACCAATACAATTTCATTTTGTGATGGCATTGAGAACATTAGTACAATTTGCCATATATTATGAAAATGAATGGGTTGGAATTTTCTTTCTTATATGTTAAAAAAGATATGGACTGTGGAGATAGAATGCCATTATCAAATTAATATATTATTGGTTAAAGATAATGAAGATATTTTTTCTTCTTCTACCATGAAAAATGACTTTTTATAGGTTGTTAAAATGAAAAGTGAACAAAATTTTGAAGTTTTCAATAGTTTCATGACAATGGCAAGGAATGGGTTGGAATTTTCTTTCTTATATGTTAAAAAAGATATAGACTGTAGAGATAGAATGCCATTATCAAATTAATATATTATTGGTTAAAGATAATGGAGATATTTTTGCTTCTTCTACCATGAAAAATGACTTTTTATAGGTTGTTAAAATGAAAAGTGAACAAAATTTTGAAGTTTTCAATAGTTTCATGACAATGGCAAGGATGTGGTTGGTTATACACCAAATTAACATATGGGCTTAGATAATAATATTGATTTGTAAAAGCCCTAAGCCTTGAAGTTAGCCTATTAATGATTTAATTAATGCAAATTCATCATGAGTTTTTGCATGAAATATAAGTAGAACTCATATTATAATTATTGTTTATACTATTTTATGAAAATGATTCTTTGGATTCATGTTTCATGACTTGCGTTAATATGGTGATCTAGATATGAACATATTGATCACAAAATGATTTTGAAAGTATTTAAAATTGAAGTTAAATGTACTATGGACTCTTATTGTATATAGGCTTATAGGTTCTATAAGTAAAATTTGACTTTATTATATATCCAAAAATATTACGACTAATTAAAAGTGGTAAATAACAGAGATATATAAGCTACACAATGGTGGGGAAATAAAGTTCTCATAAACTTTTGAAATCAAGTTTAAGAGTTTCAATAGTCATGAACTTGGAATTGGTTATTGGGTAATTACTATATGCATTGAAAACTCATGATATCATTTGAGATAGTTGGTTTTCATTTAAAATTATCACTGTAAATGAGATAATTTAAATAGCGAAATATACATGATTTGTAGGTATGATATAAATTATTATAGTTGGTTTAGAATAGCCATACGCCAAAATCGATGCCACAATCTTGATCAAATTATGATAATTTTTTGTTATGTATATGGTCTAATTTATGGTTGTACAAATAATTTATCATCTAAGGTTTTATATAGTAAAAATTTCAAACTATATTTACTTTGAAAGCCATGAGTGATTCAAATATCTTGTGAATTTGAAAACTTTTATAATAGCAAAAAGAATGCTATTTGATTCATTTAGGTGATGGAAATGATTTTGTTCATGGTAATAAAAAAATTATTAATAGTGTCCATGATGAAATAGATTCATATAAATATTTATGAATTGACATAAAAATCTTAAAAAGAGACTATGGAAACAATATTATATTTCAAATTAGCTTATTGATGTAAACTCTTATATTGAGTTAAAATATAAAAGTTTGGAGCTTTTATTGAAATATTAAGATATCAGCTAGTTATCTTTCATTAAAGGTGGATTTGGAGGCCTCTTACTTAAAAATAAAAATCACCAAAAACTTGATTAAGTATATATGATATCTTGGCATTTGAATGAGATATTCTTTAATAAAAGAATGTATACTTACACATGATGAGGGTGATAAGAATCAAAAGAAATAAAAAATTTCACCATAGTGTTGTAAGATTTAAGTATAATTCTATGAGCAAATTATATAAGCTAATAAGTTTAGACACTTATCAAAGTAAAATCATAAAAAGTTCTTAAAAA